CTCCAACACATTATTTTTTTGACAAAAGCAATAGGCTCATCATAACTTCTATTGACATGCATAACAAAATATCGTGTGATTGGGAAAATAATGACTCTAAAGACTTTTAAAAAATTTTAAAGTCCCCAAAGTCTTTACCAATCACCCCCTATATTTTGAACCAACGATGGCCTCAAAGCTAAGACACCGATTGTAAATTTGTATCATGAACTATAAATAGCGATCCACAAGGTTATTATCCTAGGTCGGAACAAATTGACAGGAACTCATTTTACACCTCCATGTCCCGCTCACCCATTTTACACGGAGGTGTAAAATGAGTTCCTATCAAGTTCTTGATTTTCGATGAAAAAACAGTTACATTTGTATAAATATTTTAACCAAAGGGCAATAAAAAACGGAAGAAAATAATTGAGTTTATAATTGTCTAATTTGAACTATGGCCTATATATAGTTGTGGCCCGAAAGAAAAGAATTAGCTACCAACCAATGTCATATATTTGTTACTAGGGTCGAGGAAAAAAAACTGTTGCATTTTGTATAATATTTTAACCAAAGAGAGCATTAAAAACGAATAAAAATAATTGTATAAGTTGAACTATATGGCCCGTCTATATATAGTTGTGGCCCCAAAAAAATAGATATCAACCAATCATCCACCAATGCGTAGCAAATCCTCAGAATTATATCCACTAATATATGTACAAAAAAAAGCAACAAATTCAACGGTTTTATTATAGCCAAAAGTAGAGCTTGGGTTTGACCGATTGGTCCACAGCTATCAGACGGTTTATGAAGGTTTAATTTGGGTCATTGATTGAGAATCTGATTAAGCCGGACCGGATTGGCAGGCCAGTTGACAGTTTAACTGGTCCCAAAACGAATAATGGGCCCAATGGCTTCATGCAAGCGAAACAAAATTTTCAGTTACAAAATCATCTTTTACGAATCCAACAAATGAAGAACCGGAGTCCATTAGAAACGAAATATGTAATTAGAGAACAAACAAAACCATAGATAAGCAAACAATGTATTTATATTAATTGCGAGAAAAAGATAATACCATATAGTATCTTGGAAAGAGATAATTTATGTAAATTGTAATAATAATAGCTTGTCTACGCATGACATGTTCATGTTGTACGAATACCGAGTTTTTTTTAATAAATGTAATATATAAGGTTATTCTCTACCTGAACTTTTTATAAAGTAACCTAACAATTTAGATCATTTATGTATAGTAGTATGTATCAAAACTGATAAATAATGGTAACCGACGACAATGAAACATCCTAATATTATTGGATAGTGTATTACGAAAATAACATGAATTTAGTACATAGAATTAGTAGTTGAATAACAAATTATTTCAAAAACGGAGTATCTGGCCCCACAAACTGTAGAGGGAGAGAGAATGTTTGTTATATGCATAACAACAACATATAACGGTGAGGCCTATATGCTCTATATAGTCACACCACACGTATGATAAATATCATTAATTAGACCAGCTGACTAAGCCTAAAAAGATTTGATAGTACAATTGTGATTTCCTTGTTGGTTATTATCCGGTTTAATCATTTCTAATTATATACACACATATATGTAACTGTATATCGCCTATAAATCATCTACGTAAATCGGTCAAAAAAAAATCGAAAAACTTGAAACTGGGATTAATATCACACAAACACACACTAAAAAAAATCAAAATCAGAGAAGCAACTGTCTATAGGTGGTCACGGAGAAGAAACGAAGCAAACATGGAAGCAAAAGATAGAGAGAGGAGCAATAATCCAAATTATTACAGATCTCAAAATAATCCAGATCTAACATCATCATCCATCACAACAGAGTTTTGTTTTTTAAAAGATAATAATAGAAACGCTAACCCATGGCGACGAGTTCATCGATACGAAGAAGCTCTTGGCTGTTGAAAGGGACGACACAGGCCATGAGCGAACGAACTCCGAACGAGCGACGAATTCTGATGATTTGCTACGCATTGGTGGATGATTGGTTGATATCTATTTTTTTGAGGCCACAACTATATACAGACCATATATAGTTCAACTTGTATCAATTATTTTCGTCTGTTTTTTTAATGCTCTCTTTGGTTAAAATATTATACAAAATGCAACAGTTTTTTTTCCTCGACCCTAGTAACAAATATATAACATTGGTTGATAGCTAATTCTTTTCTTTCGGGCCACAATTATATATAGACCATAGTTCAAGTTAGACAATTATAAACTCAATTATTTTCTTCCGTTTTTTTATTGCTCTTTGGTTAAAATATTTATACAAAATGTAACTGTTTTTTCATCGAAAATCAAGAACTTGATAGGAACAACGAATTAAAATAAATACTTTACTTGTATATTTATGATTAAAGGTAATACCGGAAAGCAACCTTCACTGAAACTAGTCTAGCTCCAAATTAGTTTAAGCCAATGGCAGTGATGGCACATTGGTGGTGTGAAAATCCATATGAGGAAACATTCTTGATTTTAGCATGAATCGAACAAAAAAAAAGTACTAACTCGATCAAAATAATATCGGCTTCTAAACATTTAAGCAATGGTTTTTATATGACCTACGAACTGGCGGGGAGTTCTGCTTCGAGTTCTACATATAAGGGCCGAAGTAGCCCTCTCATTAACCGCTAGTCTTTTTGTCCAATCCGGTTAGCTTTATCTAAGTCGACAATAGTGAGTGTTTTATAGATAACAATAGACATGTATAAAAAAGAATACATTGTAATTATTGATCATACGGGCCAACAAAATGGAACCCAGCCCACCCAATACAATCTAAATAATCTATTCGAGTTATCAACTACTAAATATTAAGACGAAGAGCCTTTTAGTTTATACGTTATATACCATTGTAATGTTGATTTTAACCGGTTTTTGGCCACAGTGATGGGCTTCTAAATATGGGCTTTTATATGAACTACAGACGGGAAGAAATTTTGCTTCGAGTTCAATAGACAATGTAGTCGAAGAAGGCTGTGATAAAGCAAACGTCTCATTGTGCACAAGCGTAGTAAAGGGTCAGTCCTAGGCTATGGTGTAAACTCACACATAACTTAGGACGTCTGGTTTTTCGATTCCCGCCTTACAAAATAGCGCTTGGATGGAGAGTTGGGGCAGGGTTTCTTCAGGACTTTACCAGGGTTTCGGTTTGGGTGATTTACCTGGTTTCTATTGGTCAGCTATGTAGTAGCCCTCCCGGATTAATTACTCAAACACTTCGTTGATCCGGATACCTAGTGCTAACTCTACAAAAAACTTCTCATTATACCGGTAAACTTCTCTTTATTAGTGTGAAGTGTCGATAATTGGAAGTGTCTTATCCAAATATACTAAAATTATACTATATGGTTAGTTAATCTAACAATCTTTGATAAATTAATGTCAAATGAAACCCCACATGAAACGCACATGCATGGCACATCGTCATTTGGGATCATTAATTAATGACGGTTTTGAATTAAAACCAAAGTCGTAATTAACCGAAAACACGGCTCGTTTTGTTAGTTGCAAATCAACTAGAGTAGTCCACACATCATTTTCAAACGAGTCTGTTACTTTCCCATCGACGTCTACACATTAAGGAGAAAACATAAATAATAATCCAACGGAATGCTTTTGATGCAAAACATAAAATTAATTGTGAAAAACGGTAGATTTGAATCGTAATGAGTAGAGACCGTAATCATCATATGTTTTCTTGTAGAAGCATCTTTTAACAAGTTTTAACTGATTATTACTTTTGTCATTTCAAATTATCTTTTCAATAAAAACTGATACATATCAGTTTTACAAAACAAAATCGATTTCTTTGTTAGAATATCATTTTTAAAATAAAGTGATTTGTATCTTATTTTCTCCTAGTTTCGGTAAAACTCTCCTAATGGGTGGTAGGTCAGGTGGCACTCAGTAATACAATGATACGTGGCAAATCCTAACCATGTGTTCTCAACTCCCGCAAATTAATTCCGGGTCGAACGGACCGGAAAATCAGTTCATCGCTTTAACCTCCGAATTTTCAGACAAAAACAAATAAATAGCTTTCCTTTTGTAACTACCACGTTTCTACTAAAGTATGTAGCTAGGAAGTTAAAAAGCAGACTAAATTACCCACTACGATTCGTCAAATACTGTAACTTGTTAACTATATGTTCATTTCACCTCTCAGAGACAATTAATATATGTTAAATTACAAAGAAAAAAAGAAGAGAAAGTTATGTATGTATATACGTAATTGCATCCCAAAAAACGTTTTATAAAGTTTTAAAAGGTAACAATTTGAATAATTCACGGGAGAGAAAAGGGTGATTAGAAAGTGTTGATATAATAACTAAGAGTGAGTCCTCTTAATTTATTAAGCTTTAACACGTAAGGGCGTAAGGCATCCCATATTAAATGTGATAGTGCTAATACGACCACTCAAAATGTGTCACGTACAAACATAGACAACAACTTTACTAACCAGGGAACACACACATATGTACCTATGTAGAGATCTTAATTTTTCTCAATGTATATATGTTATCTAGAGAGACAAAAAAAAAAAAAAAAGTTTTGAAAAATTGTAAGAAAATAACATCATATATTGTAAGAAAATTTAGCAATTGCATTGCATATGCACATTTATTTCCATATCTTCCTCTAAACCTGAAAACGTATCTTTAAATTTATAAACATTTGTTTAGAGAAGTTTTGAAAAATTGTAAGAAAATAACATCATATATATATATATATATATATATATATATATATATTGCAGCATAGAATAATACCTAATAATAATATACATATGATATGGCTTATACATTCATGCGTGGAAGAGAATCTTAAATAGGAGTTAATACTGTTTAAGAATGATGATGGTAAATAAAGACTGAATCGGTTCAAAACATCTGATAGATTTTGCCAGTTACCCAAACTTAAACCTTAACTCATATAAATACATATCTTTTACTTTACAGGGGACAACACGCCAAAACTGAAATCTCGAGGAAACAAATCAACATTTAATAATGTTTTTTTTTCTCCTTCATGGCTAAAGATAAAATAATTTCCATACATAAACGAATAATATCTCGCCGACAAATTTCATTCAATAACATTGACTTTCTCGTTACCTCCTTTCTTTTCAAACTCACTCAAATTTTTTTCCTAAAGAGTAAAGAAACTTCTCTCCTGTCTTGTCTCCTTCTCTATCTCTCTCTCTCAAAGCTAATAAATACAACATTTGCATCTAACGTTTCTCTAGCATAAAAATATGCACTCGACCTATTTATTATCTCTCACCATCCTCGCCGTCTTCACCGTCTCTTTCGCCGGCGGCGAGAGATTTAAAGAAGCTCCAAAGTTCTTCAACTCCCCGGAGTGTCTAACCATCGAAAACGACGACGATTTCGTTTGTTCAGACAAAGCCATCCACGTGGCAATGACCTTAGACACAGCTTACCTCCGTGGCTCAATGGCCGTGATTCTCTCCGTCCTCCAACACTCTTCTTGTCCTCAAAACATTGTTTTCCACTTCGTCACTTCAAAACAAACCCACCGACTACAAAACTACGTCGTTTCTTCTTTCCCCTACTTGAAATTCCGGATTTACCCTTACGACGTAGCTGCCATCTCCGGCCTCATCTCAACCTCCATCCGCTCAGCCCTCGACTCTCCGCTAAACTACGCAAGAAACTACCTCGCCGACATCCTCCCCACGTGCCTCTCACGTGTCGTATACCTAGACTCAGATCTCATACTCGTCGACGACATCTCCAAGCTCTTCTCCACTCACATCCCTAGCGACGTTGTTTTAGCCGCGCCTGAGTACTGCAACGCAAACTTCACCACTTACTTTACTCCGACGTTTTGGTCAAACCCTTCTCTCTCCATCACACTATCCATCAACCGCCGTCGTCCACCGTGTTACTTCAACACCGGAGTGATGGTTATCGAGTTAAAGAAATGGCGCGAAGGAGATTTCACGAGGAAGATCATAGAGTGGATGGAGTTACAAAAACGGATAAGAATCTACGAGTTAGGCTCTTTACCACCGTTTTTACTTGTCTTCGCCGGAAACATAGCTCCGGTAGATCACCGGTGGAACCAACATGGTTTAGGAGGAGACAATTTCAGAGGACTGTGTCGAGATTTGCATCCAGGTCCAGTGAGTTTGTTGCATTGGAGTGGGAAAGGGAAGCCATGGGTAAGGTTAGACGATGGTCGACCTTGCCCGCTCGATGCACTTTGGGTTCCATATGATTTGTTAGAGTCACGGTTCGACCTTATCGAGAGTTAAATTTAGATGTTAGTTTTTTTTTTTTTTTTTTTTTTGAAGGAAGAAGTATATTTTTGACTGGATGTGTAATATAGGAAGATGAATAATACTTGAATAAAATGATAGGAGGGTAGGATAGTCGAATATGTAATTAGTTTGGTGATGGTAGTTACTTACTCTCGTAACGCATTGCCTACTTCTAGCATAATAAATTCGATACCTATAAGGTAATAATTGTGAATATATATCTACCGAATGTACTACGGCGAGTAATAACAAATAAATATACTAGAGCCTTTCTGTCTATGAATTTTTATTACAAAGTTTTTTGCTTTTACTGTTGAATTTAAATACATCATCTTCCATTGATTATAGTATGAAAATTTAATGTAGAATTTTGAGATTTTAGCAGAGAATAGTCATCCACTTGGTTTTTTAATTAAATAATTAGTGATTGTATGAAATTCTCTCTTCAAATTATTAGCCAAAGTTGTAAAGGACTCATCTTCGATAATCTAATAGTAACAATGTAACATCATACAGACACAGTGATTTTTTTTTTAGTTCATGTGAACTGAGACTTTTATAGTTAATTTAATACTTTATATATTAAAACTATATAAGTCATGCAGAAAAAAAACTTTAGTACAATTATATATAAATTATTGGATATGATTTGGCAGATATTGATTCTAATGCCGATATTGTCATGGTAGTTGCAGTTTATTTGTTCGATTTCATAAATTTGAGCTGTCTAGTCAATAATACCATAATAGTTGATTTGATCATTGTACTTAATATTCATATAGTACAAATAATATCCAGTAATTTGGTTGTTTTTTCCTTGCGTAAATGAGATAAACTCGCCGGCCAAGTATTACGAGGTTGTCTTGTAGTTAATTACACAGCAAAAGTCAACAAGTCAGCGCGTTTTCGACTACTTGATAAAACAAGGAAGCAACTACAAGTCTTAGTCTATATTTGTCATTTGAGTTCTATTTCTGTAACCCAATAATGTACAAAGGAATCTTAGGTTTGAATCGTCTAATTAGGGTAAACAGAACTCACGTAGACTTATAGGTCGCTGTGAATAGAACTCACGTAGACTTATATTACATTTTTCTTATATATTGATATTTAGACTTATATTATAATACGATTTCTACTGGATTTATGAGCATGGCCTATATATAAATACGTGAAGGTATATACGTAAATCTAGTAATCTATGTCATATACATATATGTGCGATTATAAGATTAAATTGAATGATTGATTAGCACATGCTCACTACATTTATACATGCTTAGCTTATGTAATATTTTCACGACTATAAAAAATGATGCGTGTGGGTCAACACAATGGAGATTACGTCTGGATCTCGACGGATTAATATATAGTGTAGTATACCAATGAACATGCATGTTATTTAGATTCTTTCGTTAGGTCAACTCAAGGATAAAATATAACATGAAAAGTGATCTTTTAATACTCAAAGTACACCCCAAAAAAAATACGAAAAATGCTTTAACTATTCTGTTTAAATTTTAAAGATCAAACATCTAGTTAACAATACCAAATAAAACCCCAAGTTACTGGTTAAAATGACACTAAAGCTGAAAAAATTTCAAATAAATAAACGTAAATCCCTTAACTTCTTCTACTTGGTGCATTCGCTCTAATTTTTTTTTCTTTGGTTCAACGAACTCATTCGCGATTAAAGAAGTGTGAGAGATTGAGTCAAGTAGGTTTAGGGGTTTGAGTTCTTCAACCTTTGAATTTTTGTTTGGTTTAACGCCTTCTTAATTCTTAGAGGAGGTAACTTAAGAGTAGTTTTACAAATTTGTCGTGGAAGAAGAATATTTTTGACACTTGGAAGTTGGGAATGTAAATAGCATTAACTTACGATGTCTCGTTCCCGTTTTTATCTAAAGAGACTGAAAACACATTCGATATAGTCTTTCTTTAGGGTCTGTCCCACATTCACATATAATTAAAATATGACCTAATCAAATCTCCGTTTACACCTCGATTTCGCACTTTCCTCTCAATTATTTTTTGGTTTCTCTCTAAATGTATATGAAACAAATCAAATATATATATATATATATATATATATATATATATATATATATGTTAAAATTCATGCATTGAATCACTATACATTTATCCTATATTTCAAATTAACAGACAATTAATAAAATTTATTCTATAAGATTATTCATTAAAAAGATCTGATACATTACTAAAACGTTGAAAAGTCAAATTTGCATATTACATATGAGTGACATATTAGGCCGGTGGACAATATGCCAAAGATCAGCCTAACCAACTCTCATGGCCTAATCGGGTCGCAAACAAAATTTGGCAGACGAAGATTTTTACGCATTTTTATTTTGGTCAAAATCGCACCGACGATTTTGTTTTTCCTAATTTTTTTCGTGTACAACACCAAGAATCTAACGCGCAAGGAAACGCACGGTTTTTGAGTGCAAGCTTTCGGCAAACGAGAGAGGCCATACATTGGCGTGAATGCATATAGGCCCATGATTAAATAAATAAAATTTTATTTAGTGTTTTAGGTTTGCCCATTGGTTGTCCAATGACACACTTCACCTTAGACTTTCCAAAATTGATGTAACTTTAAAATTTTAAATCAGTTAATCGAACGTTGAAATATATTGTAAAGTGAATTTTTTTTTGTCAATGTGGTAAGACCTAAGTGGTAACGATATGAATGCAAAGTATTAGACTAACCCACTCATCATTAGGGGTTGAAGAAGGACGTGAGATAAACGAGGCTTGTAACAGTTTTTTATGGGCCCTCTTATGGCTCCGTAATGTTGGGCCTTATGAACATTTTGTTTTGTGTTGGGTTAGGACTTAAAGGATCTTTTGGATTTTATTATATTTTTGTATTAGATTTATAATAAAAAAATCTAACTAATGTGCCACTTACTTTTTAAAAACTTAGAAAAAATGCTACAAAACATAAATCTTTCCGAATGTGCCATAGTGGTGGACAACATTTCTTGTCTACCCAAATTTTGTATGTCGTTTCGAATTTTTGTCCACCAAAAGTTTGTTGTTTCAAAGGTGGACAAGATTTTTTGTCCACCAAATATCTTCCCAATCTGTTGTTTCAAAGGTGGACAACATTTATTGTCTATAAAAAAATTTCGGTTCAAAGTCTTGTCCACCATTATGGCACATTTGGAAAGACAAATGTTTTGTGCCAATTTCTATAAGTTTTGCTACAGTATATGACACATTAGACCAAAATCTCTTTATAGAATCGCTTCATATCACATATGTAAACAACATTCCCAAGAGATGACTCTTTTGAGCGTTAACTAATTTCGGATGACAAAAAAAAAAAAAAATTAGTCCCATGCGTTTTTCATAACAAGGCTAAACAATTTATTTTTTTCTATTTTTTTTTTGTTTTGGCTTAAAAGTTAGGTATACTCTCTTTTCATTACCTATAATAACAAAGACATCATATAAAGCAAATGGTTAAATTTGTTTGTGGTGTAACTTGTGATGGGGAAAAAACCAATAGTGATTAGGAAGACAGCTTGTTTCGTGTGGCTCTGCGACGAATATCTAGTTGTATATTAAGATACTAAAAGTTTCAAACAAAAAAAAATCAAGAATGCATCAAATTAACGGTATATAGTTTTGAATCAAATTAATGATGAATTATATTGCATCAGATCAAACTAATTTGGTACATCTTGAAATTAGGAATGTGTTCACCTAAAAGCTATAATTGATTACTTAAAATGTAATGCAACAAGAAGAGTCAATTGAAATTTATAGAGATGAGTCATATAAAATGATTAGTTATCGCTAGAGGAAGCTGCGATGAAATTTCTTATAGCTTTTGTCTTTCACCTATCTAATCATTTAATCTCTGAGCCTACGCCATCACACATATCTAAAAGCACCTTCTTCGAAATTCCCTTGGAGGAAAAAACATGGACCTCTTTTTTGTTCCCTTGGATTTTCTCGGAAAATGACTTGCATGTCTTCTTATTATATTTTAATGTATATCCTTTTGTTTTGGAAATTTTCAAATCTGATTTTTCTTTCTCCTTTAATGTAGCAAGTATATAAATAGGGCACACAATGAAATTTAATAACAAACATAATGATGAAATGACGTTTTCTAATACGAATACACTAAAAATTTATCAATCAAGAATATATATATATATATATATATTGTTTACCAAAACTTAAAAACGCAAGATTTATGTTTTCACCTAAAAATTTATTATGAAATTAAATGGATATATACATGTTTATATCATAAACAATTTATGTTATTATACAATTATATAATATTACCAATCGGAACCTCAATCCCACCAACAAAATGTTAGACATTAACAAGTTCAATACCAAATGCTCCTTCAATTCAAACTATTATTATTGTTTATAGAAGTACTTTTTGGATACGTAAGCTATATTTTCCAATCCGAAATGGTGAAACGAATGAACTAAATGTCAATAGTTCAGTTTTTATTTTCCCTAAAGAGTGAATATATTAAGGGACTCTAAATTCTAGAAAATATATTTTAAAATATAATAATGAGTAATTGTCCAAAAAAACGTGAATAATTAAATCAAAATCAGGATACGATCGTCACAAGAAACAAATTTTCCTAGATAATGTATTTATATTATTATATGCATTTTTAAATTTATCAATATGGTGAGCTATCGTTATATATAGTGGTGAGTTAAAGACTAAGTAGAATAACACACCACATCAAATACTCTCAAAGATCCAAGATGGCAACTCTACAAGAGAAACCTTCCTCCAATTCTTTCAAATGGTTTTCCACCAAAACTTTAAAGTTAAACCTTAGTTTCCAAAACCGACGAGGATCACCAAAATCTAATTCCTCGTCAACCTTAAACTCCCCAAGAAGCAACACTGATGACAACAACAACAACAACACAAAAAGTCACCACGCCTCCAATGAAGAGCTCCGTCGAGTCTTCAGCCATTTTGACAGCGACGGTGACGGTAAGATCTCAGCCTTTGAGCTCAGACATTACTTCGGCTCTGTCGGTGAGTATATATCTCACGAGGCAGCTCAAGAGGCGATAAACGAAGTCGACACTGACTCAGACGGGTCTTTAGGGTTTGAGGACTTCGTTGGATTGATGACAAGAAGAGATCTTGACGGTAACAACGGTGATGGTGATGGCGGCGGAGAGTTGAAGACGGCGTTTGAGATGTTCGAGGTGGAAAAAGGATCAGGTTGCATAACACCAAAGGGTTTGCAAAAGATGCTTGCAAAGTTGGGAGAATCAAGAACGCACGGAGAGTGTGAAGCTATGATAAAGTTTTACGATATTGATGGTAATGGAGTTCTTGATTTTCATGAGTTTCGTCAAATGATGACGGTTTAGTTTAATTAATTTTTTCTTTACGTAATTACCCTACTACATGCTCGAAAAATGTTTATGGAGTGTGTATGCGTGTGTGTGTGATCAGTTTGAATATAGGGATTATGTTTGAAGTGAAATTATTGAATTGTGGTGAAGTTTAGTTGTGTTGGAGTGATTTTATGAATGAAGAATATTTAAGCTTGATTTATGTTAATGACCTAAGATAAATAAGGAATTATATATTCTCTGTGGACTTAAAGTATTGTAGGCATCTATTTATGAGATATGCCCACTAATAATTTATAGAAATGATGCAAAGACACACCACTGAAAGTTGGAGTATTTATTCCTGACTTTGGCTCTGCTGAACATTTGCCATATGTTCTTCACTTTTTCCTCTCTTTATTTTGTTTTGGCTTGTAAAGCATTTGGCATATTATACTATACGAATACGAGTTATCGTGTACCCAATTTATCATATGACAATTGACAAACAAGAAAGTACAATACTCTCCGATGCTGTAATTTTTTTTTTTTTTTGTTTTTGATAAAATTATACCAGAAAAAAAATGGGAAACAAATAAATTGGGCTTCAAACGTATTTTGGGCCATTAGGCTCATCAGAGACCCATTTTCCAGATAAGTTTCTATATAGCTCTTTTTTTATTAAACAAATTCAGGAAAAAGTATTTTTTTTATTAAGGGTATGAGGTTAAGATTTTCCAGTTTAAATTTATTTTTTAAAAAATTTATGATTTTAGTTTTTATATCTTAGGGTTTAGAATTTAGAATCTAGGGTTTAAACTGTTTTCTTACTTCAAGAAAATATAGATCTGATTTTCTTTTAATTTTGATATATAAAATTTGGACTATTGTTGATAGTTGTCACAATATTTTTCTGTCTCCTCCCGCGTTCCTCATCCTCACGAGACATTCTCTTATGTTTTTGTTTCTAGAATTTGGCCCTGAGAAGATTATCAAACAGTTCTTTAGATTTGGGATCAATGAGAACATCATAAGAAATCTTGAGCTTACGAAATTTCTCGTAAGCATTGTTAGGATCATTGCGGTTTTTATCAGGATGTAATTTTAATGCCTTACACAAATACGCTTTTCGAATCTGCTCATTACTGATCTTCACACAATCATTATCTTCCCCATAAGAAGGTAATCCTAGAACAGCGTAGTGATCCACAAATTCACCCATTGGCTAACCTAAAAGATTGATAACAATGTTTGGTTTGATATTTATAATGTTTTATAATGAAACTTGTAACCTTTCCTTTTTTGGTTATCGTTGAAGTAATATATTTCCTTTTTTCATCAAACTTACATTTTGATAAAGTCGGTTTAGTTAAGGGTTATACTAGATTTTCTTTTTCCTTTTTGAAGAAATAAAACTGCATACACATCAATTATTTAATAACAAATTGATCATTATAAAAACCAAAACATTTAAAATGTAATAAAAATTCGAATCAGAAATATACATACATCACTATGAAAACTGAAAAATACAAAACATCAAGAAAAAAATCGACCAATAAAAAAGCTTGCAAGACATTGCCTCTTCCATGATACGATCTAAACCAAACAAAACCAAACCGGAAATCAAGATCAGCAAACCAACACATTCCATAGCTACATTATGCACTATACAATCTAACAAAGATTACTCAGCATTTTTATAGTCACTCTTTTGAAGTCGATTCTGTTTGACACGAACCATTAGCTTGACGATCTGAGTAAGGTCTAATGAAAGATCGTCTCCACCAAACCTCGAAAGCTCTCTGAAGATTCGGACATCCATCTCCTCCGTTTAGAAAACTCCCGAGCCACGACAGCAAAATGCTCTGCTGATCTTCCAATGGCAATGTCAGTATCGTCCGACCAATACCTTCCTCCACTAGTTTACCATCAAACGATCTGCAACCATGTTGGAGCCAGTTATAGTCATTGAACAACGGTTGCAACCATGTGGTCAACAGCAAAAGCCGAGTGTCTTTTGAAGGCAACAATTCTCCTCTCCCAATCCCTATGAAGAGTCGAGATGTTACACGGCTTATGTGGTAACGCGACATTAAAGGAAGCTTCTCGTGTAACAAAGCGAGCTCCTTTTGGTTTGCCCATGTGATTGAGAATTCCTCTGCAGCTTGTCTTTCCGCTAATACATCAAGCAACCACGTGAGGTTATCCGCTTCTACAGCAATCTGTTTGGTATCAGTCTCAGGTTTCTCTCCCACACAAGCTTCTCTAAACAGAGACAAAACCGAGTCTAAGCAGTTTTGGCAAGAGGAATAGATTGTCTCGTTGAAGTTATCAGCTACATTGGCTCCATTCTGTTCCCTAAGAAGCTTCAGGACAATAGATTTCATCTCACGCCGACTTTTTTCCTCTTTGCTTCTTAAAACAAGCTCGATAATGCGTGATAGCGTCTCCTTTGGTGGATCCACAGCACTAGAAGCAACTCGTTTGAGAACAGGCGTGACACCAACTCCTTCGGTTTTTAATCTAAGAATCGATGAGATCACTTTCTCCTCTTCTTCTTCCCCAACCCATGGCACAGCTTCTAAGTAATCCAAACAAGACTGTATACATAAACTAAAACCAAGAAGCTCTGCAACCTGCAATAACAACTCAAGTCCTTAGAAGTTCCCCTAAAGCTATAAAGTTACCAAATTGAGTCACTTCTATGAACATAAACACCACAAAGACCAGAATCTAAAAGAGGGATTTAGCTGCAATACCTTGAGGACACGAAGAACTCTGCTAACATTCTGTTTCATAAGCCGTTGCTTCATATCTTTACAATACATAAGTCCAATGGTCTCAACGTAAATCTCAGCATCTTCACAACTCTCAATCTCAAGACAAGCAAAAACAGAATCTTTCTCAGCTAGTTTCTTAGCAAAGAAACAACTATGATCAACTAAAACTTTCTTATGAACACTCAGCTTCACACAAAAACCTTGCTTCCCAACCAAAATCACTTTAGCATCACTACTTCCTGGTTCACCAAACTCAATAGCAACTTTCCTTGGTAAAGTCTCAACCTTTTGCCTCTGTGGTCTCTCTTGAACCGTCGCTGGAACAGCAATACTATGAACGGTGTCTGAACTACCCAAATTCTGTTGAGTTTCATCGGAGGCAATGACGGATCTAATAGTAGTTGACGATGGTTTCTTCTCCGGTTTAGGAGGTTGAGGAGGAGAAGATTGTTTGTGTTTGGTGAGAGAGTTGTGAGATTTAAGAGTCTTTTGAAACGCAACAGGAGAAGGACAACACCAGAAACCTTCAGGAGTTACAGCTACTGGAACATTCCTTATCTTCGTTTGCCTTTGTTCTACTTTTGCAATCTTGATCTCCGCCATTGTTAAACACAGAAGCTTAAAGCTTTCACCTTTCACACACCATTAAAGAGACAGAAACCTAAACAGAGAGAAGAACAAGTCAATTTGGGGGAAAAAAAACCCTAGAAATCTGAAATCTGTAAGTTCTTGAATATGTAAAGATATTAATCAAAAACAGCTGTGTGTAGAATGAATGATTGGAGATGTAATAATGGTGTTTAAAGAATCAAGCTTTTAACAAATATATGATTATCAAAAAAAAGATTTTTGAAAAGAAGAGTAAAGCCAAAACAAAAAAGAACAAAGAAATGAAGAGAAAGAGATGCATCAAATGGCTTTGTCTCTCTACGATTCCTTTATCTTCACTTTACCTTTGTCTCCTCTCTCTCTCTCTCTTCGCATGATTTTGATGATTACATGTAATTTGTGGGCCTTTGTTGGACAAAAATATTCTTCTCTCTAAAAACATTACTTTATTTCTCAGTGACCAGACAGCCACGCTATCTCCATCTCTCTCTCTCATGCTCTAATGTTTTGAAAATTTAAAAATATATGATTAAATGAGAGACTAATCAGAGTTTTGAAATGTTAAAGTTGTTGTGTGTTTGTTTATGTTCCTTGTGGGGACAATCTTTCTTTCTTTTGTGAGTCTTGAGGAGATTCTTGATTAATGCTTATAAAACAAACCATCACTTTCTTGAAGTTTTGTGTTACATAAGTAATGCACATGATATGCATTTAATTTGGATTAAAATTTGGTAATGAGGAGATTAATACGGGAAATCATTAATTAATGGAACATATAGCTTATAGCTGTTTTTTTTCTTCTACAAAGGCTATAGGTTAAAATCTCATATCTTTTAACTGAAGAATATAAAATATTCCATAATTGGTATTAGTGGTACAAATTTTTATTATTTATTTATTTAGATTGTGAGCTCCATAAATTTAGGGGGTTGGTTGGGTAGTTATATTATGTTGTATAATAATTTATTCTCATACTATGATATAGACTACCTTTTATGGTTGAACAAAAAGTACTGAGAGTTGGATATAATAAAATTTCATAATTTTGGTTTAGTTCAGTGCGATGTATTAAGTTTACGTATAGCTCAATTTATTTGTTTTACATCGTACATACACCGTATGTATTGCTGAAGTTATATACTGTATGCGATATGATATAGGAGCACAACTTTAGGTTAGAAAAACATTTAGAGATTGTCATAAGAATGGCACGTTGGAATTGTCATTCATAGTTAGAGATTTGAAGCTAGACTACAAAAAGAATCAGGGAAAAATAATACTATTATTTATACTTATATACTATTAGAAAGAATAAATTATTTATCTAGTTATATTATATTTCATATGTTGAAACAAATGGAAATATATGACAAAGAAGATTTGATGGCATTTGCTGGAAGCTAGACCCACGAAAAAGGCATAAGGACTCTTGATGATAGTTGATACCATGTGTTCCACTTCTTTTTATTGCAACGAAATTAATAAATAATTTCCCACATGACATGAACATAAGATGGTGAAGCCAGTCGAAGCTAAGCTAAATAAACCAGGAAATGTTTCTATAATATAGTTTAATTTTTTCATAATATTCGTGTATTTTTTATTTCTCTCGAAAAATTCCAAGACCTGCGAGGCTATTTTCATTTAATGCGCTATCAGTTTCTAGGATCAAAAAAGTGACCGGTAACCAATTCTATCCCCAAGCTCGAAAGCGAAGCACGTTTTGGATTTTTTGCTCAATCATATTGCCCTACTTAATTACATAACTATAACTGTTTTTGTATCTTTAAAATACACAAGAACATACTAAAACAAATTAGACAATACTAAAAAAGATTCACATAAAAATATATATACATGAATCAAATCTAGCTTAAGCCAAAACACAAAAAGGTTTAGCCTGAAAAAAAAACATACTCCACATATTTCTCGTATTTGGTTAACACTGTTAGTTTGATAATGTCAAAAATCAATACTCAAGTCAACTTTTGAAAACCCAACTGCATTGAAACAAAGAGAAGGGAGAATTTGAAGAAACATAGAAGAAGACCACAAATTGAAACAAAGAGAAGGGAGAAGGAGGGCACGATTCAATTCTCGGTATGAGAACTCTATGCCTCGGCAGAATTACAAGAAGAACACCATGCGTGATCTTGAAGATGTTCAAAGCTTTTTGGAGGAGATTTTAAGCAGCTGATGTCGAGGAAACTAATCTGTCGTGTGTCGTCTCTTCCATACAGGATGAAGAACTCGAAGCTATAACCCTTTGATGAAGCCTCAAAAAATTCCCTGCATGATTCCCTGATTTAGAAATGTACATAATGTGAATTCGTTGTGGTAAGTGGAAACATATGGTATGGGTGGTCATGAATGTAACTAAGGATCACTTATTTTAGACATGAAAACTTAATTATTAGGAACTTTAAGATAGTATCATCCATATTGGGAAATGCAAGAAGTCTTCGTATATACTATGATTCTTTGCATGTTTGTTATTCTTGTTCACAGCAACAATGTACAAGTGAAAAATGGAGACAGTTTTAGACTTGAATCTGATGAGCATCGTCAAAAGATCTCTCCCCGTTAATGGTTTCACGATTCTCTACATATTGCAGAAACTCCATAACCACTTGGTCGGTCCAAGGAGCTCCGTTTGGAGCTTCTTCACCTGCCACCCATCCCAAGTGCCCTCCTCTTGGTGTCACAATCAACACGCAGTTTGGGTTTGCCTGACAATTTAAGTTGTTAGATAGACCCAAAATCATAGCATTTTCGAGTCAATGAATGATCATTCATCTCTTACCTTGATGTCATCGCGAGGGATACCTCTATCAGGAGCAATCGGATCATTAGCTGCCTGCATTTCATATCATATAAACAAATGAACATGTGAACAAAGAGCAGATTCTAAGCTTATGGGTTCAGGAATTCACCTGAATGCAAAGCAAGGGTATACGGACATGTTTTATATATTTGGAGCTGCTCGACTTGGAATAGTACTCATCCACTGATTTGAAACCGAACGAGACTGTTACATGAAAAAAAAGAAAACAAATTATTTGTAGCTGTATGCCCTCATCTTGTCAAAGTATCAAGGAAAAGATATAAGGGGATGCAGACGAAACTAACCTCGGGTTAAGCCATCATCGAAATCCCTAACCGTCTCAGCATTTGCAGCCAAAGGAATGTTAAATTCACCTCCTATGTCTTCAAAAAGAAGAGAATGTCTGCATAGCGATGAATTAATAACGTGACAATAACTAACAGGCAAGAAGAAAAGACGGATGTGGAAAACGAACAATTACTTGCTAAATATTCTACGAAGAGATTTCGACAAGGCCTTGTCATAAACATTGTTAAAACCCTTATGGAAATCTTCATCTGCTATAACCAAATCAAAAGGATTGCACAAAGAAACAGCAGCAGAGAGAGGACAGTTTTGAGATTCCTGCAACAAAACTAAAAAAGATAAGAACTTGGTTATATAACCAACATAGACTTCCAAACTCATGGGTTAAAGCTAACCAACCTGACCCAAAAAGTTAACAAGAATGTTGCCTCCAAGTGACCATCCTGCTGCATACAAATTAGCTTTTGGGAATTTCTCACCAACATGATCAATCACTTCACCAATGTCTCCTAAAAACGAAGCCGAGTAGAACTGCATTATCAGTATCATAATATTTCAGTCTACCAACTTCCCAATACTAACAAAATGAAGCTAACTGAGACTATTCATCATTCACCACCAGACAATGAAACATTACAAAAAGGATGCAACTTTATGAATCTAAGAACCAAGAAAGAGCAAAGATCAAAACCTGAGGAGTGGTCACAGGGCTATCTCCACATCCACGGCTATTAAACACAACACAACGCCATTTTTTACTTTGAGCTCTTAACAACATATGTCTAACATACGAATCTTGACTTCCTCCAGTCAAACCTGGCTACACATTTTAAAAAGTTTTGATTTTTTTCACTCAATTCAACACTTAGTAATCAAAAATCGATTTTTGAAATGTTGAGAGTGTTACCAACAAAATGAGGATTGGAGATCCAGGAGAAAGGTAACTATCGTCGCCGGCGACCCAATCTAAAGCAACAGAGCCGTTGTCTTTGGTTCTGAGACACTCACGGCGGAGTCTAACGGAAGGAACGGAGCGGTAGAAAGCTGCGTAGATTGTCTCCACGTGGCGGTTAAATCCGATTAGAGGAAACGCATTGTACGGTTTAGCGAGTGAGTCTTTTAACGCCGGTAAAAAACGATCGCTTCCTCCACCGATAACTTCGAGAGAGCTGTGGTGAGAGGGACGAGACATTTCTGGGAGTTTTGGATTCGCGGCGGCGAAAATTGAGAAATGACGGCGGAGTGTACGAACTGATGAGATTAACGGCGGCGATGATGTGGCAAAGGCGACTCTCGCCATTTGCTTCACCACGTCGTCGTTTTGGTAACCACAACGAATTTGCCTAACTGAAAAAAACAAAGCACCATTTCTGTGGTTGGGAAATTTAAACTAATTTGCAATTAAACCCCTTTAATAGTTTTATTATTACCAAAATCATCCCTTACTTAAAAGATTGCATTTTCAACCGTGGCCCATAATAAATTGGGCCTTGGGCTATTTATTACCACTTTTTTGCAACTGTGCACGGTGTCGTTTCATGTAACCATTACGCGGTGTTGACCAAGAAAAGCCAGAGAGGATTTTGATATTATTAGTAGCTTTTGTACACTTCATTTTTTTTTTGTTAAAAAGCTTTTGTACACTTCATACACGTGAAAGTCTCTCAATTTGGTCATTTCTATGTATAGTTGTATTAAATAACGAAATCAACTTTATATCTTTTTAAGGTAAAAAAGAAAGAAAAAAGTGAAGCTTTCTAATTACAATTTACACATTGACTAACCAATTTAACCCCTCTCTACTCAGCTATTGAACTCAATTCCGCCGTAAACTTTCTCCTCCCTTTACCACCACAACCTCTTCCGCCGCAACCATTTCTTTTAACTCTTCTAACTCTACACTCACCAACATCTTCATCTTTGTAACTCAAACCGCCTCCACCGCTTTTCGCAAGGGCAGAACTCGCTTTAACCGCTAAAGCCGCCATTTCATCTGCTCTTAATGGATGATTAAGCCATGTCAACGGTAAAACGAAGTATAATTCTCCTGGCTGGAGATCTTCGCTGCCAGCAACAGCTAAAACGGCGTCGTCGAAATCCATATCGTCGGAGTTACAAACAAAGCTCGTAGGATTCTTTTGAAGAATCTGCCATACTTTTACCGGCGTTGAAAACTCTTGTAACGTTCCGTCTGGTAATATCAGCTTCGCCGTCTCCGTTCTCCGAGATTCACGTGAAGCGCAAGCTCCCATTGTTTTAGTACTTCTTTGTACGTAACTCTGTGTTGCCTTTGAAACGTAACTCGTTGAGTTGACTCGTGACTTTTAGAAAGTTTGTAGATAGAGAGAAGATCTCGTCTATGTTTTTGAAAGAGATACAAACTACTCGTGGGGCTTTATATATTTATAGAAGAAAAAAGAAGAAGAATAAGTGAGCCTCGTGATTCGGAAACTTCAAGTAACGTTAGGTTTTTGTCGTGTAGTGTTCATAATCAGACAGGACCACAGCTCACGTAATATAATTGTCTAAATGAAATTACATAAATACCCTCATCTATATACGTTAAGGAAGAAGTAATTTAAAGGAAATGTAAGGGGTATATTGGTAAAACTGGAGATGAAAACGTGGCCAAGAAGGAGAGAAGAAAGGAGCAGAGTGTCCACGTGGCAAACATAAGAGACTTGGGACAAAATCAGAAAGCAGACAAGCTTAGGTGGCCGGAGGTTTAATTTCCGGCGGATGGGGTGCATGAAGCTTGGCTTATGGAGCCTCACGTGAAGGCCAATAGAGAGTAGCATGGGTAGGGACCAAACCGGGTCGGATGGTCCCATTTAGATTCATTCGGTTGCATGGGTCACTGGTCACCTAACGAGAGATTCGGGTCTTTAAGTCTATATACGTGCATCATTCATTAGTTTAGTTTAATTTAATTTTGGTATGAACGTGTGCATCAATAATGTGAATTCAACTCGAAATTATTGTGTGTCGATATGATATTACGGTCCATCAACGCTGTATCGAATTTGTTGGTTACGTTTTAAATATTTTTAAGTAAGATTGATTTGTTGAAGAATATCGCTTTCCGTTGAACCTTTTTTTTTTAAGAATTGTTTTGTAGTATCTAAAGTCGGATACTTGTGTAACAACCAACCCAATATATCAAATCATAAGCTTCAATTATATGAAGTTATGAACCTCTATTATTCCCTACCACTTTATACTTTTTCCCAGAAAGAAACCTATAACTAGTTTAAACTAACATTAATGTAACAATTAAACTAAATATAGTATATTATGCTTTTCATATATGTTGTTTGTGATTAGGATCACCCACGTTTCAGCCGAACTTTATTTTTTAGTTTGTGCGTATGATAATTGAAGACAATAAAAGTGATTTTGTCCGATTTCTGCTGTCCTTTAGATATGATCAGAAAGAACCAGTCCTAATTCATGAATACAGTACAATAATGTGTTTTGTACTAATATTTAATGGAAAAGAATTTGGCTGACCACTAATTACTAATATGGCGTTAATTGTTTAAGTATCATGACCCTATTTTTAATCAAAAATGACTTTTATAAATACCGACCAAGTACGATGGTTCGATCTCTGGAGAATTAACAATACCAATGCTTATAAAAAGATCGAGCGGATTTTTCGACAACAAATTCGCGGATGGGATCATCTAGGAGAAAATTTGCAAGCATCATTTGTCTCCGTATAACAAACAGATAGATAGGGTTTCTTTCGGAGTAGGTTGGCGAGAAGGAGCTTTTCCAAAGCCACTTGGCATAGAGGTCCTTAAGAAAGCATATTGATAAGAGGATCTTCCAAAAGTAAAATGAGAAAAAATCCTTCATGAGCATGTTCTCGGAGAAGAACCTCCCAAAATTTTTTTTATAGTATTTTTGTAGTATCCAAAATTGAATATTTGTGTATTATTTTTGTAAACAGACACAACATTTTAATTTTCATGATGTTTCGACTCTCAACTCAAAACTAAATAATGAATGAACTAAAATTTATTTTTATATATTTTATATTTTCTTATTTTCGATACTAAATCTTAACACGTCTTTTCGATATAATGACTATTATGAGTTCATTTGGCACTAAATCTCAATCGACGATAAACCCTCCAGCTTTTTCTTGCTATATGGTTATAAATGTTGTTGATTTTGAGTTTCAAACATGTGGTCTTTTTCAGGTTAAATAAACATGTGATATTTGATAATAACAATAAGAAACAAAATCTTCAGAAAAATACTAAGGAGATCTTCAGTGTCAATCATACACACGCGTACGAAACCTACTCAGTATATATTGACTATGATCTCTTGATACTTGATGATCAGTGAATGCTAAGAATTGCAGTAACTTGAAATAAATTGGATGGTATAAAAACTTTTTAAAATCATGGTCATTATTGATATGAGATGTTAATTAATTGAGTGTTTAAGAGGCAATATTCTATTTGCATCTAGAGTGTTATGTGCTGTCCCACGCCAATAGAATTGGATCTTTTTGGTTCAAGCCTATAGAATTGTTTATATTATTACATGTTTCAATATTCAAAGACCAAACACAGGCGAACTTATTTAATTACTCAGTCGCATCTCGCATGGACAGTTAATAGAAGAAAAATTTTGGAAAAATAAAAAAACACGATGATAAAATACAATTATTTCCACGTGAAACCGCATTAAACTAATTATATACTTGTCGCGTTAACCTATTTAAATTACAGCCTTACAGGGTGATGAAACTTGTTTAGTCGTGAATCGTTATCATTGATCATCCAAAGGAAATTGATCCGACAATGGAAACCTAAATTTGTCAATTTTCGAGTTTAAACAATTTAAACATTTTTTCTTTTTTGTCAATTTAAACATGCATGTATATAATTTGTTTAAGACAACTCAATTCATATTTTTCATAAAAATTAAATCATCTATTAAACCTAAAAAAAGGGCAACACATGTCTAAAATCTCACTTATAAACCCCCAATAAAATCATATTACAAAATATCGTTTCGGAATTAAAACCCTAGAAGAATGGAGCTCTATGTGGACTCCCTTTTCTCCTATGTCGTTTCTTCTTCACGGGTTCATCAGTCTCTTCTGAATTCTCTGTAATCTCTGAATTCTCCATCAGCTCATCAAGTTGTGACCCAAGAACGCTCCTAAACTGTCAAATTCACAATAAACAATGTTAACTTTACATAAAACAAAAAAAAAGTGTAAGAACTAAACCATAATCTACCACAAATAATATTACCTTGCATTCCATAGAACAGAACAAAGCAGAAGAAGCAGCATCAAGTTCCCATTCACAAACTTGACATTTATGCATAACATTGTTTCTAAAACGATGATTATCATTACCACGTCTCTGGTTTATATAAATAATCGGAAACCCGTTGATCGAATATATATGTATCCCTGATAAATCCATATATTTTGACATCGTCTCTTTCTTTACTCCTGTCTGGTACGAACTTCTATATGTCTGCAATTACATCAAAACCCATTAAACCATAGTTAGATATTGTTTTCAACGAATGTTTGATCTTAATTATATATAATAAAGCAAGTTTTTGAAATAGTTATAGAAAGAATGTTACTTGAATCAAAGTGTGGCCTTTGTGATCGTTCTTTTTGTAGCAAGTTGTGCAAAAAGGAGGAATCATACAATCACAACAGAAGTAACATCGCCTTTTTTGTTGTGTCTCGTGTTGATCGCAAATTGCATGGAAAAGCTTCGACTTCACCATCTCAATAATCCATGGATAACTTCTGATGCAGCTAAGAACGTCAACGGTTTGTTGCATACTTTCTAACATTATAGAATCGATGTTTGGAAGCAACTTGTGACTTTTTTTGTAATGGTCTCTTCTTCAAGTTTTCAACTTTTATAGAGCAAACAGATTTTCCGAAAAACTAGTTAGCGAATATTTCCATTTCTCTTCTCTTTTCCAAAACCGAAAAGGAAAACTTGGGTTTTTGTTGAGCTTCGTACTTTAAATCTGAAATTGGTGAGATTTATTGGGCCTATTAAGATTGGAGAAAGTCTCGGCCCATTAAGGTTTTCAAAAGGAACTGCCACCTGAAAACGTCGTCGTTTCCTTCTAACTAAATATACAAACAGAGGGCAAAAACAGAGAATTCATCATTCAAATGCAGTTGCAATGTAATAGCTTGGAATCAAAACCCATTTTGTTGTAAAGTGTGTGTATATAAAATTGGTAAATTTATTTGATATTAACAAGACATGTCTCTAGAATTGTATATAAAATGTACATTCATGTCCTATGATTATGATTCCTATCTATAACTATAAGAAGACGTTGACAGTCAATGTCAATAGTATAAAGAAGGTAAACTCCAAAAATTGAAAAGAGCTGAAGCAAGTAACAGAAACCAACACAAGAGAGCCAATGCAGCCGAGACTTGGTATTGGATACAGAGGTTACCATCACAGATTTTTCCATCGGCAGACGCAAGCAATTCGGTTGCACTAGCTACAGCACAAGCCCCACCAAGAGAAAGAAATGAAAGTACCTGTTATACAATAAACAGATCACAATAAGAAGAATGCAAATCGGTTTTTTCGCGTTTACGAAGATTAGGTAAACACTATTTTTGCATTTGCTTACGAAATCACCGGCGAAAACGATGGAAAGAACTCTTAATTCTTGAGGAAGGAGTTTCACTAAGACAGAGTATGTATCGGTCAAGGCAAGTAAAATGCTCCATGGAGTTACAATTGCCATCACAGTCGCTAAATAGCTAAACAACAGATAAGACACAGAGATCAAAATCAGTCCTTATGAATCAGTTACCATGAAACCAAAACAACCACTAACTAAACAAAACCCTATCCTCAAGAGTGACTTTTTGATTACAAACAAAAACATTGACTTGATCAAAACCCTATACTCATATTTGATCAAGCTTCAAAATTTCAACAAATTTGGTAGTGATTAAACAAACCCATATCAAAATTTCGCTCCTTTCGATGATCAGATTCATCAATTCGAATTCAGAATTCGATAGTAACCAAAGAAATTTCAAGAACCCAGAACCGAAAAATCAAAATTGAATAAGAATTTCAGAGGAATTTTACCAGAAGGTAGTGAAATCATAGAAATCGTAATCAAAGCACATGAAGATCAACGAAGCAGCTGAGAAAATGGTTTGGCCGAAACGGAGAGCGAAGCTGGCGCTAGTGCCGAACGATCCCGGCACATTCTCCATCCGATTTCAAACCTAACACTCTTCATCATCCAAAAGCAAAATTCAACTCATTTTCTCGAGAAAATATTTCTGAGAAAGAAAAAGAAAAAAAGCGAGCCAAAGGGTCTTACCTGTAACGCCAAATGGACTTGTGTGTTTCCTCTTTATTCTCTGTTTTACAAAATAAATTACTTCATAAACTAAATAATAATACCCTCAAATTTTCTTTTAAGTCTTCTTTTCTATTAAATTATTTCCTTTTTAAAAGATTTGAATATTAATGAGAATCTATTGCCAGTCAAAAGACTTTTTGCAACTTTAAGAAATTAGTTTATGATACCAAATTAATATAGGATTTTGTTTAATGTTTAGCCAGCCCTAGTTTTTGTTATGTATTTGGAAATAGATAAATAGTATAAAATTTTTGTGATTGTTTTCTCAAAAAAGTATATGTTTTCCTCGTAATAATACAAAATGCAATTATTATCAAGCAACAGATGGAAACAAACTGGCTGTTTTAGTTGTTGACTCTAATTATATAATTGGTATTTAGTCTCATGATGACTATTTTTGTTTTGTTTTTTGTGTGTGTGTGTATACTACTTACTAACTGCTAAATTTGTAATACTTTTCTATTTGCAGTTGTGTTCAATTTTTAAAATTTTAAACTAGTTGATTTTTTATGTACCTAAATTGACACTCTATGTGCTGGTTCCAATCAACTAAGGTAGTCCGACCACAAAATAATGAAACTTAAGTCAACTTTGTAATTATTATAAGAAGAAAAGGCTAAACAAATACATTATACTAAAAACATACCATCACACACCCAACTCGAATTCACCTAAATCCTATAATCATATCATTTAAATAGAGGAAAATAATTTTTTTTATAGTAAGTACTAATAAATTCCTATTTGCATGATAAATCACAACTTGTAACCAATACTTTTTTTGCTAAAGAACTTGTAACCAATACGTAACTCAATCTTCGTCCTCTCGTTCCAACTTCCAATTCATGTTCCATTTGGTACGGTTCATTAAACTTGCGTGTATGTAATTAAAGAATCATATATATAAGTAGACAGTTTTCTCTCATCTTATAAAATCCACCTAGACAAAACATGTTTTCTTTTAAACATTAAAACTTAAAAGGCTCATTTTAATCTATACATATTCATATCTAACGATACTTACAATTAATAGAAATTTAAGTTAATAATAAAACAAAAACAGTTAGGTAAAATGATGAAAATAGTAAAACACATTTGACCAAGAAAAAACAAAACCAAAAACAATAATCATTTCTAATTTTTCACATGTTTGCTAGTTTTGTTTGTTTTACAATGTTTTTCTTATGTTTTGCTTATTGTTTGCTTTTTGGTGAATTAACTATGTAATATAGACAAAAATAGGACGATTTAAAAGTAACGCAAAGTTTAAAGCAAATAATTACTAACAGTTTTTACCATTTAATTCCGAGATGTCAAAATCAAATTTTGTAAATACGTAAAACACAACGATGTGGTTAGTTCTGAGAAATTGGGTGCCACTTTGAACTCGGTGAAGAACCTTCCGATGGATGTTAAGGCATGAGCGTTCAGTTGTACTGCGACATCCTCAAGGTTCTTGTCTTCTGGGATTAAGGACTTGGAGAAACCACGGAATGGAATAGTCATGGAACTTATCATGGAACCCATGGGTATATACAGAGGGGGAAAATGAAACAGAGAAGAGAGTGATTAAAAAATGGGGTTTTTTTTTTTTTCATTTTCTTTTTGAGTTTTGTGAATAATTTGAATGATTAATGAAATGAATTGTGTGTGCCAAAAAAAAAAAAAAAATGAAATGAATTGTAAAATAAAATATCAATATTTATAATCATAACCTCACAGCGTAGCTTTTTTTACCAGATGGAAGCTTTCTACTTCTAACCAAAAAGCTTCAGCTTTTGCATTTTGTTTCACCCACGCAATTAACTAATGTAGTACTAGTGCAAATACATTGTGCAGAAACAAATTTCATATGTGTTTTTTTTTTTTAATTTCATTTCATATCGAACATCAATTAACTCCAAACCAAGTAACTAAATTTTTCTTTTTTCTTTTTTACGTTTTTTCATTTCTTTCTTGTTGTAATAACAAATAAATAAAAATAGAATACATTTTAAAGAAAATAAACCTATGTGAATTTGAAGGTGATGAAAATATATAATATATATACACAGTCGTTTTGGCTACATTAGTTGTGATAAATATCAAACTTGGGTGTACTTGCGTAGTTGCGTGTATGTAATTATAGAATTGATAAACTAAAACTTGATTTCCCAAATTATTCACTGATATATATTTTATTTATCGAGCATTAATATATATTGATAGAAAGAAGTGGTTTCAATACAATTTTACAAAAGTTACAAATGATAAAAATCACTCAATCTGACCGTACCAAACTCCTTGGATCTTCACATCTTTAGGTACCTTAGCACCCAAGTCAGTATCCGATGGCTGAAGACTCTCGAAAACTCCGATCACTTCACCTGTCTCTGGTTTGCTCTTTGTGATCTTCAAAGTAATCTCTCCGACAGAAGCTGCCGTGTTCTTGACGTTCTCCTTCGACAGCTCTTCCTCGTCTCCTCTGCCTCCGGCAGGCAAAGCTACTGCATTATCGTACCCAGTGGATCCACCACGACCCTTTGGGTCCAAGAAGGACGAGCCACGGTACGATGGAACTAAGAACTTGCCACTGAAGTTTTCGGGTTTCCCTGAAGCCTCGAGCTGCTTAACCGTGAAGAGGAACGGCACGCGTTCTCCTCCCGGAAGCTGAACTGTGACTGCTGCGTAGTCTATCCCATCTTCTTCCTTGAACTTCACGCTTCCGTCTGAACCAACCTGTCAAACGACAACAATTCAATTGACTTTGTTAATTTCTTGTGGCAGAAGCAACAACTAGAAACCAAGATTGGAATAAGTGATTGAACACAAACCTCGAAGGGTCCTTCGATCTCATCAAGTGTGTAAGTAAGACGGGTCATGAGCTTAGTGTTTTGGAAATCCGGCGGTGCATTCTTGCTGACGCTATCTGCCTTGACGGTGAAGGAAGTGGGCTCGAAGCAGAACTTCTTGCCAGTGTACTTACCAGGTTTGAACGAGAATGTCTCAGAGCCACCGTCGATAGTCGGACACTGGTTCGCCGTACCAGTCCCCTTAACCTCCATGTAAGTCTTGCTCTGTATCTCGTCGTACGTTAGCCTCTTTGGTGCTCCTTCTGCACTAGCCCCCTTCATTTCCCAAAACATAATTTAAGAATACTAAACTTTCCAAATAATCATGCAATTTAATCTACATATATTACTGTGACATAACAAAACCACTATAACACAATCTTCAGAATTTGGTTATAATTAAGTTATGATACATAGGTAAGCACTAATACAAGTCACTAAGCTATTAGCACTAGCCAACACAACTTAAGTTTGTTTCTTCAATAAACACAAGGCCTATAAATTTTGTGAGATTCATGAGTATATGAAGTTATACCGAGACAACAAGAGCAGAGGTGGCTAGAGCGAAACCGGCGATCTTGGCGGCTTCAGAGCATTTTCCGGCGAAGTCTTTCAGGTCAGAGTGGAGGGAGCAAGTGAGTCTAGCTTGTGAAGAGTCCAACCCAAAGGACTTGCCCACGGTTTGGTTTGATCGGAGATGGACATTACGAGAAGGAGAAGCGGCTATCTTCGCCGGTTGAAGAAAAGTTGCGGCGGCTTGGAGAGAAGTTGCCATGCGACAAGACTCAGATGTCAATGTTTGTTTGAGTGATAATGCGAATGTTGTGTAGTAATAATCAGAGGAGAGATTTTGTTTCGCTAAGATAAGGTCGGATAAGTTTTGAAAAATTTCCATTGGATTGTTCCAGTAGTATATGGTTGATTAGTAGCCACGTGTCTAAAGCTGATGTGGCAATAGCGATACTATCCCAATCTAAATTTGATGACGGGGTTATAACAAACAAAAAAAATCAATTCCTCTGGATTATACAAGACTATTCTCCAACAGAGTTAGATTTATGTCCAATCCCGGTTTGGAATAAACCACAGAAAGGATAACCGATTATTCGGTTTTTATGCTCTCCATATGCTTTCTCATGTAACCGGTCCCGATCGAAGATTGAACACTAATTCTCAATGTTACGATGCTTCACCTGTCTTGGTCAACTCTCAGCTTATGTTTCTTGTGGCTAACTCTTTTTTCCTTCGGCTCGAAACATATAGAGTCGACTTTAGCTAGGAAAAGGTTCGACTAATGGTGAGATTCGGTTTAATATAAAGGAATATTGTTACTTTCCTTGTTCAAGAGGAATATCGTTTTCTAAAACCACAGTATACATAATAGCAATGATACTTGGTAACATCAGCGATTCATGAGAAGGTGTCAAGTTTTATTTGATTATTTTCGAATACAGTATCGGAGTTTACAAGTTCTTTCTATCAGAAGTTGATAATCCCCTGTTGAATCCTTTATTTCCTTCAAAAAGATACAAGTTACTTTGAAGAATCAACATCTAGGGCAGAACTTCTCTAAAGATCAATTCTTCGTCTGTTAGGTTCTGTAGATTCATCTCCCGACTCTTATGAAAACATGTCAAATAGCCAGAATTCAGAGTATATCCACGTCAAGACATCAAAATAACAACTTACAAGGATTTCTACCTATGAATCCAATCCACCATATACAAGTTATTCAATTTTTTCCTAGTTTTAATAACAATCAAGCTTCGATAAGACAATCATAATTTGATAAAATAAGGAATTCAGCGTTAATATGCAACTCTGTAATTTGCGATTGGTTTATGTATAGAACTTATAAAATTATTGACTCTAAGAATTTCATGATAAGAAATAAAGAAAAGGCACTCAGAATGAGTAGGAGGTATATATTCATCATAAAATCAGATGACAATAAAACAATCCTCATCATGCCTTAATCTTCAATTTTCCAAAATCACAAATCAAATAACTTTGAAAAACATTTAGCAGAAAAATCTGATATGATTGAACACAATAAAAGGATTCCTCTCAGACAAATGCCTCGTTTGTCCCCATGATTTAATGAATGGATTTCATCGGACTCGTCATCTGTGTATTCATCACTGAGAAACCCTTTTCTTCTAAATTCGTTAATCTAAGATCAAACATAAAAACAAAAAAGAACAAATCCTAGACTAACGATATCAAATCGAAAACAGATTAAACAATAAACGAAACTCCAAAGAGAATTAAGAGAGCCAGAGATTCAAATTTGGGTTGAACTCAGAGATCGGAGAGGACTTATGATTATAAACGGCGGAGAGAGGACTATTTATAAGGAGCCAAACTAGGGCTAGGGCTTTAAGCCGCCCCCTATTTTTAGACGACATGAAGTCTAGTTATCAACTTTTAAACAGCGTGTAGTTTATTTCTTCCTATTGAAACGCCACCCATTGCGAATGTGTTTATAGTTTTAATTTTAAAAATCTTATCAGAAATAAATGTAAATGTTAGTATTCACAAAAAAAATTCTAATGAGATATCATGTAATTAAGTAGGTATCAAGAGTTTTATTCAAAAAACGTTTCTTTGAAATACGTAATAGGTAATTTTATTTTATTTTTCAAAGCTTCTATTTTTATTTTATTTACTGGTTTTAAAAGATTAACATGATCGCGACACATGTCAAGTATATCGATCAGATGTCGACACGTGTCATTTTTTTGTTTATAAAAATTTTTTTCTTTAAGAAAATAGGAAAACAAATGTTTTAGAAAATATATCTTTACTATATAAATCTTTGTTTCAAAGTTTGTAATTAACATGATTACGACATATGTCAAGTATATCTATTAGATGTTAACACATGTAAAAAAAATTAACTTTTTTTCTTTAACGAAGTAAGAAAACTAAATTAAAAAAGTAGTATCTATAATTTACATGTTTGTATCTAAAAGTTTGTTCAACTTTTATTTTTTTTTAACCAACAAAAACAAATATATATTTGCATATGCTAATTTTACGTGTGTTCTCAATTAGATTTTGACATATATCAAAAAAAAATTGATTTAGCATAGATATCAATATAAAATACATAAGTTATTTAATATTAGTTTAATTGGATACAAAATGTATTTGTTTTGTAATTATTTTTTATTTGTAAGTAAAACACACAAAAAACTTGAAAAAAATAATGAACACAAGTACATTTTTGAATAGTTAATGAAAATATTAGTATAGTTTTTTATATAGATTTTTGAATAGTTAATGTAACAGCACAAAATATTTGGAACAAAATGAGGCTATAGAAATGAACATTCGATTACTTGATTAAGACAATGTTAATGTTGGATTTCCAAATCTCTTTGTGAATTATATTTTATTTTTTAATAATTGTGATTTGTTAATTTCTAATTATTATTAATTTTAACTAAGATATAAATTTGATATTATGTATAAATTATGTTTGATATAATTTTTTCGCTCTACTCTATTAAGTGCGTAAATATTAGAATATGGTTTATTATGATGGTATAGATAGTTAAATTATATTATGATGTTCAACAAAATATATAGGTTATTACTTAGATTTCATATATTATCCATTAAAAATGACATTTATTTTCTAACCCGCGTATTTACGCGGACCCTTATATAGTAATGTATAACCCTAAATTAAAACGTTAGTAAATTAAAGGTTGCAAATAGTTGTAATTTTCCGAGTTCACCAAAACATTTCATCATTTATTCCTCTAATTTTTGTAAGCGTAACCTACGATTTCTCCTTTAATATAAGTTTGTTCCAAAAAAAAAAAACAAATCAAGGAAGCAAGCAAGTTGTGTAAGTGAACAAATTAAACATCTAAGTAAAGAAGCAAGCAATGAAGCGAAGAGTGAAGGAAGCAAAGAAAAAAGTGAGAAAACAAGTTAAGCATCTAAGCAAACAATGAAACAAGTAAAGAAGTTAAGCATGTAAAGCAAACAATGAAAAAATTAAGGAGATAGAGAGAAGGAAACATACAAACAAGTTATGCAACGAATGAAGCAATTGAGTAAACAAATATCAAAGAAGAAAATATGTAAACATGTTAACATGTTAACTTAAGCATGTAAGGAATTACAAAGAATCAAAGAGGGAAGCAAGCAAACAAGTTAAGCAAAATGAATCAAAGAGGAAAGCAAGAAACAAAACAAGCATCAAGTATACAAGTTAAGCATGTAAGCAAGTAGTAAACAAAACAAGCATCAAGTATACAAGTTAAGCATGTAAGCAAGTAGTGAAAGAAACAAGCAAGCAAGTTAAGTTATGAAATAAGCAAAGAAACAGAGAAAGCAAGTGAACAAGTATACATGTATGCAATGTGTTGTTCAAAGAGAACCTGTAATGATGTAAGTAATAAAATCAAGGAAGCAAACATGCATGAATGTAAGAAATGTGTTGTTCAAAGAGAACCTGTAATGATGTAAGTAATAAAATCAAGGAAGCAAACATGCATGAATGTAAGAAACTAAGTATACATGAATGCAATGTGTTGGGAGATTCAAGAGATCAACCTAAATCATGCTATTGAAACCAACCATAACAATATTCTCTTCGTTTCCATCTATAGCGTAATCTCTGACTTTTGTGGTACGTACCTGCTCACTCACTATAGAATTTTGGAAAGTCAGTTAGCTATAAAATATGCTACTACATAAGAACAAAAGAGACGATGACTTCAAGTTATACGAGAAAAATCGAAATACTAAACCGAAGAAAAAGATTGAAGACATACCTGGGAGAATAATTAAACTCTACCGATCGAAATGAAGGCCTTATCTTTTCTTTTGAATCGCTCCAGTTCTTGTGTTCTCTCTGTAACTACATATGCCTAGTTTTCAGGGATTACAAACGAACAAAAGGACACACCAGTACAGACATTACGAATACGAAAAATTGAATAAACGAATAACATAATTGTAATACAGAAATTTTAAGATAAATAAGATGACAACTTACAAGTGGTATGTAGAGGCATAGCAGCGCGACTCATGGCCAGCTTATTATTGATCGTATAATTTAGAGATGCAAGGTCCTCAAACGATTCTTGCTTTGGCACTGCTTACATGTTCAAGAAAGTGAATGTACAAACTCATAAACATCTGTTTAATTAGCTCGATTTCCCTCTCTGTTTATTTGGGTTAAGAAGAGTTTAAATAATAGTAGTACCTTATTTGATGACAAATTGACAACTCTCTTCTCTTGTTCTATTTTTGCAAGCTTATTCACTGTGGAAACACACATATATTAACTAAACTCGAGACGCGGAATGTGAACAAGGGCATTAAATTTACCTGAAAGCAAAGGACATTAATCTGTTCAAGTCCATGTGCTACCTAAATGATTAGAAACAAGTTTTACCAAGATTGTAGTGGAATTATATACCTGAAACTGCATATGTTCTGATCATGAACTTAATGAAAATTCTCTTCTCTTGTTCTATTTTTCAAGCTTCTTCCCTGTTGAATTACACATTTAGTAATTAAATACAAAATACGAATGACCAGATCATATTAGAAAGAAGAGTATTATATTTAAATACCTTGATGCATTCATGTTTCTCATAGTAAAACCACGTCATTCTCTACTGCTAAATGTGGTATTGATCCCCACTACCTTCAAGGAAATCCATTAGAAACAACAGAAGTTCATCATCACATTTATCACAGAGATTTTTTACTTGGTGCAGGAGAAACAAACATAAATTTCTGAGAAAGATCAAGTTGCAACCTGGAGTTGAAATTTGTTCCAAGGGAAATAGATGCAAGGAAGCAGAACCCATTTCATAGATATTCTTCTCTTGGAGACTTTGTCTTTCACAGTGAGAGGGTGAAAGAGATCGGAGATAACTGGACCTTCCAAAATCATATTTCGCAGACAAAAATGAATATCAAGTCAATTCTCACTTTTGCAGTTTTAAGGGAAAACATTATTTGTGTGAAAAAAAATTTTTTGATGGCAAACACTTAAAAAAAGCATGATCAGTCTTACTTACCAGTTTAACCACGACCCCATAACATCTCCAATTATCAGAACGGTGCTAGTGAAGTCACAAGGGCAAGGGCTCCTTTCTTTTTCCAAAATTTAATAAATCACAACCGTCAATTTCTTTCACACTGAAACAGTGCTAAATATTTATGTCTCTACCACAATTGAGCCAAATAATGCACTGTAAAGTGAGACACTGGTCTTAAAAGTGGTCTCATGAGGGGTTTATTGGCTTACTTAGTTGCTCATATCGCATATAGAGACTCTCCTTGTCCTCCTCAACCTCGGAAATAGTGTCTGCCAAGCAGAAACACATGTTCATTAGTTTTAGTAATATCCCACTTAGCTAATGAAAGAAAACTTTAATTAAACACCAAACACACTACTTACTGATCTTAAGAGTGAGAGGACACTAAACCAAAGGGAAACTGAAATTTTACCTTTTAAACCTTGTAGATGATCAGCTTTGTCTTTCATGAATTTGTGATGAAGCTCCTCAAACATGGCAGCTTCATCCTTCAAGATATTCACACACTGCAAAATATGGATCACGTCAGCTCCTTGAACCTTTCTGAAGACTGAAAAGTTAACTATCATCTTAGGATCCTTTGTTCAGACCTTCTTTTAACTTTTTGGAAATACTTGGGCCAATTTTTGTCTGCAGTTTATAAGTCAAGGACAGAATTAATCAGCACGGTTGATTTTACCTAAGTGTACACAGTGCCAAAAAGATATACAGGATTTTAAGATTCAGCTATCAAACTAACTAAACTTACAGAGAACCATGGAGTTTATTTAATCTTCTTCTGGAACAAAAGCAGGAATATGGTCACACTCGTTGGATGATTTTCTGTTTCTGGAACAATAAATGACAAAATTATCTGTCTAGATACCAAAATTAATGATAGAAATCAACTGAGTGATTCAGAGGAACAAAAGACAGAATATCTATATCAAACGAGTTTCATATCTAGAATACCTTTGTCTAGGTCGGTTGGTCTGACTTTATATTAATCCAAGCAGAGTTAAAACATTTATACCTTATCTGATTTGGTACAGAAACTATGACATCGCATCAAACGGTATTCAAACCTTGTGACAGAGAATCCATCAGGCAGTTCAGAAGAAGGTTGCAAGTAAACCTTGTATCAGGGTCTCACTCAAACCCTGACAATTAAAACCAACAAATAAAATATTAGAGAGAATAATGATCATAGAACTTGACCAGCGACATTTATTCCACATATGTCTTTCCAGTAAGTTATTTGATAACAGTTATTCCACATACATTAATGACCCCAAGGAATTTTTCTTGACAGACGCTCAATGAACTATGTAAGCAAATGCATATTTTAATGGAAGATAAAATGAGACAGTTACTGAGGATAGAAAATAAGGAAGCAAACAAGCACACAATGAAATAAGAGAGCAAACAAGTAAGCAAGGAATCAAGGAAGCAAGCAAGGACACAAGGAAGGAAGCAAACAAGCACACACAATGAAGTAAAACAAACCAAGGAAACTAGAAATTAAGCAAGCAAGTCATGAAAATAAGGAAGCAAACAAGCACACAATGAAGTTAAAAACAAACCAAGGAAACTGGAAATTAAGCAAGCAAGTCATGAAGGCAGAAAAACAAGTAAGCAAAGAATCGGACAAAGAATCAAGGAAGCAAAGAAGTAAACAACGAATCAAAGAAACAGAGAAGCAATTATGAATGTGCACAAGGAAGTATGCAAGTATACATATGTGTGTATGCATAGATGAATGTATGTATGCTATGTATGTATGCATGTATGAATGTAAGTATGCACAAGTACATAAGCAAAGAATCAAAGAAGAAAAATAAGGAAACAAGTAAGTACAAAAGTAAATGACGAACCAAGGAATGGAGACAGAAAATGAGGAAGCAAGTAAGTTAACATATAAATCATACAAAGAATCATGTATGTATGTGTGCATGTATGTCAATGCATTCGTTAAGTGAACAACCCACATAAAAATCCTGAAATTTGCTGCTGCAAAAGAAAAGTGAAAGAACATCAAATTCTAAGAGCAAAATCAAAAGAACAAAACACCAAACCGGAGGCACAAAACCACTTATCTTCGATTTCCACTTCACCAGTCACCACCACCGCACCTCTGTGACCTCCGTAACAACCTTTCTCTCGGCGTCCACCACCACCGCCGCATCCAAATGAATAGCCTCCGTTGTATGACTTTTGTATCATCCACCGTATGCACCACCGCTTCATCGTTCACGGTGATGCTACTAAGGCCATCGAGCATTTTCCCATCCATCTATTCATTAACATCCCTCACTGATTTCTCGTCTTTGAAAGTCTCGAATCCTAGTCGCGATCGTTAATGATCTGTCAAATCAAACAAATCGCAAATCAGAAAAAAAACTATCGGAGAAGGTATTGAAAGCGATAAAATCACAAAATCACTCGACCCAGACTCATAAAATTCAAGAAGATTAACGAACCAAATGGGATAAATTAAAGTAATAGTAATCGAATCAAGTAACAGAGAAACACAAATCGGAAACAGATTCATCGGAATCGGCTCGACTGAATCTGGAATTTGGGAGTCAGAGATCGCTTGTGTAACTGACCTTTGTTAATCGATTAACCTAGCCGAACTCAGAGAATGCCCTTCCTAGATCATCATCGCCAGTGACCCAAGCAACGCTGCCGCAAAACCACCGGTTTTAAACTTCGGCGGACATTTTTCGAAAATGAGAATTTGGGGTTTTCTAAATATGAGAGCTATTAGCGAGAGACTTGTAGTAGACGCATTTCTTCTTTTAACGTCTTTTTAATTTCCGTTGCTCTACGACTCCAATTTTAAGTCGGTTATATAAGAAACATTCAAATTTCAAAAGTTGAAAAGACCGCCCATTTCGAAAATGAAAACTCAAATTTCATCTTTGTTATTAACGTTACGTCGCAATTGTGATGTGCAAAAAGTTTGGTTTAGTTAAGACCTGAAATCTTTTTGGTTAAAGCTTAACCAAGATGTAACCACCGTGATCAAATTTAGATTGGTTTGGTTAAAAATGTGATCTTAGTCTAGTCTAGTTATTAAACAGCGTGTCGTTCAATCTCTTATTGCAATAACAAAAACGACAAACATTCCACGACTGCATATACGAAACAGAATCCATAAGCAATTTACATAGAAGCATATTTTCAGAACTTTTTTCTTACAGTAAACAAACAAATAGTTGAAAAATGAGATTCTTTTATATATAGAACATTGATTGAGCTTGAGGCAGTATTTGGGTATGCAACATAATCAGAAGAAAGGAACACCATAGATTCTTGCTCTGCTCTCGATGTTTCACGCAATTTATTGGAGCAGCCGAGCAAGAAACAACTTGGAGAATGGAATAGGAATGTGGATTATATGACACGGACGATTAGAGCCCAAACAGGGTAGACCAAAAGAAGGATGATCCCTAAAGTGTTTGACACTCCACGGGGCTGTGTGAATGAATTCCTGAACCCACCCGATGCTCGGATATGTTCTTGAAGAAGGTAACAGCCAATGAAAAGGCTGATTACAGTGCCAATCCAGGTTCCACGTATATGGTGAGCTAGGAAGTGTGGAGAAACTACCAGCAGAAGGATTAGAGAACCCGGCATCTCAAGCCAATCTGCCCATGTTGACAACCACAACAACAAAAGTGTGAGACTTGAAATTTATTTCAGCAATTACAGTGACTTGAATTTAAGTATGCCTCAAAGCGTATTCGTTAAAGACATCTTCAGCGATTGTATGACAACAATACAAAGATACAAATCAAGAAGGCCCACAACAAGAAAGATATGAAGATGTCATCACCTGGGAAATGCTTAGGGAAGAAAAGTCTGAGTACAACTGCAACGAAAGCAATCCATTTCCCAACTTCTCCACTGATAACAAAAAGGGAAACTTTCACTTTAACCAGTTTAAAGAATGTATTGTGAAATAGGAAGATTTCTTTTGATAAGAAAAGAAAGAGTGTTACCTGAGAAAGTTAAAAATGACACTAGGAAGGCTAAGGAAGATGTATGGTATTAAAAGTGATGTAAGCATATTGGTTTTCCAATTGGTACGATCCAATATTAACAAGTAGCTGCATCAAAATACCAAAACCAAAACGTTAAGGAAACCATGAATGACCAGAAAAGTTCTATAAATTGCAGCAGAAGTAACGCCCATTTCATGTTTGTGGTCACTGATCAATTTCAACCAATCAGAGATACTAGATACAGTAGGATTACTGCAAATGTCCACAAGTTAACAGAAATAAACAGAAATTAAGCCTAAATTAATCACTTTTAAATTCTGCTAACAGTAGGATTGAATTTTTGTTGGATTACTATGTCAATAACAACAGAGTAAAAATCAGTTGATAATGATCAATCAGAGATTCACTTGCATAATAATCATCAATATCCGATCTCGAATTTTTTCGCAGTTTCAATTGACCCCAAAATCATTTTCTACGAATTTCAACATGTACGAGTCACAAAAATTACCAATTCGTCGAATTATAGAAAAGCCCACAAGAAAATCAAATCAAATCAAATCGACGAGAAGCAAAAACAGAGATGGAGTTTTGAAAAACTCACATGGCAGCGAAAGAAGCGATGAATTTGAGAAAAGAAACACCGAAACCTAATCCACCAAGCTTCGAAACATCGCTAAATAGTTTCTTCGCAGCGACCTTGAGCTCTTCCATGTCGGAATTGACTAACGCCGCCACCGTATCGACGTCGTCGGTCTTCATCGCTAGATAATCCACACGTCCCATAATTTTCCTTCTTTCCTCAGAGACTCTAAGCAATTCGATCTTCGTTCGAAGATTTTTTTTTTTCTTATAATTCTCTTCCAGCTGTATCCAGAATCTAGATCGTCTTCTCACACTTCTGCTTTTCTTCCAAATTGAGTTTTTTTTTTTTCCTCTTCAATCGTTCCTGGTTTATCGCCGCAAACCGATTGTGATTAGTGACGTGTCGTTATCTGATTGAATGTTGGAGTATGGTAGAGAACATTAAACCGCCACGTGGCAAAACAATTATTCGGTTGACCAATTCCTTTGAATTTTTTTTTTTTTTCCTTTGAATTTGCGCGTTATTTAAGGCATCATCTTAAAATTGTTTTGTTCTTTTAGACAACCTCAATTATTTCAGATAATCGGAAAAAAATGCAAATAAATAATTTAACTAAAAAACAAAAATCGGTGTTTATATTACAAGATTAGATTATTATAAAAATGTTTGATTTTGTCCTACTACCAATAATGATGGGCCTGATTGGTTCCGGCTGTAGATTTAGATTTTTGACTGTAGATTTTAGGCTGTAGATGTTTTGGCTGTGACTGTAGATTTTAGTGCTGTAGTATTTTTGCTGTAGCATTTAAAATTTTGGAAAGTAGAAAATTATATGCTTTAGAAAAAAAGGCTTTCTACAGCAAAAAAAAATTAATTATGGAAATATTTTGGCTGTGAGAAAAAAAAGGAAAGTCAAAGCTTTAGTTCTAAAGCTTGATTGGATCTATTTCAATGCTTTAGAAATTTTTTTGCTTTGTAAAGACTCTAAAGCACCAACCAATCAGGGCCGATGTTATTTATTTCCATCGGAAGAATATAATTAAACTATGTAATACTAACAATGAACAATGTAGTTTTGTTCTACCAGAAATTAAAACACACTACTCTACTTGCGCCACTTTAAAACATCTTACAAATTTACATTCATAATTTGCAAGTTTTTTTTTTTTTTTTTTTTTTTTGACTGCTATAATTTGCCGTCAAAAAAAAAAAAGAATAGCTAACCCATACATGGTGTAAAACTGTAAACAGTATAAAGTATTGTGAACAACTTGTTGTTCAGAACAAGTAATGCGTTTACAGTTTCATTCAATCGAAAGTATCAATCTTTTCTTAAGATATATAGATGAAGAAAAAAAAATCAAGAAGCACAAGATTTTGATTTGTGTACTAGCTAAGAAAACGTCGTGATCTTCCATCGACCATCGTTGCCTCGTGCGAATCACAAACCTGAGTCGTAAATTTACATCCGAACTTCTTACCGATTGACCACTTACTCTGCCCATCGTTCCCCTTCAAACTTTCTTTGTCGATCTTAGCGATCACTTTCTTCAAGTACAAGCATTCTTTCTCTAGCTGGTTCACTCGTGTCCTCATCGTATCCATATCCAAACGAAGCACCTGATTCTCCTTCTCCGTATCCTTCCATCTCCCCAAGTCCACCACGGTTTCATCACCGTCTTCCTCCGTCAGTAACGTCCCGGTGATTACTTGCCGGAGCTGTAACTGCTCCAAAAACAGAACTTGTACGACGGCTCGTAGTGGTAAACGCTCGTTTTGTGCCGCGTGTATGCATCCTTCAACAGTCAGTTTTCGGCAATCCATTACACTACATATCTTCTCCTTCTCTGCCTCCAATATCCATGGATGCGTCTATAAAAAACAAAAATCAGAATTCAAACATTAGGTGCTGTGGTGTAGTGGTTATCACGTTTGCCTTACACGCAAAAGGTCTCCAGTTCGATCCTGGGCAGCACCAAAGTTATAAAACATTTTTAAAATTTTATTATCCAATCACTCACCTTGAAATATATATCGACGGCTCTGTAAAGTCCATCATCGTAAACCCGTGCTTGAACCGGAAGCAAAACCGCCAGATTATAAAACTTTTCCGGTTTAAGATTAACGTCCGATGCAATTTCACCAAGAACTCCGTCGATAAGTTTCCCAACCACCGTCAATGACAAAGACGACACGGCGGCGTTTTCAAGAAAACGGCCTAAGAGTCTCTCCACCAAATCAACATCGTATAACGTTTCGTTGAGATACGAGTAACTTGGAATTAGAAGATCATCAAGCGTAGCTTTCTCAAGATTCGAACCAATTTTCTTCTCCAGAAACTTCCTGCAATTCTCGGAGGCGTTGAGGATGATCGCTGATCGTAACAAACCGAAGAGAGATCTCGTCGTCGTTGTAGTTAATGGAAGATCTGAGATTATAGTCTCTAACAATTCTCTCTGTTGATTCTCGGAAGCTATGGTGGAGGAGGAAGATGAAGATGAAGATGATGATGATGATGAACGCGAGATTCCTGGAATGTGTTTCTTCGCGTAAGTAAGTAGAGATCTTTCTACGATCTCTGGACTCAGATCTCTCGATTTCATGGCTAAGATCACACGTCTGAAGATCGGAAAACTCAATTCCGTTAAATCTTCAAACCAAAGCTCTGTTTTCGAATCTTTGCTCTGTTTCTTCCGATCAACGGCGAAAATACCTCCGTTGTTTATTGGCCAACCGTAAAACGACGACGGATCGGTTAAGGAAGCTTTTGAGACGATGGAGTCTATACACTGTTCCGTTAAACCGAGAGATTCAGCCAAAGACGAGACTGATTCGCAAGCTTTCAAAGCTTTAATGGATTCTCGTACGTTAGTGAAGACAAACTCTGAGAGAAACCTCTCTGTTTTTGAAATGAGATTCTCCGGTGAGTACTCTTCTGTCATTTCGAGATACTCGGCGGCGCAACGTAGTGGAACAGCTGTGGAAACAGAGATGTCGACTTTGAAACCGTAGCTTATCTTTATCACCATCTCGAAAATCTCTGAACCTCCCGGAAAATTCTCGAGCTTGATGTGAGGATAAACTTTACTCTGTTCTAATCTCTGTTCTTGCTCTGTTATTAGTTGGTGAAGTTTTTTGCTTTTTGACATTAGAGGAAACTGAAAGAAAGAACACAAAACATATCAGTTTTAGTTTTTTAAGATAACTCTTAAAAAAAATAAAACAGAGAAACAGATGATGAATCTTGAGACCTTATGAAGATGAAATGTTATATCATCAACTTCGATTTCTATATCACTTGGTAAGCCTGTAGTATAAAAAAACCTACACAAGAGATAACGATTTAATAAGTATTTGAATATGAAAACATTACTATTGAAAAAAAATGAGTGTTTTGTTCTCCTTCACCATGCTTGCTTCTTGGAGTTAGCCATTGGAGGAAAATAGAAAATCAAAGAAAAATGAAAGCAAAATCTCTCGATGGAAGTGGAAGCAATCGGGAAATGGTTATATTCGGGTTTTTGAGAAAAGTGAATCGAGTTTTTTGATCAATTCTTTAGCTTAATATTAAATATTTCTGTCTTTTGCTTTTTATAAAAGGAATTGATTGTTTAATATTTGGATGCAGAACAGCCAGAATCTCAAGAAATTGGGCATTGAAAAGAGGCAAAGTCGCACTCATTTGTTAATAAACTCCCTCCAAATTTTGCTTTCTAAACTTCTATTTGTGAATGCATAATGATTCTAACTAATCTTTGGTTAGAATATTAAAATCTTCAACCAATTATGGTTTTAATGCGGATAACAAAGATACGGTGGCCCAAAATTTATTATTTTTTTCTATGTATATATAATGATGATTTAAAATGCCTCAATCATGCTTTGAAAATTCGTTGGGACATAACAATAATATCATTTAAGATATATGAAGGTATCAAAATCAATCATGCTTTAAAGTCATTCATTTCTTCTTCTTTCTATCAACCCTTTTTTGAGTTATCTCTATGCATGCTTCAATTTGTGTGAAAATTCATTTGAGAGAGTTAACCTTACAAATGTTGAGCTCATTCGTTAGATGATAAAGAATTACACTAACCACTGGTTAAATCAAACTAACTCGTTGATTTAATCAAGACATTGCTACATAAACAAACTGCCAACTGAATGTTTTTACCCCAACCACCAAAGTAGCCTCGGTGATACAAAACAAAATCTACATGACCAGGACAGGGATATGTATGATTAATGCAGAGACAAGACATTGATATTTATGTCAGAATATAAAATCTATGGTCGAAAGAGTTTGCCTTGTACATTGCCTGTTTTTAACAGCTTTACAAAGAAGTTTGCATAACATCAACATTGGTCCATTGTTGACCACATTATCTTGGCATTAGTAGTTTTTAATTGCAGAAGAAGAAGAACATATAGTATACTAACTCGTTCATAAGATTTAATAAGACATTGCTACAGAAACAAACGGTCAACTGAATGTTTTACCCAACTACCAAAGTAGCCTCCAATGATATAAACAAAAATCTACGATTACAGAGATCTGTGTGATTAATGCAGACATGACACTGATATTTATCTCAGCATCTAAAATCTTTGGTTATAATGTGTACATTGCCCTGTTTTAAACAACTTTTTAAAGAAGTCTGCAGAACATCAAGATTGGTCCATTGTTGACAAACACTATGGACTAGATTCATATGTAAGGTTACAAGTATATGACAGATAAACATGGCTTTTCTATAGTGTCATGTAAAGCCACCCGATAGAGCTGATTTATATCTTACAAACTCTTATCCATCCTCAAAACTGTAATTAAAAGTCAAGCACACCGAAAAAATACACTGGTTCCATCACCTGATCAAACCATCTATCGCAATTTCTTTTCTAGTTGAGCTGGTAACTTCAAACTGCAGTTACCTCGACAAAAGGTTCTGTATCATTATTGAGTAGTATACAACATTCGAACTCCGTAAAATGTGTATTCTGAGATTAAAGAGGGCTCTCTAAGACATTATAGAACCCAGGATATGAAGCATGTACAAGAGACTAGAAGTAAATGATCTGATCATATCTCATCGGAGTAGATACATTCATCCACGAGCTGACGGAGATTAGGATTCTCCAATGCAGCCGCCACCCTTTCTTTATCATTCAGTTGTTTATTCACTGCAATATAAAGATGATCCCAATGAGTTCCAAAGTTCAGAGCAAAAGACATCAACTTTTCCCCAATACAAAGATAGAAAACCAGATTTCGCAGTGATGTTAGATTAGAAGCTGAAATCTATCAAACCAAGGACAAGAGCAAAGTTTATAATTTCCATATATCATCCATTTTATTTGCAAGCTCAACCATTGTGAAGAGAAGGTCTAGTAACATAAGACTTCCTCACCTGAAACTTCATCAGCGTGAGAGCCAGGTGACACTCTGATATCAACCTAAACATAAGTAAAACAAAACAGAAGCAATCACACATATGTAACTAGTGATCTTTGAGAATTTGTCTTAATCAGAAAAGAGTTTTTTAAAAGAAAAGATGACCTTGTAATGAAGTGGCAAACATTCTTTAAGCTTAGCTCTCAAACACAGACCAATTATATTTGCCATACTACAATGCTGAATCGTCGGTGTAAACATTATCCTGTGTTCATCACATGACCCAAACCAGCTTATTGTTAAAGATCATGTAAGTAAACACAAAAAAAGGCCTCAACATTTGTTACCAATACCGATATAAAAATTGAAACTTTCCTCTTATAGTCTCTAAAAATCAATGGAACAATGAATATTCAACAAAGAATGAAGTTTGATATTAACTCACAGGATGCGATCAAGCTTGTCATCGACAGTAACAGATTCTTCAGAGAGAACACTTAGCTGCTCCAAAGTATAAGGATGTTCTGGATCCCTTATATCTCTTACATACTTTGTCCATTTCCGTCAAAGATTCCAAAAATATACATTAAACCCCCAAAAAAAGAGCAAAATCCAAAACACATAGCAGAAACAAAATTGATCTAATTAAACCAAACTCAAAATAGAAAAAGGATATCATAGATTTCAAGAGGATCAACACCATCATCTCTATATTGATCTTCTCTACGAACAAGCCGTTCCTTCTTAGCTTGCACAACTGGATTCGCGTTTATCAGTCCCAGAGTCATTTTCTTCTTTCCTCAACCTTCCTTCTCTGTTTAGACACGACCTAATTGATTGATTAGTAGTGAGTGCTCTCTGCTTACAAAGGTCACGGGTTCGAAGCTCCATTATGGATAAAGTGGACATGTTAAAATGTTTCTCATAAAGTGTTTCTTATGAGTTATGATTGGCTCACAAAGTCTTCCATTTCCATTATTTAACAAAGAAACAATTTTCATTTATACATTTGACAAAATCTTCTTAAAGGTTTGATTTTTCGGTGCAAAACGGTAAACTACAACTCCAATTCTAGAACCTTCTTGAGGATCATCACAATGTATAACATCAACATCGAAGAATCTCCGAGCTTTCTTGAAAAAAATTGATTCTTTCTTCCATCTTTTGAGGTGAGACATAAGAAACACTCTCTTGGATCCTTCTAAGAGCAAAAAACGCAGCGTTTTGAGGAGAGGTTCATAAAGATGCTCGTGGTAAACCACGTCAGACGCTAAAATCAAGTCAACGTTTTGAACCAAAACCTCCACGTCATTGATTTCACCCCAACGAAGAGACGCCACGTGGACTTTCCCACCGAGCTTAGCCACGACTTCAGCGTTCGCGTCGGCGTTGAATTTGAGATTCTCGATTACGTTTGGGAGATCCGTCACCGTGACATTAGCACCTAACGTCGCAGCCGCCGCGATTCCGACGATTCCAGTTCCAGATCCGAGCTCGACGATGTTAATCGGAGAAGAAGAATCTGAACCGTCGGATTGAAAACTCGAGAAGGTGCGAGTGAGTGGGCTGGTGTTTGGGTCACGACGGTAGTTATCGAGAAGTGTGACGAGAGTTGTTGCAGGTAACCAAAGCTTGAAGGCGATACCTTGTGACGGTAATTGACGAATCACAACCGTTGATTCGATCGAATTGATCCGGTACATCTGAAACTCCGACTCACCGGAGGAGATAATCTCACTGGCCTCTTCGTTTTCTCCAATTTGAAGCAGCCCCATTTTCGTGAGGTTAACATCGTCGTCCTCTTCTCGGAGAGCCATTGATTTGACCAATCTTCACGACGGCGCCGCTTATATTTTAGTAGGTCACTCAAATTTGATTACACGTGGAGGTTTCTTATTGGTAATGACATCATCAAATGTAAATTGAAGAACCTCTAAGTTAGACAGAGGGTTACAGGTAGTGTATGTGAGATCGGAAGTTTGAGAGTTCGTCAGCGAGAGAGACGGAGAAAGAGAGAGGTGAAGAAAGATGATAAAGGCAGTGATGATGTTGAATACACAAGGCAAACCACGGCTAGCTAAATTCTACGATTACATGGTATGCGATGCGATGCTTGTTGAGATATGTTATCAATTTTGGTTTCTTCGATCAATTTATTGACCAATTTTCTCAAATTTGGTTTTTGATATTGGGAATTTTGGTTTATAGCCTGTAGAGAAGCAGCAGGAGCTAATCCGCGGCGTGTTTTCAGGTGATCAATTACTTTATGCATCTTACGATACCTAACAATTTCGTAATCCGTATTTCTAAGATCTGGGTCGATCACTGGAATCTTACGATTGTTAGAGGCTGATTTTGTAATGACTTAACAGTATTGTGCAGTAGACCTGAGAACGTAAGCAATTTTCTGGAGATCGATTCATTGTTTGGCCCGGTAATGGCTTCTTCATTGTTTGTGCTTAGTTTCTCATTAAAAAACGTTATTTTGGTGACTTATTATAGCTTACTATGTTTTGCAGGATTCTCGGCTTGTATACAAGCACTATGCTACACTCTATTTTGTGCTAGTATTTGATGGTTCAGAAAATGAGCTTGCTATGCTTGATCTCATTCAAGGTGCGCTTTTTTCTATAATCCGTTGATCTCTCAATAGATTCCAGTATAACTTGATGTAAAACCTTTTTCCATTTCAATTTGCGTGTTTTGGAATGATATTTGTAACCTTGTTTTGAATATCTTGAGCCATTGGCTTGATAATATAGAAAGATAGAATTTGGAATCAGAGTCCTGAGTAGTAAACTTGTACAAATGTATAAGAGTAGTGTGCCAGTTCAGTTGGTCTGTATAGGATGTATTTAAAATAGATCTGGGTGTTGAGTATTTTTGGATTGGTATTGGGTTGAGTACACTGGCTTGAGTCGACTTAGCCTGTCACAGAGTGTTTTTAAATATCAATCATTGTCTATTCGTCTGCTCGTTGATTCTTTCTGCTTAAAGCTTTGCAAAAGGTATCTTTCATTGTATGATGATCTAAAGTCAGTTTCTTGCATTGGCAGTTCTTGTTGAAACACTTGACAAATGCTTCAGCAATGTCTGCGAACTCGACATTGTGTTCAATTACAGCAAGGTTGGTATTACAAAGAATAGTTCGTCCCATAAGATACTTGATATTATATTCAAAAGCTGCTGCTGCTGCAGATTGGTTTGATCACTTTAGATAACTACATGAAACAAAAGCGTGATAACAATAGCTTTTTTTATGTCTTCTTCTTTAATCTTTATTTCATTCGCATGTTTGCAGATGCACGCGGTGTTAGACGAAATTGTATTTGGAGGACAGGTATTGGAAACTAGTTCCGCCGAAGTCATGAAGGCTGTTGAAGAAATATCAAAGTAGTTCTCTCCTCCTTCTCTCTTAATCTCCCTCCTGTATTCTGCATTTGTGGTGTGGAAATAAACAGTTGCAATTTCGGGCATTGTGCAGGTTAGAAGCTGCCTCAAATTCGATTTCACTTGTCCCCAAGTCTGTTTCCGGGTGGCGTGGCCGTTAGCTTGGAAAAAACTTGCCTGAACCGAGAAAGATAACAAGAAGTCAACAAAACATGTAACAAAAGTTTATCCAAGTCTTGATCCAAACATGTTTGTTTAGTGAGCGTGAAATGTTGCGTGGATGGGCTCAGTGGTCTAACATGGGCCTGAGAATTGTAATTGGGAGAAGGGAACTACTACATGCTATTTGAGAATGTAACAAAAACGACGAGAAGTTAAGATCTATAAACGTGAAATGATGTCCAAAACCAGATTATGTTGTGGGGTAATAAAGCTAGAATAGAAAGTATAGGGAGCTACAAGGTAAAATATAGGAAGTACGAAAACGACGAACGGCGTGCGTTGTGAAAAGAGTCAAAACGGAATTCGATGGGAGAAGACTGAAGATTCGAAAATGTTTGAAGTGCCAATTCATATCCAATTATCATTTTACCTTTTGAAATTCTTATGATCCATCTCTGTGTTTTCCAGTACCAGCTTTTTGACCTTTTTAGTACCCAATAGATTGATAGATACCAATGTGGGGTTTATGTGATTTGAAAGTTTCTAGTGGCTATTGGCTAACCAATTGTAAATATACACGTTTCATTGCTCTTTTTTTAAACATCATCAATAGATTGAAATAGATTAGTTGTTTACATAGTAGAGATTATACGAATATACGATGAATTATGAATAGATAATATGAGGATAATACGAATACGAAACATCTAAGTTAATTGTTTGGCCATTTTGAGAGTGGATATTGAATCTTTGAAGTTTAAAGTAATTATAATAAAAATTTCTATTTAGAGAAAATCGACGATTATCCGAATTAAGATGGAATGTTTCCCTCTTTATACTCCAAAAGCTATTGGGCTACAAGAACAAGAAAAAAGTTGGAAATGTTGTGTTGTGTTGAAGACAAAAGAATATAAGTGGAAGATTCAAAGTGGAGTGATTTAATTGGGAAACGTTAAGAGCGAAACACATATATAAAGAAAGAAACTTGTTGGATAAAGATGATACAACAAATCCAATATACATTTGTGCCCTAGAAGAATTGGTCAAGCTAGCAAAGATGTACCATGGACCAAAGTGACCACCTTTGATCATATTTATATGTGCATATCTTATGTTTTTTTGTATATCATGATTGATACCTCTCCCAATCTTGGGGCATTCCTCTAGTTGGTCCAACAATTTTTCTTTTTCCACTTTTGCCCTTTTCACTTACGTTGGACCACTCCCACATTTGTTTCTCTTTTTTTTTTTTTTTTTGCCTCTTCCTATATTTATCTCCTTTGATTTATGTGATTAATTCATCCATTACATAAATTATTAAACCAATGAAAATGTGTATTACCCCTGAGATTTTCAAATATAACAGTTTATTATTAGAGTAAAGTTCATACAAAAACCAAAATCGTTATATTTGATCAATCGTGATTTTATTTTTAAGCAAAACTGGAGCTACCACCTATATTACACAGTCAAACCATATATATACTAGTTGACCGAATACAAATGACTGTAGCTAAAGTCTTTTAGAAATATACAGAACAGTTCATAACATAAATCTTTAGGAAATGTGAAGAGACGCTTTCGAGGGGACAACATGAAGTTACATGAACCATAGACAAAAAAAATCTGGTCTTAACATATGACAGCTGGAGTTTGTACTCTTATAGTATTTATAATCTACTAATATACTTAAAACTGTTTAACGAAAAATCACGGGGCTAATTTGAAAGAAAAATCATAAGTAACCGAGGAACACGTTTTATATTGTGCAAATAGACTTCTAAAAATCCTATGGCAACACTAAAAAAAAAACAACCAGATATAATATTTTTTTGATAAAATACAATCAAATAATTGTATCATTTATTTGCAAACATCTTAAATAATAGGGGATCATTGTAAATGACAACTATAGTATTGTGTATAATAATTCTAAATTGGTGTGTATATTGTCACACTATATTTAGTGTGTATAATAATTTAAAAGCAGAAAGCATTCTTAGTTAGCCCCTATAATGATTTTACATTTTTTAAGAAGGCATACCATACAAACAGAATTTTCAAAAAAAAATTGAAAAAATAAAGAGAAAGCAGAATCCATCAAAAGGGCAGAGATGAGAAAACATTCCAGTCGTGTTTTGTAACTTTTGAGGAATGTCCCGAATTTTTAATTAATGTGACCAAGACGACTCCTAAACCAACACACATACTATATTCTATTAGCAGTAGTTTTTAATAATATATTTAAACAGTTAAAAATAAATTAATTGTTGTTTAATGACATATCATTAGATCGCTTTAACATGCATGCATGCGGAGAATTAAATCTCGCGGCTTCTGTCCACGTGGCGACCCTGATTAACGACAAACGGATTAATTCAAGTAATCGTCGTCACCAAAAACACGATCTCTGTCTTGGAACTCGCGATACTTTTTTGGGGAACGTTGTGGTTCCCACCGAATCCACCGAAGCCAACATCATCATCATTTGCATTTGCATCATCTATCAAACATCGTGTAGTTTTATTGCTCTCGTTCTGGACTACGAGCCGGTCTTCTTTTTGTTTTGCGTATAGCCGTTTGGTTTTTCCTTTTTGGACTAGTAAATACTCTTTTCCACACAAACGTCAAGATACTTATTTTTGAGTATATATACATCTAATTATTTGCATACACTATGAACTAGTTAGTTTTCTTGTTGTCAAATTATTTAAATATGTTTATAAAAAATAGATATAGAAATGTACTCGTCGAAAATGACATTTTAAGATTGTTAATTCTCTCAGAAAAAAAATAATTTTACTTCAAGATTTATATATTGGGTATTGGCAATTACATGGTTATATATTGCCGATAAGAATTGCCATGATCTCCATGCTTGTTTTTCTCTTGCAACCGGTTAGACAAACCATACAAAATTGTACTCCTTAGATAAAGAAATACTATAGTTATGGAGTTTCTTTTCATCCATAATATTTAATATCAAAGTTTGTGTTATAAAAAAATAACTTTTAAGAAAAAAAGAAAGAGAATGTGATATTTGGGTTGTCATTTCATCTACAAATACGTATTATTAGGTGAAATATTTTGTGATATTTGAACTTAAAATAGACTGAAAACAATTTAAGTAAGGCAAATCCCGGTGTATAGTTACGGAAAGCGATCTTGTACCATAGTTAATTACGTATAGTTTAAGTTTATGGGCATTAGAGAAATGCTTGGTTTATTCAAATCACTATACAACCACGCGCCATTTAAGCCCGTGAGAGTTTTATAACGTGTAGGTCGATGGGAGCGTATTAGTCACGGGTGGTTGGGTCGCGTGTGAGATATTAGTAGCTTTGCATGTAGTGGCGAAACGTAACGCTTTGTGTCTCGGGGTAATCACGATTTTATGTTTCGAGTTTATCAAATTACTATAAATATAGATTACGTACAATAATTAGAGTTATAAATTGTATATATATAAACGTTCGACAGAGCATCTTTTGGAAAGTGGTGGTCGTCCCATTAGTCGAACTAAGTTTCGGCAATCTCAAGACGATCTGATTTTCACCTTTTTATATATATATTTTCAAAATATAAATTAGGAATTGATAGGTAACTTGCGATTGCGAAACAACTTTAACATAAAAAAAAAAAAACTTGCGAAACAATAAGATAGCTTAATAACAAAAATAGGTACTATTTTCATGCATATTTTGATGTCTTTTTTTTTTTTTTTTTTGATAAATGCATGTTTTGATGTTTATTAGAGAGATTAATCGGATTCTTGTGGATTATCTAAAAGAAATAATAATAATTTTGCGTCGTTATTTGTAAGTTTATTGGTAATTTATTACATAAAGACAAGTTACTACTTCCGTATTTCACAGTTAAATTATTATTTTTGTTAATGATTAACCATTTCAATCCATATATATTTTAAATTGATTTTTTTTTCTGTTAATCAAATGTAACAACCAATAATTTTCCATACATACATTTTAAGTTTTAATCAGGTATATATGATTCTTATATATAATACTACAAAATGATGAAGTATTGGAATGCATAAATAATCAGCTATTGAGTATTGACTGACCCTTTGTTATATTTTTCAAACTCAATTGCATGTAATTTTTTGTCAACATATATACAACATAGATTTTTCGATGAATTATAAAACCCCGTGATTACCCATCGAGACATATATATGTACCATATCATTATAATTTGGCTATAGAGAACAAAAAAAAGTTATCATGTGGTATTACTATTAGGTATGATGATTTAAGAGGTGGGTCCAATAGCTTTTCCTTTGTTTCTTTTCACTAGTTCAAGATCAAATTTATGGGGAGTATTATTAGTTCTTTGACCTTTCCTTTTTAGAGAGTCCTTCTTTGACCCATCAAGATTCAAGAGCAGAATCTCTCTCTTGCTAAGCTAAGAAAACATGAAAAGTGGATTTTATTTTTTAAAAAAAGAAAGAGTATATAGTTCATACATGTGTATGCATTGGTTAATTGGGGGTGTTGCTTTGATGATTGTAGGAAGGTACTTCACTTGCATAGAGGGGATTCTTCCCTTTATCTTTTGGGTTCTTCACAATCTAATCTATTAGCTTTTCTTTTCATGCAATATTTTTCTTGTTACTCTAAAAACTCTTCCAAATCTTCTTGGATATTCTCATGTCATTATGATTCCAAATTCGTTTCTCTTTATTAAAAACCCCAATAGGAATTGGATTCTCATGGTTTTCGATACGTTAAACGACTCAGCCATACTACGACTATATCTATATGAGTGATTCTAACGAGACAAATGGAGGATTTTTTTTTGGGCTTAACGTTTATATTTAACATGAGACTATTGAAGATGTTTATCTATGATTTTTATCTTAACTTTTTATATCTAATATATTATACAGAATATTTCCGATAAGTAACACCGCCTCGTTTGCTTTTGTTCGTAAAACGAAAATTTGATCGAATACATTACAAAATAATAATTTATAACTAGTAAAATACTCTAAAAATGTGACAAAATTCTCTTCTAGTATAAATGTTATTTTTAAAAAACATTCATGTGTAATTTTTAAAAAATGTTTTAGGTAAAACTAAGATAATTTTATGAAATTTAATCGCCAAATCTATTCAATCTAGATTATTTATCTGATCATTAATGAATTGGGAAGCTTACTCGTAGAAAATGAAGTTGGCATTGGTCTTTATGGATTGATCATGAGTTAAATATGATTAGGGTTCTTATGTGTCTTGAACTTATTGAGTTTTATTCAGTTTTAGTGTTGATATAGCAACTCTTTTATGTTTTTTAAATTACCATATATAGGTTGTTTGTCGAAATAGATGATATAACTATCAATAGTAGAGTATTTAATCGTTCCATCGGGACATTCGATAAATTGGAACGTCATCAAAAAAAAGAGAAAGAAAAAAAAAGAGTAATTAATCATCTTGATCACATGCCCACTATGTATTTAAGTACAATTGAAGTGTAAAACAGTGAAGAGAATAATACATAAAAACATAGACATCGTCTACAAGATATCCAAGTACTCGGTATGAAGTGTTAGTTATCAGTACATGAATTGTGATTTCATCATCTTGATCGGTTTTCATAACGTACAAATATATACTATTTCAATAGTTTTTCTTTTAATTTTTTTCTTTACCAATTTTTTAAAAATATTCCGGGGAAAATAAATCTTCTTCTACCAATCAAGAATCCATGTTTTCAATAAAAATAGGTGTTATAGTAACAGTAGCTAAAGCATTTTTTTTTGTCGTCAGTAGTTAAAGCATTTAACATACGTAATCCAAAAAAATAAAATAACCCTTTATAGGGACGAAGACTAGTATTCGTTGACGACAAGAGTAGAGTAGACTCTAGCTAGCTGCAAGTTTTGAAGAAATCTAATAACCAAATCTAAGTCATTTTTTACTTACATCATCATGGATCATCATTAACCACATGAGGCTGAGCAGATATCGAACGTGTGATTGCGATGTGGAGAAGTAAAGGACGAGGCCACGCGCAACTGAGCAGGAGCGCGTGAGATTCAGGGTTTTAGGGCAGAGATACGGAAAGAGACAGAGGTTTATAGCATTATATTGAAAGAGAACAAATGAAAATAAAAATTTGAGCCTCGTGATCGGAGATTTTTGCAGTGATGACTGTACTCTTCTTCCTCTTCTCTCCCCCTTGTCACGTGGGCTAAATTTTGACCACCCTTCTTCAATGACCATCAACATCACATCACACTCTCTCCTTCTTCTTCTTCTACGTTTTTTTTTTCTGTTAAATTTCCTCCACAAAATCGATAATTTCAAATCCTTCATACAATATCATAGATCTAGTAAACATTCGTGTGTGAGTGACATAATAATTGCTTTAAAAAGAAATAACGAATTAACAAGATTTGTATGTTTGATGGTCCAAAAGTCGTATGTTTTTCACCATCACAATAAGATTTACCATATCTACTTAAACCAAACTTCAATCTATAATATTTGGAAGCACGCAATGAATGATTTTGTTTTAGCATATCTTTAGATTGGCATTCACATTTTAAAGTTTGGTGTCCATCGACTAGCTCAGACCCTTAGCTTTTCTAACCAATATCAGTTTTTCTACATAGTTTCGACTTCTTGTTTGTTTACTTAACATTTTCTATCACATTTTGAATATTGACATTTTATAATGTACATCCTTAGTCTAAGGGCTAATCAACTCCACCAGAACGTACTTGAAATAGGTATATTTTAATTGAATTAATTATTCACAGTACTTCACACAATCACACAGATTCTATATAGACCAAGCATGTGTTATGTAATTAGAAAATAACCTATGTAATTAGTATCTTTTTTACTTGGCTGAGGAAACTTGATACTATCATCGTTCATCGTATTTTGTAATAAAAAAACATAAAAAAGCAAGCAAACCCCATTGAGTAAATGATATTAATATTACTTCGTAAAAAGCTGCGTCCCCACATATTCTATTGATTTTAAATATTCGTTTTAATATAAACCTGCATATAAGCGTACATATACATGTCTGATTCTATATATAGGCGTGAGACCCTCTTCTCCATTCTTCACTTCACTCCAACGTGAAACCTGCAAACTTAATTTATCTCTTCATATTTCTTTAGCTTCTCTTAATTTTACACTTAGGGTTTTCAAACAAAGAGAGAGAGAGAAGTGACTGAGAGCGATGATGCAGACTCCGTACACAACTTCAACGCAGGGGCAATATTGTCATTCTTGTGGAATGTTCCACCACCATAGCCAAAGCTGCTGCTACAACAACAACAACAACGCCGGTTCTTACTCGATGGTCTTCTCCATGCAAAACGGCGGCGTTTACGAGCAGAACGGCGAGGACTATCATCACTCTTCCTCCGTTGTTGACTGTACTCTGTCTCTTGGAACTCCTTCTACGAGGCTTTGTGAAGAAGACGAGAAACGTAGACGCTCTACTTCCTCTGGTGCTTCTTCTTGCATCTCCAACTTCTGGGACTTGCTTCACACCAAAAACAACAACTCAAAAACGACACCGTACAATAACGTTCCTTCTTTCTCCACTAACAAGCCAACTCGCGGTTGTTCCGGGGGTGGTGGTGGCGGAGGTGATTCTCTTCTCGCCAGACGCTGTGCCAACTGTGACACTACTTCTACTCCACTATGGAGGAATGGTCCTAGAGGCCCTAAGGTGCGTAATTTATTTCAATTTTAATAAAATGCCGCTACTTATAATAATCACAAATTATTAAACTAAGATTTGCAACAACCAAAAAGACAGTTCATCGCTTTGTTTTGAATATTTGCCTATCTGTTTTTTTTCTCACTAAAACCAATAAATCCCTTTCTCTATAGCTTAGTTTATTGAAAGAAACATTAAATAGTGATTTTGATGGTTAAATAAAATTCATTTAAATCTAATGTTTTTTTAAAACAGATATTTTCAAAAAACGACATTAATTTCATCTCCTTTTTGAATATTTTCATTTCTCTAGAGCTTTATGCATTGAAACATCATTAAATATAGAGATATTGATGGTAAATGATATGGATGGTTTTGGAATTTGCAGTCCCTATGCAACGCATGCGGCATTCGTTTCAAGAAGGAAGAGAGAAGAACCACGGCGGCTTCAGGAAACACCGTCGTCGGAGCTGCACCAGTTCAAACCGACCAGTACGGACATCACAACTCCGGCTACAATAATTACCATGCTGCCACTGGTAACAACAATAATAATGGTACTCCGTGGGCTCATCATCACTCGACGCAGAGGGTTCCGTGTAATTATCCGGCTAACGAGATCAGGTTCATGGATGATTACGGCAGTGGAGTAGCAAACAACGTTGAATCCGACGGTGCTCACGGCGGTGTTCCGTTCCTTTCTTGGAGGCTTAATGTGGCGGATAGGGCAAGTCTTGTCCATGACTTTACCAGATGAAAGGAAAAAAAGAAAACGACGTTAGATTCTTAAAATTTCCATGTGGTTTAATTATGTCTAATTAAAAAAAACGTAAGAAAATATTTCCAAAAAAAAATAGAAGTGTATATCGAGAGACGATGTTGATGTTTATTGATAGCGACGGTCTAACTTATGGTTTATCTATAAAGTACCGTTCTGGTCAATTTTTAAAATCATTTTCTATTTTTATTTTTAAAACTAAACCTTCTTATTCTGGAAATTTTCTCTGCTTTTAGTCTATAAAATAAATACTATAGTTTGATTCTTCTGTTGATTACACAGTGTTCGTGATAAAACATTACACAGTGATATAATCAAAACATTAGTAAGAAAAAAAAATATGTAAAAGATGTGCATAAGAAAAAAACACAGACCAAAAATATAGACATAGGATATAACTCTTTTAATGTATAGTTTAGAGTTGAACGGAGAAGTTTCAGTTCCACCTGAGTCCCTGAATTTCACAACTGAGACTTTAATTATTATTTTTATTTTACTATTGGTTAAATAATATTGAGAAAATAAAAATAATAAATGGACAAAAAAAAAATTTGGGGGTTAGGGTGTTTGGTAGTGAAGATTGAAATCTGATCGTCGAATTGGGGAGAGATTAGATTCTGATCGTACCAATGTGGGTTTTGGTACTGTTGTGTTTCAGTTTGGATCAGAGCATTGTAGTGATTTAATGAACTTATTTTTGTCGTATTATGCTCTGTTCTTCCTCCTTTATATTTTGACCGTCGTTTTGTCCTTTACTCACTCTCTCCTTCTTGACCTTTTGTTCGTGTCAATATGTGCTCTCAAGAATATTTTCGATTTTTCATTTTTTCTTGCTTTTTAATTATTTGTTTTCCGATTTTATTACTGAACCGATTCTGCAACATGTTCTGTACTAATTTTACCAGCTTTTTAATCTATAATATCTCTGCACGATCATATGAATAAATAAAAATTAAATAAAATTCCCATTATATACGTTATTTTCCAATTCCGTCGTCGACAAAGAAATAATACTTGTGTACTTTTATGTTGGATCATAGATTGTTTTACTATAACTGGGCTTTATAATGGGCTTATAGAGATTCCTTAAGGCCCAATTATGAATATCGTTGCGAGTGATAAGAATCCAAACTCCAACAATTTGATCAACTCCGCCGTCGTCATGTCTCTCCGTAAAACCCTAACCGCCGTGAATCAACATTCGATATCGCCGGATTCCTCAATATCCACCGGTAATCTGACTGTTTCAGAGGTCTCTGGTTCATCTTCTAGAATCAAATTTCGACCTCGTAAAATCAGGAAAGTTTCGTCTGATCTTTTCAATTCGTCGCCGAGAATCATCATCACCGCGTCTCCTCCTTTATCAACCAAATCGACGGTTGATCTTGCTCTCCGTCACTTACAATGCTCCGACGAACTCCTCGGAGCATTAATCACAACGCACAACGATCCTCCAGTGTTCGAATCAAGTAATCCTCCGTTTCTCTCCCTAGCGAGATCAATCCTCTACCAACAACTCGCGACAAAAGCAGCGAAATGTATCTACGATCGATTCATCTCTCTATTCAACGGTGGAGAATCTGGTGTTGTTCCTGAATCTGTGATCTCACTCTCCGCCGTTGATCTTCGTAAGATCGGTGTCTCCGGGAGAAAAGCGAGTTACCTTCACGATTTAGCTGAGAAATACAACAACGGTGTGCTTTCCGATGAATTGATAATGAAAATGAGTGATGAAGAGTTGATAGATAGGTTAACTTTGGTTAAAGGAATTGGAGTGTGGACTGTTCATATGTTTATGATCTTCTCGTTGCATAGACCTGATGTGTTGCCTGTGGGTGATTTAGGTGTGAGGAAAGGTGTGAAAGATCTTTATGGTTTGAAAGATCTTCCAGGTCCATTGCAAATGGAGCAGCTTTGTGAGAAATGGCGTCCTTATAGGTCTGTTGGTTCATGGTACATGTGGAGACTAATCGAGGCTCGTAAGACCAAATAGCACCGATCTGGTAATAATTTAACAATACCTCTCTTTGTCATTGATTAGCTCTGATCTGAAGAACACAATTAAGGTTGATAGGATCTATAGGTGATAATCTTGATTATTTATAGAAGATTTCGTGCTTAACTTGGAAATTTGAACAGTTACATTATTAGAAAGGATAAGAGACCCTTTTGGAAAGCTTTCTAGAAGTAGAAATTTCTCAAATCCTTAAACTAGCATCATAAAGTATTATCTTGTTTCTCTAGCAAATAGCATCAATCCTAGTAAGTAACATGACGGATCCTTTCTCACTGAACCTTGTATATCTGGTAGCTATGATTTGTTGTAATCAATTATTTCAGTAATGATTACTCAAGACCCTGTTGTTCTTGGTCGGACAGCTAAACTGATCCTGTGACGACGAAGAAGCTATTACATGCCAATCACTTCTCTTCCAAGTTTCACTTGCTGGTAATCTGAGTTGTTGTTTTTTGCTGTCTTTGTAAATTAGAGCAGGTAAGAGAAACCCATTTTGCATTTTAACCGTATTCCACGGATATTCTGTATTCCTGTGATTGTTGTAAAATGTAAACATGGATCAATTCAATACAGTACGTTGTTTCATTTTACTTGGATTTGTTGTATAGAGAGCATGGCTTATTTCCTAAATATTTATATCCGCCGTGTACTGGGCTTGGCCCAATGTTTTAGTTAGTTGGAAAGCCTGGATCTGATTTTGTCACGTCACATGTACATTTTGTAAAAACTGAATACTTCTTTTTAACTTAGGGAGTTTTCTTTATGGAGACAAGCGAATCTAAAACTAAGACTTAAAATTTAGTACATGGTAAATCTATTTCCATTGATTGATTTCAATATTTGGTAAGCAATGAAGATCATCATGAAGTGCTACACAGCTGTGGGAAACAAAGAATCTGAAAAATGAGACATGAGGCATGTGGAGATAAATAAAAGTGCAGGTTTTGTTGTGCTTATGTGGACCATCTTTTCATTCTTTCACACTTTTAATTCTTCAACCCTCCCCACCAGAAAAATGATTTATTATGTCTTCTCTTTCAAGACTATCATTAACTCTGATTTTTAAAGCTTATTCATTAAACAACTCTATTAGAAACCCTAATTCCATTTGTATGGGAGATTGAAACCCCAATCCAACACCATAAACTACCGTTTATTCATGTTGATATTATTTCCTCATTGATTATCACAATAAATCTGATAAAGTCTATTGGATTGACAAACATGGCTATTTTAAGTTTTAGTCTATTTAATGATATGTTAGGACTTAAAATCATACTCTATAACAATGTAACAAAAAATCGTAACTAATAAGAAATCATTTTAAATAATTTGGTTAAATTAGAAACATGTATACTTTATATTTGAAAATTCAAAATACACCCATAAGTTTCCTCTCATGTATCTCTCTCTCCACTCCTAAAGTCTTTACTTAGTAGGTAATAGTTTGACTAAGCTAGGGTTTTTTGCGGAAAAACGGTCTATTTCCCCATGAAAAGTATGCTTATCACGCCAGATAGAGCCCGTTCTTTGACCTCGGTCTATATGTCCATGAAACGAAAGTTAAATACTTATTTCCCCACGAAATGGAAGTTCAATAGCTTAATCTCCCCGAATCTGAAAGTTCGAGATCTATAACCCCATCGTGCTGGGTTTAATCGGTTTATTGTATACTTAACCGATAATTAAACCATCTAAACCTAATTATAACCGAAATAAACCGGATCTTCCAATCTAATCCACCTCAAGCACCGGAATATCACAAATCCTAGGCGGTAACACTCCCTTCAGATTATTGTAAGAGAAATCAAATCCTATGAGGTTGTTACAGTTCACGATTGAAGCAGGGATTGATCCAGAGAGATTGTTATGAGACAGTGAAACAAATTTGGTCTTCTCACAGAACTTAAACAGAGAAACCGGAATCTCTCCGGTGAAACCATTTTTAGACAAGTCAAGAAACCTTAAGCTAGACAATTCTCCAATAAACTCCGGGATTGAACCAGACAACGCATTGGAACTAACATTAATCGTTCACAAAGTTTGCAACTTTGAGTAATCCAACGGTAAATTATCTGTAAACCTGTTGCCAAACAAGGTCAGAACTCGAACAAACTTTAGATTTGACAATCCCGGAGCTAGGGTTCCGGCGAGACTTGTATTCCAAAGAACGATTTTGTCCACGAAACCTTGTGGGTTACAAGTGACTCCTTTGAAGCTATTGCAGAGGTCACCGTCGGAAACCCAAGAAGCTAAGCTGTTGTACGGATCGTCACTGATACTGTCTTTGAACTGAAGCAAAATGTCTCACAGTACCGGGTTATATGGGTCACGGTGGTCCGGGAGAGCTCCGACCACCGAACGGATAGACTGGTGTAGATGGGATGGTTAGTGTGATTGGTCATGAGTTAGCTGAAGTTGTATCGAATCCGTTGATTAATGCTTGGTACACCGGAAAAGATCCGACGGCTCCGACGTAGATGTTGATTGGGTTTATTTCGGTTAGATGGTTTAATTATCGGTTAAGTATACAGTAAACCGATTAAACCCAGCACGATGGGGTTATAGATCTCGAACTTTCAGATTCGGGGAGATTAAGCTATTGAACTTTCATTTCGTGGGGAAATAAGTATTTAACTTTCGTTTCATGGACATATAGACAGAGGTCAAAGAACGGGCTCTATCTGGCGTGATATGCATACTTCTCATGTGGAAATAGACCGTTTTTCCGTTTTTTGCAGACACACATTAATTAGTAACACCATCAATAATCATCATAAAAGAAAATAGAGAAAGAGAGATAAATGCAATAATGGGAGATGGACCAAAGGTGCAGGTGGTGAAAGATAACAAACATATGACAATGTCTCGAAATTAAGAGGCACCACCACACATACACACACACTCTCTCTCTAGTAGGTTTGTGTTTTTAAAATCAATTTTTTTTGTTGGATTTTCATGTGAAATAAAACTTGATGGGTGATAGGAAACAAACACACATACGTCATCATCACCCTTAATTTCTATTTCTCCTTCCTTCATCATCAATATCAATATCAATCTCATCTTCCACTACTCTTCCCTGTAACAATAAGCATCTCTATAATCCCTAAGGTGAGTCCAAAAGTCATCTCTTAACTATTAAAGTAGAGCTGTTTTTTGCATGCATTAGTGAATAATTTATAAGTAATAAATTTTGACAAAGTTTTGTTTGTTTTGGGTCAGATTCACAATGGAGCTTGGAGGAAAATGTAATGCAATTACTTCTACAACAATGATCTCAACAGAAGTAAAGCCACATACCAAACCGTACCCGGATCCGGAAGAAGCCAAACCGGAATCAGATCCATCCATGGCTTTATTCCCGATCAAGAAAGAAAACCAAAAACCGAAGACACGTGTCGACCAAGCAGCTAAGTACCGGGAATGCCAGAAGAACCACGCGGCCTCTACCGGAGGACACGTGGTGGACGGATGCTGTGAGTTCATGGCCGGCGGAGAAGAAGGTACGCTCGATGCTCTAAAATGCGCCGCCTGTAACTGTCACCGGAGTTTCCACCGGAAAGAAGTGTACGGACACAGGAGCAGTAAACAAGATCAGCTGATAATAACTCCGGCGTTTTACAGCAGTAACAGCTCGTACAAGGCGATGCAGACACGTGGAATGCATCCAACGGGTGAGATTGGACGGAGGACATCTTCGTCAAGCGAGGATATGAAAAAGATTCTGAGTCATCGTAACCAAAACGTTGATGGGAAAGGTTTGATGATGATGATGATGAGGAAGAAGAAGAGAGTGAGGACAAAGATCAATGAAGAACAAAAAGAGAAGATGAAGGAATTTGCAGAGAGATTAGGGTGGAGGATGCAGAAGAAAGATGAAGAAGAGATTGATAAGTTTTGTAGGATGGTGAATCTAAGGAGACAGGTTTTTAAGGTTTGGATGCATAATAACAAGCAAGCAATGAAGAGAAACAGTAACATTAGTGAATAGTGATGATATGCAAAAGTGAAATAAATTTTACAATCCTGTTTTGTTTTTATATATAAACTTTTCCATTCAAATTATTCTAAATCTTGAGTATGAATATGTGCAATCTTATATGTTTTGATTGCTATATATGTCTGGGATTATTATTCTTTTGTTAATTTGTGGTTGAACAAAGTGATAAAATTGGATCTTCAAATAAAAAGGGAAAAAACGTTTAAAAAGAAATACATTTAAATGTATAATTTGAACACTTAGCTGGAATAGCTCAGTTGGTTAGAGCGTGTGGCTGTTAACCACAAGGTCGGAGGTTCGACCCCTCCTTCTAGCGTCTTTTTTTTAATTTTATTTAACAAATGGCTCTCTATAAAATCTGTTTAATAATCATGTAACATACATAGTAACCAGATTAGTTCGATGTTAAAACATCGTAAGGACCACATTTAGCGTTCTATATTACGTTCATTATATTGTTTATGATTAGGAATCAAGTGGTTTTTGTGACGAAAGAATTTGAGATAAGGTAGGCTCATAGCAAAACAATTAGATGAGACCCCAAATGCAATATTTTTAACGTAAATGTATATAACACTGACCTTCATTCTTATGTTAGTGAATGTCCCTATAATTTTTTCCAATGATATCTCTCATCACTTCAATAGCTATTGACATGCACAGGAATTGGGTTTCTATCTCCTAATTAATCCGTCAGAAGATTATGAAGAAAAAACACACACACACAAAGAACTTGGACTAAGCTAAGAAAAGGTTCTAAACAAGACCGAAAATATAATTGCATGATCAATTCAGTTCAACTTCCCTTTTGTGTAAATTTTAAAGTAAGTGGTTTTGATTTTGCTAATGATTTCTGAGAGATTTCCTTCTTCTTCTTCTTTTTTTTTTTTTTCCTTTTAAGCTTGACAAATATAAGATTTTTCCAAGATTAATATATTGTTAGAATGGATCAGACAAAGAAGTTTGTCTAAACTCTTAACCCATTGTCCATTTGAATTGTCTAAAAGATGTAGACGTAATAGTCAGCATAAAACACATTTGACCGGCGATTTAATAGGGACCAAGATGTATACATCATGTGGGTGTAACACTAACACATGCTTTATTAATTACATATACAAAAATTTAATTTAGTTAGTTGGAGATTTCATGCACAAAAAAATTAAAATAAAAGTCAACAGATCTACGATTTTCTTTTCATTTCACAAAGCAAACTTGGCCTACTACTTAAATAAACACCATCAAGAGAAAGATTCAAGAACACACCTAACACACAAAAAAAGGAACTCCACTTTTTTCCACACCATACCGCACCATGTTTAGAGCCATGAGCACTAGGAAAATTCATGGTGGCTACGAAAAGCTCGGCGACGAAGAAGCGAGACTGAAGAGGGTCTCTAGCGTTCCAGCGAGTGTTTATGGTCAATCAAGAAACCCTGTTCAAGAGTTGAAGAAGACACCGACGGTGAAACCAACCGGTGGTTCTGTTCATCCTTTGTTGAGTTTCTTTGACGTTCATTTTCAAAGGAAGAAGAAGAAGACAACGAAGAAAAAGAGTTTAGCGACGGCGAAACCGGAGTTTGCTAGGTATTTGGAGTATGTGAAGGAAGGAGGTGTGTGGGATCCGAGTTCTAACGCACCTGCGATTCATTACAGATAGATTCGTCAAGGAAAATGAATAAAAGATTTGTATATCGTTTTTTTTTTTTTACATATATAATCTATGAGAAAATCAAGATTCGATTCGGAAAGATGGATCAAACAAAGTATTTGTCATTTTTGTACGAATTGATGAGTGTTTGGTACACTTTCATGGAGACTTCAAGAATAAGAAAAAATTCAAGGTCTTGACCTTATTATATGAATATATGTTCAAAAATTTGGTTTTGGTTTTGGTTTTCTTAGTTACAATTTACAAAGATATGATTTTATGAATTGAATCAATTCGTAGTTCCTGATATAGAAGCGGTCCCAGAGATGTGATAGCTTTGAATCAGGTTCTATATTCTTCATTTCCTACCTTTAGCTTTTATTTTAAACATTCAAAATAAAATGAAGAACATTTCAAAATTTCAGTAACAGATGGACATTAGATTTGTTCTTTTCTTCAAAAATATTATATCAAGGAGAAAAAATAGATATGATAGTCTCATTTTTCTTGTGAAGACCAGATATTTTTAAAAAGTATAATATTATATTGTTAGCCAATGTTGAATACTAACTCTAATTAAAAGCGTGTCCACATTGGTCACGTAACACGTTTAGGAAAATGGCTCTAAAAATAATCAAATTCTAGATTTGACGAAGACAAAAAAATAAAAAAAGACTTTTAAAATCGTTTTCAAAATGGGCTTTACAGATTCGTGAACAGACAAAAAATTGGGCCATGGGTTAATTTGCTTTTTAGGACACGATGTTGCCACGTCACCGTTTTAATGACGTTAATGAATATTCGAGATATGACCCACTTAATAAGATCCCTTGGACGACGTCGTTTCGACCACTTCACGAAACCCTACCGTCTAAGTATTTACTCAAAATACCCCTTCGTTATCGCGCCGTCCTTGCTCGTAACTCTTACCTTTAAAGGTTATATCCGTCTTTTTAAATCTCTCCCAAATATACACGTTTAAAAAAATAAAAATAAACGAATTTGTTAAGAAAATCAGAAAATGGGTCGCCAAGAATAGAGGAAGAAGCAAAGAAGAAAAAAAAAAAAAAAGAGCGTTTCAAATATTTGCGGAGATACAAAGCTGAGAAGAAGAGATAAAAAAAAAAAGCCTTGGAGAAGAGGTTTTCTTCTTCTTCTTCTTCCCTCCTCTCCTCTTGTACGATGTCGTATCACGCTTCTTCTTATCTTCTCCGCCGTTGTCTCGCTTCCGTTTAACCTCGATCTCTACCTACCGTTGAATCTTCCGTTGGATCTTTTTCAGCTTTCTTCCGTGGAGATCTCCTTCGCGCTCGAGGTAATCCTTCTCTTACGCCTCCGGATTTGATGTTTCTACGTTTCTCTGTTTGTTGTTTCGGTGAAATTTCTGGAAATTTCGTTATCGTAGGTCTGAATCTCGAGAGATTCGATTGATTTGTATCGGCTTGACCTGTTGTTAGCTTCTAGATTGTCGATTTGTGGTTTGATTTTGCTCTCGATTTTTAGTTTTTTTCGTGCTCGAAATTTCGCGAGAAAAGTTTTGTTTAGGTATATTAGCGATGATTGTGGTTTGAGCACGCGGTATTTGCTTTGTACCTTCCCAATAGCTAATTCTCACTTATTCGTTGGTTGGTTCAGATGACCATTGTTGGTTGATTTCTGATTCGATTGAAATGAAGAAACGCTGTTGTGGTTTTGGATTTTTACTAATTTGATACTTTAATGATTGCAGAGCCATGCCTACCTTTTCTGCTATTGCTTTGGATAGAATGCTAGAGCCAGGGGCTTCCACGTCTGTCGAGAGTGTTCCAAGCTCAACAAATTCGTTTTATTCTAAGCCACCAATATCAAAACTGGAGAAAGGTAAAGGTAAATTACCTAGTGAGAGGACAGTTACTCGTCCTCTGATGTCACCTGCTCTCTACGCCACACCTGATGCAATTCCGCTTCCCAATTCGCCATCCTCTTTCCCACCATCGCCTTATATCATCAACCACAAATCACGTGGACCTCCACGTCTTCTTAAAAGCTCTTCTGAGGCTAATGTTGTGTCTTCTTCCCACCAGAAGACGCTGGCAGAGGAAACTATTACTGTTGAAACAGATGTAAAGGTTTCCCCTCGGAGGAGGTCCACCTCTTTCTCATTTCCTATCAGTGAGGCTACTGAAGACGATTATTCCAATGGAGTCCATGCTCGTCCGATTGGAAATTATAATTTCGATGGTATTGTTGATGGTCCTGTTGGGCATTGGAGTTCACTTGACGGTAAAATTGGGAATGGAAATTCAGAGTTGGATAATGCTGCTAATGGTTTAGAACGGGAAAATGTTCTGACTGAGCCTGTCACTATCAAAACAGACAAGGAGAGTGAGTCTGAAGATTTCTATGACCCAGGTGAATCAGCAAGCTTCACAAGTAACACAGACGTAGAGGGTGATGCAGGAGACGAAGGTTCACAAAGACTTGCCACACCTGTTGGAGAATTTTATGATGCTTGGGATGGTACTTATCTAAATCTTATTACCTTATTAAGTGTTTCCTTATGAGATGGCTGTCAATGCTTATGAATTATGATCTTAAGTTCTTAACGTTCCCAGGATAGTATGATTAGTCACATTTTTAGAGTCCCTTCTCTTTAACTTTTGAGCATTTGAGGATATACTAGTACCGTTTCTTTAATGTGCAGTAGTAGCCTTTTCTTGTTTTGGAAATTGGAATTATGTGTGCTTTCGGATATATTGAAATTTGAAAGTGATGAGTAAACTCTCCAAATCATGAGGATTAATGCATTATTCATTTCCCATGTATCTGCAAGTATCCCAAAACGTTAAGCTCTAACTTGACGATATGATTCAGAGCTGTTTTGTAATCCATCTAAATTTCTTGGTTTTTCAGAACTATCAACAGACAGTGGAATGCAGAGTTCAGGTAACAACATCGAATCTGAATTAAGGGAGATAAGGCTGAGTTTAGTAATGGAAATCGAGAAGAGAAAACAGACAGAAGAGGCTCTGGAGCAGATGCAAATTCACTGGCAGAGACTCCGTGAGCAGTTGGCTCAGGTGGGTCTGTTCGTTCCCATTGATCCTACCACCTCCACCAACAACATGAATCTATCAGAAGAACTACGCTGCCAACTCGAGGTTGCCAGGTTTGTCTCTGACTCTTTAGGCAGAGGTATGGCAAAAGCGGAGGTAGAGATGGAGATGGAATCTATGCTCGAAACTAAGAACTTTGAAATAACACGGTTGTCTGACCGTCTACACTACTATGAGGCTGTGAACAGAGAAATGTCTCAACGAAACCAAGAGGCCATAGGTACAAGAAATTCACTCTCATTCACCAAATTATCCATTGTCATTTCTATCTTATAACAAAAATCTAATCTCCCATCTTTGTTGATATCAGAGGTGGCACGACGAGAGAGGCAGAAGAGAAAGAAGAGGCAGAGATGGATTTGGGGATCAATTGCAGCAACCATTACTCTAGGAAGCGCGGCATTGGCATGGTCTTACATTCCTGCAGCGAAACCATCATCTGATGTTTCACAACCTCTTAACAATGAATGATTAAGTAAGTCTCTTGTATACGTAATGGGTTTGATGCGAGCAAGAGAAATAAAGATACAGGACGTTTAGCTTACGCCTTGTGAATAGAAATATATACATATTTGGTTATTGTTTTAACTGTTCTCAAGAGGATGTATAGCTCCAAGTAGCTGCAAACACTTTTTTCTTGCGGTGGCATACTGATGAGTGGCAGCCACAGTCACTAATATTTGGTTCCTATTAACATTCAATGTTAGCTCTAGTGTAAGGTGCTTGCCTTGCTTACATCTTAAAGAAACTTTATTTTTTTGAAATCTTGATTTCCACAAACGGGCTCAGAATTGATAATTTGAAAAGAAATTGAGGGATACAATTTTAAGCTTTGGTAAGTAAAGCTTTTTTTTTTTTTTTTTTTTTTGTAAACGGTAAGTAAAGCTTTGTTTTGCTTATCTGTCGTCTTTGAACCAGTTAAGTACAACGTACGCTGCGAAAGCTAGCGCAAATGTAGCTGCAAACAGAAATACAGATATTTGGACTAGTAGAGATGACTCAAAGGCTTCACGAAGAAGTGAGTTCCACATTGTGTACCACAAGATGCAGAAAACAGAACCAACAATGGCACCCACCACCACTTGACTGCTTGTGTGTAGTTTCTGAGAAACCCTTAACCGTATCTGTGATAGTGCAGAGAGAGTGAGATCAATGGCAACTAAATGATTTCATATATGAATGAAAAGCCTGAATCATCTAGGTGAGTAGTTGCTGAAACATGTTATAACAGACTTACAAAGTAGGAACCCAATGCGAGGATTAAGCCGCTAAGAAACAAAGACACTCCGTTGGTTCCAAGCCATTCCATAACTGCAGAAAACACGACTCAGGTGAATCCGTTGTTTAACAGTTCTGCGATAGAGAACGATGAGTACTGACAGTTTAAGCTGCTTACCGGATAAAACAGCAAAGACAGATATGAAAGAAATAGATTGAGCGTGAGAAGATGGCATCCCGGGATCGGATCGCAATGTTGTAGCAGGCCTTTCTTGGTTAAGTATACGTTTCAGAACTACAGAGAGAGCGGAATTCGAAATCGATCCAATGACTGCCCACAAGGCTGCACCATCATGTCGAAGAAGAATTATCGAACCAAATAAAGCAGACACAACCCATTTGCTCTGTCATCATCAATTAAAACCGGTCAGAAACACAAATTGATACTGAAGAAGCATTTCATCGAACACATTGCGTGCATCAATGAGATTCCATAAACTAACCAGACGATTAACAATAGCTTCAATCCCACCGCCGGCGACCAAGTCTTTCCGGATCTCCGACGAGTTATTGATGAAAGATTCTTGCTCCACCGCTCCAAATTGTTCGTTACCGTCATTGCTGCTACCTCCGTCTCTCCTAGAGAATCTTTTGACGGTCATAGATCCAAAGCCAGTGACAAACAAAGGAGACCCACGAGAGATAATCGAACTATAGCTCGAAAGTCTCGATCTTTTAAGGTATGAGGAAGAGCCAAATAGAAATTGCAGGTGGGATAGTGAAGAAGAAGAGAAGACGACGCTGCCATTTCCAAAAGGAAGATAAAAGTCAACGTAGTATCAAATCCATCGATAAGGAAGTAAAATTCGTAAGAAACTTATGATGAAATTCGTAAGACGAAGAAGGAACATATGCAAATTGAAGAAATCAATGTGAGAACAAAAACCTGAGAGAGAGCTTTCTTCTTCGAATCAAACTTTAACTCGAAAACGAGTTTGTTGTTTGTTGTTAACTTACGCATTTTATAATATCGTATCTTCTGCCACGTGGCATATTGTGGAATCAACGGGTAAACCAATATTGAAGCAAATTCATGGGCTTATGATTCCTCAGCTGAGGCCCATATACTAAAACTATTAGCCCATTAGATTCATTGCTTAAAGTGCAACGAAATGGAACCATTCTCAGTTTTATGTAGCAGCAGGTTATCTGGAGTGGCTTCATGAGATATTTGTTAGTGAGATGGTTTAATTGTTTGAGTATTTGTCTGTGGGCTTAGTTTTGTAGCTCTTTTTGTTTAGCTTTTGTACAAATCCTCATTAGTTGTAAAAGACATATGGTTGCCGAGAGGATTTGTTTTTTTAATGCTTCTCTTGTAAATGTTGACATGCAAGGTGAAAGTTATAATACGTGAAAATTCGAATATTGCTTAAGTAATGTATCAACGGTGACAATGCCGTGTACACGTCGTTTTATTCGGAAGAATATTTTAAATGTTTCACTTTCAGCGTTTTAGAACAATGTTGCTTTCTGTGGACATATGAATTAAGATTTGAGTATTACCTATATAATTAAATATGGGGGTCGAATATGCCTATAAGAATTTTCCACGTAACGTTTTGAAAATATATGGGATAAAGCTAATGTAATGACAAAAAGGAGAGTGCTCTTTATATGTTGACTAAATTGTCATCAGATTAAACTACTTTACGTATGCTTTCAGATTAGATTATTGTCCATCTCTTTTTAGCATTGAAAATATTCATGCTTATGTGTAGTATGATTCTTCTCGTTTAAAACTTTGAATTGTTATTAATATCACACATATATACTATGGTTCTATCGACATGCATTATTTTTCCAATTAAACTTTCACCATAAATTTATTTAGTGCATATACTTTTTTTGAATGATAAGGAAAACAATAATAGTTAAGTAGTCGTTTTTCTTTTTGACGGAGGAAAAAATATCAGTCTGTAAATTTAGTTTTAATTAATTTGTACGTCAGACAAAATATATGTAGGTTAATTATTATGAGTTTATATACAGGCCACACTTAGTCAACACGCATCCGATTATATAGTTGGAATTTTTTTCTAGAAGGCGGTCAAATTTGATCAAACAATAACAACGGGTTAATATTATTTTTACCAATAAATATAGCCTTTAGGAATATGGTTCACCCCACAAGAATATTCTTGAAATCTCCACTTTAAAATTCCACTTCGTTTTCTCTTTTCATTTAGGCTTTTAGCTAGTAACATTTTATTTCGCTGATAAACAATGTATCACTTTTTTTTTGTTATCAATCACAAAAACAAAACAAAATTAACGATATCAAAGATAATATACCCTACTATTTTTACCCCGTTACTATGACCACTACTTAAGTATTTATACTACTTTTAACTATTTCATTATATTTTACCGTTTCTACCATTACTTTGTTACCGTTTTGTGTAAAGAATCATATCTCTTTTTTATATATATGGTCACAATTCACAAGCTATGGAAAATACCGTGGTCACATCAAGTTTGAAATCAATACCAAAGATTTGCAATTTTTTTTTTTTTTTTTTTTCAAAGATTTGCATTTATTAAGCCAAGTTGTTTTTCCATATAATTCCACTAAATAAAAATAGTTAGAACATGAAAAGGAAAAAATAGTATACGCTGAAGTGTGGTTAAAAGATAGGAGAATGGGTGAAAGTGGATACAATGGGCATAGTGGCGATTCACACACGCCATGGCGTCGTATCATTGGAGATGAAAACTGTGTGTCGTTTTCAGAAATAAGATATATTTAATCAAGAGCAAGATGCGTCCATCACTCTGTCAAACTCAATCTTCCAAGTACACTTTTGGCAGACATTGACGATGCCCTAAATAAGTTTTTTAAAAATAAAACATTAAGCTCTGAAGGCTGAAGTTCAGAAATGTATGGGGATAACACGATGTCGTTTTATGTCAAATCGTTCTTGAATATCATGATGATGTTCTTCCTCTGTGGTCTAGAATCAAATCAATGTAGCTATGTCAATATAGAGTATTGGTCAAAGTTTGAATCAGGACTCCAAAGAAACAAGTAAACGATATCGGTATATCCTTTTTAAAAATTTACTTGAATAAAGAAACTTGAACTAATATACACTAACTTTTTTTCAAAAAAAAAAAAAACTAATATACACTAACTTTTGACAAAAAAATAATATACACTAATTACCTTGCATTTGTTATGTAAATTACATAAGTAAAAAATGTCTCAATTTTTAATATTTATTTCTCCACATTTTGTGATACGTTAATGTACAAAGTACTGCCAATTCCATATAATTAGGGGGTCTATACAATATAAATGTATACAATTCTAGTCGTGCATGCATGTGTGTGTTTTGAATGAACAAATAATAACGCATCTAAGTGGAATTATGGGCAGAAGTTAAAGGAAACACTTCATAATTAAAAACAATGGGTCGACCAATCTTTATTATCCACTAACTATTTTTCCATTTTTATCAGTTTGGCTTCGAAATTATAAATTTAAGCGATTCAAAACATTCTTTGGAACTTTTAGCCGAATATCTTTAAATTTGGCCTCCCTCAGTAATATTATTTCATGCCAACCAATGGAATTGTCTGTCTATTTTTCTTTGTTAATGATGTGTACGCCTTTTTTTAATATAGGTTATATATTAATATGTAATCACTAATCAGTCGTGTATAAAATATATACTTTTAGTTCCCTTTTATGTAATTGGATTGAAAAAGAAAATAATATATATGAAAAGAAAAAAACTAAAGTGTTAGGTGCGAATAAATTCGGATATAAACAATGAAATGCGTGTCTGACAACTTCCAATTTCGGTGTTCCGTGAACTTGCTTTTGCCGCAGTCTATATATTTCAATTCCAAAAGATGAATGAACAAATAGTGAAAAATGCAAGAGATTCGATTATTCGAATATGTAAAAACAATTTGAATATAATTAGAGGTTCATTCAACTAACAAGTATAGTCTGGAGAACGAAAAATGAGTTAATTGCTTCGTAAAAGATTTTTTTTTTTGAAGGTTTTGGGTAAAATCAATTTAAAATGGAACGTACAGAAGAATATAGCCAATGGGCTTCGAGAAAGAGCCCGTAGATACAGAGACATTGTAATATACACACGTGATTTATGGCAGTTTAATTATCTGTAGAATCTTTCTTGGAACCATGTGACCGTATTAACTGTGATATTACGTGTAAGCTAATCATAGAATCAAATTTATTCAAATAAAAGATGGTTCTAAATTCATGCACATGTGATAATTATGAGGAGATTATGGAAATATGCATGTAGCAGAAAAACTAGGCTTTGAGCTAAAAACAAAAAGTCCTCTAAATATTAAATACCACTAGTTGTGTTGTTTATTTAGGATATCCGTCAGAGTCATTAAATGTCACAGTTGTTTTATTTTTTTGATAGAGCAAATATATATGTTTGATCTATAATAATCTATTGTTCGGACTTGGCTAAAAGAGCTTGCAAAACTTGAGCTTTTGACTGCTCTCATGAAAACATGATCATCGTCTATAAATTTGAATGACCACTATCATATTTTACGATCTTGCATTTTTTTGGATATACTAGTTTTTACGATCTTGCTATATAAAGAGAAGAGAGAGATATATATCAGTTTTGGTAAAGAAGGAAATAAAGAAAGCATGCAAGTGGTAAGTAAAGAAGAGTGAGCGGTGGTTATACGGATTCCATACGGCTCACGTGAAAACCTGATTCCTTTCTTACGTACACTTTTCCAATTTTGCTCGGTCCAATATCTTAATTTTTCTATTTATTTAAACTCGTGTTTGTTCATAACAGCTGTAAAAACTTTATTTTAAAACATATTCTCGATTTTATGAGTCTTCTTTTATTTATTTTTTCGTGCAATTAAAGTGGTCGTGCACTTCAAAAAGCGTCACCCATTTTTTGATTTTAATCCAATATGGATTCATTCATATATAAGGAAAGACATTGCCATCTCTGGTTTATCTGTTGTCCCGTATAACCAATTCAGAATACGACTATTTATCCATGAAGCATAGGTTCAAAACACACATAATTGTTTGATTAGCTATGCCATCCGCTCCTTTATAAAATACCGATGATTCATCAAAATTTTGGTAAAGAGAAGTTATTAAAGAATTTAGTTGCTAAAAAATGTTATTTCGCTTCCGTTTCTGCCTCGACCCAAACCAACACCACTTCAAATTACATATATCTAATTTAGACCTAACAAATATAAGAAGAAAAAGTGATTTTTATTTTTAATGTTTTTTAAATAAAGATCAATTATTTGAAAAAGCAAAAAAAAAAGAAAAAACAATCTATATATATAAAGCGAGGCTTATGGAAAAACATGGGTCTCTTACTTGTTCTCTTCTTCTCCGATTTCAAAAACTCTCAAAAATCAATAACAATGGATTCAATCGATTTCGACGAAAACGTGAAAACAGAAAAATCAAAGGCGTCGTTGCATCGTTTCCGAAGCATCGGTTTCTTCTTCCGTGCGACGGAGATCTGCGTCGCTCTTCTCTTCGTCTGTTGGATATTCACTTGTCTTCCTTTCGCCGTTAAAATCTCCGGCGAGTTTCTCCGTCGTCTCGCTTGCTTCATTTCCACTCCTCTCTTCATGTTCTTCCTTGGTAACTCCATCGTCGTCGCTCTTCTCACCACCAAATCCACCGTCGCCGGTCGTTCAATCTCAGAGACTGATATCTACGAAGCGTTTATCAGATCTGGAGACAATCGCGTTAATTCGTCCGACGGAGATCTAACGGAAGAAGAGATCATCGTCTACGATGATAAACAGATGATAACCACCGCTGAAACAGATTCAAACTCAAATCCCACGGTGGCGCGTGTAGATCACGAATCTGAGAAAGACTCAAATTCAAATCCCACGGTGGCGCGTGTAGATCACGAATCTGATAAAGACTCAAATTCCGTTACAGATCATCCTACAAAGGCTTATCGACGAAGCAAATCGGAAATTTCAGCGAAACAGAGTATCGAAACATTCACTCCGGCGATCGGTGACGGAAAAATGCCGGAAAATCATCGAATCGTGCAACGAAAGTCCGGTTGACGAGATCATTCCGGAGGATCACATGACAAATGAAGAGTTTCAAAAAACAATCGAAGCATTTATAGCAAAACAGTTGATATTCCGACGCCGGGAATCTCTCGCCGTCGTTATACATAACAAGATCTAAAAAAAAGTATATATTTAAATGTTGTATGTAATCCTCTTATCAACGAACAAAGTTTTGCAAGTTAGATTATTAAAAAAAAAAAAAAAAAATAGTAACACTACTGTGGATGATTTTATTTAATGTTTACGAATCAAAATTTCTAAAAAGATTCGGATGAAATTATATAACTCGATTTTTATGGTTATTATTGTATGTGTTCTCTATATTAGTTCTTTTTCTTCTTTCTTTCGGAAATTAGATATGTTTTGCTGTTGTTTTAAGCGAGTGTCACTTCCCTGAAGTGATAATAATACAAATTTGAAGTAGAAACTATTATGTTTTGTGATGATATTATGGCAATTATCAATATTACTTTTGGTTTTAGTGCAATCCAAGAAACCAATTTCGTTTTTTTTTTTTTTTGGATTTGAAATGAAAATCTATTTACTTATTTGATCATTAGATTTTAGTATTGACTCATTAGCGTTTTGACATGAGTATATATTGTCCAACTTTATGCAATAAAATAAGTCATCCTATATAATTTTTTCTTCAAAGTTGAAACGTTAATTGCTTATGCCGCAGTCGCAGTCGCAGTCGCAGAGTGTCCGGTGGCTACGTCTTAGCACTAATCATAGTGCAATAATATTGAATTGCAAAAGTATTTAAAAATGCACTTTTATGCAGACACTCACGCAGAAAAATGACGATAAAAAGTGACTCTCTTTTTCACCAAGACCCGTAATATATTATGTGTTTCATTTTTCAAAAATTTTGATTAGAAAAAAAAAACATGTCAGAAAGCCGACCATAGGTAGAGATCGAACCCCAACTAGCGGTCATCGAAATGGCGAGATGCATTAGAGATTATCGTGGCCTCTCATCGCACAATCATAAATCCCTCAAGGGTATGTCTCTCTAGAAACAATGATACAAATGTATGAGCCTATAGACCCGTATGTTTCAAATTATACTTTTCCTCTTTCGAATCTTGACCCATTTTAACACCCTAAACTATTACTATATACTATTAGTTTTTTCGTTTCATTTTAATAGTTTAGTGATTATTATCACTACATATATTCTTCAAAATAAGATAAAGTCGATGTTTTTTCGAAAAGGGAAGACACAGTTGAGCACAATAAAAATGACTAAGACATGAGCTTAGCTACTTTTTAAATGTAATTATCTGAAAAACAATTTTATTGATTTACATAAATACAAAACGGTCAAATGTTACAAAATAAGCAATAGAGTGTCATACGGTTTTTATTTTGTCTGAAGTGTCAATACCACAAACTCTTAATTATAGTTACTATTTTGTTTATTAAGACTTAGCAATAAAAGGAACATCTGCATTTATGATATATTGCCACTGCATACGGTATCTCATCCCTATTATCATAGCAATCGCATTTAAATGGTTTAGGTAGATTGGGAACTTTATCTTTAATGGTTGATTTTGAAAGGCAATCGTTTTTACCGCCGCACAATTTGCCTCTGTACTCCTCCACGGTTCTACAGATCTTGCGAGCTTCCACATCTAATACTTTATATCAACCATAGAAAAAAAATTGTATATCAAAATTTTGTACACAAACAAATGGTAACACAAAAAAATTATTGTTAATTAAGCCTTTCACAGTTTTTCTTTTCTCCTTCTTTTCCTTTTTATACCCAAACCATTTTTATGATTAGTACTATAATCAATACATTTAAAATTTATAAGAAACCAATCCAAAATAAAAGAAATCTTTATTTATATATTACCTTGAATGTGAGTGAAAACGAATATTGATACGAATATATAAGAAACCATGAACAAAGTAACATACTTCATAATTGTTGTAACAATTCTGTTTTTCCATTTTGTTGTCAACATTCAAAATAAATATAAGCGAACTCCCTAAATTTAATATATATCCACACAAAAATGAGGAAAAAAAGAAAGGCTAAAACCAATTGAACAACAAAATTAGTCGTTTATTTTTAGAAATTCTTACAAAAATTCCCTTTTTTTTTTTGTTTTAATGCTAATTATGAATATTCAAGTTCATAATTGACCAGATCAAAATAAATACAAAGAAATGAATTGAACAAAACAAAAAAGTTTGTGGCTAAACAAAGAAATGATTTCAAGAGACTTAAATATTGGAAACCACCCTCGCCGTCTCTTTTTATTGGAGATGGGATGCACAACCTCACTGAAACTCGATTCGAATCAATATTAAACTTATTTAACAGCTGAGAAAGCCCATGAAACTCGACCCAAGATATAGTCACCGACATACAAGAAAAAGGGAAAATCATCAACTAAACTACAAGAAAAAAGGAAAGTTGTCGACTACGGACAAAAGAGGGAAAAAAAACAATCAAAGTAAGCATACTTAGTATGCATATAAGTAGAAGAACAATTTATTGAAACCAGATAGAAAAACTCACAGACGAAACCTAAGAGATTGATTGCTACAAACTCTCCGACTTTTAATTTATTAGTTCGTATATATTATGTTTTATTGAGACAGTCGACCGAGATCACATACCAATAGAATTTAAACTATGATTGGTTTAATATGTTTAATTATCAAGGCTACGTGTGTAGTTTTTTTTTACGAGGCACGCCTATAAACTAAATAAAAGCACATTTCGTCTGTCTGGTTGACTTAACTTTTCTTTATAATCTACGAGCTTAAACTTTAACATAGGAAATTGTTTGAATCCCCTAATTGATTTTGACTATCTCATACTTTGTTAAAATCCATGTTCAATAATTGCCATCTGTGGAAAAATAAACCGTGCAAGTTCGACGATGATAGAAACTATAAACCCGATGTATTATTTAGTTCTACTAATTTTTAATGTTATTTATAATTTTTTATAAAAATTTAAAATTATATACTTTTGACAATTAAATGGTTTTTATCGGATTTCAATGAAAAATGTACCGAATTATGGATACTGACAACATGTCGTATGTTAGTTGTTATATGTGGACATGCAATACATTTAATTGATGTCGTTCACTATACATCTGTAACTATGTTGTATAACTATGTGGAGATGTATAACTATGTGGAGATGTATAACTATGTTGTGGCCTATACTTGGTGTATCTATCATTTTCCCTATACGAAACAAAGAATAAATATTGTATGTAAATTTATTTTGTTTATGTGGCATTTTTCGTAGTTTTTCATACTTCCTCAAAAAAAAATTGAGGTCTGAATTGTTGTCTATAGAGTGAAACCTCTATAAATTTACTCATAAATTCTCTGGTCCCGAATCGGAGTAGTGTTAAAATTAATAAATTTCGATAAAATAATAAGATAATTGTTGGTATTGGATCCTGCACCCTGGATCATTTTTAGAGAAGGCGAGCCAACAACTTACAAAACAAAGAGGCCCATATTGCACAAAGGAGATGGTCAAATCTTGACATTAATGTGATTCAATTTTCGAATTATAGGATTAAATTTATCATTCAAGTTTATGAATTGATTATGAGAGTTATTTTGTAAGTTCATTCTGAAATTAATAGCCAAATAAAGACATCTTAGGAGGAAAGTGAAGACTCCAAGAAAGGAGACTCCATCTTCTACATTTTTCTCCACAATTTTAGACATAAACATTGTTTTTTCCAATAATTATACTATATACTATTTCTTTTCTTACACATCGAATTCTTGCTACAAAGCTAATCCTATATTATTCTATCTCTACATTTTGCTTACATTTTCATGCTATTTACTATATGCAATTTGTCTTGTATTTTGATCTTGAGAGCTTTAGCCTACGAATAATATAAATACTTGAGTGTGTGAATCCGACATTCACAATAATCTTTTTTTTTGAGAAATTCTCCAAAATAGCACTTAAACAAGTTTTATGGACAATTATAACACACATTCAATAAACTTCCAAAAATAGCATTAGTTGACTCACTATTAAGTTTTTGTTTCAATAGTATTATCATTAGTTTATTTTTTTCAATAATACCATAATTTCATATAAAAACTATTCAACCAAAATAAATTCTAAATATTATATTTGGGTTCTCTATTTCTAATTTAAGGTATATATTTCCACCATTTAAAAGAGATATTGATTCATTTTAATATTGAATTTGTGTTATTATGTTTGGGTTCCTTATTTCTAATGTAGGATATATATTTCCACCATTTAAAAGAGATATTGATTCATTTTAATATTGAATTTGTGTTATTATGTTTTGGTTCCTTATTTCTAATGTAGGATATATATTTCTACCATTTAAAAGAGATTTTGATTTATTTTATATTAGTTTGTGGTATTATATTTGGGTTCCCTATTTCTAATTTAGGCTATATATTTCTACTATTTAATTTAATACTAGGTTAGTGTTTTCTCTCATTTTCTATTTAGTTAAGTTTAGAATGCTATTTGTGGAATTTTAGAAATGTGGTGCTAATTTTGGAAAAATAAACTTTTTTGGTGCTATTTTTGTCAATTGCCCTTCTTTTTTTGTTTTTATAATTCTTATGTAATTATATGGTTCCAATAAATCATAATTCAATAATCATAAAAATTTACATATATATATATATATATATATTTATATACACATATTTACATATATAAGATAATAGATAATGTATGGTTTTTTTTATATAAAATGAATTTTCGTTAGCTCTAACTTTTATTGTATAAAAAATATTTATATTGTGTTTTAAACTATCATATTGTAGTATCATTTATAACTTTTTCATAAAAATAAATAATTTATCTTGTAAGTTTTCAATTTTTGAATATGTATCCATTTTATTTTATTAGTCTTAGAGTGTTAAATACGATAGCAGAGTTCATTAATCATAAATTTGAAAATGTATATCAATTGAATAGTGAATTCATTTATAAGTTTTGTTATTTATTGTCAAATGAGTTTTTTCTAAATATTAAATTTTAAATCCAAAACTAAAAAATTTATAACATCCAAATCATTAATTTTAGCTAGGTAGAGCAAGTTGTTTACACTCATATTTTTTGAATGTTAACAATTACACCTAGATTTTCTTGGGAGTTTCGGATCCGACTTTGACAAGCGTTGCATCCGTTGGCTTCTATTCCATGTCGATTCGAAAGAATAGTTATGTCCTCCCATTTGGCAGGTTTATGTCCGGCGTTTGCCGGTAGAATTTCCTGTTTGTAACTGGTGAATATCCTCCTACACAATGGTATATAAGTTTCACTTTAGTTTTTGATCTTGGAATCCATGAAGTAACAACTTTTCTTAAATGATTTGGAGTTTTTAGATATCAAATTAGAAGTAAAGAAATCAATTTTGGAATTGAAAATTTTCAGATGACTTTACCGGTGGACTATATACAAGAGACATAGAAAAATAGTTTCTTCTTCGTGATGATGCATCAAAATCCGCAAAAATAGAACCTTCAAATTATGGATTCTCAAATGCCACACACGTGGGCTGTTGGTAATGATGATGTTGATCATGTCGTGGGCTTAAACACATCACAAGTTGATGAGGACATAAAATCTAATCCTATTCAAGAGGAGAAAAAGGTAATCCTTGAAGAATATATCGAAGAACACACAAAGGTATGTTCCAACAAATCGTGCATAGACAGTTTTGATGAAGAAGACGTACGGACCAAGATTGAAGAGCACAAGCCCAACCACGGTGAACTAAGCCAAGACCCTAATTTCTCCATATTCTTGACCCATCAAGGATCCACTAAGAAGCAAGAAACGGCCCATAATGGTTCAAACCTGACTAGAACCGAGATCACAAACCGGGTGGTCCAAAACTGTCCAAATTCGACAATTTCCTTATTTGGATCACTACAGACTTACCTTTGGCGACCAGGAGACTTTTACTATGATTTAAAGGCTCATAATAGTGTTTTAAGGTGTACTATCAAGCATGAGATCAATTGGACCAGTCCACACCTCGACTTTCCATATTCGGCGCCAAATCAAGCAATTAATGTCGCATGGATATATCTTCTTGATTTATTCGACCAGCCTGATTTGGAGACCTTCCACACCATAAAGACAACTCCAAAACGTCACTACTTCATGCCAAAGTTGTCTAGATACAAAGAACTCTCACATTTTCCTCATTTGGTCCAAAATCGAGTATTAAAGGCCATATCAATCAAACCTTTGATTGATTTATCATTTAGTTTAATTTATTTGTATTTATGTTGATTTATTTTCTCATTTATTGTTTTAAAACATTTGTGTACGAGCCTATATAAGCTCATCTCATTTCATTGTAAAAGACACCCTTAAATTTGAAAGAAATAGAAAAACCGAGAAGTTTTCTCACCTTTAAAGCTTCGGCTTTGTTTGCTTGTCTTTTCTATTGTGTGTGATTCCCTTAGAAAGCAAGTTTGATCTTTGTCTTTGTGTGTGATTCGCATAGACATTGATTCGTGTTCTTATCGCAAAGTCATTCCGCAACTTTGTGTGGCGAACTTCGATCCATTCAAGCTGTAGGCCTTGAAACCGTGTGATCAATAAGTTTGGTGTGATTCCAATCTTATATCACAAGTTGGTTCTTTAAGAGAAGTAACCATGAACTTGTTATTGTGTTCAGACTTATGGTCATCTCCGGTAAGATTTAGGGATTTGTCAAAATCTGGTAAGGCGATCTCTTCGAAGAATACAGTCGAAACTACTACAATGGTAAATTTGTTTGTGATTTTATTAAAGAGAATTACAGAGTCGAGTTCTTTCAAAAAGACCTTGGTACGGACGCTTTGGTACTACTGTGTCTACATTTCAGAGTTATTTATGGACACATCATGTTTAAAGCTACGATTTGCAAATATAAAGTTCAACTACAGGGTTCTGCATGCCAACCGTAACAGAGAGAAATCAAATATAAAGTTGGACAACAACGGATCTTATGGTCGGTTAGCGAGTAAAACTACTCTTTGGAAAGCATCGTCAATCTCCTTTCTACTGTATTTTTCTTAGTGTATGGTACATACATCTGCGTATGTAATAATTGTGCTCAATTAATTATGTAAATGACTATGTAATCACTCTTTTAAAACAATGGAAATATGTTTTTGCCGGAAAAAAATAAAATTACAAAAGATTTATCTATGAATTAATAAATATTATATTCAAGACATTATTAATTTATAGAGATTTTACTGTAATAGAATAATTTCTCAAGAGTAATTTTTCCACTTAAAAGTACAGAAGGAAAGTTTCCCATTCAGAAAAAAAAAATTATTTGATGGAAAAAATAAATCCTCCTCCCTCCTTTTCCTTTTCAACCATTCAAATCCTAGTTTTGTTCGGATTGTTTAGAGGAGTTCACAAAAATATATTTTCCTCTTTTATGGCCCATTTTTACTAGTTATTTAAAATTAAAATTAGATGATATTTTTCTAGTGTAGCGGGAAAATATAAGTACAAGTGTGAAATTTGATATCTGTGATTTGAATATTAGTAACCACTTTAGCATTCATTCAAAAATAAATTTAGGCACAAAGTTTTAATTATATAACATATGTAATGACATGTTGTTGAAAAATTAATATATATAAGTTAGTTGCAATTAGGTACCCAACAAATGTAATGTTTCTGGGATAAACAAAAATGTTGAAAATTTGAATGTATTAAATGTAAGGAAAATTCGATAAATTGTGCTATGTACATCATCATCCTTTGATAAACGAAAAGCAAGAGCACCAAATACCATAATTAAAACGGAGAGATATGAGAACAAGTAATTATGGTTATAATACGTTCTTAATATTTCTTGTATTCCTTGAGGTTTCTTCTTCGAGTTCAACGTATAGTTCAGTATCCACATCAGGAAAGCGAACTGTCTCAATCAACGAGACGATTGTGTCTCCTGGTAACGTTTATGAGCTTGGATTGTTGCCAACTGATCTGAATTGGTATCTCGGGATATGGCACAAGGAAGATATTTTTAAACAATTTATATGGGTAGCCAACAGAGATAAGCCTTTCTCCATATCAACCGGAACACTCAAATTCTCCGAAAACAACCTCGTTCTTTCAGATAAGGATAACTCTTATGTCTGGTCGGCCAATATGAACAGAGGAGGCGTGAGGTCTCCAATGGTGGCAGAGCTTCTTGACAACGGCAACTTCGTGGTGAAGGATTCCAATAATGATGAAGTTTTGTGGCAGACCTTCGATTATCCCACGGATACTTTATTACCGGAGATGAAACTGGGAAGGGATAAGAAAACAGGAATCAACAAAGTCCTTACATCATGGCATCCAGATGATCCGTCAAGAATTGGTTACTCCTTGCAAGTCAAAAACCAAGCAGGGCTCTTTGAGCTTTTTGTACGGAAACGGAAGCATGAAACTTGGGAGTACATATACCGAAGCGATCCGTGGGATGGAAGACGCTTTGGTGACATGCTGCCAGAGCTTTTACAGTTAGACTACGTCAGCCCAAATTGGACGTGGAACGTTGAAGACTCTTACTTCACGTTCCTAATAACAGGCCAATACAACAACTCGAGATTGACAATGGATGAACATTTACCTCAGATATTCACCTGGGAATCAGAAATAATGATGTGGAACTTGTCTTGGCATCGTTCAGATTCTTACAGAAAGTATCAGATATGTGGGCCTAATAGTTACTCTTCGAGAACGACTACGTTCTCAGTGTGTACTTGTATTAAAGGGTTCGATCCAGCTTTCCATGAGAACTGGTCGTTGAGGGATTGGCGAGGTGGGTGTGAGAGGACGACGCGACTTAACTGTACCGGAGATCATTTTGTACAGTTAAAGAACATGAAGTTACCGGATACTAAAGATGTAACCGTAGTTATGGAAATTGGAATGAAAAATTGCGAAAAGCGGTGTCTTCGGGATTGTGATTGTACAGCGTACGCTTATGTCACTATCCTTAAAGGACATGCAGGTTGTGTCATGTGGACCGGAGCACTCAACGACTTCCAAAACTACAGTGTCGGCGGTCGAGACCTGTATGTCAAAGTGGCTGCTGCGATAGATCACGGTGAGTGCATCAATTAAACGTTTATTATCTTTGGGCTAATCCTGGCCCATTAGTATAAAACCCAAAATATATGTTTACTTTAGGCCCAAACCAATTTATGAGAGGGTTGTGGATATTATTATTATTAAATCATATAGTAATCTAGTTATGAATTGATCATGGGAAATACAAAACTATTATATGGACAAACTTCGATTAAATTTTTTCATTTGTATTTTTATTAGGGGATGAGACGAATCAGACGATTACGACCAAAAATACAAAAAATAAGGGTATGGGCCGCACGTTGGAGGTTACAGTCATCATTATTATCGGAGTCGTGGTAGTGGCACTGGCTACATTCGCCACCTACTACTATTGGAAACAGCACAATCGTCGAACCATAATAACTCATGGTAAATATATACCGATACGTAACACTATAGTTTTAGTTTTTATCTTCTTTTTTTCTAACTTATTTTTTTTAATGCTTATTAGGAGGACCAAGCAAGACAATGATTATGAACGAGATAGCCCGACAAACCAGATGTGAATTCATGAATTTCGTACATGTTGCTGAAGCAACAAATGATTTCTCTGAAGCCAATAAGCTTGGAGAAGGTGGTTTCGGTGTGGTTTACAAGGTTAAGAATTTTACAATCTTTCATTATTAATAACTAGTAGTCTAGTACGTACTTATAATACAACTATCAATAAATCTGACTAGATTATGTGATAATAGGGAACACTGCCTAACGGAAATACGGTGGCGGTGAAAAGATTGGCAATAACATCATCACAAGGTTTTAATGAATTTAAGAATGAAGTTCAAACAATCTCAAGTGTGTTGCATATAAATCTTGTGCGACTGCATGGTTATTGCTGGGAAGATAGAGAACAACTCTTAATCTACGAATACATGGAAAACTCGAGCCTCAATTACTATATTTTCGGTTAGTATTCTTTTTAATTGTAAATTTAATCTTTTTGAAATGAATTAATTTAAAATACCCTATTTACAAGCCGTCAAAAAAAAAAAAAATGATATTTGAAAATTATCCTTGTTTTTTCGTTTGTTTGAAAACTGACTTTTCATATCTTTAATAAAATTTAAAAATTTGTTGAAAATATAAACTTGTATATAAAAATTAACAATTTTGGATAACCATGAGCTATTTAGTTATATAAATTTTTAAACATTTGAATAGGCCCAGCTCAAAAACAATATCTTATTCTATACATTCAAAAACAAACTTAGAATTTGGGCCTTATTTAGAAACCGGGCCTGAATTTTGTTTCTATTGTTGAATCAAATAAATTAACTTAAATACATGTTTTAATGATGGATCGGTAGATGAAACCCAAAGTTCATTGCTAAACTGGGAGAAAAGAAATTGCATTATCAAGGGTATTGTTCAAGGGTTATCCTATCTGCACAATTACGCAACACCTTCCATTATTCATAGAGATCTAAAGCCAAGTAACATATTACTTGGTAAAGATATGATCCCAAAAATATCAGATTTTGGGATGGCCAAACTTTTGGAAAATGACGAGATACAATCTACGACGGGTAAGGCTGTTGGAACGCGGTACGTAATCAAAATTACATCACAATGGTTTTAAAGATTTTGTCATAACTAATATTTTTAAAAATTCATAACACTCATGAATTTTGATTTTTTGTATTTGCACTACATAGAGGTTACATGTCTGAAGAATACGCGTTACATGGAAAATTGTCGGAAAGATCAGATATATTCAGCTTTGGGGTCACGCTTCTTGAAATTGTTACTGGAAAACGCAATATTGAGTATTGCAATTATTATCGCGGTGATAGTCTTCTTGACTACGTAAATACTCAACCTAATTAATTTTATATGTTTTCATAAAAAGGTTACAAAAACTGAAATGTGTTATTATTTTATTTTGTGAAAGGTATGGAGGCACTTTGATGAGGGGAACATTTTACATGTTGTTGATCCGAACTTTGTAGACTCGTCATTGGTAGAAGAAGAGTTATGGAGAACTATACAAGTGGGTCTACTGTGCGTACAAAATGATGAAGACGACAGACCACGCACAGAATCCGTCGCTTAAATGCTGTCAACCTCGAAAATGGAAATACCTCTACCAAAGAAACCTAATTACTTCTACGCTAGATTAATTCGTGGTGAGATTGCCTCCTCATCGTCGGTCACTGAGTCTACATCCATAAATCAAATTACCTTATCGGCCATCAAAAGTCGGTGATGTGATGTAAAAGATTATTCTCTAAAAAAAAAAAAAAAAAAAAAAAAAAAAAAAAAGATTATTCTCTATTTATAAATATATGTCAAGTTTCTAAGAGAATTTATAATGTACCACATGTATTGTTCCGAATTTTATAATATATCATGAGAAAATATTATGTATGTGATGCATAGATTCTATTTTATAGCTTAAATAGTTTAAAACAATAATAGAGAAATGTCGAGCTTTGAAACAAACAAAAAAATATGAAAAATATCTAGAATTTTAATTTAGAAAATCATGTAACATCAGTGAGTGTTGTTCTTTCCACGGAAGAAGCAGATATTGATGCATGAGATATACTAAACGCTGTCCAAAAGGTTTTAGGCCCCTCGTCATCCATTCTCGGATAACTCTGTTTAGGCCACTTAACTCTTGATCAGTGATCCAAAGGTTCTAGTTTCTGAATTTGTTTGAACAACCAGTTGTCTTAAGAAAGACATATAAGAGCATGATTAACGGCAAGCTCCACGGAAGAAGCAGATATTGATGCATGACTGCATGAGATATATACTAAACGCTGTCCAAAAGGTTTTAGGCCCCTCGTCATCCATTCTCGGGTAACTGATCTGTTTAGGCCACTTGACTCTTGATCAGTGATCCCAAGGTACTAGTTTCTGAATTTGTTTGAACAACCAGTTGTCTTAAGAAAGACATAAACTCATGTTTCAATAAAGAGCCTATACCAACTCTAGCTATAGAATGACAATTCCACGCGTCCAATGATACAAGAGTTAGAGATGGATATATATATATGCACTTTTACTTTATCTCACAATCAATATCATCAGAAGGAGCTTTCAATTCTTTAAGCTTCGAGGAAGAAAAAAAAAAACATTTTGTGAAGTCCACAAAAACCAAAACGAAAAGAGTATGAACAACACTCATGTATGCCTCTCACCAGCACAAGCACACACCATAATGTGAATGTCCTCTCTATCTTGACGCAAGCACACAAGTAAGCTTGCTTGCTTTTGGACGCATTCAAATCTCTAAGAGGGCTATAAAAGTATATCTTATCGGACTTACATAAACAAGGTTATTTACAAATGAGGTGAGTACAGGTTTTGACTGTATTATTGGCCAACATCCATCTGGATCACCACCACTAACAAGCTTGGACCGTACGTCTAGTGAGGTTTATGGCAAAATTTGACAAGTCAACAAAATAAAAAAAATGGGAAAAATTGCAAAATAGTCAGTTTTTTCAAACATAATTATAAAACTAGTACATTCACTATTTATAATTTGCAAAATATCCAATTTTCACTATTTGCTATTATTTAGATGACTTCCAAACCCTTAACAAAACATGTTACTTATGACTTATGAGTATATACTACCGAAGTTATATATAATATTTTAAATAAAAAGAAATACATAATGCGATTCGTATAACACATTTAATTTTAACGTACAGATGTACAAAAATATACATTTACAGTCATGCTAAATATACATTATATTAGCTGATTTAAAATGTGTATATCTCTATAAAAAAGCTAACCTTTAATACTTTTACTAAAAAACAGAGATTCTTCTACCAGAAAAGCCTTAAAATATATATTTCCTAAAAACGAATCTCTAAGAAATGTTATGCTTGGATTTTGTGGTTCCTTTGGAAAGATAGGAATAAAAAGGTTTTCAAAGGTTTACAATCAGTACCCATAGATATTTTAAACCATGCTTTGAATGAAAAATTAATGTGGGAAGAAGCTCAATTGGAAACAGTCGAATCTAGCTCTACTATGGAAGTTTTGGAAAATCCAGTTCAATCAATAAGATGTCGGATTGATGGTTCTTGGAAAGTTTCGGATCCAACTATGGGTATAGGATGGTGGTGTTTTCAAGGAATCGATCAAACGATATTGCTCGGTGCAAAGTGCCTTCGGAGATGTCCCTCCCCCCTTCATTCGGAGATGGAAGCTTTAATTTGGGCTATGAAAAATATCCTTTCAAGAAGGATTGATTGTCAGGTGTTTGAAACAGATTGTTCGGAGTTAGTCTCGATGATACAGTCACCTGAAGATTGGCCCGCTTTCTCCAATCTGCTAGATGAGTTTGGTTTGCTCCGTGTCTACTTTCCATTGTTCTCGCTTTCTCTTATTTCTCGTTTATGTAATGTTAAAGCGGACTGTTTAGCCCGATCTTCTAGACTTTTATTTTCTGAAGTTACTTTTGTAAACACTACTCCTCCTAGTTGGGCAACCAATCAAGGAGTTATTTATTAATTAACGTGTGATTGATAAAAAAAAAAAAAAAAAAAAAAATCAAAAGAAAACAAATGTATACCCAATTACCCACGTGTTAAGTCAGTCTTTATTTAATACTAATTCTTTCTAAAACTGCTTTTACAAGAAGAGTGACCCACACGTTAAGGCAGTCTTTCTTTACTAATTCTTTTCTTGTTTCTGTTTGACTCATGATCTTTGATTCTTTTCGATAAGTGAAATAAACCTCATGAACAAGCATTGGAGCCCACTTTAACTCTACTTTTCTTTGTTCTTTCTTGTTTGTTATTCTATTACTTAGTAATTTACACGTTGTAGCAAAGGAAGGATCCAAGCTACTTCCTTGCGTCCATTAGTCTCCGGTTCCCACTTCCCCACCAATTATAAATTCTGAGTGTTTGGGTTTACTCAAAAACACAAAGACACCCAAAACAAGATGAGTTCCTCTGACTCTTCTTCCGCGGAATCCCGTCTAGCCACGGCTAAGACTGTTCTCACCACCGCGGCTTCGGTGGCTGCAACCGCAATGCTTGCTCGATCTTTACTCCAAGATTATTTGCCTGACGAGGTGCACGACTATATTTCCTATGGATTCCGTTCCATCTTTGGTTACTTCTCCTCCCAAATGACAATAATCATCGAAGAATTTGAAGGTTTTGCTCACAATGAAGTCTTTGAAGCTGCAGAGGCCTATCTAGCCACCAAGATCTCTCCTTCTAACAAAAGAATCAAAGTGAGTAAACACGAGAAAGAAAACAACTACAATGTCAGTGTGGAGCGTAACGAAGAAGTTGTGGACACCTACAATGGCGTCAAATTCCAGTGGATCCTCTATTGTCGTCATGTCGAGTCGTCCAAGCACTTCCACAACCCACGGGATCTAAACTCCACACTGAAATCTGAGGTCCGATCATTCGAGCTCAGCTTCCACAAGAAATTCAAAGACATAGCTCTTGAATCTTACTTACCATTCATGGTGAAAAGAGCCAGGTTGGTGAAGCAAGAGAAGAAAACACTCAAGATCTTTACTCTCGACACAGAAAACATGTATGGGAACTACTCCGACGCGTGGACCTCTGTTACTCTTGACCATCCTTCTACCTTCAAAACGCTAGCAATGGATTCAGATGTCAAGATAAGTGTGATGGAAGATCTAAACAAATTCGTAAAGCGAAGAGACTTCTATAAAAGGGTTGGTAAAGCTTGGAAGAGAGGTTACTTGTTGTACGGTCCACCAGGCACAGGGAAGTCAAGCTTGATCGCAGCCATGGCCAATCATCTCAACTTTGATATTTACGACCTAGAGTTGACCGCGGTTAACAACAACTCTGAGCTCCGGCGATTATTGATTGCAACTGCTAATCGTTCGATTCTTATTGTAGAAGATATCGATTGTTCACTAGAATTGAAAGATAGGACTAGTGATGAACCTCCTAGGGAATCTGACGATGTAGAAGATCCGCGGTATAAAAAAGTGACACTCTCTGGACTGTTGAATTTCATAGATGGTCTATGGTCAAGCTGCGGTGACGAAAGGATCATAATATTCACAACAAATTACAAAGAGAAACTCGACGCGGCCTTGTTGAGACCAGGACGTATGGATATGCACATTCACATGTCGTATTGCACACCAAGTACTTTCAAAGCTCTTACTTCAAACTATCTAGAGATCAAAGAGCACCGCCTTTTCAGCAAGATCGAGGAAGGTATTGAGGCCACAGAGGTTAGTCCAGCAGAAGTGGCTGAACAACTTATGAGGAATGACTCTGTTGATAAGGTTCTTGAGGGTTTGATTGAGTTCTTGAAAGTCAAGAAGATCGAAAACGAACAAGATAAGGCCAAAAAGGAGAAGGAAGAGTTGGAGAACAAGGAAAAGACCAACAAGGGAAAAGATTCGGGAGTCAAGAAAAGTACCGAAGAGGTTGAGGAACAGTTAGTGAGGAATGACCGTGTTGATAAGATTCTTGAGGGTTTGGTCGAGTTGTTAAAAGTCAAGAAGATCGACAACGACCAAGATAAAAGCCAAACATGAGGAGGATTGATACGCACTTCCGCAATCAGCTTTCATCAATTAGAGCACTTGGAGATCGGGCGGTATGAGACATGCCTACAACACTGGTTTCAGTCTCGAACATAACCCCTCTGTTTTTGAAGTTTTCAGATTTTTTCAGATTTAAATCCTTCAATCATACGAAGCACTTTATGAAAACCATAATTAAGTTATTGGTAAGAGAAATGTCGAGCTTTGCAAATTAAAAAAAAAAATGAAAAATATCTCGAATTTTAATTTAGAAAATCATGTAACATCAGTGAGTGTTGTTCTTTCCACGGCCGAAAGAAGTAGATATTAATGCATGAGATATACTAAACGCTGTCCTAAAGGTTTTAGGCCCCTCGTCATCCATTCTCGGATAACTCTATTTAGGCCAAGGTACTAGTTTCTGAATTTGTTTGAACAACCAGTTGTCTTAAGAAAGACATAAACTCATGTTTCAATAAAGAGCCTATACCAACTCTAGCTATAGAATGACAATTCCACGAAGCCACCGATTAGGGCCTCAAAATTTGAGGGCCTTTTTACCTAAAAACTAGATCATCACCCGTACTAAAGTACGGGTTGAATTTTATTTATTACAAAATTTATATAATATATATATTAGAACTAAGTTTTAATATATTATAATAGTAAGTGAAAAAAATATTAATTTTTTTGTCAGTCCCTATATACAATATTAGAATAAATATAGAATTTTTCTATAATACTCAATTATGGATAAATTTTTTTTTAAGATATGAAAACGGAAAATAATTTATTTTTAAAAAAGTAATATTTTTTGAACAATGAGTTAATTTATGTTAACAACCACAAAATAGGATTGCATATATTTCAGTTAAATCAAAAATTAAAATATCATAAATAAATCGCATATAAAACATTGATTATTTTGAATTAATTAGGAAAATGAGGTATTATTTTGAATTAATTTAGAAAATTCTTTTTCAATTCATAATTCTTTGGTTGTTGAAATAGAGATTTGTTTGAGCTAATCTAATTACAAAATTTGTTTGAGATTTATAATTACGGAATTTACCAATTATTCGCATAATCGAATATGTTATAAACATATATTTAGTATATAATAATACCAAAATCAACCCGTGCGTGGAGTCTATATTTTTATTTTAGAATCTTTATATTTCATTTTAAAATATTGCGTGCACAATCTATTATTCGTTAATTCTAAAATTGCTTGCGGAATCAAATTTTCAAATATTTAGAGGTGTCAAACCATATTTAAATGTTCTACACTATTTTTAAATATTCCAAATTAAAATCTTTAAATTTTTGTAGTTTATAAAATTATGAATTTCAAAAAACAAATTATATGAAATTAAATATAACTATTCAAATAGTTATAAGGATCAAAACTCATTTCATCATATAATATATTATATTTAACCCGCTACCTATTATAAATATTTAAAAAAAAAACAAATTAGAGTATTTATAATTTTTAACTTTTTGAACTATTAAGTATTGATGATATTCTCTAAAAATATCAAGAAAACTTATTTTAAATGTTGCAAATTAAAATATTTAAATTTTTACTGTAGTATATAAAATTATACATTTCAAAAAAATAAATGTATTTTGACCCGTTGCTCAGTCGGAATTTTTGTTAACTTTATTTTTGTGTAAAAAAAATATATTACTCAAGTCTGAATTTTTGACCCGTTTAATTGTTTCCTTTATAGATTGAACAATTTATATGCGTTTTTAAAAATTCAAATCTTGGCATATGCAGAAAAAAATTTACTTTTTTTTTTATTATGTAGATGATATGATGATTTATTTGTTTCATATTAATATAATCATATAAAGATGAGAGGTGAAGTTTAATGATTAATAACAAATTAATATGGTAAGTTAGATATCAAATCTTATATGATCATTTTGATTGGTCATTTAAAAAGAAATAATAATAACAGATTTTCGTTTTATAATTTAATTAAATGACATAAATTAGTATTTTACTTGTTTATCCTTAATAAATTGAATGAAATTTGTTCTAAAAGAAGATTTTTGTAATGACATTTTTAAGTAAATTCTTACAAAAGGGAATGTTAGTTTAGGGTATCTTATAAAGTGTACTCCCCAAATAATAGTATAGGATTTGTTAAGTTTTCTTATATACAATAATTTTTGTAGGGCCTTTTAAAAATATTGTGGGCCTTTAGAGACGACTACAACATTATTTTTAATGGTAAAAATCTAATTTAAAAGAAAATCATTTTATGGGCTTTAATTTTGCTTAGGGCACCCAAATTTACCGGGCCGGCACTCGGTCCAATGATACAAGAGCTAGAGATGGATATATGTATGCACTTTAAGCTGCGAAGAAGAAAAAACATTTTGTGAGAAATCTGCATTGCATCCACAAAAAATAATACGAAAAGAGTATGAACAACACTCATGTATGCCTCTCACCAGTCCTATAACCATTGGTGTTTCACTAGTGTAATCCTTTTCAGAAGAAAAGGCAAAAAGCAAGCACACACACCATAATGTGAATGTCCTCTCTATCTTCACGCAAGCAAACAAGTAAGCTTGCTTGCTTTAGGACCCATTCAAATCACTAAGAGGGCTACAAAATTATATATTATTGGACTTACATAAACAACAAGCTTATTATCTACAATTACAAATGAGGTGAGTACAGGTTTTAACTGTATTATTGGCCAACATTCATCTGCATCACCATTCGCCACCACTAACAAGCTTGGACCGCACGTCTAGTGAGGTTTATGGCAAAATTAGACAAGTCAACGATTTTTTTTTTTCAGACGAATCTCAAAGAAAATCAAAAGAAAACAAAAAGAATTGAGGATGAAGATAGAAATATACCGATGTGATTGGCATTAAATCCATCTTTATTTTAACATCATTTTCTAACTTTCCGTACATGATTTATGATTTTCAGATAGGGTGTATCCTAGTCCCAACATTTCAGCAACCTAATTTTTTTTTTGGACCATATTGCAACAGCTGAAATATCATATAGACAAGGAAGTTTTAAGAAGCTGGTGGAATTGACTTGATAGTAATATACTATTGATGTATATATTACATACCAATATTAACCGTTATTGGATTTATTGAGTGGAAATGACTTAACATTTTCTCTAAAACTGCTTTTACAAGAAGCGTGACCCACACGTTAAGTCAGTCTTTCTTTACTAATATTTGCTTCTTTTCGATAAGTCAAATAAACGTCATGAACAAGTCATTGGAGCCCACTTAAACTCTACTTTTCTTCGTTCTTTCTTTTTTGTTATTCTATTACTTAGAAACTTCCACGTTGAAGCAATGGAAGGATCCAAGCTACTTCCTTGCGTCCATTAGTCTCCGGTTCCCACTTCCCACTAATTATAAATTCTGAGCTTTTGCGTATAACAAAACTCAAAAACACAAAAACACCCAAAACAAGATGACCTCCTCTGACTCTTCTTCCGCAGAATCCCGTCTAGCCACGGCTAAGACGGTTCTCACCACCGCGGCTTCGGTGGCTGCAACCGCAATGCTGGCTCGATCTTTACTCCAAGATTATTTGCCTGACGAGGTGCACCACTATATTTCCTATGGATTCCGTTCCATCTTTGGTTACTTCTCCTCCCAAATGACAATAATCATCGAAGAATTTGAAGGTTTTGCTCACAATGAAGTCTTTGAGGCTGCAGAGGCCTATCTAGCCACCAAGATCTCTCCTTCTAATAAAAGAATCAAAGTGAGTAAACACGAGAAAGAAAACAACTACAATGTCACCGTGGAGCGTGACGAAGAAGTTGTTGACACCTACAATGGCGTCAAATTCCAGTGGATCCTCCATTGTCGCCATGTTGAGTCCAAGAACTTCCACAACCCAAGGGATCTAAACTCGACAATGAGATCTGAGGTCCGATCATTCGAGCTCAACTTCCACAAGAAATTCAAAGACATAGCTCTTGAATCTTACTTGCCATTCATGGTGAAAAGAGCAACGTTGATGAAGCAAGAGAAGAAAACACTCAAGATCTTCACTCTCTCCCCAGAAAACATGTATGGGAACTACTCTGACGCGTGGACCTCTGTTTCTCTTGACCATCCTTCTACCTTCAAAACTCTAGCAATGGATTCAGATGTCAAGACAAGTGTGATGGAAGATCTAGACAAATTCGTAAAGCGAAGAGACTTCTATAAAAGGGTTGGTAAAGCTTGGAAGAGAGGTTACTTGTTGTACGGTCCACCAGGCACAGGGAAGTCAAGCTTGATCGCAGCCATGGCCAATCATCTCAACTTTGATATTTACGACCTAGAGTTGACCGCGGTTAACAACAATTCTGAGCTCCGGCGATTATTGATTGCCACTGCCAATCGTTCGATTCTTATCGTGGAAGATATCGATTGTTCACTAGAATTGAAAGATAGGACTAGTGATGAACCTCCTCGGGAATCTGACGATGTAGAAGATCAACGGTATAAAAAAGTGACACTCTCTGGACTGTTGAATTTCATAGATGGTCTATGGTCAAGCTGTGGCGACGAAAGGATCATAATATTCACAACAAATTACAAAGAGAAACTCGACGCGGCCTTATTGAGGCCAGGACGTATGGATATGCACATTCACATGTCGTATTGCACACCCAGTACTTTCAAAGCTCTTGCTTCAAACTATCTAGAGATCAAAGAGCACCGCCTTTTCAGCAAGATCGAGGAAGGTATTGAGGCGACAGAGGTTACTCCAGCAGAGGTGGCTGAACAGCTTATGAGGAATGACTCTGTTGATAAGGTTCTTGAGGGTTTGATTGAGTTCTTGAAAGTCAAGAAGATCGAAAACGAACTAGATAAGGCCAAAAAGGAGAAGGAAGAGTTGGAGAACAAGGAAAAGACCAACAAGGGAAAAGATTCGGGAGTCAAGAAAACCGGAGAGGTTGAGGAACAGCTAGTGAGGAATGACCGTGTTGATAAGATTCTTGAGGGTTTGGTCGAGTTATTAAAAGTCAAGAAGATCGACAACGACCAAGATAAAAGCCAAACAGAAGGAGATGAGCAACATTAACTTGTGAGATTTGGAAGAGAATTAACGAGAGATCAATACCTAAATCAGTAAATCGCCAACGACCGTAGTTACTGTCTGCAACCTCCAGATTTCTATAATCCTATATAATCTAGTCCTAAGATTTCGAGATTCGATCCGATTATAGAGAATTTAGAAAGTAAGTCAAATTCAGAGCATAAACTCCTAAAGATCAAGCGATTACGCAAGTAAAACATAAATAAGAGAACCGATCTGATATAATCCAGAGACCAAAAAAACAGAACAAGGGAAATTTGAAGAGATCAGTTAGAATACCTCTGAATCCGAGTGGTAGCTGTAAAGAGAATGGAGAAGTAAAGAGCACGTGTATTTATACAAAACGAAGCGTTTCGCTTGTTTTTCCTCTGCTATGTTTTTTTTTTTTTTTTTTAAACATTTGTATCACAATTTCTTTTTCTTTTTCTTTTTTTTTTGAATGAATGTAAAAATATATTCAACCAAAAAAGACATGTGTACAATGAATGCATCTGTTTTTTTTGAAAAAAATTAGATAAAAGACATTAAAAGCCGAGTAGAGAGTTTAGAATAGTGCCGAGGTCTTGTTTATGGAGTTAGTCGAGTAGAGAACCACAAGCTTAGGCCGTCACCATATCGATGATCTCCCAAGTCTTTAATAGCGCTGATGCGGTTTCGAACAGTCTTGTCTATATATGAGTTTGATGAGTCGAGTTTTAGAGGATTGAAGTTCTCACAATTTCTTTTTAGCGACTAAAAAATGTTTGATTTTTAATTTTCCGAATCTTAATTTATCCCCATATAACCTCATGATTTTTATTACTATTATGGCAGTTGATTTTATAGCCCATCGATAAAATAACATCTTCTAACCAATTCATTGGGGTCTTAGTGAAATTGTAAAAGAGACAAGAGAAAAATAATTATTACCAAAAAGGTTTTGGCTCCCAAGAGATACAGAGACGAGAACACGTTCTTGTTCAAAGGTGTGCTTTGGAGAAAAGGAATTGCTAGAAAAGTAAATCTTAGAAAAACAAATATTTTTATCAAAAAAAAGAAATCTTCCTCTTTGAATGAAAAAATATGTTTGTTTTCTAATTTCTTTAGACCTCGTTGTCACTTGTATTATATAGATGCAATCTTTTCGCTCAAGTTCTAATATCGTATCGAAGCAAAGTGAAATAATTTTTAGGTTTTGATTTCCGAGAGTTCTCTTCTCGAATTTTCTTTTTATCTGCTCTGTTTCTTCCTTCTCACGAAACGTGTTTGCTTTAACTTAAGTTCGTAATTGCTTTGCTTTCGATCGTAATTTGCATTTAGGTTCTTTTACACGGAAGCATTAGACGGGGAGTGGTGAAGAGTTTTTTCTTCTCATGCAAGCAATCTCAAAGCCCTAGAGAAGTAGCTTAAGTAACCTAGAGAGACCAACTAGTTCATTCGTTTGTTAAGTTTTTGAGATCTGATCTCAATGGCGCAAACATCTCGTTCTTATCCAGTTTGTATGCGTATGAGCACCGATGGAGGCAGAACACTTGGAATACGAAAACAACCTCAAATTGTTTCGATTCATTGCTCTGCTGCAAAATATCCAGGTATATTCAAATCCAATTATATATACGTTCAATTTATTATATTTACACAATCCTGAAATTGAACTAGTACGAATTCCAACAGTTTTCACCACTGCGGCTTCAGTGATTCCAACAGTTCTCACCACCGCAGCTTCGATGGCTAATACCGCAATGCTAGCTCGATCGGTATTCCGAGATTATTTGCCTGACGAGGTGAAAAGCTACATCTCTTATGGCTTTCGTAGCTACTTTCGCGGCCGCTTCTTGCTTTACTTTTCCACTCAAATGACAATAACCATCGAAGAATTTGATGGATTTGTTCACAATCAAGTCTTTGAAGCTGCAAAGGCCTATCTAGCCACCAAAATCTCTCCTTCTAACAAAAAAATTAAAGTGAGTAAACACCAGAAAGAAAAAAGCTACAACGTGACCGTGGAACGTGATGAGGAAGTTGTGGACACTTTCAATGGCGTCCAGTTCCGGTGGGTCCTCCGTTGTGGCCATGTTGAGTCCAAGAATCAAAACTCCAAAGCCAAATCCGAGGTCCGATCATTCGAGCTCAACTTCCACAAACAATACAAGGACATAGCTCTTGAATCTTACTTGCCATTCATGGTGAAAAGAGCCACATTGATGAAGCAAGAAAAGAAAAAGCTTAAGATCTTCACTCTCGACACAGAATGGTACTCAAACAGGTGGACCTCAGTTACTCTTGACCATCCTTCTACTTTCAAGACGCTAGCAATGGATTCAGATGTCAAGAGAAGTGTGATGGAAGATCTAGACAAATTTGTAAAGCGGAGCGATTACTATAAGAGGGTAGGTAAAGCTTGGAAGAGAGGTTACTTGTTGTACGGTCCACCAGGCACAGGGAAGTCAAGTTTGATTGCAGCCATGGCCAATCATCTCAACTTTGATATTTACGACCTAGAGTTAACTGCCGTTAACAACAATTCTGAACTCAGGCAATTATTGATTGCCACTGCTAATCGTTCGATTCTTGTTGTGGAAGATATTGACTGCTCTATCAAACTAAATAATAGGACAAGTACTGATCATGAAGATGAACCTCCTGAGAAATCACGAAACAAGAAGGTGACACTCTCTGGACTGCTAAATTTCATAGATGGTCTATGGTCAAGCTGCGGGGAAGAAAGAATCATAATATTCACAACAAATTACAAAGACAAACTCGACCCGGCCTTGTTAAGACCAGGACGTATGGATATGCACATTCACATGTCGTATTGCACGCCAAGTACTTTCAAGGTTCTTGCTTCAAACTATCTAGAGATCAAAGAGCACCGCCTTTTTAGCAAGGTCGAAGAAGGTATCGAGGCGACAGAGGTTACTCCAGCAGAGGTGGCTGAACAACTTATGAGGAATGACTCTGTTGATAAGATTCTTCAAGGTTTGATTGAGTTTTTGGAAGTCAAAAAGATTAAAAACGAACAAGCCAAGGCCCAAAAAGAGGGGGAAGAAGTGGAGAGTAACAAGGAAACGACCAATAAAAAAGATTCGGTGAAGAAAAAACGAAAAGATTGATGATGAATGCCGGCTTACGATCTGGTTTCAATCTAGAATTTAAATTCTTTTTAGCTTTTAAACTATTGTTTTTCTTTGAACATTCAAAAAAAGAAAAAAAGGCTTATGGATTTCCTCGTACATTTTTATTTTCTGTTTTAAATAAACCTTCCTATTTATATCTTCTTCCATACCCTCTTTTTCATGAAAAAAATATTTTCTAGCTTTTTTTTCTAAAAATTAATGATCTATATGTTCAATACTTATTAACTAATAGTCTAGTATCAATAAGTTGAGTTTAAAAAAAAAACTAATACAATGAGAGAGATTTGAATTAGTTTTGGGAAAAGCAAATAAATTAAATTAAAACAAACTATATATTACTAAATGGGCCGTAGATATTGGCCCACTATATACAATTCGTTTCACTTTTATCATCTTCAACCCAATTAAATAAATAATTTTTCATCCCTAATTTTCTGAAGTATCGTGAAAGTTCAGTGATCGCAGAAGTGCAGAGGTATCAAGGTATCTCTTTAAGCATCAAATTTTTATTTTTTTGAATTGTTAGAATTTCAATTTTGTTATTCATCATAGAAACCTTAGATAGCATCAGATTTATGATACTCGAATTTATATCATTCCTTTAACTTTTTCTGTAATCATTATGCACAAATCTTTTTTTTTTAGGTTAATTTTTCTTGTTTGTGACTCTGATTTCTGTGAACTAACTTTACCAGTGATTTTTTTTTGTTTTTTCAATTTATTATCAATAAGATTGAAGGAAATGAGTTCCTCTGTTTCATCCTCTAGTGAATCTCATCTAGCCACCGCCAAAACAGCTTTGACGGCGGTTGCATCAGTTGCTGCAGCCGCAATGCTAGCTCGATCAGTGGTTCAAGATTACATGCCAAGCGAGGTTCATGAGTTTATCTCTTACGGCTTTCGCAGATTCTTCAGCTACTTCTCTTATCAGATGACTGCTGTTATTGAAGAATTTGGAGGTTTTGAACACAATCAAGTGTTTGAAGCTGCAGAGGCTTATCTCTCCACCAAGATATGTAATTCCACTAAAAGAATCAAAGTGAACAAACTTGAGAAACAGAGCAATTATAGTGTTACTGTTGAACGTGATGAGGAAGTTGTGGATACTTTTGATGGCGTCAAGCTTAGTTGGATCCTTGTATGTCGCCATGTCGATAAAAAGGATTTTCGTAACCCGCGAGATCTCAACTCCACTTTGAAATCAGAAGTGCGTACTTACGAGCTTAGTTTCCGAAAGAAGTTCAAGAACATGGTTCTTGAATCTTATTTACCGTTTGTTGTGGAACAAGCTGTTTCTATGAAAGAAAAGATTAAGACGTTGAAGATCTTTACTGTTGATTCTTACTCCGTAGAGTGGACCTCTGTGACTCTCGATCATCCTTCCACGTTTCGCACTCTCGCTATGGATCCCGAGGTGCAGAAAAACTTGGTGGAGGATCTTGATCGATTCGTGCAGCGGAAAGGCTTTTACGGGAGGGTGGGAAAAGCTTGGAAGAGAGGGTATTTGTTGTATGGTCCTCCCGGTACTGGAAAATCAAGCTTGATCGCAGCCATCGCTAATCATCTTAACTTTGATATCTATGACTTAGACTTGACATCACTTAACAACAATGCTGAGCTCAGGAGGTTACTTATGTCTACTGCAAATCGTTCCATTCTAGTTGTGGAAGATATAGATTGTTCAATCGAGTTAAAAGATCGGTCTACTGATCAGGAAAACAACGATCCGCTGCATAAAACGGTGATGCATTTTGATTCACTATCACTTATGTTGTATGTCTTTTGCATATTAGCATAACTAATGTTTTGATTGGTCATTTTCAGGTCACACTCTCTGGTTTATTGAATTTTGTAGATGGACTATGGTCAAGTTGTGGTAACGAGCGGATTATAGTGTTTACGACTAACTACAGAGAAAAATTGGATCCAGCATTGTTGAGGCCAGGACGTATGGACATGCACATTCACATGTCGTATTGTACACCAGCTGCTTTTAAGGTTTTGGCTTCGAATTATCTCGAGATTCAAGATCATATACTTTTCGAGCAGATTGAAGAATTTATCCAAGAAATTGAAGTTACACCAGCAGAAGTAGCTGAACAGTTGATGAGGAGTGACTCTGTGGATAAAGTACTCCAAGGACTCGTTGAGTTCTTAAAAGCCAAGAAAAAGATAAATAACTAAAAAGAAATTTTGTAGTTCTTTTATTTGTTTCTTTGATAAACACTATCTTATGCTATTATTGGTTATAAAATGTTACAGAAAGTGAGAAATCATAATTATTACTTCCTTAGGAGTATTATTTTCCTAAAGAAATGTTGATATTATTTTATGAGGTCAGAACATGTCTAAACTCTCAATGATAAGATTCTAAAGCAGATTGAGACAAGTTTCGTAGTCGGCAGCAAGTAACCAAGAAAACGAGTAAGGTTGACTCTTGACTTATAAATTGTTAGACCATTGACTTCAATTTCGATAAAGTTTCTCGTAAGCTCATTTTCTTGAAACAAGTTTGCTAAAAAGATCTAAAGATCTGAAGCTTCGGATCCTTATCGGCTAAGAGCTAAGTCACAACCTTGTAAGTGTTCTCTTACCATGAGGTTGACTTTACTTTGGTTAGATTTGTTTCGATGTTCTAGGATTCTACATGTTTCTTGTTTCTTGAGAAGATACGGATTAGTTAAAGATTAGTCCAATCTTTGGTTGATTCATAGGAAAGTTCGATCTATAGATACACATAACCGATTGAATTATTGTTTGGTTGTTTTGTACCAATTAGAGATATTTCTTGAAGTTGCAGGGTCAGAGAAAATGGTGGACGCTGTTGTAACAGTGTGTTTAGATAAAGTCTTGAACATCCTCGAAGAAAAAGGCCGAATCGTATCGGACTACCGAACACAGTTGGAAGATTTGCAAAGGGAGTTGCTATATATGCAGTCTTATCTCAAGGATGCAGAGAGGCAGAAGAGAACTAAAGAAGTGTTGCGTAATTTTGTGACGGAGTTACGAGAATTGGTTTACGAAGCTGAGGACATACTTGTGGATTGTCAGCTCGCGGATGGTGATGATGGAAACGAGCAAAGGTCATCAAACGCGTGGCTTTCGCGGTTTAATCCTCCCCGGGTTTCGTTGCAGTACAAGAAAAGCAAACGTTTGAAAGAGATCAATGAAACGATAAAGAAGTTAAAGAGTACAGTTGATTCTTATTTCAAACTCCTCACGCCGAGTAATGTCGGAAGAGATAATGGAACTGATCGGTGGAGCTCTACGGTGTATGATCATACTCAGGTGGTTGGTTTGGAAGGAGATAAAAGAAAAATCAAGGAGTGGCTCTTTCGATCAAACGAGAGCGAGCTATTGATAATGGCCTTTGTAGGGATGGGAGGGTTAGGTAAAACTACGATTGCTCAAGAAGTGTTCAATGACAAAGAGATTGATCATCGTTTTGAAAGAAGGATATGGGTGTCTGTGTCTCAGACTTTTACCGAAGAGCAGATCATGAGAAGCATTTTGCGAAACTTGGGTGATGCGAGCGTTGGAGATGATCTTGGAACATTGCTGAGAAAAATCCACCAATATCTTTTGGGGAAAAGGTACTTGATTGTGATGGACGATGTGTGGGACACGAATTTGAGTTGGTGGGACAAGATCTACCAAGGACTGCCTAGAGGACAAGGTGGTAGTGTTATCGTGACCACAAGGTCGGAATCTGTCGCGGTAAGGGTTCAGGCGAGAGACAAGACTCAGGTTCAGGCGGGAGACAAGACTCACCGACCACAGCTCCTCAGTACTGATAACAGTTGGCTGCTGTTTTGTAAAGTGGCATTTGCAGCAAATGACGGTACTTGTGAGCGTCCCGAGCTAGAGGATGTCGGCAAGGAGATTGTAACGAAATGCAAAGGTTTGCCTTTGACAATCAAAGCAGTTGGTGGATTACTTTTGTGCAAAGACCATGTCTATCATGAATGGAGACGAATAGCAGATCATTTTCGGGATGAGCTAAGAGGAAACACTTCTGAAACTGACAATGTGATGTCTTCTTTGCAATTGAGCTACGACGAACTCCCTTCCCACCTTAAGTTATGCTTTCTCACGCTTTCGCTCTATCCAGAAGACTGTGTTATACCAAAACAGCAACTCGTACATGGATGGATCGGAGAAGGTTTTGTCATGTGGAAAGACGGAAGATCTGCAACTGCATCTGGAGAAGACTGCTTTTCCGGGCTCACAAACAGGTGTCTAATAGAAGTTGTTGACAAAACCTATAGTGGAACCATCATCACTTGCAAGATTCATGACATGGTTCGTGATTTGGTGATCGATATAGCCAAGAAGGATTCGTTCTCTAACCTGGAAGGCCTCAATTGTCGTCACCTTGGGATTACTGGAAACTTTGATGAGAAGCAGATCAAAGTTAACCATAAGCTGAGAGGCGTTGTGTCAACAACTAAGACAGGTGAGGTGAACAAGCTCAACTCAGACTTAGCTAAGAAATTCACAGAGTGTAAATATCTTCGGGTTCTCGATATCTCGAAATCAATATTTGATGCTCCTCTGTCTGAGATTTTGGATGAGATTGCAAGCCTTCAACACTTAGCATGTCTTAGTATGAGCAACACACATCCGTTGATCCAGTTTCCTCGTTCCATGGAAGATCTCCACAATCTTCAGATTCTAGACGCAAGCTACTGTCAGAATCTGAAACAACTTCAACCTTGCATTGTCTTGTTCAAGAAACTCCTTGTACTCGACATGACGAATTGTGGATCACTTGAGTGCTTCCCCAAGGGTATTGGAAGTCTCGTGAACCTCGAAGTACTGTTGGGATTTAAGCCAGCCAGGTCCAACAATGGGTGCAAGCTCAGTGAAGTGAAAAATCTCACAAACCTCCGGAAACTTGGTCTTTCTCTGACTCGTGGCGATCAGATCGAAGAGGAGGAGCTTGATTCTTTGATAAACCTAAGCAAGCTTATGTCCATTACGATCAGCTGCTATGATAGCTACGGCGATGATCTCATAACCAAAATTGATGCGCTCACTCCTCCACACCAGCTCCATGAGCTTTCTCTACAATTCTATCCTGGAAAGTCGAGTCCATCGTGGTTGAGTCCTCACAAGCTTCCGATGTTGAGGTACATGTCAATATGCTCAGGTAATTTGGTGAAAATGCATGAACGATTCTGGGGAATTGAGAATACTCACTGGAGAATCGAAGGTTTATTGTTAAGTTCGTTGTCGGACCTAGACATGGACTGGGAAGCGCTGCAACAGTCAATGCCGTACCTGAGGACCGTGACCGCAAACTGGTGTCCAGAGCTAGAGTCTTTCCCGATCGAAGATGTCGGCTTTAGAGGCGGAGTGTGGACGAAAACACCACTGCACAGAACCTGATGGCACGTTTTAAGCAACTAGATCAATGTTTATTAAACAGTGACAATAAGTTGGTGTATTACATATACCTTGATACAATGTAATGTTGCATTTGACCGTTTGGATTTCATATCGCAATTTTCTTTTCTAATAAACATATAACAAAAGAGCACAAGGGAAAAACAGAGACTAGCATCAATGGCAGATCTTTGATGTCAACTGCTTGATCAGTCAGAATCAGAGTCCAGATTCTCTGAAGACCTAACAGACCGCCGTATGCTCTCTTGATATTCAGCGTCTTCTTCATCTTCCTCTTTCTTCTTCTTGCTGAGCATTCCTGATAAAGGTTTGCACTTTTTAAGCAACAATCTTTAACTTAGCTGTAATTCTACAAAAAGGTGGATGCGAGGTTCTTCTTACCCTTTTTAACAAGAACGTTCTCTAGTTTATTCGTGGTGAAATCGTCCTTAGTGCCCAGATCCTGGAACCCAACTAGCCTATCCATCGCGATTCCCTTGCTAAGAATGATAAAGAAACTCGTACTTTATTATACACCTAACAACAAGCCCTGTATGTAAGAATGAATAGAAAGAGGCAAAACCTGAAAAGCACAACGCAAGGCAACGTCTTTATTGCAAGCTTCGTGACAAAGAAAGGAGCATTCTGCATTTATTTCAGCCAAGCATTAGTTTCAGCAAAGGATTGTTGAAAAGCCATTTCCTTTTTCTAACTTTAATCAAGTGGTTATTCACTAACCTCTGCGTCCACTTTAATGAACTTTGTGTCCACATGTCTAGGTGCAAGAGTCTTCAGATGCTTGTCCATAATCCTACAATGATGCAGAGCTTATGTTTGGTTATGAGGGCTCATATATCAGAAGAGGAACAAAAAAATAAGCTGACGAGAGATCTTACTTGCACCGGTAAAATTCCTTATGGTAGAAATGACATATCACTTTCTCACTCCTGGTGACTTCACCCAGAAAATCTCCTTCGCTTACCTCTCGATATTCACCATGTCCTTGTCTTTTAAACGCTTCTCTCTTCTCGACTTCTCTCTGTCAAATTAAAATCTTGAAGGTTTTAGTTCCTACCAAAAAGCTGCATAGCTAATTATATAGGCCACAATGCAATGCCAAAGTTATAACCTTTAGTGCTGCAATCCTATCTGCGTGCAATCTTTCTAGCTCTGGATCCTACAGAACATAAACAAATAAGTCTACCGTAGAAACAGACGCTTAAATTCTCAAACACCGAAACAACATTGCACTTACATCCATAAGTTCATCAAGATCAACCTCTTCATTAACAGGATTTGATCCTTGCGCCTTCTCATTGGCAAGAACTTCCTACAAAATCCATATAAAGAACTCATCAAAAACATACAAGTAAGTACTCACAGGTTATCTACACATAAAGTCTATCACTTTAACAGACATCAAACACTGATCAATCAATTCTGTGATTAGCATATGCATAAAGAAAGAAACCTACCAAGAGCATATGCTTGAAACACGTAACCATAGATATAATCGAATTTGATGGATTAACCAAAAACTCAAAAGAGAAAATTATTTACCTTTTGATAATTTCTTGCAGCAGCCGCCATTACATTTCCGAATGCTAGATTCGAGAGAGTCGATTTGACTGTATCCGGATCCATCTTTTAAAACCAAAAATCTGAAACAACAACACAAAAAGCATTAGGATTCAGAGATAAATGAAAGCTAAAGCTTAAAAATCATACCTTTTTCAATTCCTTCCTGATGCGAAGAAGAAAAATAAAAACACAGCTTGAGAAATCGAAATTAAAGCTTTTTGTTTTTTTTACTAACGATTTCAAATCTGGAGCGCCCAAAAACAAAAAAAAAAAAGATGATGAACAACAAAGATGGAAACACACCAAACGACATCGTTTTTCCGTTTGGTAAAAGATATGTATTATTGGGCCTTCCGTATCTAAAAGCCCATTAGGCCCAGATAAGCTATTTACGTCGGTCGCTAACAACTACTACTACACCGACGTCTTTAGATGCCATGTGTGTCACTTTAATCAACTAAGGATTAAATCTATTAGTACTTTTTTGATGTCGGCCAACACGTATTGAGTAAAATATCTATATGTTGAATTCCTATCCAAGGTGAAAATTTGCGGTTCTATAAAAGTATCATTCAAGAGCTCATTAATCTTCATCGATCAAAGTCTTTAATTTCATCTATAGCTAACAAAAGAGTAACAAGTTTATTTTATATTCGAAGAAGAAAATGGATTCTTACCAGAACCAATCCGGAGTGCCAAAGAAGGGGATGACGGAGAACATCATGGAGAAGCTACCAGGCCATGATGGTGCTACTAGCACCGGCGGTGTACACCCCGAGAAGAAAGGGATGCCGGAGAAAGTTATGGAGCAGCTACCAGGTAATCATGGAACTCACCAGACTGGAACCAACACGGGCTATGGTAACACTGGCGGTGTTCACCACGAGAAGGAAGGAATGACGGAGAAAGTTATGGAGCAGCTACCAGGTCATCATGGAACTCACCAGACTGGAACCAACACGGGTTATGGTAACACTGGCGGTGTTCACCACGAGAAGGAAGGAATGACGGAGAAAGTTATGGAGCAGCTACCAGGTCATCAGGGGTCACACCAAACTGGGACTAACACGGCTCATGGTAATACTAATGTCGTTCACCATGAGGAAAAAGGTATAGCTGAAAAACTTAAAGAGCAGCTACCAGGTAATCATGGAACTCAACAGACTGGAACCACTGCAAATCATGGTAATATTGGCGTTGTTCACCACGAGAAGAAAAGTACGATTGATAAGATTAAAGAGAAGCTTCCCGGTGGTCATCACTAAATTTGTTTAAGACTATTAAGTCTTTGTGTGGTGTAATAATATGATGGTGTGGCTTTTCTATTTTAAAATAAAATAAAAAAACAGACTAGTTATTAGGTGGTTTTTAATAAAGCATGTTATGCAGTGTTTCCTTTTGTTGTTTCGCTAACTAATAATGTATGTAAGTGATTGTGTTGTTGAATTAATATAAAGTATTTACTATTTACTTTCAACTGTACTAGTTTTTGGTTAGTTTCGATTTTTCGTTTTCTTTTGGAATTTTCTGACGATGTAAAGCAAAATTCGATCGCTCATTAGTTGTGAGAACACCTCCAGTAGAAGGTTTTTAAAATTAAAATAACAAAAAAAAAATTAAAAAAAAAAAAAGACTGTGAGTATAGGTTTTCATTTACAAACCTCTGAGTCTTGTTTAGAATTTTTTTTTTTTTTTTTGTCAATATTTAGAATTTTTTTACACCACTTGTTTTACTATAATTGGATCAACTTTTTATTTAAAAATTAATTAAATAACAAAATTATACTAAAAATATTTATAATATTGGTTTGGAGATGCTTTGGCCTCTGAAGCGACCTTTTATTTCTTAATTAATAAATAATATGATCAAAAGATGAACATCAAAGGTGGAAACATCAACGAAACGACCGCGTTTGTTCGGCTATATGGATTATTAGGGTTAAAAATTTAGGCCCAAACGGCCCAAATAAGCTATTTTACGGATATTTAATTATAAGATGTGTGGCTGGCTGGTTTATGGACATGTGACAATGACATGTGTCACTCTAACCACAAAACCAACGTCTAACGTAAACGCCACGTGTGTCACTTCAACACGATTTGATAATATATGTATAAAAAGTACCATTCAAGAGCGTATGAATCATCATCAATCATTGTCTTAATTTCGTCGAGAATAATTTTGTCTATAGCTAAAAAAGGCATAAGAAGTTAAGTTTCAATAGTAAAAGGAACATGGAGTCTTACCAAAACCAGTCCGGAGCGCAGCAGACTCACCAACAGCTTGACCAATTTGGAAATACATTTCCAGCAACCACCGGCGCCTATGGAACTGCCGGTGGAGCTCCGGTCATGGCGGAAGGTGGTGGTTTGAGTGGCATGCTTCACCGTTCCGGGAGTAGCTCTAGCTCTAGCTCGGTATACAATTTTGTTTCCCGCAATTGCTTTTGCAATATTTACTATAGTCTTCCTATATCACCAAATATAAGTTTATTCATTTAATTTGACTTCACCTAGTTGGAAAAAATTAGGGAACATATTTTAGAATAATAATTATATGTATTTTTAAAAACAATTTCAAAAAGGGGAGAGAGTATTTAATTTTTTTTGTGTTGCATAGTTGCACTATATACCATACATGTTTTAGCTTTCGAATATTTTGGGTGCCTTCTTTATATAAACCATTATTTGTGTTGAAATGATAAATTGTTTTAGAATTTATTTGAACTATTTTCAAAGTAGAGCACATATTTAAAAATTACTAGATAAAATATGGAAAGTGTTGCAACAATTTATAGCATTTAATGATATTCTATTGATTTAACACGTGTATGCATGCATGAAGGAGGACGATGGACTAGGTGGAAGGAGGAGGAAGAAGAAGGGAATAAAGGAGAAGATTAAAGAGATGCTGCCGGGTCATCACGAATCCAACAAGACTTCTTTAGGTTCTACCACGACGGCCTATGATACCGGCACCGTTCACCACGAGAAGAAAGGCATGATGGAGAAGATCAAAGAGAAGCTTCCGGGTGGTCATCATTAGTTTCATTTTAATCAACTTGTTTGCGTATGTTATATAGTACTGTGTGTATTGTACAAACTAATAATTTGGTGTGGCTCTTAACCAAAAAGAATATGACGTAGTTACGCTTAGGGTCGTTGCATGTAGGCTTGGGCACAAGGCAAGTACTTGCTGTTTTTCAAGTACTTGTGACTCGATTTGACTTGTACAAGTAATTGAAATTCCGGCTTTTCCTTGAGGGATATTGGTAAGGAATTGGAATATGTTATGATTTTTTCCGTTCATTCAATTAAATTTGTTACTTAACTTGTTTGAGCAAGTACTTGCTATAACAAGTACCCGTCTAAAATCTTGTTATTTGCAAGTAACTTGACCCGGCTTGTTACTTGCAAGATAACTTGACTTGGATTGTTACTTGTAAGGTACTTGTTATTTGAAGTCTTGAACTAAAAAATTTAAATATAAAAACAAACTTATACATATTACAAAACATTCAAAATTCTAAACTTCATAAAATCACTAAACATTAAAGTTCAAAACATCATAGAATCACAACACATTCAAACATCCAAACCCTAAAAAATTTCTGAAATCGAAAGTCTTCTCTCGATTGTTTTTTTGTTATTGGGTTTAAAAGTAATTGAGTTTAATAGGCTTTATATATTGTATTGTTAGTTGTTACTAACGTTGGCCTTTATAGTTTTAGTTTATAACGTTGAGCTTTATAGTTTTAGTAGTTGGGTTTAAGGGTAGTTGGGCTTTATAGTTTATGTCTTGTAATATAAAATGGGGCGAGTAACGGGGCAACAGGGCGAGTAACGGGACAAGTATCAAAACGGGATTTGATCCTTGCGCCTTCTCATTGGCAAGAACTTCCTATAAAGAAATCATCAAAAACATACAAGTACTCACAGGTTATCTACACAGCCAAAAAAACATCAAAAAACTCATAAAGTCTACAACTTTTACAAACATTAAACACAGATCAATCAATTAACATATGCACAAAGAAAGAAACTTACCAACATCATATGCTTGAAACACGAAAACGTAGATATAATCGAACAATTTCCAAATTTTATAGAGAAAAAAGGTAACTATGAAATCGAATTCGATGGATTAACCAAAAACTCAAAGAGAAATTTTTTTTACCTTTTGATAATTTCTTGCAGCAGCCGCCATTACATTTTCGAATGCTAGATTCGAGAGAGTCGATTTCACTGCATCTGGATCCATCTTTGAACACCAAAAATCTGAAACAACAACACGAAAAGCATTAGGATTCAGAGATAAATGAAAGCTAAAGCTTAATAATCATACCTTTTTCAATTCCTTCTATTAATTAAGAGAGTTCTCATTCCTTTCATTAGGTAAATGTACAACTTATATAGTCTCTACACTAGGTTTAACTAATTAAGAATTACAATTAGATCCTTAAACTATATTACACCTTATACACCCCCTCAAGATGGAGGCAATTCCTTGACTCCAATCTTGGAATTGAGTTCTTGAAACCTTGGTCTTGGTAGCGGTTTTGTAAGTGCGTCTGCCAATTGATCTTTAGTTGATACATGAGAGACTCGAAGTGCGCCGGACTGAATATTCCCACGAACAAAATGATAGTCAAGAGCAACATGTTTCATTCTCGAATGGAAAACTGGATTGGCACATAGGTATGTGGCTCCCATATTATCACAGTATATCACCGGTGCTGTTGGCAAGGAAATTCCCATTTCAGAGAGTAATGAGCATATCCACCGTAGTTCAGAGGCCGTGTTTGCGACAGCCCGATATTCAGCCTCTGTGGAAGATCGGGCTACACTCTTTTGTTTCTTTGAAGACCACGAAATCGGACTACTGCCGCCAAAGTAGACAATGTATGCGTTTGTGGAGAGGTAGTCATCATTATCTCGTGCCCAATCTGCATCGGAGAAGCTTTTTGTTGAAACGGGAAACTTGTCTCCACGAATTGTACATGCCTCGATGCGAAGAAGAAGAACAAAAAAAAAAGCACAGCTTGAGAAATCGAAATTAAAGCTTTTTGTTTTTGTTTGTTCACTAACGATTTCAAATCTGGAGCGCCCAAAAACAAAAAAGATGATGAACAACAAAGGTGGAAACACACCAAACGACATCGTTTTCCATTTGGTAAAAGATATATATTATTGGGCCTTCCGTATCTAAAAGCCCATGAGGCCCACTTAAGCTATTTACGTCGGTGGCTAACAACTACTACTACACCGACGTCTTATCTTATTTAGATGCCATGTGTGTCACTTTAATCAACTACGGATTAAATCTATTACTTTTGTGATGTCGGCCAACACGTATTGCGTAAAATATCTATATGATGAATTCCTATCCAATATGAAAACTTGCGGGTCTATAAAAGTATCATTCAAGAGCTCATTAATCTTCAACGATCAAAGTCTTTAATTTCATCTATAGCTAACAAAAGAGTAGCAAGTTTATTTTAAATTCGAAGAAGAAAATGGATTCTTACCAGAACCAAACCGGAGTGCCAAAGAAAGGGATGACGGAGAAAATCATGGAGAAGCTACCAGGTCATCATGGAACTCACCAGACTCATGGAACCAACACGGGTTATGGTAACACTGGTGGTGTTCACCACGAGAAGAAAGGTATGACTGAGAAAGTTATGGAGCAGCTACCAGGTCATCATGGAACTCACCAGACTCATGGAACCAACACGGGTTATGGTAACACTGGCGGTGTTCACCACGAGAGGAAAGGTATGACTGAGAAAGTTATGGAGCAGCTACCAGGTCATCATGGAACTCACCAGACTCATGGAACCAACACGGGTTATGGTAACACTGGCGGTGTTCACCACGAGAAAAAAAGTATGACCGAAAAAGTTATGGAGAAACTACCAGGTCATCAGGGGTCACACCAAACGGGTACTAACACGGGTTATGGTGCTACTAACACTAATGTCGTTCACCATCAGAAAAAAGGTATAGCTGAAAAAATTAAAGAGCAGTTGCCAGGTCATCATGGAGCTCACCAAACTGGAACCACTGCAAATTATGGTAATACTGGCGTTGTTCACCACGAAAAGAAGAGTACGATTGATAAGATTAAAGAGAAGCTTCCCGGTGGTCATCACTAAATTTGTTTAAGACTATTAAGTCTTTGTGTGGTGTAATAATATGATGGTGTGGCTTTTCTATTTTAAAATAAAATAAAAAAACAGACTAGTTATTAGGTGGTTTTTAATAAAGCATGTTATGCAGTGTTTCCTTTTGTTGACTAAATTTATTTTAGCAATTTGTTTAAAAATATTTAAGTCTTTGTGTGGTCTAATAATATGATGGTTTGTTTCTTATTAAAAAAAAAACAAACTAGTATTAAGTGGTTTTTAAGAAAGCGCGTTATGCGGTGTTTTCTTTTGTTTTATCGCTAACTAATAGTATATGTAAGTGATTGTGTTGTTGAATTAATATAAAGTATTTACTTCTGGTTTGTTTATTGTTATAGCTTTCTATCGTTCCAAGTTTCAACTGTACTAGTTTTTGGTTAGTTTCGATTTTTCGTTTTCTTTTGGAATTTTCTAACGATGTAAAGCAAAATTCGATTGCTCATTAGTTGTGAGAACACCTCCAAGAGGGTTTTTAAAATTAAAATAACACAAAATAATAGAAAATAAAAAAACATAGTGATGTTTCATTTAAAAATCTCTGAGTTCTTGTTTAGAATCTTTTTATACCGCTTGTTTTACGATAATTGGATCAAATTCTGTATCATTTAAAATTTAAGTAACACAATTATATTAAAAATATTTATAATATTGGTTTGGAGATGCTTTGGCCTCTGAGGCGACCTTTTATTTTTTATGTAATAATATGATCATTGATGAACATCATAGGTGGAAACATCAACGAAACGACCGCGTTTGTTTGGCTATATGTATTATTAGGGTTAAAAATTTAGGCCCATACGGCCCAAATAAGCTACTTTACGGATATTTAATTATAAGATGTGTGGCTGGCTGGCTTATATAATAACGGACATGTGACAATGACATGTGTCACTCTAACCACAAAACCAACGTCTTACGTAAACGCCACGTGTCTCACTTCAACACGATTTGATAATATATGTGATTATGATCCCTATCCAAAATCACGGTTCTATAAAAAGTAGGCCTGGGCACGAAGCGGATATCCGGAAAAATTGTGATATTTGTTATTCGATTCGTTTTAACTGAATACTTGATTTTGTGATTTGCTTTGATTCGAAAATTTCCGGATATCCGGAAATTCGAATATCCAGATTTTTTTGTGATATTTGCGGATATCCGCTTTGATAAATATAAATATAAAAAAAATCTGTAAACTATATAACCATATGAGATATTTAAAGTTTTTATTTAACATGCTTTCAAAATAAGTTCCAAATATCAAACATAACCGTTGTTGTTATCACCGGTCAACAAAATATTATCAAACTAATTCCAAAAACCAAAACCCGATAGATTAAGATGTCATTGATCAAAACATAACATGAAAGAAAAATGATCAAACAAACATCTTAACATAAAACATAAGGTAGCAACAATACACAAACTATTTATGATATCTATATATAGACATAACTATATATTCTAATATATATCAAAAGATACGGATCGAAGCGGATATTCGATATTTTAAAAAATAATATTTGTTATTTGCTTCGGTTTTTACGAATACTACATTTTCCTATTTGCTTTGGTCCAAAATTTTACGGATATTCGGATTTTTCGAATCGAATCAAATCGAATACCGAATCGAAGCGGATCGAACGAATATTTTGCCCAGCCCTAAAAAGTACCATTCAAGAGCGTATGAATCATCATCAATCATTGTCTTAATTTCGTCGAGAATAATTTTGTCTATAGCTAAAAAAGGCATAAGAAGTTAAGTTTCAATTGTAAAAGGAAGATGGAGTCTTACCAAAACCAGTCCGGAGCGCAGCAGACTCACCAACAGCTTGACCAATTTGGAAATCCATTTCCAGCCACCACCGGAGCCTATGGAACTGCAGGTGGAGCTCCGGTCATGGCGGAAGGTGGTGGTTTGAGTGGCATGCTTCACCGTTCGGGGAGTAGCTCTAGTTCTAGCTCGGTATACCTCTGTTTTCCGCAAATGCTTACTCTTCCTATATCACCATATATAAGTTGTTTCATTTAATTTGACTTCACCTAACTGGAAAAAATTAGGAAACATATTTTAGATTAACTAAGTACATATATACATTTTTTGTAACATATATACATATTGTTTTATAAACCATCTTTTTGTGTTCAATTGATATTTTTTATATAAACCATTTTTTGTGATGATAAGTTTTTTGTTTATAATTTGAAATATATTCAAGGTATACCATATACAGTATTTAAAAATTACGAGATAAAATATGGAAAGTGTTGCATATACTTGTAGCTTTCCAATTTTTTGTGATGATTTACTACTGATTTAACACGTGGTGTGCATGCATGAAGGAGGACGATGGACTAGGTGGAAGGAGGAGGAAGAAGAAGGGAATAAAGGAGAAGATTAAAGAGATGCTGCCGGGTCATCACGAATCCAACAAGACTTCTTTAGCTTCTACCACGACGGCCTATGATACCGGCACCGTTCACCACGAGAAGAAAGGCATGATGGAGAAGATCAAAGAGAAGCTTCCGGGTGGTCATCATTAGTTTCATTTTAATCAACTTGTTTGCGTATGTGATATAGTACTATATGTATTGTACACCTAATAATTTGGTGTGGCTCTTAACTAAAAAGAATATGACGTAGTTACGCTTATGGTCGTTGCATGGAAGAAATGTAAATATAAACCCTCTTTTTTCTGTCATTTATGGTTTTAGGTTTCTATTGTTTTTGAGTGATGCAAATTAAGGTAATGTTAGCACACGGATCGGTTCACGATTCTAATCGATCTTTGCATTTAAATTAAGAAAGGGACATGGACGTTTTCTATTCCTAACACAAAGGAAGACAAAAAAGAAGAGATAATTGGAAACCATATGTAGATGTAACGAATCCTATATCCAAACTAACACTCACAATTAATGTATCCCATCCAACAAATTAAAAGCCAAGTTGACGTAACAAATCATACTTGTCAAGCCTTCCTCTATAAATTAATCAACCATGTATTCATCGTCATTCACACAATATGAATACAAAAATGGTGAAGTCAATGGTTGTTCTTGCCCAAATCCCACTTGTTGCGCTGTTTCCTCTTTGTATATGTTATCAAACAGATGAAAGCACGAGTTCTGCCTCTCTATCCCCTCAGTTTTACGACAACTCGTGCCCAAACGCACAAGCCATCGTTCAATCTTACGTCGCCAAAGCATATTCCAATGACCCTCGCATGGCTGCCTCAATTCTTAGGCTCCATTTCCATGACTGTTTCGTTAATGTTTGACAAAATCTAGTCTATATATTCTTCAAATATACAATGTTTGGTATAAATAAGGACAAATGTTAGTTGATATATAGACTTTGGTTGGTGCAGGGATGTGATGCTTCCGTACTATTGGACAGTAGTGGAACCATGGAAAGCGAGAAACGATCAAATGCAAATCGAGACTCTGCTCGAGGGTTCGAAGTCATTGACGAGATCAAGTCGGCCTTGGAAAATGAATGTCCTGAAACAGTTTCTTGCGCCGATCTATTGGCTCTCGTTGCTAGAGACTCCATTGTTATTGTAAGTCAATTCTCTAACAATAGAACTAATATATATAATTGTTACAAACACTCGTTAATTTTGTAATTATCTACAGTGTGGTGGACCTAGTTGGGAAGTAAATCTTGGAAGAAGAGATGCGAGGGAAGCAAGTTTGAGTGGTTCCATGGAGAACATTCCTTCTCCCGAGTCCACGTTACAAACAATTGTCAACATGTTCAACCTTCAAGGACTTGATCTCACCGATCTTGTTGCCCTCTTAGGTATATATATATGGTATCCAAGAGAACTTTTTATGGAAGAAACTTAAGAGAATAAAGAAATGTTATAAATAACGATGTGTGATTGTGATTGGATAAAAAAACGTTATCTTATCTCTCACAAGTTCTATTAAAGATTTTAAAGATATAAACTAACACATATTGATAAATTATCATTTCTAAAACTAATAACCATGATTTAAATGTAGGGAGTCACACGATAGGAAACTCGAGGTGTATTGGTTTCCGACAAAGGTTATACAACCATACTGGAAATAACGATCGCGACCAGACTTTGAATCAAGACTACGCCTCTATGTTGCAGCAGGGATGTCCGATTTCGGGCAACGACCAGAACCTCTTTAATCTTGACTATGTGACGCCGACTAAGTTTGACAATTACTACTTCAAGAATCTGGTGAACTTTAGAGGACTCTTGAGTTCTGATGAGATTTTGTTCACGCAAAGCAGTGAGACCATGGAGATGGTCAAGTTTTACGCGGAGAATGAGGAAGCCTTCTTTGAGCAGTTCGCGAAGTCGATTGTGAAAATGGGGAACATCTCACCGTTGACGGGGACAGATGGTGAGATCCGGAGGATCTGCCGGAGGGTTAACCATGACGTTTGAGTGAGTTTAATTATTACTCCCTCTGTTTTTTAAAAGTTGTCGTTTTAACTGTATTTGGACAAATTAAGAAAATGTATACAATGACTATATTAACATCATAAAAATGACAAGTAATTATTTACAAATAATTTGTGTTCAATAAAATGAGGGTAATTTGGGTAGTTATTGGCATAAATTACATTATTACCTTAAAACGACAACTAATTTAAAACAAAAAAAAAGCTCTAAAACGACAACTATTCGAAAACGGAGGGAGTAAATAGTTTTAAGTCATATTGGTTTGATTAACGTTAATCTTTTTTTTTGTTAAGTTTGATTTCTGTTGGCCTTGTGTTTAATTTATTTTTATTTGTTTAAACTAATTTATGAGTTTGGTGATTGTATGTTATAGTCAAAAGGCCAAAACAATAACGATTTTTATTGCAACTGAATTTGCTAATGAATTTGGAATGTGATGTGCCTATCCTCAACATACAAAATTTGACATGACAACTCCATTAGGTACGATATCTTTCTCGAATTTATGGATGTAACCTATTATCTAAACTAATTGTGATGTTGCAAAAGTTATTTTTTTTTATGTAACTTAGCCTCATTAAATTTTATTGTTAGAAAGTTTTGACATTGGAAGTGAGATAGGAGTAACCAATTCACCTTTCTACAAATTGCGTTTGAGTAAATTTAACACTCTTGGCTCTTGCTTCATGTTATACTTCATGTTCAAAGAAGCACATAGAAAAGCTTAGATCTTTCTTTACTTTTAAGAAACATTATTATTGCCGAGATCACACTCGGTTTATCATTCTTGGATACACATTATTAGTAGTTTACTTAAGACTAGCTACTGTATCATGGTTCTTCTATAAGGCCACATAACGGCATGATTTTACTCTGTTTTGCTTAACTTGTTTAAGAAAGAGAGAATCTCTTGAGAGACTTGTTCAGACTTTTCCTGCTGGATAAAATGATGACCATCTTCAATAACAACAATCTCAAGGTTAGGTACAACACTCTTGAACATCTCTCCTTTTACATACTCCATTGTTCCATTGGGTCCTTCATTTCCGATATCTTTGTCTCCTGCTATAAACTTAGTAGGAACGACGATTTTGGAGTCTTGCCACGGTGCCAAAATCTCCCAATTCCTATAAAAGCTCATTTTCAATACTTGTTTTTGTAACACAAAGACTGGAGATAAAGTGAGAGAGAAGTGAACAACTTACAGATCCATGGCTCTGTAGTAATTCAAAGGGCCTGTGAATCCAGATCTTTGAAACTTTTCTGCATACACTTGAATCTCTTCTTCTGTTATCCAATCTGGAATCGTCGATGGTATCTCAAGATGATCGATGATCTCTGTATCAGGAGGAGCCACTAAGTAGTCTGTTCTTGTTATCAGCAAGAACTTCTTCATAACCGTTAAGCAATCATGCTTGGCAAATGCAGCCTCAGCTCTTCCGGGTTTCTTGTAAAAACAGAACCAACGATGACAATGAGTACCATAATAGTAACACTAACATCATAAATCTTGAAAGTTATTTTGGTTTTACCTGAAACTGAGAGATGTATAAACCATCTCCAAAACTCTTGAAAAAATCTGAAGGTTTAAGTTTTGGATCTCTTGGGAAATATGGAACAGAGAGACTTATATAACCTTTGACTCGGTCTGGTCTAAATAAGCACAGACACCAACCTATGATTGCTCCCCAGTCATGCCCAGCCACAAAAGCCTACCACAGTAAAAATGTAAACTTTTCTTTTCCAGAAATCTATCTATCTAAATCTAAACGTTGGATTCTCAAGAAGATCACTTTTCACCTGAGCAGTGCCGTAGTGATCGAGCAAACCGATGACATCAGCGACAAGGTGGCTCACAGTGTAAGACTCATGGCTCGGAAGAGAATCGGAGTCACCGTAGCCTCTGAGATCTGGAGCGACCACATGGTAACCATGGCTAGACAAGAAATCGATCTGGTGACGCCAAGAGTACCATGTCTCAGGGAAGCCATGGAGTAACAGAACCAAAGGCCCTTCTTTGTCTCCTTTCTCCGCAACGTTTAACCATATCCCGTTGGTTTTTACTTTCTTCTCTCTAAGAGAGCTCGTCATGATTCTTGTTCTTGATAGTTGTGAGAGAGAAGAAAAATCAGCGACCAAGCTGAAGACTTTATTACAAGAGTTGAGAAATGGATGTACACGTGTCGTGGCGGCGAATGAGATTAAGCCTCTAGTTAGATTACACGTGGCGGTCACTGGTTCTGATTCTCAGTTTCATGAGTTGCCGTAAGTAAAAGAATGTCAGCCAAATTCATGAAACAGGAAAAACATGACTGTATATAAAGAACAGAAACGTCAAGTAACTCGCAAGAGAACACGCCAAACACAACAAAGAAGAGTAATTTTAAACTCAAGACAAGAAAAGAGATTGTCATTTGGGATTATTTCTATGTTTGATTCATCGAAAGCAATCTCAAGAAGACATTGATTTCTTCTTCTCTTCTTCGAGCTGTTGAAGTTCAGTCAGTCTTTCAGCCCAAGCTCGGTCCCTAGCGACAGCAGCCATCTTACGTTCCACTTGCTTAATTCTCTTCTTCCTCTTCGCCTCTTGCACCAGCGCTTGCCTCTTCTTTTTCTCAGACTGCAAGAATATACACAAGAAATCTTATTAGTAAACGAAATAAGAAACATTGCAGATTGTTTTGCAAATGGAAACAGAACAGAGAAGCTAAGAGAGATACAGCCTTTTATTATCCAATATGGATTCAACATTCCAAGATTTCTTCTTATCTAACATTACAATCAGCAGAAATAACACCCTAATGTAGAGCTATGAAACCATCATAAAGCTATCAAATTTCTTAAAACAAGCTAGAAAGCAAATCAGACAAACCAGTATAAAAGCACGTCGTTGCCCTATGCGCTTCTTCGCATTCCTTCTCTTCACACTGCCCTCGTTAGGATTGTTTGAAGAAATTGGCTGGCCAGGTGTATATTGAACATATGCATAAGGCCCTGCATTTTCCTCAAATCGGTTAATTCATCTAAACCATCCCACCTTAGATTCTCTCTAGCTATATCAATTGTTCAGTAACAACACACAATATGAGACTCAAAACAATCACTTTCCACTTAAGAGTACACGAGATCAATACTAAACCCACAAAATACTAATCTTAAAACAGCATAAACAAAACTACACAATGAAGATTACACTAACTCCATTCCTGAATCACACAACACTCATCCCTAATTTCACAAACAAAGCATCAATTTTTGCAACCCCAGACTAAAAATGAACTCAAATTGAACAAACATAAGCCCAAATCAACCATCAAAAACAAAATGGCGAACCTGGAGGTTTCAATTTGGATCGTTTCCTCTTGGGATGAGTCATGGGTCGTCTCTTGGGTAGCCGAGTATCAGTTAAGCTTAAGCTATGAAAATGGTTAGCCATTGGAATCCATGGTAACCTCAAATGAGTCATCGATCCACCGAAAAAGGAGCATAACTCTGGTTTCGCAGCCGGAATCGTCGCAGGGAACGGCGCAGACGAGTAGTTAGCGACGGCACGCGAAACTAAGGTTCTCGACAATGGACGAAAAATCGATCTAATTGCACCGAAACCCATTTTCACCAGAGCATCAGCGAACAGATTGCCACCCAAAAGCTGCTAGATTTACCGATCAAGCTTCGAAATTTTCACTTCGCCGATTCCACCAAAGTCTGAGACTTGAAACGAAGAACCTCTCCGCTAAACCCTGAATAGCCTACTCAAACACTAATGGGCCTTATGGGCCTTTAAAGTGTATTGGGCTTATATTGAACATTGGGTCTCAATGAAAATACTCATTATTAAATTAGCCGATTTTGTTGTATTCTATAAGAATTAAAATCAATAAATCGTGCAGATATTATTAATTATCGTCTCCAAATCTCATTAATTTTTTGGCGAAAATTATGTGTATATTGCCTAAAGATATAGTGTAATTATGGAGCTAGAAGAGACTTGCATCGTAATTTTATAACGATTTTAGAATTTGGATTAGTGAGTACACCACATAAGGAAAGAAAATATTATACCATTAACGACACTAACTCGAAACATGTAACCATTTTAGTAATATATAGATATAGTTACCATATAAAAATAAATTAAAAATCCAAATTATAATCTTCAAACCAATATAAATATACATCACCCTCGTTCATTTTGCATAAACAACTTCATACTTTTTTTTTCTTCATACACAAAAGGTGACAAACATGTTTTCTTCAAGTCGTCCTGGATCTACAAGCCTGGTCCGTTTTCAATCTTTTATTACATGCATACTCATAATCATATATCTCATTTTATCCTTTGCTAATTCGTTACTTATTTTCGAACGTGTTCTTGCAGACTTGTGGGTTTAAAGTGAACACTAACTCTCCCGAATGGCACAAGAGCATGACGAAAATCCTTAAGAAAATCAAAGGTTTGTTCTTATTCTATAAGCACATATATATAAATCATACGTTTTTTGTATACTCAATCTCTCTATTTTTTTTTCTGATTATGGTTATAGGAGGGAATTTTTGGATAGATGTGGACGAAGGAATGGCATACGTAACGGGTCAAGGCGATCCAAACAAGCTACTGAAACTAATGGGTTCAAAGAGAGGCAAAGATGCTGAAATGGCTTTTGTGAGAACCGGAACGCACCATCCTCAACATCATCATCATCATGATCCCAATTTTTACAACAATTGTCAAAACTCATACTTTGGCCAATGGCCAGGGTACTACCCACCCGGCTCGGCGATGCAACCTTACCATCATCAATATCCATTTTCCGGCGGATATAATAACTACGGTTATTGTTAGAGCTTTTAAGGCGGTTTTATATTACTTAAAACTCTGTCGAGATCGAGCAAAACCCCATTTTTTTTACATAAATTAGGGTTTTCTGCTTGTATCCGAGAAAGTTTTTTTTTTTTTTTTTGACTAGCGGGATGGATATTCTCTCTGCGTTTTACAAGCAGAAGAGAATTCGAGGAGGATTGATATTCTCTGTTTTTCTTTTTGGTGTTTTTTGTTTATTTGAGTTTTTGTATGAATCCGATGATATTCATTGATGTTAGGGTTTTTTATAAACCCATAACAGAATGGGATGTTTCAAGCAGTTTGCATTAGCTTTTTGTTACATTCATATTTTACCTAAAAAGTTTCGGGAGTATATTTCAAAATGATTTACCTAAAAAGTTATATATAAAAAAAAAGTTTCATAATTTACCTTTGGATGAACAATTGCTTCGGGAGTATCTTTCAAAATGATTTCGCGGAGGGAAATTCTCTCTTTTCTTAGATGAAAACGGATTTATCAGATTGTGTTTCCATGAAACGTTCTGATAATTTATTAGTATCAAATCATAAAATTAACTTACTATTATTTGTGTAGATCCCTTTGCAATTTAATACTACATATATAGAAAAAGTCCATGAAAGAGCAATTGTCCTTATGGAATCCATCCTCAACTTGAACAGATTTGCCAATTGCCATGTATCCAACATGGCCAATGATTTCACTTGTCCAATATTCGAACCGTTTTCAGAAACACAATGACCTTCCGAATCACCCGGAGCTGTCTTATTTTTAAGAACATATGCTCTCTTTATTCACGTCCATTGCGCAGAAAAAGTTTTTGAGGACAAATGTAGAACTTCGTTTTAAAATACACTTCGAAGTACAAAGTAATTAAACAAAGAAATTTTCAAATCCACACTAGTCACAATCTTATCAGATGAGATTAGACCAGAAACATATAACAAAAGGGAACGAGTTATAACATGTCAAGAGTAAGTACTAGAGCAATTGATTAATCCAACATCTTAAGACATATATAAGAATCGAAAGCTTAAGCCAAGTGTTTGGCAATGGTAGATTGAAGCTCATCTTTCTTGGCTCCAACAACTTTGTCCAAAATCTTCCCTTCCTTCAAAAACATGAAGGTTGGCATCGCCTGTATCGCCCAATCACTTGCCACTGACTGTTCCAACAAAAACATAAAAGGTATTGTGATCGAAGAAAACATTTTCTCTCATGAAGAAGGGAAAATTAATTTTGGTGAATGTGTACCTTCAATTCATCAGTATCAACCTTGAGGAAAAGCACATTAGGGAGTTTCTTAGCTAAATCAGCAAAAAATGGAGCAATGAAACGACATGGTCCACACCAAGAAGCCGTGAAATCAACCACCACCTTCAACAATATAACCAATCATGAATCATTTTCATTGAAAAACCATCAACACTGATATTACCTTTTAATGTCTTAAATCAAATAAACATAAACATAAGAATTGAGAACGTTACATTCATCTTCAGGGTAAACATTTTCCTAGGGATCCCTTAGTTTCATAGAAATATCAATATGCCTCGTGGTAATCTAGTCATTATGATCTCTATACAAATCCTAGAATCTAATCTATGATTAATTCAGATTCAAAAAAAATTCAAACATGAATTTATACCAAAAGAATCAAATCATTACATTGTGTCTATATGAAAAATCAAAGAATCAACCTAAACAAACCAAAATCAAGAATCCATATCTCAACAAAAACAAAATCAAATCAAGAAATTTGGGAGAAGAAGATTACAAGAGTTTTGGATTCATTAGCCTTCTGGAGTTGCTCGTTCCATGTTTCAACGGTGTGGCACGCGATCACTTGTCCCTCTTCCGATGCCATCTTCTCTCTTTCTCTTCTCTTCTCTTCTGTTTCTTCTCCTCTTTTGCGTTTTTTCAATTACTTAGCATGCGCGTCACAATTTTGCCATCAATAGTTTTTCTCTTTCTCCTTTATTCGACGCGTGATTTTGTTTCCCATAATTACACCCACCAAATTTGCTACTTTCCTTCTTTATCCAAATCATATATATATTCCCACTTTACTCCTCAAATTTTTACTTTTTAACAAATTAACCACACACAAAGCAAAGTTGTAAAAAGTAAAAACATTCTGTAGTGTAGACATCCTGCATTTATAATTCTCGAACCAGATGTACTTTGATCAATCCAAATCTACAGCTGGATCAGTTTCTTGAAACAATACGTTCCCATAATGAACCAACCCGTAAGCAAAACCGCTAGAATCGAGCAAGAAGCTATGAAAGTCCAACCACCGAGTAAGATTCCTATAGTGTAGATTATGAGTGGAGGCAACAAGGACTTTACTATAGCCGCTTTGCTCACCCAACGTCCCTTGAACAACACAAGTGCTGCGAGATTCACCACGTTCCACCCGCCTGACTTTACAGCTAGACGGTTCAGGTTGTTGGCGACAAAGGAATGACAGTTGCATGTGAATATGTTATAAGAGTGATGTTGGTACTCTTGTGTGCCTTTTCTCAGTGCATCATCCCATGTTGGCTCTTTCTCATGACTGTCTTCCTCTTGTTCATATCTGCTCTCACCATTGAACATACATGAACCGGAAGAACGAGATGATTCCTGATTAAAAATCCAAGTCCAAAATGTAAATAGAGTTGCATCAAGGTAAAAATACTAAAAATTGAAAGCAACATTACCTTTTTCTTGTTGATTTGAATATATCGAGCAACAGCTCCAAATGCAAAATTATCAACACAGACGAAATTAGGTCCTGCAAAGTCGAGGATGACACCGTCTTCTCTGCAAATACCCACGTGGCCGATAAAGGGAACCAGCCATGAAATTAAGGGAAGAGGTGTCCAAACAATGCAGCATGGGAACCGATCTCTTCTAGGATCAATTTTCATGGGATCTGATAAGCCGATCATCATGCCATGTTCTGAATCTATTACTGTCTCTCCCATTTCCAAGTCCAGTTGGGTTCAGTTATTTGATCCTCTGTACTCAAAACAACAACACGTCCAGTGATCCCCAGGTAAGTAAGACTCAATAAAGCACTGAGATTTGACATGTAAAAGTTGTTCTCAACACTCGAATAGATGATGCATATCATTCATTTACATTGAACCCAAAACATAAATGCATCATCTTTGCATATATACCAAGCTACACAAGTAAACTCTATAGTTATACCAAAAACATTGCACAACATTAAAAACCTAATTGATTTTGTATCAACACATTGTGCTAAACAACACTACGACCAAAAACCACTACAGAGAAAGCTAAGTAAACAATTTTCGTGGTTCTATGAATCACGAGTCTTAAACACTAAACGATGAATCCCTAGAAAAAACGCCATTAAAGATGCACAATCCAACTAGCAACGAGTCAACATCAAAGCATCTTCATAGACCTGGATTCCGAAACTTTTTCATAAAGAACAGATAAAGCGTACCAGTTCAAGCGACAAACACGACGATAAATCGGATCTAACACAATCTTCACAAATTTTCTCTTTCGTTTAGCAGTGATTCAATCACTGCCTAGTGCCTTTGCCTGGAAAATTTGTGTTTCTCTCTCAGCCCCAATTTTTACGAACGATGGCTAAAGAACGTGTTTGGCTCATTGGTTTAAACTAATCCTATCGGAGGATATCTTCACCGTTTCCAGGATAGTAATATAAACGACATAACGTTCGGTCAAATATAACGAAAACGGCAGGCTGTTTAGCTGTAAAACGTCAGATATTTTTAATACGACGTAGTTTTTGAAGTTTTCGACTATTGATCGCTCTCTCTTGCTCTGGGGAGGAGATTGCTGCTACCTACTGATGCGAATCTGCCATTGATACATCTGCTTGAGGTTAGGGCAAAGATGAGGAAACGCGATTTAGCAATTTTGATGCTCTCTGGATTTGCTATATTCTTCACTCTTCAGGTGATTTTTACACACTAATCTAATCGTCTTCTTCTTATTGTTTCTTAGTTCAAATTCTAGCATAGAGAACTTCTATAACCCTTGATCGATCTGTTTACTAGATCAAGCTTTGAATTTTCCTTTGTGGGTCGAATATCGACTGCCAATTCAATCGATAAGTAGTGTCATGTTAGCTTGATTCTTGGTTTTTTGCAGCACGAGGGTGATTTTGCGTTCAAAGAAGCATGGTTTCATTTGTATGATGAATACCCAGTCAAATACGAAGCTGATCGTCTCCCACCACCTATTGTAGCTGATCTTAATGGTGATGGAAAGAAGGAGGTTCTCGTTGCTACTAATGATGCCAAAATTCAGGTATCTTATTTGTTAAATTCTCATCTCTGCACTTTTATAGCTTTGTTAGGTTAAAATATTTCTGATTTTGATATTTCTCGCCAGTTTTTATAGAGCCTTGCTGGCGATTTCGGTCGTTAGAACGTATGATTGAAGCTTACAGCTTAGTGCTTATGCATTTCTCTTTTATGGTTTGCTGTTATGTGTTGGATCAAGTTCTGAAACTGTTGATGTTTGGTTGGATTAGGTTCTGGAGCCTCATTCCAGGCGTGTGGATGAAGGTTTTAGTGAAGCACGTGTTCTTGCAGAGATCCCCCTTTTGCCTGACAAGATCCGTATTGCGTCAGGGAGACGTGCTGTGGCCATGGCCACAGGTGTTATTGATAGGTACTATAAAGATGGAACTCCACAGAAGCAGGTTGTGGTCGTTGTTACCTCAGGCTGGTCTGTACTCTGCTTTGATCACAACCTGAAAAAGCTGTGGGAAACGAATCTGCAGGTTTCTATCTTCTTCGTTCTTTGTCTAATGTTCCGCATAAGAGTTTGTCTTGGTTCAGTAATATTGATTCTTCTTTTACTTACCCTTGTTGGTGGAATGACAGGAGGATTTCCCACATAATGCACACCATAGAGAGATAGCAATTTCGATAAGCAATTACACATTGAAGCATGGTGATACGGGTTTGGTTATTGTTGGTGGACGGATGGAGATGCAGCCATATGTATGTAGGAGAAAAAAATTTATCTGTTGTTTTTCTATTTATCTTCCATATATTTCCAATAGATTATTCTTTTCATTTTAGAATCACATGGACCCATTTGAGGAACTTGGCATGACAGCACAAAATGCTGAGCAACACAGAAGAAGTGCTACTGAGAATCAGGTATGACTACATTATAGTTACCTTGGACTGTTTCTTAGCTGTGTGGTTTCCTTACGCATTTTCTCTGAAACTGAACAATTATGAAGAAAGAGCTATTCATTTGTAGTTATACATATTCCACTGTGCATAAGAGCTTTGTTTGGACTGTTTAGAAGAATTTTAAGCTTCCTTTCAGGCCTCTGAAGATTCAGGAGCGATAAACTTGCGTCACTTTTCTGTCTATGCATTTGCTGGCAAGACTGGCCTTCTACGATGGAGTAAAAAGACTGATGTCAGTTATTTATTCTTTTCTGCTCATTTCTTTACCTACATATTCCTCAACTACATTCAATCTGCAACAAAATTGGTGGTCAGATTGATAGAATATTTTTTTCTTCTCATCTAGGATGTTGAAGCTCACACCTCAGATGCATCACAGTTAATTCCACAACACAATTACAAGCTTGATGTGCATGCTCTAAATAGCCGTCACCCAGGAGAGGTAAAATTAACTTGTTCTCCATTGATTATTGAGCGAAATAGTTAACCTTTTCTTAGATCTTTCTTAAGAGATTTCTATTGCACTATCATAATTTGAAAGCTTTGCTGGACTGAAGTTTGAGTGCAGGGAATTTAGAGAATCAATTATTAGTGTCATGCCCCACCACTGGGTAAGTGGTATGCCTCCTACTACATACTTCGTTAGTTTAATATGCTTAGAAAAATTGTTTCAAAGTACATTGTTGTCTTTGCATCAGGACCGACGTGAAGATACATTATTGAAGCTTGCTCATTTCAGGCGACACAAAAGGAAAACGTTGAAGAAGCAGGCTGGTAGTAAGTCTACAGCTTATCCGTTTCACAAACCTGAGGAACACACACCCGCTGGAAAGGACTTGTCAAGAAAGATTCCTAAATTGATTGGAAAGGCTGCACGCTATGCTGGCTCGGCAAAAGCCAAGAAGGTGCAGCTCTTATAAAACGTAAATTACCCACAGCCCTTAAAAAATACAATATTTGTTTATGATAGCAAAGCAACATGTTGATGCAGGGTATGCAATACATTCCGACTATAACTAATTACACGAAGCTTTGGTGGGTTCCTAATGTTGTTGTGGCTCATCAAAAGGAAGGAATTGAAGCTATTCATTTGCCTACTGGTCGAACACTTTGCAAGGTAGGTCCTAGTAGCTATTCCTTCAGATCATGAACAAGGTTACTATTTCACGTACCCATTACTTACGTAGTCAGCTTATTTAAATTCTTCCTGTTCCCAGCTTTCTCTACTTGAAGGTGGACTTCACGCCGACATAAACGGAGATGGTGTACTCGATCATGTCCAGGTACACACATCGGACACTACTGCCGCTTTTGGTTCATTAGACTTCTCATGGATCTTCAATTTTTACGACCATAAATATTCTCTGTCCACCTTAGACTGTTGGAGGCAATGTTGGAGAGAGAACTGTAGTGAGCGGATCAATGGAAGTGTTGAAGCCTTGCTGGGCAGTGGCAACCTCAGGTGTTCCCATCCGCGAACAGCTCTTTAACGTCTCGATCTGCCATCACTCCCCTTTCAACTTCTTGCACTATGGAGGAGATTATTCACGACACTTCGCCCAGGCAAGAGACACCTCTACTCTGGAGATCGCAACTCCCATTCTCATCCCCAGAGACGATGGACACAAACACCGCAGAGGAAGTCACGGAGATGTAATCTTCTTAACAAACCGTGGAGAGGTACGTTTTTCCTTTCTATATATGATGATCCATCTTAATTTCTCGAACTTTGAATTTCGTTTAATAATAGCTCATCGCTGCGCCGTATCAGGTGACATCATACACGCCTGATGTGCACGGCCACGACGCAGTCTGGCAATGGCAGCTTCAGACAGAAGCCACATGGTCGAATCTCCCGTCTCCATCTGGTTTAACTGAATCAGGGACTGTGGTCCCAACCCTGAAACCGTTCTCGTTGCGCATTCATGATAACCAGCCTATGATCCTTGCCGGAGGAGATCAAGCAGCAGTCATCATCTCTCCGGGAGGAAGCATATTAGCTTCCATCGAGTTACCGTCTCAGCCGACTCATGCACTTATCACTGACGACTTCTCGAACGATGGTCTAACGGATGTGATTGTGATGACATCAAATGGGGTTTACGGGTTCGTTCAAACCAGACAGCCAGGGGCTCTGTTCTTCAGTTCGTTGGTGGGTTGTCTCTTAGTAGTAATGGCAGTTATTTTCGTTACTCAACACTTAAACTCCATTCAAGGTAAGCCCCGACCTTCATCTAGCTTTTAATTGAAAACCGCATAGAGTTTTCTTCCTCTCTACGGAAGTTGAACCGGCAGGTCTGGTTATCAGCGCTTCACCCGCATCGGTTTTGGTAAACCGGACAGGTCACTGTTATACCGGTGTAGATTCAGTGCCGTATTTCCTGGTTTCAGCTGTATAACTTTATACTTTGTAGAAGTAAAAATGGTAGAGGAGAATATAGGACTTTATGTTTCTGTCAATTTTGATGTTTTAATGGAATTATTGCGACATTTAATTTATATAAAAATCTTGAAAAGAAAAACAAAATACTTTTTTTAGAAATATATCGTAGTTTTTTTTCCTCGATACAAAGCTACACTTTTTTCATGGGACTCATCGTACAATACGATTTTTTGAACCAAAAAAAAAACTAAATAGGTTTAAGTAGATAAAATAGGCTTAGCTTGCCAGTAATAATTGATGGAGCGATGTGGTTAAAAGTTATAGTTTTTTGGACCACGCTAGTAGTAATAATATATTCCTCAATTCTCAAATGGGAATGTGGGAGGCATGAGTGGCGTAATGATTTACATATAATAATATACATACTACAAAACCATCGTTATACAGCAAAATAATACTATCAGACATTGAAGACAACGCGTGATTTGCTAAATAACTTATTTTCAAGAAATGTATGAACCTCACGAAAGTAAATTGATATCTTACCAACATTTTCTTGGCAATGGATTGATTAGTTACACCAATAACTTTCCTCTTTTGGATTTACACCAATGTTTATATATGTTTTATACGACAATTGAATTATCTCGGATTTAATAATCAATATATAAATTAACCAATTGGTTTTTTTTTTTTTTTTTTTTTTATTTATTTATTTATTAACCAATTGGTTCATATGTTAATATATGAATTTTATGATTTAACTAACCTATACACAGTTTTTTTGATATGAACCTATACACAGTTTTGTTTTTTTTTTAAACATACACAGTTTTTTAAGATTGAAAATTTCTTCTCTAATGTTTGTATATTTTGTAGTTTTAACCATGAACAAAAGTGTATAGCCTGTGTGAAAAAAGAGGGTATAGCCTGTGAATTCAATCTTTGATAGACAATTGATTTAATATGGTACAACTACGAGAATGACTATTCAAACCAACGCATACAAGGTTTTAATTCATGTGAAGCATCTCACATATATACTTTATAGTTTCAAACCCAAATAAAAGTGTCAATTTTCATATTTCTTGTACAAGTCTCTTTTTTTTTTGGTCAAATGCAAACATCTCATTAATTATTTGTATATATACATTTATAAACAAATTAGTTATGAAAGAATGAGAATGCATATACATGCATAGACTGAATGAGGAATATAGAAGGTGACGGGAAAAGCATATTTCTAATAAAAGCATGCAAAGAGGATCACGAGATCACTTAATATGGGCACTACTCTATTTCCATTCTCTTTTTTAATTTGGCCCTTTTTATCCCTTCGTTTACTTATGAGCTCTGTTATGTTTCCTAAATTAAACTCAATTTTTGAGAAGAAAAAAACCTCAATTGTCATATAGATGGAGAATTCATGAAAATACCGACTCCTAAAATATTACAAGCCTCTATTTACCAACGTTTGTATGTATGCATATGTGTATTGTAATACAAAAAACATTGAAACATAACTTAATTCAATAATATAGATTTGGAAAATCTTCGAACCCATTATTCCCATATATAGTACGTACTAATACTATAGAAGTCTAACTGAAGAAGAAAATAATCGTAGAGTTGTGGTCAGGAACAGTTAAATAAATAACATGTGTTTGATTTGTATATGCCCTAATAAATGATCTAGCTAGGGTTTTGCAATTTCCTTAGAAGGTACAATAATTAATAGAATAATGAAGAAAATTAGTGGTCCTTTATTTGCAGCCTCTATATGTGTTTTTTTTCAACTTTGATCCACACCCTTGTGTTTCTAGTGTGGGGACTTGTTATCAGCCACGATCAGAGCCGATCCGATCCACTGTTTGGCCATCTTTTTCAACATTCCATGGTCCAGCCCCTTCAGGTCGATCTTACCGGTTGGTTAACCATTGTTGACCAAATTGATTTCGTTTGGTTTGGCTCGGTGTTTTCTAACATAGACGAGTAACCATCACTATTAAGCGTGTATATATGTACAACATGTACCCATCCTCTAGATACCTAAACAACAAGATGCAAACAAACATTGCCGTAAATGCTCTAAAAATATATTGTCAAATTGGCAAACTCGTGTTTTGATTTGAATCATGGCTATAACAGGATATGATATATTCATCATCGTTATAACAGAAAAGTGCATGTACATTCATATATGTTTGAAATGTCATCCATCAACTATTAATTAGTTAATATAGACTATGATTGATAAGCCGCAAAATCACATAATTACAGAATAAATTACCAACCATAACTATCAAAATCTCCGTCTACATTTCACGATACTAGCTACAGTGCACAAAAGTAACACATACACAACAAAACAGGTTATGTCAATTTGCAAAAATTTGTTTAAATCGATTATTTTTGTCTCTCTATAATTAATTCATACACAATGGAGTATGTTTTTCTTCGATGATTTCATTGTGTAACCAATCAAACATCCTATTGACTTTAATTGATGGAAAGTTTGGAAACTGATAAGGTGGGTCTAGTAATGCGGGTTGAAAAACCCACGTTACCTTAGACCAATAACAAGCAAATTAAATAAGTTTTTTTATCAGTTAAAGAGAAGCCGATAATTAAGTTGGGTCTAATGAAACGTAAAATCAAATGACACAACGTTTTGTAACGAGTGTATACGTGTATGCATGTGCATGACATGGTAAGACGCCATAACTTCAAACCTTGGGGACCCAAAAAGAATTCTATTGGTTGTATATATACTTGTTATTTTCGTAAATGAAGAAAAATATACATAGAGATACATGTACATAAATAAATGTATGTATACGAAGTGAAAGTGAAGTGGGGGCCAAATGGAAACACAATCCATGTGAAGAAGTTTCAGCTTCTGATTAGATATGGAATTGAAACGAAAGCGAGAGAGAGAGAGAGAAGACAGAGAAACAGAACATAACAGAAACTAAACCAAGTTTGCAACTTTACATTCTCCATCTTCTCTCTCTCTGTCTACATAACTACTCTTGCACCAAAGAGAATGTAAGAAACTAAAAGCTCATATATATGTATTGGCATTTGCCTTGGAAACAAAAATAATATATGAAAAAAAGTAACCCACCTAATATTTTTCATCTTCTTTTATTTTTTTCTGTTTGTTTATTTGGGTTTTAAAGGAATAGAAAATGGATATGAGGGAGCAATAAATGAGATGACAGTGAAAGCATGGCTCATTGTAGAAACACTGTTCTCTCCCTGTCTCTGTAAGAAAGATCTGTTAAGTAGCAGTGATGAGAAGCCACCAAACACTATACTCCAAAATCTCTTTCTACACTTAAATAAATGCTTCGAACCAAAATAATAATATGATAATTACATATATTATCTACAGAAGCGAGTGTATGCCACTTTATATTGGTTAAAATATTTATACAAATAACTTGGTATAATTATTTGAATAATACGTTCCAAACGAAACCCTAATAATAACTCTAGTGAGCGAAAGCTTATGGTCAGTTGTGGTAAAAGTCTCTTGGATGGTTTCTACGTCGTAGAAATGTCATCGTATACGTATATTTGTGAGAATTAAATAGGGAACTAAGAATTAAAAGACAAAAGAAAAAAGAAAGAGGAAGACAAGTTACACAACACAGGGCTCGAGAAGAGACAAGACTCTGCGGCTTCTACCCTTTTTTTGGGGACTCACTCTTCTTATCATTCACTCCCTCTCTTTTTCTCCTCCACGTCAACTCTGATTCCCACCTTCTTCTATTTATTTAATTTTATTTCTTCTTCTTAATTATTCTCTTTTCTTTTTTTTCTACTACTACTGATTATGTAAAAACCGGTTATCAACATTTTAGAATCTAAGTATATCCTAAATTCCTATATCATTTTCTTTTATTTAGTGTCAACGATCTCTCATTGGCAATGGTTTTAGAGATCACTAGCATATTGGCAATGGTTTTAGAATTATTGTAACAATGATTTAAGAATTGAAAAAAGCAGTAACTAACTCCATGCATTTTGAATTTATTTGAGGGAAGAAAAGCATTCGTTGGATTTTGAAGTATTGATTGACAGAAAGGGCCTAGAGAATTGAGTGATAAGCAATTTTGTTTTATATAAACACTTGCACCCTTGTCCAAAAAAAATAAAAAAATAAAAAAAAATAAACACTTGCACCCAAAATAAAAATCAATAACAAAAAATATTTTTTTATATTCTTTAATAAATCACGACTTGGAAAAAAAGAAGAGAATGTTATGGAGAAAAAAAAAGAAAGAGTGTCGTTGGACTGAATAACGCGTGCAGAGAGGCCACGACAGTCTTATCATCAATTAAATTTCTTCTTAATTAGGGTATCCTACTTAACTATACATATTATGCACGTATAGTTTTTTTTTATGCATACGTGCAATGGTGACATGTATACAAAATTTTGAAAAGAGAAATTGTATAAAATAAGTGTTTAGTGTTGTTTCGATAACATCCTAAGTTTTTTCATTGTCCAATTCTACTCCAGATTTTCATAGGCGTCTTAGTTCCATCCATCTCTATATTAAAATTCCATACAGATTATTTTTTTGTTTTTGTTAAACTCCGTTATATATCTATGTGTTGGTTGCTGGTTGGTTCTGCCTGAAACTATTATTAGGAAATGATGTTTAAAATTATTTGACATTTATATATTTTTGTAATGTAGCAAATAAAGAATAGACTACTAGAGAGAAAAGGTCATTGTCTCGATTGTTATGTATCCATCACAAGTTCACAACCCCTTGAATTAATTGATCCCCTCCATTAATCTATTATACTCATTATTTTGTGATTTTTACTTATCTCTATAGCTAAAATCGATATAGCCTAACCAATTATATTCGAATTGAAAAGCAATAATAAACCATTCGTTTATTAACATAAATTATTGGATTTGGAAATTAAATCAAGAACCGGTACGGAAGCGTAGGGCGGCGAGGCAATGCTTTTTACTTTTTTAGCCTGTCTCAAACTATTCATTATTCCCATTTTGGATCTTAATCTTTTTGAAATGTCTAATTTAACCCCTTCTTCATTAGTCAACTCTCTCCACTCTTTTGGCAAAATCCTTTAAACGTCCCCATCTTTTACTTTATATTTTTTATTTTATGTCCTAACTTTTTTTAATTGTATATGACACCCATACATACATCTCTAAATTTCGGATTTATCGCGACATATGTTTTCGTGCCGTTATTCTCAGGCAATTCAAAGGATATATACCTAAAAATAAAAAAGGATATACTTATAAAATAAAATACTCTGATAATTATAATGATTAATTAAATTAGGATCCATGATGCTCACGGCACGGGCATAGAGATAGAGGTGTGTTTGTCTGTATATAAATTGTTTAAACATTTAATATTTATACAAAAAGATAATGCAGTAACATAGGGCACCTCAACAAAATCGTACGTTTGTCTCTCTACAAGAGAGAGTATGTTTACGTGCATTTTTATTTTTATATATAAATATTACTAGTATACATAAAATGTGTGTATATCATAATGTTTTTTGTTTCCTCGGAAACATGGACAAAAGCATCTGCTTTCCAGCTACAAAACTTTAGACACTTAATTTAAGCCACAGGTGCACCCAAAATTGATATTTAAAAAGAAAGATTATGGGCATATGGATAGTTAGAAAAATAATAATAAGTATTAATCAATAACGATAATTGGTAATCATCCTTTCGTTTTTATTAACTAGTCACATTTAATCCAATTTTTATCTGTTTGCTAAGGATTTTCAAAACCTTGAATAAACTTTTCTGGTTTTTTTAGCTCTAACTCGTAGAACAATAATGTACTCCATTTGATACAATTAAGCTCACATGTACCAAATGAAATAAAAATGAGTGGACCTATGGACTTTTGACAAGGTTTTGTAGTCAGTTCTAGATCATGATTAGGAGGTCTAATTAATAGGTCCCGAAATATAGAACTATCTTAGGATAATCAAAAATAGAATTCTGATACCGTAGTGAATTAGTATTAGTATTATATCTAGTCCTTTTAAGGAAAATTAGTTATTCACATCACATATCAAAAAAAAAACATATAAAAATTTCAAAAATGTAAGAAAAAAGGAGAAAGAAAAAGCGGGTTTCCCGGAACAAAAGGACAAAGAGAGAAAAATCCATTTGTGCTAACGTGGCAAGATAATAACCGTCCGATTATATATCAACGATAAGAGATGAAGTGTTGCCATATTGTAGCAAGAAAAAAAAAATAGAAAGCAAATAATGAGAGAAACATTTTTTTTTTTTGCAAAATCTGGAAAAACAAAACAAAGAAACAAACAAACGAAGAAGAGATGAGAGGAGACAGAGAATTAAATTAGAGGAGCAGAAGAGAGAGAGAGATTATTAAGGTCATGGCGGCGTTGCAGAGCGCAAGAAAGACGATTAAAACCTCTCTCTGATCTCTCTTCTTCTCCTTCCTTCTTCTTACATATCTCTGCGTGTTTCTTAAATACTCTCTCTCTCTCGTACCGACAAACAAAGTTTTGCTTTTTACCAGAGTCTCGAAAAGCTATTCCAACTTCAATACACTACAAACCCAGAGAATGAATTCAACCTAAAAACCCTAGAAATCCTCTAAGATCTAGAGTGAGAAAGTTAGAGAGTAGAAGTACTACAAAAGATAGGATCTTTGGTTTTGGGTTTTGTTCCATTTTCTTGATTGGAGAGTGGGAGAGTGGTGGTTATGGGTGGTGGTGGTTGTTGTGAGGGTGAATGGCGGGGTTTTTCTCGCTAGACGGTGGTGGAGGAGGAGGCGGAGGTGGAGGAAACAATCAAGAAGATCACCGGAGCAATACAAACCCTCCTCCGCCTGTATCAGAAGCTTGGCTCTGGTATAGAAACCCTAACGCAAACGCAAACACAAACGTAAACGCAAACGCTCCTTCTTCTTCAAACGCTGCTTTAGGAACACTTGAGTTATGGCAAAACCACAATCAGCAAGAAATCATGTTTCAGCAACAGCAACATCAACAAAGGTTGGATCTTTACTCTTCCGCCGCAGGTTTAGGTGTTGGACCAAGTAATCATAACCAATTCGATATCTCCGGCGAAACTTCAACCGCCGGCGCCGGAAGAGCTGCGGCGATGATGATGATTCGTAGTGGCGGCGGAGGAGGAGGAGGAGGAAGTGGTGGTGTGAGCTGTCAAGACTGTGGGAATCAAGCGAAGAAAGATTGTGCTCACATGAGGTGTAGAACTTGTTGTAAGAGCCGTGGCTTCGAGTGTCCTACTCACGTGAGAAGCACGTGGGTTCCTGCTGCTAAACGCCGTGAGAGACAACAGCAATTAGCTACGGTTCAGCCGCAAACGCATCTGCCACGCGGTGAGAGCGTTCCTAAACGCCACCGTGAGAATTTACCGGCAACTTCTTCATCTCTTGTCTGCACTCGCATACCTTCTCATTCAGGTATATGTCACTATAATGTGAAATATTTATTTATGTATATATGTTTATTATTATATGGTCGTGAAATAAATAATGAAATGCAAGCAGCATTTTTATAATTTATATAAGTAACGAATTGGGATCAGCTTCGAGAGCCAAAAAATTAAAACCCTATTTTGATTATCAGTTAATTTCCTAAAATAAGTTTTTATTTTTATTTTGTAATTTAATTGTGAAAATACTGTGTTGGAGTAAACACTGACTATTGGATTGACAGGAACAAGCTGTTCTCATCAATCTTGAAATCTGTGTTCTTTCTCTAATTCCCTGCTCCTTCTTTTTCGTAACCTTAATTTTGGAAGAAAAAAATGAGTATTAATGTTTATTCTATATGTATAATCAAAAACATGCGATTACGTACCACTTAAATTACTTTTTTATTTTCTCTATAAATTCTAGGGCTAGAAGTTGGGAATTTCCCGGCGGAGGTGAGTTCATCGGCGGTGTTTAGGTGCGTGCGTGTGAGCTCAGTAGAAGATGGAGAAGAAGAATTTGCTTACCAAACAGCCGTAAGCATCGGGGGTCACATTTTCAAAGGCATTCTATACGACCTCGGTCCTGGAAGTAGTGGCGGTGGCGGCTATAGCGTTGTTGCCGCCGGTGAGAGCTCCTCTGGTGGTGGTGGAGCTCAACAGCTGAATCTCATAACAGCTGGCTCTGTAACGGTTGCTACCGCTTCTTCCTCTACTCCAAACCTCGGTGGTATTGGCAGCTCATCCGCCGCGGCAGCCACGTACATTGATCCAGCCGCTCTTTATCCAACTCCGATCAATACATTCATGGCCGGTACACAATTCTTTCCCAACCCAAGATCGTGATGAAAATCTGACATAAAAGCAACATAACTCTTTTGAATTCTTAGAATAGAATTAGGGTTTATAAACGTTAATTGTCGGATCATATTATATAAAAAAGTATGCAGGAGTGGGGAAGTGAATCTGTTTATGCTTCTCCTACTTCTAGACACTCAAAGTTGTTGCAATTTTAGGGTTTTTTAAAATGGAAATTCAATTCAAATAATTATACCATTGTCTTTTTATATGGTTTTGTGAGGATATAGTGTTGTGTATCATTTAAATGTTAGGAGCACAATATAGCTCTTGTTGTCTGAATCTTTGTTTCATTAATGTGTCTGTTTCTTGTTTGTGAAACACGTAACCTTAGAATCCGGGGATAATGTTTTTCATCTTTATATCACATCTTTTGTGTCTTTTTTCTTCTATCCAATATAAAGAATTCATTACATTTGTACCATACATTATAGTACAATTTAATATTTTTCAACCTTTTTTATTTTCTAACTTTTCCAACCATGATTTCCGTTAAGGCCGAATATGGTCTGCCCATCCCATGCATTTAATGATCTAAAGTGTATTATTTGTTAGTTACTAGTAATTGATGTATGCCATAATTGACATGTGATAGAATCAGAGAAGATGACTAGAAGAGCGACATGTATAGATGTGACATGAGGGTGCGTTCTACAATGTACGTTAATCCCAATTAGTTAAATCTCCATGCCCTCCATTAGTTCTTTGATCATTATGATGATTTAGTTAAATAAGTTTTGAACAATACTACTAATCTTTCTCTATTTTAAAATAAGTGTTGTCTTGAGGCCGGTAATGTTTCTGTTTAAAAATGGTGTTGAATGATTTTAATGTAACGTTTGTCAAGAAAATATCTCATTGTCTCTATAAAATCAATTAAATAAAAATTTGATCTATGATATAATTTTCAAAGTTAACATGCTTTGTAAGAATACAATAGAGTATTAAACTATTTTTTTCTATGCATCATGCATGATAATTGATAAGTGTCAAAAACGATATTTAATTTGAAACGGACATAATATTATTTTTATTTGTATAACTAAATAAACCATAACTTGTAAGATAACATGGTGGAAGAAAATTAATAATCATGAAGGAGTTTACGTTTCATGTAAGCTAACGTATGTATATATGTATTGCATCATTGCATGTAGATGTATTTTTTCACCCTACACGATGATATACACATTACACACACACATATATATTATAAATAGAGATTTTGCAGATTCTCATGGGGGATATATATGAAATCTATATATGTTACATAAGAAATGTAAATATGGAATGCAATGCCATCAATTTCAGACGATCGAGTATGTTCGGCTACAGAAAGCTATTTACTCCTCCTCATCTCTATTTCATCAATCATTTCGGTTTTACTCATTTAAACACAAACAATCCCTTCTTCGTCTTCTCTTCTTTCATTCTCTCACATTTAATTTTGGTTTAGCTTTCATGAGGTAGTAAATTATGTAATATGTCATACAAAATATATGTAATATATGATGTGAAAGAGGATAAGAAACAATAATACTATGGTAAAAAAACTGGAACCGAGGAGATAGTCGATAATACTCGATACTGTTAGTTACCATTCGAACAAAACCAATGCCAGAATACCTATAATTTTATTTTTTGTCTTTAAAATTGACAAAAACAAAATACATTCGATGATAATCGATACTGTTAGTTACGTGTGAATTTGTAGTTTTGTGGAGTTGGTAAAAAGCTAAAATCCCTTATACAATTGAGATATATTGCGTGACAACATTACATAATCGGTAAATTTGGTCCATTCAAATAGTGCTGCGGTCCAATCGGCCGACTCGTTCCGACTTTTACTCTCTGCCCGCATCACAGCTTGTCATATCCACAAATTTTATTCATTTCTAATTTATATATGATAATTTTTACAAGATCCACAAGCTATAGTGTCGTATCCGATTTGTTGTGTTCTTCTATAGTTTATATGTAAATTTGATGTCTCTTATTTGGATATTATATATTTTGAGAAGAAAGCCAAAAGAGATAAAATTATAAAATGCTGGCTAAAATCCGAAGCCTGAAAATCTAAAATTTGTCATTGTCCGACATTTATTAATCCAAAGCTTCAGGTTCCACTCAAAGAAAATAATTAAAAATAAATACTATTTGGATGTCTTTTGGACCTTTTGGTGCATTGATGACAATAAGCAAATATACACATTTTGCAATTTTGCAGGATGAATTTGATACAACTGGATATATATAGTAGACCAATAAACAGAAGACATGTGTATGTGTATACCAACGATTGACATTTGAATTATGTGTTTTAGGGGGAGAGAACCGAACCAAGCGTAAATATCTCATCTTCAAGGTCCTTGATAATTAAAAAAAAAAAAAAAAAAAAAAAAAAAAAAAAAAAAAAAAAAAAAGGTCCTTGATAATAATAATCACACTACACATTTTATTAATATCTCAACCATTAAAATAAAACATAAAGTTTTTTGAAAAATTATAAAATTGAGAAGGTACTAAACTATTAGTGCATCAAAACTTTTTCTTAATCCATTTGGAGATGTTTAGTTCAAATAAACGGAACATATTTAATCCAATGCAATAAAAAGAGAACAAACAGAATTCAGTCAAACATTTTTGTTTAAAATTTATATATCTAAGCCATAACAACCAAAAATTTACTCTAATTGAAATCAAAAGTCAAATAAACATCCTTGGAGTTCATTATGCCAAAAAAGAACAATCTTGCCATGTTTAATATTTCCTGACTAGGCGTTACCACTTACCAGTTAGCATTGGATTACATGGCTTTAATTTTCATGGACAACAAAATATGAGACACAGAGACCATAACTAAATTTAGAGACACGAAATTGAAAGTCCCATGTCCGACTCTATAGGATCTTTGATCCAGTCTTGTCTCTTCACAACCTCTCTTTCTCTTCTTTTTCTTCTATTTTTACTTCCTTCAACTCCCATTTTACTCCTTCATTTTTCTTCTTCTTTCTCCCTAGTATACGCACGACCGGAAAGATGGCATTCGGGAGGGGACGTGGCAACAAACGCACTTCGACGTCGTCCTATGCGTCGACCATTACAATGGTCATCTTTGTGGCTCTGTGTGTCTTCGGTGTGTGGATGCTTTCTTCCAATTCTGTTATCCCACCGCAGATCACACAAGGCTCCACTCGAACGGCTGTCGCAGAGACAGAGAGGAGTGATGTGTCTGTCTCTTCAAACGGTAATGATGAGCCCGAACCCACGAAACAAGAGTCTGATGAGCAACCGCCATTTGAAGACAATCCGGGAAAGCTTCCAGACGATGCTGTAAAGTCTGAAGACGAGCAACGGAAGTCAGCGAAAGAGAAGAGTGAAACGACGAGCTCAAAGACTCAAACACAAGAGACCCAACAACACGATGACAAGCTTTCCGAGGAAAAAGAGAAAGATAACGGAAAGGAGAAAGAGACGGTGCAAGAGAATGAGGAGGGTCAGATGAAAAAAGTGGTCAAGGAGTTTGAAAAGGAGCAGAAGCAACAGCGGGACGAGGACGCTGGGACTCAACCCAAAGGAACTCAAGGGCAAGAGCAGGGACAAGGGAAGGAACTGCCGGATGTCGAACAAGGAAATAAACAAGGGCAAGATGTGGAACAAGGAACGAAACAAGGGCAAGAACAGGATTCAAATACGGATGTGACATTCACAGATGCGACCAAACAAGAACAACCTATGGAAACGGGGCAGGGCGATACATCAGAGAACTCAAAGAATGAAGAAAACGGACAAACAGAGGAACAAAACTCAGGGAATGAGGAAACCGGACAACAAAACGAGGAGAAGACCGCGGTTAGTGAAGAAAATGGGAAGGAAGAGAAGAGCATGAAGGATGAGAATGGCCAACAGGAAGAACATACCACAGCAGAGGACGAAAGCGGAAACAAAGAAGAAGAGAGCACGTCAAAGGACGAAAACACGGAGCAACAAGAAGAGCGGAAAGATGAGAAAACACATGGGGGTTCAGAAGCGAGTGGTTTTGGCTCTGGAATACCGAAAGAATCTGCAGAATCACAGAAGTCATGGAAGAGTCAGGCAACAGAATCTAAGGACGAGAAACAAAGACAGACATCTGAATCAAATACCGTAGAGAGTATTATGGATGGAAATGCATGGGTGCTGTGCAATGCAACTGCAGGAACTGACTATATACCATGCCTAGACAACGAAGAAGCTATAATGAAACTAAGGAGTAGAAGACATTTTGAGCACAGAGAGAGACATTGCCCAGAAGATCCACCAACGTGTCTTGTCCCCCTCCCAGAAGGGTATAAGGAGTCCATCAAGTGGCCTGAAAGCAGAGATAAGGTAAAATATTCTATCAAAAAAAAGTTTTCTTCAGGTGAAATAATGTGAGAAGCTAACTCACATGTGATCTAGTAGATATGGTACCACAATGTCCCACACACAAAGCTAGCTGAGGTAAAAGGACATCAGAACTGGGTGAAAGTCACTGGCGAGTTCTTGACGTTTCCTGGTGGTGGAACACAGTTCATCCATGGAGCTCTTCATTATATCGATTTTCTTCAGCAGGTGAACTCATTTCTTAATTTCAGGATAGCGTTAAAACTGCACCAAGTAAAAGATAGAAAATTTATGTTAGATATAATGGTTATTTTTCTACTATGGCAGTCTTTGAAAAACATTGCGTGGGGTAAACGTACTCGGGTCATATTGGATGTTGGATGTGGAGTGGCGAGCTTTGGCGGTTTCCTTTTTGAAAGAGATGTTATAGCAATGTCTCTTGCACCAAAAGATGAACACGAGGCTCAAGTTCAGTTTGCTCTTGAAAGAAAGATTCCAGCCATCTCTGCGGTTATGGGCTCCAAGCGACTGCCATTCCCGAGCAGAGTGTTTGATCTTATCCATTGTGCACGTTGTAGAGTCCCATGGCATAATGAGGGTGGTATGCTTCTTCTTGAACTTAATCGGATGCTTAGGCCCGGAGGTTATTTTGTCTGGTCAGCAACACCAGTCTACCAGAAGCTTGAAGAAGATGTTCAAATCTGGAAAGGTAAGGACTAAAGTAAAATGCTTGAACTTAAATAGAGTTCCTCCTTTTGTAGGTTTCACTGAAGCTGACATGTTTTGAGTTATATAGAAATGTCCGCGTTGACAAAATCCTTGTGCTGGGAACTTGTGACAATAAACAAGGATAAACTCAATGGTGTTGGTGCTGCAATCTACCAGAAACCTGTAACAAATGAATGTTACGAGAAAAGAAAGCACAACAAGCCTCCGTTGTGTAAAAACAACGATGACGCAAATGCAGCCTGGTATGATTGTTTCCACAATATGCAAAAATAACAAAAACTTAAAACCTTAAGGCTTTAATAGAACAAAGAAAGTCAATACTTGAATGCAAATTTCAGGTATGTACCCCTACAAGCATGTATGCATAAAGTTCCTACCAATGTGGTCGAGAGAGGAAGCAAATGGCCAGTGAATTGGCCCCGTCGGCTTCAAACACCTCCTTACTGGCTAAACAGCTCTCAAATGGGGATCTATGGGAAACCAGCTCCTCGAGATTTCACTACAGATTATGAACATTGGAAACATGTTGTAAGCAAAGTATACATGAATGAAATAGGAATCAGCTGGTCTAATGTGAGGAATGTAATGGACATGCGAGCTGTCTACGGAGGGTAAGCATCAACGAAAAGAACTATAAAAGATCAAACAAAAATCTCAATTACCAAAACCAAACCTTTTTTTTTTACTAACTATGTCAAAATGCAGGTTTGCAGCAGCTCTAAAGGACCTACAGGTGTGGGTCATGAATGTAGTAAACATAAACTCACCAGATACACTACCGATAATCTACGAGAGAGGCCTGTTCGGAATATATCATGACTGGTGTGAATCATTTAGCACATACCCTCGAAGCTATGATCTCTTACATGCAGATCATCTTTTCTCTAAGTTGAGAACAAGGTAAAAGCTTAACTCATATCATATCCACCCTTTTTGGTACCTTTCATCAACAATCTTGAAAATGTTCTCTGTTTTTCTTTTTCTTTTGAAAGGTGCAATCTTGTTCCAGTAATGGCAGAGGTGGATAGAATAGTAAGACCAGGAGGTAAACTCATAGTTCGTGACGAATCGAATGTGATAAGAGAAGTTGAGAACATGTTGAAGTCACTACACTGGGATGTTCATTTAACATTCTCCAAACACCAAGAAGGGATATTAAGTGCACAAAAAGGATTCTGGAGACCAGATACTTCTCAATGAAAGACGCTAACACTCTGAGAATCTGCATTCGAAAATAGCAGAAGCAGCATTATAATACACACTACCCATATCTATAATCTCCAAAACTTGTTGCATTTTGCAAGAATTGGATAAAGAATTGTCAGTATAAGCACTAGTTTTAGTCTTCTTAAACTATATATAGACTAATTAGAACATTTTTTTTTCCCAACTTCATATTTTTTTTGGATATTCTATTGTAAGGCTATGACTTTGAATCATTGACTGGGAAAAGTAAGGCACACCAATAAATGAAAATTTTAATTTTGTTCCAACAAGTAGAAACATAGCAGTACTGAAGAAAATGCTTTAAACTTTTAAAACCAATTGATCAAGATTTTATCATAAGATACCACAAGCCAAATTACAAAATTTGAATGAAATACCCAATCCAATAGTTTCTAGGTGAGCGAATGCATCACACAAAAGGATTAAAGTAGAAATGAAACCAAACTTTAGAATCTTAAGCTCAAATATTAGTTCAAAAGATAAGAAAGAAAGAAGAGAATCTGACATTATGGGCAGAGTAGGAGAGTTGAAGAAGATGGTTAATGAGATGCCCAAAGTCATAAAATTTCAGAGAGCCCAGCCCACTTATGGATGCTAATGTGTAACATGTATTTTCTACAACAAAAAACGGTACCGTTTTGCTTCGAATTAACAAAAAGTAGACATTTTTATACGTTTTGCCGGTTGAGTGAAAAACTTTCACCAAAGAAAAGTATTTCGATTTTATCTTTAAATTTTTTTTTTTTTTTCTTGGGTTCTTGGGAAAAGAAAGATTGAGAAATAAGTAAGGAACGAAAGGAAAAAGAAGAGAAAACTCACCACTTTAGTAGAGGAGGGCTTTGGGGGGCTATCATATTCAATGCTTTACCAAACTCACCTCTTCTTCTAAATTCTCACCACTCTTCTTCATCCTCTCTATCTCCTTCACCGACATATCTACTCTCAGTCTCTCTATCTCTCATCTCAGGTAATTCCAATTTCTTCTCCAATTTTAGGGTACATGAATTGGGTTTTTTGAAGGTTACTTACTCGTTACATTGTTTGAAAAAAGATGCAACTTTTCTTTGTGGCTTAGTCAAATCATGGTTCGTTTTTCCAAGTTGTAGGTTTTCGTGATTTTTTTTTTGTTCTTTTTCTGTTTGAATTTGGAAAATTAAAGGAACGGTTTTTTTTTTCTTTCAGGGGGGAATTTTTATTTTAAGATTATTTTTGGTGAGTTTTTGATATTTAAAGGAGCCAAAAAGAAAAGAAGAAAAAACCTAAACTTTTTTTTGGTGGGTTTTGATAGGAAACATGGAAAGTGTTGAATTGGCGTTGAAGAACAGTAGCAAGAAAGACAAAACCCTCACCGTCACCGGCGGCGCTCAAAATGGCGATGATTTCTCCGTCGACGACTTGCTTGACTTCTCTAACGAAGACGACGACGACGTTTTCGTTGAGGATGAGACTGAATTGAAAGTACAAAGAAAAAGAGGAGTCTCTGACGAAATTACCCTTCACCGGACCAACGATTTCTCCACCGCTGATTTCCCCACAAGCGAGCTCGCCGTTCCGGTATGAATTTGTGTTTTCATTTTGCTCAAAATTTGTAAGATTATTCGTAATTGCAATGTTTAGTTTCTTGTTTCTTGTTTCGTTGTTAGATGGATGATTTAGCGGAACTTGAATGGTTTTCAAATTTCGTTGATGACTCTTCTCTCATGCCGTTTTCGGCTCCGACGAAGAAACCGGTTTGGTTAACCGGAAATCGTAGACATCCTGTACCATCGGTTAAAGAAGAAGCCTGCTTCAAAGCTCCTCCTCCTCCGGTTAAAACCAGGCCCAAACGAGTCAGAACCGGAGTCACCGGCTGGTATCATGGTTCGGACTCATCTTCCAGTTCTACAACATCGTCGTCTTCCTCTTCTGGTCCTTCAAGCCCTCTATGGCTCGCCGGTGCTGAGTTTCTTGATGAGTCAGTGGCTAAAACACAGAAGAAGAAGAAGAAGAAGGTTCGGCAAAACTCTGGTCAGACGCAGACGCAAACGCAAACGCAAACGCAAACGCAAACGCAGGGCAGGCGGTGTGGTCATTGTGGCGTTCAGAAAACGCCGCAGTGGAGAGCAGGACCATTAGGAGCTAAGACGTTGTGTAATGCGTGTGGTGTGCGTTACAAATCGGGTCGGTTATTACCCGAATATAGACCCGCTTGTAGCCCAACTTTCTCCAGTGAGCTTCACTCAAACCACCACCGTAAAGTCATTGAGATGCGTCGGAAGAAGGAGGCTTCTGATGAGGCTGATCAAACCGGTTCGAACCAGCCGGTTCAGGTTGTGCCGAGTTTTTAAAGAAATTTGGAGAATTTTTAGAGCAGAATTAGGATCCGACCCGGTTCAGATTTAGCACCAGTTAGTATGTTAAAGGATTATGTATGTTTTTCTAAAATTTGATTTTTGTTCGTTGTAGTCGTAGTTTAGATTTTTTAGCAACTCTTTAAAACTGAAAACTCTTATATTTGTTTGTTGTTGCGCATTAATTTTCAGTTTTTTTTTTCTTTTTCTTAACCACCTTTAACGTTATAATATATAGTTTCTTATTCAACTTACATTTTAATTGACAGTGGAGTTTCAATAGTGACAACATATTATTAAGACATGGGGACATTTCTACACTTATGATCTACTTCATCATCACAATTTGATAATATTTCACTGTCATGATAGAGTTGGTTCATTTTCTGGTTATAATGTATGCTAAATAATTATTGAGAATGCGATGGTTGTTTTTCGACTCCATATTGGTAGACTGATAGTTAGTACAAGATCAATTTAAAATCGTTATTAAGTTGAATGGAAATGAGGACCAAATTAGGATGAGGCTTGATTTCATTTTTCAGAGTTGTTACTCAATAATAATAGCAATCGCATTTTCTCTTGTATATATAAAATTGACATAATAAAAAAAAAAAAAATTTACTTCTATTCAAACAAAAAAAAAATAAACGTACTGGGCACAGTACTCTTTTATTGACTAATTTATTACTCTGCGTATTTTTGGAGATTGAATACGACCTTCAGTGACGTACAAAATAGATATATCCAATTTTTGCAATGTAATAATATTCGTTGACCATATCTTTGAGATTATATCACGAATTACCAGTTTTACCTTGGGTCTTTATTCCTCGAATGGTTTTAGTTGACTAAGCTGGTGGTCTAATAATAATAAGCTTTTATTACGTGTCTCGTTTCTTGAAATGCTGCATAATACATAACTATATACAATTCGGAAATATATATGTACAAAAGTAACCAATTAATCTATCAAAATTACTGTTTTGCCAAAAAAAAAAAACAATCAAAATTACTGATCATGCTCTATATAATAATAAAATGTAGATTACATACTAGTTTGTGTTATTGCCGTTATGTGCCATTTGAAAATATTATTTTATACCAAATTATAATTAAAACTTTTTAGAAAAAATCAAATTAATCAAAAGAAGGGATATTTTTACAAGCATGAAAATAAATGGGTGCGTTATAACAAAACGTATACATTCAACGTAGAAATATTAATTTCTCCAACTTTTTGGAAACACTATATATGCTCCTTGCATATTTGGTCTGTAACAAGAAGAATCATGTGGTGTTTTCATTCTTGTCTAGGAAAAGCGCCCGAGAGTGTTAGGTTTGTCTCCAGAAACACACAATACATATTCAAGGAAGCCCCTTCACAGTCACCCATCGCCAAATTTAGGGGCAGCCATATAATGTAATTAGGGTTTAAAGTTAGAATATATATGGTCCCTAATTACATTTTCGACTGGTTTCCATTAAACTTGGAAATGGCTAATTGTAGAGAAGCTTCCTTGCCAAAGATACCAGTTTTAACATTCGTCTCACGCTTCGCTTCTCCTTCACAACGATGAAAACGTCTCCGTTTTCAAAAATGAGATCATACTTTTTTTTTAATTTGTTATTTTTCTTATAACAAATCACATGTTTTTTTGTTTTTTTTTTGTTTAGCACCAATGACTTTTACCTATTATCATTTCTCTTAACTTGTTTTTTTGTTCGTGGTAGTTATATATTGTTTTGTTTAGGTTTAGAGTTTTAAAAGTCATATATTGTTTTGTTTGACATTAAAGTGTCAGTTTTCTCTGAACTTTCTTTAATGTTATATCTACGTTAAAACATATAGCATTTTTCTTCAACTAACACTTTGAATGTTAAGGGGGTATATATGGACCGTGGAGTGAATATGAAACCGTTCGAAATTTCAGTAAGTGACACTAAGACATGGGGACACTCGACACCCATTTATCTACTTCATTATCTACTCCATATTAATTTGTTGCTGTTACTTGTTAATAGCCATCAGTTTCTCTTGTATCTATAAAATTGATTTAATTGACATAACATAAACTGAGCGAAATGAAATTACAAGATGACGTACTGCCTACTGGCCACACTCTCTTGTTGATTAATTTATTACACTGCGTGTATCTGAATGTGACTTTCAGTGACGTACAACATCAAAATCGTCGAGAGTACGCATCACTGTAATTGTAAATTTTTATATTGACGATATTTCTGTAAACTTGGAACTTATTCTGCAATTGATTTTGGTTGACTCTGGTTTAAACACAGCGGGTGTGGTTGCGTCTGCGGGAGTTTGCGGAAGCGGGCGGTTGCGGTTTCAAGCGTTATGATGCATTTTGAACGACTGGTTAAGCGGTTGAAAATTGGTGCGTTTGCGGGAGTTTTATGACTGGTTAACAAGCGGATGCGACAACGGTTAAATCGAAAATGATCAAAAGAAATATAATTTATAATTATATAATAAAGTATAAAAACACCAAATATTTATATTATTATGATAAAATACAAAACAATTTATATATAATTAATAATAATAAAATATATAAAATTACTACATAATTAAAATAATATATTTCATAGTTAAGTACTTATTACTTCATGCATTTGGTTCATAAAAAAAGCATCAAGTAATATAACAAATTACAAAAAAATAATATGACAAACTAAAAAAATAGATGTTTTGAATTCTTAGATCCTCTGGATTAATAATTTTATTACAATACTTTGTTTGTATTTTGTGCTTCTTGAGTTTAGATTGACGCCATAATTTTGGTAAATAGAAAAAAAATTAGGGTTTTGAGAATTAACGTTAATATATATAGGGTTTGATGATTTTTTTTTTTAATTTTGTTTTTCAGTTTTTTTTTTAATTTATTTGTTATTTATGTATTTTTTAATATATATATAGGATTTGAATTTAAAAAAAAAATTTGCCAACCGCTACCGCCCGCAACCGCAAACGCTTGCAGGAAGGAGCTTTTGAATTCAGCGGTTCAGAGCGGTCTAGAGCGGTTCGGAGCGGTATAAAACGTTTTTTATGATTGGTTTTAAACGTTAGCAACCGCAACCGCCCGCAACCGCAGCGTTTGCGGGTGGTAGCGGGAGAACCAATCAAGCCCTAAGCTGTTGGCTAAATTAAAAAAAAAAACTTTTCATTTCATGAATGCAGCATAACATGTAAAATACGAACTCTACTATTCAAAAAAAAAAAAAAATATATATATATATATATATATATATATAAATATACAAACTCTTCTAATTAATTACCAAATTATTAATCATAAGTTCATAACTCATAAGTAAGATGCTGTCAAAATTATAAATAAATTAAATCATAAGATAGTAGACATGTAACTTACTAATTTTTGCTAGTGTTAATAATTTGTTTTAGTGTCGTGATTGCACCATATCACCAGTATCTAAATTGAAACTTGCATAATCTATTCAGTTATATTAAAATTACTAAAACTTTTCCTACCAAAAAAAAAAAATTACTAAAACTTCCACGAAATAAACAATTATTCAAAACGAGGCATATTTTACAAGCATGGAAGTTACATGCATGAATATGTATAACACATTTAATTTTTTTTTTGTTAAGAACGTAAATATTTCATAAAAATGAAACTTTATTAGGAATACAATCAACGATAATAAATCTATGCAATGGTTGTTCCATGACAAAAAAAAAACATGGAAGCATAAATAGGAAAAACACATTTTTAGTCGGTCGACTCGACGCCAAACCGAAGTTAAAAGAGTTGGATGAAGTGATTACGATTTTGAAAATGTGTTTGAAACTATATAGGAACATCTTTATACAAGATACAAATTGTCGAATCATGTCCTACTTATATATCAATTATAAACTCACTTTAGATCATTACCAAATTTCTTTACTTTAAACATAATACTAGACTACTAGTTAATATACCTAAATGATGTAGTTGCGACTTAAAAAAAGGAAAAACTGAATAGAGGCGTGGGGGAGTCACGTGATGAGCATTTCCCACCCGATTCAACTATTTTAGCTTTTACATTAATGTGGTCCATTGTCTAACTAGTTCCATATATCATCATTAAGTTTCACAAAATAAGCTTCACTCCTAACGAATTCCACATAAAAATTGGTAGGATTCAAAAGTTCAACTATTAAAATAATAGATAGATTGGTTCCGTAACGTTATTCTCGAGTTGTGTGCCCAAAATTGTTGGGAGACCATAGAGCCAACAACACATGTCACATGTGACTGAGCCACTTTTCTCATCTTGACATTATTTCTTTGGCTCGCTTTACGTTTCGTGACTTTCGTCTATTGAACTTAACGATAAACAGAAAACATATTTCGCTAGTTTAGCTATAACAGTTTCTTGACACGAAGTATTTGTTTTAGTTACATGTGTATTTTGAAAACATAACTTTAAGATACGAGTGTGTTTGATCACTTTCATGTAATTAAGTTTTTACCAAAAAGAAGAATGGACTAGTAGTCTACACAACACCCAAACTCGCCTAATCTATTGACTTTATAAAAAGGCAGTAGTAGTACACGCCCTTCCTCAAGCTTAGGCTACTTTCATAATGATCGCATCGCAGCCCTTGTTGGCTCTAAAGCTCTCGTCAACGTCAAGTATGATTTTATGTTTCTTTTAAGAGTTATATATCGACTTGTTGTTATGTCGAGAGGAATACCTAACAACGTATATATTTCACGGGCCTTGAGCTGGCACTTACATAAAAAGATAACATTAGTTTGGTGGGACAAATTTGCCCCATGGAGGATTTTTTTTTTTGAAAAATCTGTTTCCCGTGAAAGAACATCATCATATACATGAAGGGTTCAAATTTACTAGATTTGGTGATTCTTTATATCTTTCACATAAAAAAGTAAATACAATTACATTAAACATACGAATAATTAACAAGACCAAAGATTTCATCCCGTAATTAAAAAACAGGGATGATGATGAGTTGGTCTTAAAACCGGCACCGTCGGATGGAGTTACATGACGATCCGGAGGACAGCGAGACCAACTGCTGAGATGGAGACAAGCGTACCAATACAGTACTTGATCACCTCATACTTGGCTGCTTCTAACTGAGCTCTCAAAGTGTGAATCTCCTGAGAGATTGAAAAACAGAAAACAAAAACATCAACACTCTTGCTTCCAAAACGAATAGATCACACAGAAGCTAGAGATGAGAATACTAACACGGTCAAGTTTGTTTGTAAGGTTAGAGGTTTCTGCGTTTTGATTTTGTAACTCATCTCTTATCCTCCTGCTCCATGAAACATATCACAATTTTAGAAGATATCACTTAAGAACAACCGTTAAAGGAACAGAGAAAGAAGGTAGCTAGTTCTCTGACCCTTTTTCAAGATTCAGGTCCAGCCGTTGTCCTGCTGTGACTTTATCGATCTCGTGTCTGCAATGTTATCGCAATAGTCAGTGCACTAATCGAGTCTAATATAGCACGTCAAACCTTAAGGTTTATCAGAGAGCTGACCTTATATCAGAGCGGATTCGCTCTATGTCATTGCGGAGTTTCTCATTCTCGTGTTGCAGCAAAGAGAAATGGTGGTCCTATACATAACACACATTTTTCAACAATCTTTCGGATTCAAGGTGTCACTATAAGAGGTCGAAGAGTAGCGCTATTCGCTCTATCGGGTTTCCAACCATTTGACATGTAATCACAGACAGAAATTTGAAAACAAAACTTACCAGCGAACTGTTAATTTCACTTTTGAACTTGGATAAGTTTGATTCCTGTGTCATTTCAGCCTACCAGAAGCAAGAAAACCAAAGTTAGACCGCTGCTATAACCGCGTCTTACTCTTTGGAATTGATGAAGCAACAAAGCCTTATCACAACAGAAACTTACTTTCTGCATCTCTCCTTTGGAGACAACCAACTGTGAAACAACTCCTAAGCTATCATTAAGAACTTCAGTTATAGCACCGGTTATAGCCTCGGCTTGTTTCGAAGGCAGGCCTTGTGCTTCTAAGCTCCTCACCTGAAAATCACATAACAAAGTCTCCTTTAAACTATACTCCTAAGACTATATCTAAAAATAACAACCAGACATCTGCATCCTAGAGAATTCTATGAGTCCGGTCTAGAATAGAACCATTATATTGTCTCATTCCTATATGCAAAAAGATAACACAAATTGTAACCCTTCCTTTAATCAAAACCTTGCCTACGAATTAAGCAAGGGACAAGAGTCATAAGACAATTCAAAGTAATGATGATGATAATACAGAAACCAAATAATCATTTGACCAAGGAAGGGTTATTACCAAAGCGAGTGTATCGACAAGAAACAAACGTTTCCCATTGGTTTTGATAAGTTGAGAGATGAATCTGGCGTGGAATTGTCTGAACGAAGAAGAATGTGATACTAACGATGAAGAAGAAGAGGAACGAATCTCGTGAGTCTTGTCAAATGTTGGATTTGAATAACCGATTGATCTGAGAGTCGACAGGTTTACACCTGATGAACTTGTTCCAAGACGTGCCAGTCGAAGATAATTCGCGTACGCAGCCATCAAAAAGATGAATTTTTTTCTTTCCAGAAATTGATTTGTAAAAATGGAAACTTTTAACCCAAATTTCGGATCGGGAAATCGCTGTTGGGAGAAGATCAATAAGGATAACAAGAGTTTCCCAATCGGGTAAGCATGCAAATGGTCAAAAGAAGAAAACTTTGAAGATGGGTTTGGTGAGAATCGTTCTTATGAAGGTTGGGTTGGTGGTGTCATCCATGGAAATCGCTTAGACGTCTCAGCACCATCGAATGAAACAGACGGACGACGATGATAGAGAAAGCGTGAGTCTTTGTCTTTCCCTAAATGGGCACGTTTCCCAACTCAACCCCTCTTTACTTTTTTTTTTTTTTTTTTAGACGGACGTGGTCATTAAAGAGGGGTGGTCGCACGGCGGTCTGACAGGTCATTCTTTATCATCGTCGTCCGTCTATCAAGAGTTTTAGAATTAGTAAAGTTAAGCTCTGTTTAAGCAAGAGGAACAATATGATACAGGAAAAGGGATTAAGTCAAAGTCTTTGATACAGGAAAAGGGATTAAGTCAAAGTCAAGGTTTCTCAAATGTGTTGCATAATGACGTGGCAGAATAGATGAAGATGATTGGTGGAAGTGTAAATGATGCGTTGGCAGAGTTTAATTGGTTGAAGGAAGATGAGAGGAAAATCAAGATATAAAGAGGCTCGAGAGATCATTTGCAGAAATAACCAGAGAATCATTTTCAGTTGTATCTTTTCTTCTTCTTCTTAGTTTGTTCAGACTTCAGAGATTATGGTGTTGTACTCATCTAGATCGAGATCTCTCCGTTAGATCTTTGTCATTTGAGATATCGGCTCGCGTTTTATGAACGTTAGTCCGATTTGGTTCCGGTTACGATTTGAATTGAAACATTGGTGAATTTTCTTTATCAAAGGTATCAGAGCCAACAGATTCTCGGAATCCATGGCAGAAACGAGATCTAAAAGCTTGTTTGCAGAAGCTATGGTTCGTGAAGTTGACGAAACTTTTGGCTCGGGGATAGACAAATTGAAAGAGACAATCGCGAACGAAAATGAAAAGATCGATACACGAATTACTGCTTTGCTTTTGTTGTTGCGATCATGGAGCACGGAGGAGGAGAATCCGCAAGTAGATGCTCTTCCAGCCTCGCCGCAACTTCTAGACTCACCAAATTTCAATCGTCCAGATGCGAAACCAAGCTATGTTATCAACGTTACTCCAGAGATTCCTAAAGTTTCATCGTCGTCAACTCGCAGATACAAGCTTCATCAGAGAATCTCGTTGGAAGAGATTAACAAGAGAAGGTTGAAGGGGTTATGTGTGTTTTGCGAACAGCCAGAAACTCCAGATCATCATATCAAACACAAGAATACAGGGATTCTCATGATTGATGGTGATGAAGATCAAACCCCTAATTGTGAATTTGGTGAATCAATTGAGCATTGTACGGTGAGTTTGTTGTCTACAGCTCAAGACGAGAAGCCAAATTTGGAGAATCATGAAAATTTGGTACATGCAACGATCTTGGAGGGAGAATCAGTTCCACCATTTCAGGTACCAATTTCAGATTCTGAGAGTTTGAGGAATATTGAACTTAGGGAAGAAAATTCAAAGTTGGAAACTCTAGAGTATGTAGTGATGAATGAGAATGAGAATCTAGAGCAAGAATGGGTTCAAAAGTACGTTAATATGAAATTTGATGTTGATGGTGATGCTAAGAGGAGTCATAAAGTATTAAGTAGCACCAAAAATTGCTGTGCACACCAAGTGTTTGGTAAAATGTCTAAACATGAAGAAAAGCTGGGAATAAAGAAGAAAAGGAAAGGGTTTAAATCATGGATGTTTAAGTATAAGAGGGGCTTAAGGAAACTGCACGCACTTACTTTTATCAAGAGTATGCGAATGGTTTTCTCTCGACAATTGGGAATGGTTGAGACAACTAGTGATTTGTTGATGTGGAATGGAAAGGATAGTCTACCACATACTGCTATTGGATCTGCATTAGAAGCAATGGAAACAGATTCATCCAGTCAAGAGAGAAGCGAGTTATGTACAGAGAACAAAGAGGAAGTTAAAAGATGCTTCAAACGTCTTCAAGCGTCGGTTCTGATGAAAGAAAAACCAGATTCTGTGAAAGTAAATGAAGTGAAGATTGAGACGCAGGTTGTTGACAGAGACATGTCACTTTCGATAATAGTTATGGAAACAGGAACGGAGGAGGTGATTGGATCACATGTGACGATGGCTTTTGTTTTCAAACAAACATCACTCTCATATTCTCCGTGTAGTGAACACAACTTGTTGGATACAATGCTTCTTAGGTGCCATAGTAAGACGAAACAAAGGAAATGTCTTAAATCGTGGATGTTCAAATACAAATTTGATGAGGAGGATCCAAGGAATCTCCAATCCAGAAATGGGTATAGCTTATCAAGAAGGAAAATTCAACTTTTTATCTCTCAGTACATGTGGACTCAAGAAGTGTCTGCTGCAATTCGTTTTCTCCTGAGGAGACATTTATACTTGACTTTTGATTGTGAAGAGCTTGCGCTAGCTGGACGAAAGAGGAAGCATGGTCTTTCGATGGGATTGCAGAGTAAACAGAAGAAACGAAAATGTCCTAAGTCTTGGATGTTCAAATTCAAGACGGGTTCTAATCCTGCGGGAACTAGCAGCTTAAAGCGTCACAACGAATGTGGTCTTTGGGCACAAATCCGTGGAGTCAAGAAGCAGAGCAAACTTCTTTTGCTCTCTCTTTCTCCCAGTTTCATATGGCGAGCAATGATACGAAACCCGGTGAAACAGAGCAAACTCCCCAAAACTTGGTTTTTTAAGTATAAACAAGAGAAGAACTTTCGACTTTGGTGAAAGAACCAGAAAAGATCTTAAAGTGGAAGATGGTTCAACATTGTAGAGCTGCTATAATGGTTGAGTCAAGTAGACAAACCGACTCACAGAGGAAGCCACTTTAGAATCTGTAGAAAAGTTTCTTGCCATTAAACCTTGAGGTCAAGGTTTTTCAAAGAGGGAGGATTTGATACAGGAAAAGGGATTAAGTCAAAGTCAAGGTTTCTCAAATGTGTTGCATAATGACGTGGCAGAATAGATGAAGATGATTGGTGGAAGTGTAAATGATGCGTTGGCAGAGTTTAATTGGTTGAAGGAAGATGAGAGGAAAATCAAGATATAAAGAGGCTCGAGAGATCATTTGCAGAAATAACCAGAGAATCATTTTCAGTTGTATCTTTTCTTCTTCTTCTTAGTTTGTTCAGACTTCAGAGATTATGGTGTTGTACTCATCTAGATCGAGATCTCTCCGTTAGATCTTTGTCATTTGAGATATCGGCTCGCGTTTTATGAACGTTAGTCCGATTTGGTTCCGGTTACGATTTGAATTGAAACATTGGTGAATTTTCTTTATCACAATAGTACACATAAAACTGAGCATCTCTAAATTTCACATTACCTGTAATGTTGTAAAAAAGCAGAGTTCAAATTTTATGTTTAGTCTTCAACATCAAGAACAAAGTCTCAGAAATCGAATCGTTTTGAGATTTCATCTGTAATAAAAGTGTACCTCATTGGCATATGAATATGATCAGTAAACCAAAACTGAGGAAGGTTTTACACATTACTGTTCTCGTAGTCATAGCTAATCACTTTGCGACATGGCCTGCTTAAACACATCAATACAGCCATTTTTTTGTTGCTTTTATTTTTTATAATTCAAAGATAATCCAAAAAAGTGTCAAATAAGATTCATATCCTGTCGTCTGTCCGTCACCTCTTTTTGTTTTTGTTTTTTTGAGGGCTTGTCTTCACATCTAATGTAATAAAGTTTCTTCATTTTGGTCGCTTTCGATATGGGTCCAAGGAATCGTCCACAGTTTCTTTCACATAGTTACCAACTCTCTTCATGTTCTTCATCACTCCTCCTGCTACCAGGCTTGCGTTTCTTGTGAACCTAATACATTCCCACAGAAATGAATATTGTGTGTTATAAACAATTCTCATTTCATGACTTATGCAACACTGAACACTTTATGGTAGATAAGACTGATTAGTTTGACTAACTATCGCAGATCCAAGAGTTATCTAACTTATCTAACTTTGAGGTTTGTATTCACCCACAATCAATTAGGCAGTCAAGTCAAAAAATACCAATGTCATTACCCATTAAGCCACAACAAGTGAAAATTTAAAGGTCTACTATCTCGAGCTAAAACAAAAGCTCTTTGCTTACCTCGTTAGGAAGCCATTTTCTGTGTTTGTGGCAGTGGCTGGTGCTGGTGCTGGTTTATGGTTCTGGACCTTCTGGTGCTGAGGCACCTCCCGAGAATCTAGAGAATAGGAACAGAAATGATGAGCATATAAGAGGCAGGACTCAGTTTCATTGTTGTAAACTGGTGAATGGGAGCAGATACGGTGTACCACTTCTACTTTGAACACGGGCAGGAACAGATGAAGTATTGCCAGAAGCTGCTCTTCTATCTGCTAGTATCTGCAATGAACATAACAAAGTTCGATGAAAAAAATAGACATTGCAACCAGCACCAAGTAGACCATATTCCTTCTTTAGTGCAAGTGAAGTATATCAAGTTCTAAATATGTATCCAGTTTTTTGCAGAAGTTGATGATGTCTTCAAAATAATGCATACACATACACCAACAAAAACAAGTATAAAGGAAACTAAATAGATTTGACCAGACAGCCTAACCGATTCAATTGATAGTAAGCTTAAGATGAACGTCCATGGGAATCATATGTAACTTTCAAAGCAATGTAATGAATTTTCGAGAAAAGTTTTACGAGCGACAAACCTCAAGACCGACACAAACGGGAAGTTGAGTCTTAGTATGTTGCTTAATAGCAGATGAGTCTTTATCAGTCATGTAGACGGAATATCCCAAACATCCATAGTAAAAATCAGCTAAGGTCCTCCCTTCTTTAGAAGCTTCAGCTTCAGATTGTCCAACAACATAATCAGGAACTACAAAGTTATGAAACATCTTTAGCATATGCATAAACCATTGAAGCAGCAAAGAGAAGAACAATTGAGTTACAAAAAAAAAACACACACATTTCTCTTCAGTTTTCGTGTCTATAGGTTTAAATTCTGAGATTACTTCTGAATTAGAATCTATCTCTCAAGTCTCAACCATTTTCGTTAATCCAGAGAACTAATCGCAATAAGAAACCAAAATTGATTTCCAGGCCAATTTCGCGATAAGTTAAGATTCAATTACAAGAAGAGAGAGCTACGTGGTGGATTCAGGAACCCTAATATAGAAGAAGCAGCCATGAATATCATCAATCAAAGGGAGAATTGGAGCTTTCGACGACTCAAGAAGATGAATACCTTGACGGAGAGTACGGGGGATACCGACGCAGCGAGGGTTCTTAGCCTTGGATTTGAGAGTGGAAGAGTAATATAAATAGCCTTTGCACGATCTTCCTTTCTCCAGAGATCCTCTCTGCTGCTGTTCTGGTTTCTCTTCCATTACCGTCCTCGTTACTTCTTCGCTCGAGCCTTCGTTCATCGCAAGCCTTCTCTATCTCTCTCCCTTTCGTTTCTTCTTTGAAATTTCTCTCTACCTCTCTCTCTGTCTCTCTATCTTTCGCTCATCTTCAATTTTTCGTCCGATCTGCTGCTTCCGGGTGATCTATTACGGCGGTGCCCTCCATCTTCTCGTTCCCATTTCTCTTTTATTTTCTAAAGTTTTTTTCATTAATTGTTTTGAAATGTTTAGCCTATAAGCTAATGGGCCGAAACCCATAAAGACCCAATAGTTACTTTTTTTTTTTTCTTCTTTTTGTGGCAGCAGACCAAAAGTTACTAGTTGCAATGAATATAATAACGTATGACTAATATAATATAAATATAAAATTTTTATGATGATATTTTTTGATAGTTTGAATTTTTTTTCCGGATAACTTTAGATTCAATCCAAATCCAGAAAAAAAAACGAATACGAAAGATAAAATCCGATCCGAACCAAATCCAAATAGAACTGAATCGAACCTTACCTAAATATTATAAATATTAAATATCCAAACGGGATCTATGAAGCTAAACCTTAAAATTCAAAAAACGTGGTAGTCTTGTTTCGACATTTGATAATCATTTGATAATCACATGTCTAAATAATGGGAAAGTAAATTGGAATCGAAAAGAAAATTTGGGTTTTCGTAAAACAAATTAAAATAAATTAGAGGACATACAAACGGATACGAGAAGCTAATAAGCCACTCAAATCAAATTGAGGTTGAAACTTGAACTAAATTTACCACAAAAGAATTAAATGAGAGTTTGTTCATCTTGCTGTAAAATAAGAATGGTCTGGATCTCGCACTTGGACAAAGCTCTCAGAAGCTTTAGCAGATCACTGATGAACTTCGGGATTTAACTCTTTCCATTAAATAATTTGCTCTAGTTTTGTAAACGATAACTTTCCTAAATATTCCTCAGCTGCTCAAATTCGGCAATGGAGCCTCCTTCGAATAATGCTACCTCCAACACTTCAATAGTTCATGACCATAGACATGAGTAGCCTAACAAACACCTATAAACGTAGTCAGGTTCTTCTTCACAATGCAACCTATAATGCGTAATACATTTGTTTTCTCTTATATATGGTTGTTTACTCTGAAGAATTTTCTTTAATAAATGGAGAAATAAATAGTTATAGCTTGATAATGAGAGTCTTTAAAACTATTAACCCTTTTTACATGGTTTTGAGTAATGAAGATACTTTCGAGGAAACAACAATATATAATTGAAATAATTGCAAGTATCTTTTAGATACTTTTGGGTTGTTTGAGGTTTTTTTTGTTGGGTAATTTAGATTCAAACCAAACCCGGAAGAAACCGAGCCCGATTCGAATATCCAAAATTTAAATAATCCGATTCGATCTATTTAAAATATTAGAAAAAGTATAAAATTTAAATATTTACAATTGTATCCCACTTTTTAAAAAACTGATATTTTATAAAACTTTTTTTGCTCCAAAACGTTATAGATATCTGATTTTTTTTAATATTGAATCAAAGTAAATATCGAATAAAAAAAATCAAACATATATTTTGTACACCATTACCACGAAGATGAGTTTGATGACGGACGTGACAAGCACATGTCCAAATATGGAAGTAAATGGTTAGTGTAGATATTGTAGTTTAATTCATATTTACAAATTCAAAGTAGTAAAGTGCTAGAAATTTTTGGTATCCGCCGTCCGCTCTGTTTAAAAGTTGATTTGACTTTTATGATCAGTTTTGATTTAGATATATGGATTTTTATCCATAATACAATCATAAAATATTTTGGTGATAAAACTTATTTGAAGGAGGTGATATAGGTAGATATTATTAGTTTAATTCATATTTATAACTTAAAAGTATAGTTAACTAGTGGAAATGTTTAGTATCTCGATCAAAAAACCCGCATCCGAAACCCGCATCTCAGAGAAGCACTCAAAATCAAATTGATGCTGCAACTTACCACAAGGGAATCAAACTAGAGTTTGTCAAACAATAAGGGTCTGAATCTCGCACTTGGACGAAGCTCTCGGAAGTTTTAGCAGATTCCTGATGAACTTGGGGATTAACTCTTTCCATGAAGAGATTTGCAGAAGTTCCAAAAATGACAACTTTCCTAAATAACTCCTCAACTGCTCAAATTCTGCAATGGAGCCTCCTGCTAATGTGACCTCCAAAACCTCAATTGTTGATGACGACAAACAAGAGTATCTTGACAAACACCGACACACATAGTCAGGTTCTTCCCCACAATGCAACCCACCCTGCATAAAACACACGTAGTCAGGTTCTCTGAAAATTTTCCTTTGATAAATAGAGAAAGAAATAATCATTCCTTGATGATGAGAGTCTTCAAATTTGGAGTCTTTTTTAGCAAAAACGGAAGAAATCCCCACCAAGATCCGATGTCGACATGGTTAAGAATTAGGAGATTTAAGGATTCAAACACTGGTATTGGTCTACGGAAGAAGTGTAGGGCCTGAGATCAATACAAATAAACTAAGTTCAATAATTTTTTTACTACTTTGAATTTGTAATACATGTGCTTGTCACGTCCTTTATCAAACTCATCTTCGTGGTAATGGTGTACAAAATATATGTTCGATCTGGTTTTTATTCGATACTTACTTTGATTCAATATTAAAAAAATATGATATCTATAATGTTTTGGAGCCAAAAACTTTTTATAAAATATCGGTTTTTTAAAAAAGTGGGATATAATTCTAAATATTTAAATTTTATACCTTTTTCTAATATTTTCTGTGATCAGTGATTTTCTTCTTAATGACCGGCAAGATCTGAGTGTCTTATCTCTATCGAGCTTTCCTTAGAAGCTGCTCAGCCGTGATTTGCACCGGCGCTGGGGTTTTGTTCTTCACTGCCCTTGGAAACATCATCTTTGTCCAGAGTAGTAACGGGGGAAGTATACCGGTGCCGGAGACGATTTTAGCAGATGATTTCGTGAGATTGAGGATGCGATTGGAGTTTCCAAATGGAGATGGAGGGGAACCAGTCATCACGACCGGAAAAGATATCTTGGAGGCGATGAACGAGTTCTATAAATTTTTGGTATCCGCGATTTGTTCTGTTTAAAAGTTGATTTAATTTTATGATCAGTTTTGAGTTAAAGAAATCTAGATATCATAAAATTTGGATATCCGGAATTTTATCCATAATATAATCATAAACGATTTTGGTGATAAAATATATTTGAAAGAGGTGATATATGTAGATATTATCAGTTTAATTTCATATTTATAACTTAAAAGTATAGTGAAATATTGGAAATTTTTAATATCCGCTTTCAATTTTCTTTTAATCGGATATTTGATTTTATGATCAACTTTAATCAGAATATTTTAGACAGTGTAGATTTAATTCGGTGGAGATGGTGGTGGCTGTGCCAGAGCCGGCCCATAAATTATAAGGGCATCATCAATGGGGGATCATGTGAGGGTGTTCTTATAGAGAATATAATGTTAAAATAATGTAAGATCATGTGTTTAGATCTTTTGTTTAGAAGTTGATTAGTGGGAGAACATGTGTAAGATCTTAAGACTTAATAATATAATAATCTAAATTAAATTAAGATTTTACAATTATTAAAACATTTAAAAATAACATATAAATTGCAAATGCCAAATTTATGAAAAACTGAAAATAAAAGTGAAAATACAATACTAAATATTTATGAAAAAAATATTAAAAATATAAATAACAATAAACAAACAAACATATTACTTAATAAAAGCACAAAAACATTTTATCTAATTAATACATAGTTTATTATCCAAATTTATTCCAAATATGTTGAATATTCCAACCAATGCCCAAATGCCACGTCACCCCGCAACACCCACAAGAACAGATCCAGGTCAAGAGCCCAGTTCCTGATCTTAAGCCCATTAACCCATTTTTTTAGATTTAAATAATGCTTAGATCAGGGGGGGTGATCCCCCAATGCAGATGGTCTAAGGCCACAAGCGCAAAAAGCTTTAGGCTTATATTGTTTGGTGAATCAAACAATAAAAACCAAAAAACTGACGGTGAAAGGTCGAACCCTTCATAAACATTTGGTAGTTGATACCACTAAACTAACAAGACTTTTTGTTAATTTTTCGACCGATAAAATATTACTATATTATTGTCAGGCCACAAACACATACTAAATTATAGTCATATTATGTTCCTTCTAGCCTTTTTTTTTTTTTTTTTTTTTTTTTTTGACAAAGATGTTCCTTCTAGCCTTCTAAGAGCATCTCCAATGCAGGGTTCTCTTCTATATTTTGATGAGTTCTCATCTGAAATTGGCAAAAAAATAATTCAAAATTGAGTAAAAAAGAGAGAATCGATTCAGTTTTCAATTGGAGGGAGTGTTAAAACAAAAGAAAAAAAAAACACTCATTCCTTTTAGTTTTTTCTCACGACAAAAAAAAAACACGACTCCTCTCTCTCTCTCTCTCTCGATTGATCAAAGAAGCTGATGAACAAACACCGATTTCGTGAGATTCCGATGAGTCTATGCCGGAATCGTGGTATGTGAGACTTACCTACCGCCGGAATCATCAGCGGGATAGACGGTTAAGACCATCGGCGAATGGAGTCAAAACGAATCGAAGATTGGCGATGGAGAAGAAGGATTCGTTGAAGGATGGTCCAATTTCTTGTTCCAGGTATGAATCTAGCCCCTTCCCCTTGTGTATCATGACTTAATTCGTTGTATTTTGTGTTTTAACAAAAGAATTGAAACCAATCGTAGCAAGATCAGTTTCATACACTTCCTCGCCGACAATGATCCCACCACCGGCCAAAGCTGGTGTCCAGGTCTCTATCACTCTCTTAGGGGTTTCTCAATTTTCGTCCAATTTCGATCGATTTCATCTTCTCGATCGATTCAATGGTTTTGATTGGTGAATCAGACTGTGTTAGAGTTGAACCTGTGATTTACAAGACTCTAGAGGAATTTCCAGAGGAGGGGAATCTTATTCCGGTGACAGACCGGCGTGGAGAACTCCGACGCATTCGTGGAGAGTTGATTCTCGGTTTAAGCTCATCGGAGTGCCAACTCTTGTTCGTTGGGATGGTGACTCTGTTAAGGGACGGCGTGAGGATCATCAAGCTCACCTGATTCTGCCCCTTCTTGCGCCATCCACTTGATTCGATCGATTTCTTGGTTATGTTTGTTCTCGGGGTTTAGGTTAATGAATCTCTAATCTTCTTGGAACATTGATTGATATTGTTCTATGTTTTAGAGACTATGGTGGGATTGAGGATTTCTTTGTGTTGTTTTCCAATAAGTCATCATTCATCTGCTGGGAATTGCTTTCATCTCTGCTTAACAACTCTCTTAATCTAGAAACTCTCATCATCAAGTTATTATACAAAAGCAGTTATATGTTGGAGGTCGGGGACGTTTCCAACTTTCCATTGTGTGATGGGAGTCATGTGAAGCACAACAAAGCTAATAATGGAGATGACGTTGGTCATCTTCTTCTCAATAACTAAATCATTTGTGTCTCACTTACAAGATTGGCGCCAAGGCTCGCTCTCACATTGGCTGCTCAAGAAACACTAGCAAAGTTGGTTAGAGTGAGAAGCAAGATATGAAACTACACTCAAACGTTTCTCCTGGTTATTATTTCCACATTACTACTCTAAACTCAGTTTTGTTGAAGACATCAAATCATGTAATGGGTACTTTAAACCTTTTTAAAACAATCTTATTCCTATGTACATTACCATCTTCCTTATTGATCATAGTCTCATTTTAATTGAGTTTTTCATAAGAGTATAACTAGAGAGAGCATCAAGCAAAACAACATTTAAACGCATTGAATTCTCAAGCCAAAAGATAAGTTAACCAATCAAACAAAAGATTCACTTGTCTCTTGTATTTCTTTACTTTGTCCCAATAAAACAAATATGTTTATCAACACTTACATTATTTCAGTTTTTTATTTGCACATCTACTTTTAAATGTTTGAAAATAATGTATGTTTAATATTTTATGAATTAAAATTTTTAATACTTTTTTTTTTTCTAAGAGAACTCCACTTGAGAACCTACCATTGGACTATGAAATTTTTTTTAAAAAAACAAAAGTTCTCATCTCACATTTTCACAAAATTTATATTAAAAAATTTGAGAGAGTCTCATGGGGAGAGCTCCCCATTGGAGATGCTCTAAGTATTGTTGGCAAGAGAAAGCTTCTGTATGAAGGTGAAGTGAGGAAGAACCCTTTGAACTATGATTCCTGGTTCGATTACATTAGGTTGGAGGAGACTTTGGGAATAAAGATAGGATCAGAGATCTCTATGAGAGGGCTATTGCTAATGTTCCACCCGCCGAGGAGAAACGATACTGGCAGAGATATATCTACTTGTGGATTGATTATGCATTGTTTGAAGAGATTGTAGCTGAAGACGTGGAGCGTACTCGAGCTGTGTACAGAGAATGCCTTGATCTTATCCCGCACTCCAAATTCTCTTTTGCCAAGATATGGTTGCTCGCTGCACAGTTTGAGATCAGGCAATTGAATCTCTCGGGTGCTCGGCGGATATTAGGAAACGCCATTGGCAAAGCTCCGAAGCATAAGATTTTCAAGAAATACATTGAGATTGAACTCCACTTGGGAAACATAGATAGATGTAGAAAACTGTACGCACGGTATCTTGAATGGTCTCCTGAGAGTTGCTATGCTTGGATCAAGTTTGCTGAGTTTGAGATGTCTCTTGCTGAAACAGAACGAGCTAGAGCTATTTTTGAACTTGCAATATCTCAGCCTGTTCTTGACACCCCCGAGCTTCTATGGAAGGCATACATTGATTTTGAGATATCACTAGGGGAATTAGAGAGGACACGAGCTTTATATGAGCGACTCTTGGACCGTACAAAGCATTACAAGGTGTGGCTTAGTTTTGCAAAGTTTGAAGCTTCTGCTGCTCAAGATAATGATGTTCTTCTTGAACACGCCAGAGCGATTTTCGATAGAGCCAACACATACTACAAAGAGTCCAAACCGGAGCTCAAGGAAGAACGAGCGAAACTGTTGGAGGATTGGCAGAACATGGAGGCGAGCTTTGGTATGCCCGGGGATGTTAGTGCTGTTCAATCGAAGCTCCCGAAAAAGCTCAAGAAGAGAAAGCCAATCACTAGAGAAGACGGCGAAACAGAGTATGAAGAATACATTGATTATTTGTTCCCAGAAGAATCACAGACGATGAATCTCAAGATTCTTGAAGCTGCTCATAAATGGAAGAAGTAGAAGGTTGCTGCTTTCTAAGGATTATTACTTTTGAAGTTTCTTTGTGTTTTATCAAAACTGAGAGTTCTTTTGTTTTCTTACTTCTCTGTACATTCTCACTTTATCTGTTCGATTTAGCCGTCACTTTTATTATCCAAGCAAAAGTTCAAATCTTATCTGCTTTTTCTTTCTGTTTGGTTCTGAGTAAACGAGCTAAATAACTTGATTGAAGAAGTGAGAACCTAGTTGTTTAATTACTTAAACATGCAGCTTATGGGTACAGAAACTTTTGTGCAACAAAAAGGGAGGTTCGAGATGTGGTAAATAAACAAATAAATACAAAATACAAGAAATGAAAATTCAGGGGTGCCAAAAACTACAAGATGCACCTCTTTTGCAGTATCCACTCTCATAGAATTTACAGATTTTCAGCCCTTTGGGCGGATGAGCTGCATATGAACCTGATCCATGGTCATACCCATGGCTATTGCTGTATGGCCATTGCCGGTTATTATGACTGTTGTTGAAGCTACTGTTGTGACCGTTGTTCAACCACTGCCGGTCTCTGCTGTTCCCGCTGGATCTCTTCTGCTGGCTCCCTCGTGGACTTCGCTCTGTGTTTCCACGGGCTGAGCCTGAGTCATGAGATGATAATGACCTAGGGCTTGGTTCCGAACTTACTCGCAAAACAGATTTGGGGAGCCTCTCGACCGATCCAGCTTCAACTGTGGTTTCTGATCCTAGTCTGAGAGCCGTTGTCGTTAGAGTCAGGTCGTGACTTATTGAAGTTGGCGCTGGCGCTGGCGCTGGTGGTGCAAAAAGCAGGAGCTCTGGACCAGCTGTTCCGCAGTGGCTGAAGGGAGTGTTGTCTTTTGCTTCTGTACCCATTGAGCTTTTCCCGGCAGAGACATTGTCGAGAATACTCGCCTGAGAGACATCCAATCTACATGTTTCAGGTGTCAGGGACATGCGTGCCATAGGGTTAAAGAAATCTTCCTCTGGCCCTTTTGTCAAATCATCGTCATCATCGCAGTGAAATGTTGAGGTGGGTGAAGAGGGCAAACCGTTCTGCTCCATTGCTTCAACTTCAGCTAATAGATCTGAAACTGATTCATCACATTCGTCGGGGTCAGCCACAATGGCTGGCCACCCAGATGCTTGAGCCACTTGGGTGTTGTCTGAAGTCTGCGTAGCTGTGGCGTGATCCGCTGCCAAATCAATTGGCTTTACAGACGGTGCAGCTAAAACAACAGCATTCTGCTGAGTTACTTGAGGAAGGTGTCCTCCAGTGACCACAACACTTGAAGTGGTAGTAGCAGCATCGGTGGTAGCTGTTATTGTGGTGCTCCAAGTGACACCAGATGGTCCTTTGACCAGAACACATGAAGACAGAGACTGAATAGTCTCTGCCGCTTGAGCTTCCAAGTCTTCAGGGCTCGACTTAGGTGTAGGACTAGGGAAATCAAGGAAATGGCTTTCTTGATTCAGGTTTGGTGCCTGAACAGAACCGTTTATGGCAGAACCACCATTTGTTCCATCCTCCAGAGTCTTAGTTGTGTTATGGTTACCATCTGCCCGCACAGCATTGGATTGATCAGTTCCTGGAGTTTGTCTTACATCAGGAGTAACAACGTGTCCAGGAACCACAGACATTGACGCCGGACAACTAACTTGAGACTGGGGACGAACAGAATTACCATCCTCGAATTTTCCAGAGAAGGCTACAAGAGCCACAACTTGTTTCTCTTTAGAATCGTTAGAATGGGAAGTGACAGTAGAGGAGGAAGAGGAGGTTGCACTGGTGTTAACTGGCGTCTGGTTCTTCTGAAGACAGTTTACATCCACGCCAGTGCGGCCAGAATCGTGCGGAAATGGTTTTTGTTCTTGGGGAAGCGAAGAAGAACTTGGCAAAGTAGTTGCTTTATCAAACCGTCCAGCAAGAGCATCAGTCAGAAGCACAGACTCGTCTTGGTTCTCATGCGCTCTCCATATCCTAAGATAAGGGGGAAAATGGCCACTAGATTTCCATCTACGTAGCTGCACCATAGAAAATGGTCCCTGGGTCTTTCCTGTTGGATCTCGATAATGCCATATTTCACTCTCCTCATCATCTTTACCAGTTTCCTGCAGTACCCAGAAATTTACATGACTGTGAAACCAGAATAGAAGATCATGAAAGGTTACGTTGCGAATGTAGGAGGTAAGTCAAACCTGAATATTTGATGAGTTGTTGTGGACCTTAGAACAATCATCTTTATCAGCATGCACGACATTTCTGCTTCGCAAAATTGGTGCATCATATTTTTTCTGCGCATTATTTCCTACGTTGTTCAAGATAACCCCTTTCTTCTGCGGACCTTTACTTTGTGCCTTTATGTGATTATCTGCAATTAAAAAAACGTAGAAGATTGTAAATAGCATGAATTTTCGATAAGATAATGAACAAGTAATTGTTCACATCCTAGGTTAAGGTGGGAGACCTTGTATTCTTGTACCCAACCCTGCATCTTCTGATGATGCATGACTCGGATCCATGCTTGGATCTGTATGAACTTCTGGGACTTCCTGCAGAAGCCGCTGACGTTCCTCAGGTGATTTTAGAAGCTCCAGCTTTTCTACGCATTCTCTAAGCGTGGGAGATAGTTAAGAAATAGTTGATAAATCAAGAATAAATTCCATGCAATCAAAGTCAAAGTCTAAATGGGAAGACCAAGGTACTTGTCAAGTTGTATACTAAAACTGAATTATTCTTTGCGCTTATGAGCAGCATGGTCACCTCTTCAATGAATTATTTCATCAACGACTCACTAAAATATTCTATATCAAGCACATTTGCAAAGAGATATAATGTAAGCCAACCGCAACAAATATAGTATAGCAATCTCAAAAAGGATATTCCTTTCTATGACCCTTCTCACTGGCCCGATCACGGAGATGATTGAGCTTTAATATCTCAGCTTCCAGAGCCTACATCAACAAAACATTCGTAAGAAATATGGTAGAGGGCAATAAGAACTATTATAATGAGGATCTCAATATTTACATGAAAGATATTTGCTGTTTTAATGAACCTACCTCATTGGTTCTCATGGCTTGCAGTGTTGCTGCTGTCTTCAAGATGTCACCCTGACACAAAAAAAACACATGTTTCCAAATTAGGTAAAATATACAATTTCAGAACAAGAACTCAAGAAGATATCATGTGGGCATGCCTACCACAGTCAAACGTTTATTGAGGCCACATTTTATGCTCTGGCGCAGCCGTTTGCACTCATCCTGAAAACCACGGTTATAAGTACATTAAAGATAAAAATTAAAACGTAATTACTTATTAGTAGATGGGTTTTTAACTCTCTATTCACAAGCAGAGAATGAGAGAAAGGTAGAGAAATCAATATTTCAGATAGAACTATAATCACCTCTGTGATATTCTGGTCTGATAATTGATCAATCGAGATGACTTCTCTCTTGTCTAAATTCAGTATTTCTAGCATAACATCTGTAGTCTTTGCGCCAAGTTGGTAGGATGCTATTGCCTTGCTTGTACCTGTTGAATAACCACAAAATCAGCTGAGATCTTACTATTAAAACATTTGGGTCACTAATATCCCATTTTCCTTTCTTTCCTTAACAAAGCATTAATATGACCATTAATCAAGTACCTACAACTTGAACAAGCCTGTGAATATCCACCTTCTGGTCGCTGCCAGATACCTTGATTCTCAAAATTGTGCCTACCACCTTTTCGTGAACTTTGTTTATATCATCAAGTAGAGACTCCAAAAATTTACGTCTCAAATAAATCAGGTTGATATTGTGAACATCAATGGCTGCATATGCATCCAGATTTTCATTTTGTACTCTGCCATCAGTTTTCCTACGCATCTTACGTCTTCTATCCCTGACCGCTGGATCATGAACACTATCCTCCTCTATTTGACTAGGTACAGAATGAGTAGTTTCACCATTCGTGGTCTTATCACCTTTCGGTTCCTCTTGAATAAGGACGTGAGACTCGAGAAGCTTAAGCATTTCAAAGTGACCCACTCGCTGTTTTCCAAACAACTTCACAAGCATCAGGTCACAGAGAACTTGAGACTTTTGAAGAGGATCCCTAAGATTTTTTTTCTTGATATAGTCAAGCAGAAGACCCTGCACGTCAAACTGAGATAGAGCAGATGTATCACCATTTTTCATAAACGACACAAACTCGAGGAGTTCTTTTGTTGCCCAGCTCGTATTTCCAGGAGCCTTCTTTATGTTATTATCTGGATTTTTGCCATCCAACTTGTTGGGTAAGGTGGGAGAATCACTGGTCCTTCTTCTTTTTGTTCCATTCACTGCTACATCTAAAGCTCTGTTATTGGTATGATCATTTCGTGACTCCACTTTAGGAGCAGCGTTAGGAACCTCCTTCCAAGGATTATTTGCTCTAGTAAGCTCATCGACAGTTAGAGACAGATCTTCCTTCAGGCAAAGCCAATATACCTTGAATAGATACTCCCAACTAAGCTTGTCATCGAAATCCACCTTAATCTACAAAACAAGGAAAACATTTATGAGCTACATACATTATGATAGAGTAAAGAAAAACACTAAACTTTCTTCAAATACTGAGGAAATACATGTTTCCCTCCCAAAACAAGAGTGACCCTTGTCTTTCAGTTTCACCGGATCATTTCAAAACCCAACCTACCCTACTGCTCTTGATTATTAAATAGGAAGCCCAAGACTAACAACTTTGGAAAACTCCCATCATTTCACGTAATACATGAAATCAATCAACCCTGAATCTCTAAATTTCCATAATTTTAGCTTGCGATTGATTGCTATCACATTATCTATTGTGTCGATACATACGAGTGTCATGTGCATGGCAACACTACGAGGGATTTTGATTGGGTTAATATAAATAGAAACCCTTGGTTTCTTAATAAAGAACAATCAAAGATGTAAAGCCCAAACAAGACTCAAATCAACAAACCATATTCCTCTTAAGGTAATTGTGGCAGGTTGGTAAAAAAATTCGATCGTTACCCAAGCAAATTTTGCGGCTAAAAGGTATTAAATGGAAACTATAGATTGTGGAGGATTGTCTTACCGCTTCATTATCTCCTTGAGCAATATTCTCAATCAGCATTATAGGCTTAATACATGTGCCACAAAGACCCATGTTACCTCTCACAATCACATAGTCGGCATCTTTAATGCACCGCTTACAAACAGAAAAAGTGCATGTATAACACATGTAACTGGAAGCCTTTTGGCATGTACCACATATGTGCCAACCTGAAATGAATGAACGAAACATCAGATTTCAAAGGATGTTCACGTCATCATGTAACTATGTAAGAGATTTGAAATAACGACATGTCAGAACAATCAGTCTCTAGATTGCTGACAGTAAAGACAACATAGTAAAATCATGATGGACTATATATACAACATACCACAATTCCATTTAGCCGTTGTTCGGAAGAATGCCTCATCTCTCTTAATACAAGCTGGATGGTATGCCTTGGGGCAATTCCTGAATGGACAAACAAACCCATCAAAAACTTATCAATAACTCGAACCTAGATTCTTAAACCTCCATAGATAGCTTAATCACTAACATTACCCTCTTGCTTGTTTAGCAATTGAGTAGCTCTAACCTATGGCATTAACCAACGAATAATCGATAAATAGAATCTCGATAATGAGATACAGAAAATAGTTATTGAAACACGAACATATACCATATAATATCCAAAAAAAAACTACTAAATTAAGCTCTTCTTCGTTGTGAACCTACTAAAACATTTGGCAAGGCTCTAATCTCCCTCTAGAGCATAGTATCTAACAGAATTACCACTGTAAGCTAACAATCACTTACCGACGATCACAGAGAACAAGGTCTCCACCGTCGAAGCAAATAAAGCAAACATCTTCTTCCTTGTCGTCCTTCCGCGGCGGCGGAGGGGGTGGCCGAATATGCAACGGCGTCTTAGCCTGTGCCCTAGGAGGACGACCCCGTTTTCGTTTCACAGGGGCAACTTCATCAACAACTTTAACCTCTTGCTCAATGGACACAGGCACAGCAACCGTCCCAGCCACCGACGAGGCAGGTACAGAGAGAGCAGGAACTTGGTTAGCACCGATCTCTTCACATTGATCAACTCTCATAAGATCGATCCCTCTGACGGAACTCTCTTCGCGACCAGCCAAAGAAGCCAACTCCGGCACGCCTTGCTGGAGTTGCTTCTGTTGATTGTCCATGATTAGTCAAGAATTCGAAAAAATTGTGAGCAGTACTTGCAGATCAACTAGTGAAATAGAAACCCTAATCTGAGGTTCTTTGGGGATTTTGGCGATGATGGTGATGATGATGGACAAGTATGGGTGATGTGTTTAGAAAACGAAGACTAGTGGGGAGAAAAATGAAATGGACTTTTGTTTTAGCTTTTTTTTTTTTTTTCTTTTCTTTTCCACTTCTTTACTTTGTTATGACCATTTTATAACAAAAATGTTGTCACTTCTTTCTGCTAATAGAATTTTTGATATTCCAAAAATACTGTACCAATTTCTACAGATTTCAAAAAATACTCTAATTCATAGATTGTAAAAATACTACCAAGTTTTCTAGATTTCAAATTAATTTCTAAAAGCTTATGTTAGATTCCTAGGTTAAACCTTCAAATATTTAAAGTAGATATGGAATTTTAAGCTTATTAGGTAGACAACTACTTTTTTTTTGACATAGGTAGAGATATATTTGTTGTCTCCAATTTGGCAAAATATATGGAGTATTTTACTGTATTATTTAAGGAAAAATATGATATTATGTAAAATACAATATCATATACAATAACGTAAAATTCATAAACATTCCATGTAAAAATCTTACCTACGTACGTAAGATTACTTTGCAAAAACAAAAATTATAGTGCTAAATTCGGCAAACTATATTGTGCATATTCTTGTATGTTTTGTAAGAAAAACGTGATGTGAAAACAATGTAAATTTGTTTACATTCCACGTAAAAATATCTTACCTACGTAAAATTACTTATATAAAAAATTAAAATAGAAAGTTATTTTGCAAATAACCTTCTATAATTTTGGTATTTGCTATGAATATTCTTAAAATACCAACACACACAAACAAGGCATATTCTTGTATGTTTTGTAAGAACACCGTGATGCGAAAACAATGTAAATTTGTTAACATTCTACGTAAAAATCTTAAAGTTACTTCACAAAAAGAAATAAAAATAGAAAGTTATTTTGCAAATAAACTTCTACAATTTGGGTATTTACTATGAATATTCTTACAAAACAACAAAAAACAAACAAAGTATCCAACCAAGAAATCAAGCATCGAGAATAATAGAAAAATTGTGTCTCAATATGTTCAAAGTACTTTCTAAATGATTTTATTCATTTTCACGGAAATAGTATCCCAAGGGTTGAAAAACAAGAACCCAAAAACATGTATTTATATTAAAAAAAACATAAGATAGTAACCCAAAAAGAGTGTGTAATCTCATAGGATATTCCATGAGTTGGTCATCTATGCTTGAATAACTTCATTCGCCACACTCACATGGTATTGTAGGTAGGCTTTGTACCTTTGTTGGGCATTGTTCACGTGCATGTTAGACTTGCCTTTATTTTGTTATAAAGTTTTGAACTTTGATATCTTTTTAACATATATCCTTTTGTTCTTTCTAATACAAGTTTACATAGATGATATTCATAGTCTTCCAAATACGAAAGGTTACATAATCAATTCAACGGTGAAGACTTGAAAACGTTGAAAAACATACATTTTTGGTAAAACGACATTCTGCAGATCTCTGTTTTTTTCGAATTTTTCAAAATTTTGTAGGTGACGTAGCTACTGAGAATAATGCAATCAATTATGTATCTCCAATAAATTGGTAATCTCCCTCTCATTGTGTTGTAGCATTCTTCTTAGTTATGGATCATTTATGACATGTGAAAAAGGGTTAGATAGCGGCGACAAGATTTGAAGAAGAAATTAATTGTGATTATGAACATATACTTTTTTTTGACGCATCCTAATGATAGTAGTAGTTTATAATAGGAAAAGAAAAAGTCAGTTCATATTAGAAATAAAATTACATTGTTTTCTTCAATTCAATCTAACTTTGTTTACCTCGAAGATACTATTCAATCGAATCAATATCTTTTATTTATGGTGCTAAGAAGTAAAGAGAAGAAGCCAATAAGGAAAAAAAAACGTTTTCATCATGAGGGAATGATTAAAAAAAAGTATCTCTAATTTATTTGGTTAGAGTGCATAAATAATATTTGTCATCTTACAAATTAAAGAGTTCAAATACACAATCTTCTCAACTAATGATGTTAGCCACAAACGCGGCATTAAGTCTTTGCCAAACGACGTCACATCTGAATTCCAGGCTCATACCATTTTTCGTCTCCTGAAAATACATTACCGAATTCCAGGCTCATACCATTTAAGAAAAAACATTAAGTACCTCTAATTGCTTTTTTGAGAAAGTATACTTTTTAGTATTCACAGAACAAATTGAATAAGAGATCAAAAAGATGAAATAATGTGTCATGCAAGAGCATATTTGATATTTGTCATAACTATGTGGATTAGATGGTCATTAGCTTAATTGAAACTATTTCTGGCTATTTAGCCTAATTGCTCATAAGTTTATTAGGGTGAGTAGGTGTCAAATTCTAATTGGTAGGGAAGTACTATTCGATAGGTCTAGGCAAAAAATTTGTTAGATCCGTTTTGACTCGGTATTCGTTTTGATTCGATTCGAAAAATCGAAATATCTGTAAGATTTTGGAGCAAAACAAATATGAAAATGTAGTATTCGTAAAAACATGAGCAAATAACAAATATCTTAAAGTCGGATAACCGCTTCGATCCGTATTTTATATATATATATATATATATATATATATATATATATTAATATAAAATATATATTAGAACATATATATATATATATATATGCATATCATAATATATTTTTAGTTTGTATTTGTAAACTCAGTTTTTTATCTTTGAACATGTGTTTGTGACATAATTTAATAGTTTTTATTAGTGAAGTGAAATTTATTTTTAAAAATAAATCAATATCCCATAAAAATAAGAAGTTGGAATCCTGCGAGGCTGCAACGATTTCTTTTCTCAAATTTTATCTTTTTTTCGTAGTTTTACACGCGAGCGTTTAGCTTTTTAGAATTTTAATAGATGCAGAAATATCGAAGCGGATATCTGCAAATATCACAAGTATTCAGTTGTGATTTTCGGATCAAAGCAAATCGCAAAATCAAATATTTGGGTCGATACTAATACGAATATCCCAAATTTTTTGGATATGGGATAGGTCAATCGTGTAGCAAAAGTTTTCAAAAAGAGGAACTAAAGTGGACCCGACTTAATTCAGAACTTCAGAAATCAGAAAGAAAAAAAATTAATCTCTTCTGTTCAAGAAATTGATCCAACAAATGAAAGATTACTCGAAGATCGGCGACAAACTGGTGATGCAGAGACCTAGACGACGATTGGAAGGCACCGCCATGGGCGCCACCGTGTTCGATCTCCGTCCCGGCGTTGGCATCGGACCTTTCTCTATCGGTAATTGCGATTCTCTCAAAATCATAATTTCTGCTGCTTTTCTTTAGTTTATAGAATTCGAAAAGGAATTTCGTATCTACGCTGCGTCTATTGGACTTGGAGGGTTGCAAATCGCTTTGCGATCGGAGATTGCGTGTTGTTTTGGGAATTCCTTGATAACATCGCGATGAAGTTTCTATAAATTGCGTGGTTTAGATAAGTTTTGGATCATCTTTAGTGCAAACGTTGGTTAGTTGGTTTAGTTCTTTAGCACACTGTTTCATCTTCCGATCAGTTTGACCGACGAATCAAGTTGTTGTGTTGTTTCAGGAATGCCGATTTGTGAAGCATTTGCTCAAATAGAGCAGCAGCCTAACATATATGACGTTGTTCATGTGAAATACTACGACGAGGTTTGTACTAATTCACTGCTTGTATTCGATACCTTTTTTTTATCCCATTTATCTTAATTCTTTGTTTGCTTTTCTAAGATTCCGTTGCCTCACGCAGGATCCTTTGAAACTGGATGTTGTTATTAGCTTTCCGGATCATGGGTTTCATCTTCGATTTGATCCCTGGTCTCAGGTACTATTCTTTCCTAGATGATGCTTTGGTTTTTGCATGTGTATGATTAAACCAACATCACTGCTTTACAAACTTTTGGTTTCAACTATCAAGAGTGGAAAGCAAGATCTTCATATTTTACCTGCAATTTAGTGTATCCTTATATGACTAGTTTTAACTGGAATAAACTTAGTTTTGTCTTTTTTTTGTATGTTCAATATACTCTCTAGTTTAGCTTTTGTTTTTCCAATTTGTTTGCAGAGGTTACGGCTTGTTGAGATATTTGATGTCAAGCGACTTCAGATGCGCTACGCCACTTCTATGATTGGGTGAGTCAAGTAGTATCAATTTATGGATTTGGTGTAGTTTACTGTTGTAACAACTGTCTTTTGCTTCTACTTCAGGGGTCCATCAACTCTGGCCACGTTTGTCGCTGTTTATGCACTTTTTGGACCAACCTTTCCTGGGATTTATGATAAAGAAAGAGGGATTTATTCTCTGTTTTACCCGGTGAGCAAGAAATAAAAATATGTTCACACGTTTTACCATAAAGGTTTGAATTTGCTCTAAATGTTTAATCTTTTTAACTATGGCAGGGGCTATCCTTCGAGTTTCCAATTCCAAACCAGTACACGGACTGCTGCCATGATGGAGAAGGTATGTTCTTCTCCGGACTCCAGGGAAATTTTGTTTATATTTCTTGTCTTGTCCGGTATTACACTTCTCATGTTTTATTTTATCCTCTACAAAGCGGCACTACCATTAGAGTTTCCTGATGGCACCACACCAGTAACATGCCGGGTCTCTATATATGACAACTCAAGTGACAAAAAAGTTGGTGTCGGAAAATTGATGGATAGAGCTTCTGTTCCACCTTTACCTCCTGGCAGTCTGTATATGGAAGAGGTCCATATCAAGGTTTGGCTTATCTTCATTTACTCCCTTTCCCCTTTGTGTGTATTAATATCATTTAGCCTAACATAATTAGCAGTTAGCCGGCTCCTTACTCTTCGCATAACTTACTTAAACATTTATGCAGCTTGGCAAGGAACTATACTTTACTGTTGGAGGCCAGCATATGCCTTTTGGTGCATCACCACAGGTAAAGTTTGTACCTTGTCTTATTGTGCTTCTTCTTTGGGGCTAATCATTTTGTACCTCCGAGCAGGATGTATGGACTGAATTAGGTCGACCATGTGGGATTCACCCAAAGCAGGTGATCTGTACTGTCTCTCTAAACTTGTTTCTATATTGCGAATAGATGCTTCCATTAGCTTCTCTTACTATGTTGCCTGCGTTATCTGTTACAGTTCAATGCCCAATTGGACATTATTTCTGCTTCTGAATTGTCCTTTGCTTTCCAGGTAGATCAAATGGTTATTCATTCCGCGTCAGATCCACGACCAAAAACAACTATCTGTGGTGATTACTTTTACAACTATTTTACTCGTGGTTTGGACATCCTGTTTGACGGCGAGGTAGGAAACTCATCAAATAGAGTTATATGTTCCATTCATAATTTTTCTTTATTTACGATTCTGCCTTTTCTGCAGACTCACAAGGTTAAAAAGTTTGTTCTTCACACCAACTATCCCGGTCATGCTGATTTCAACTCATACATAAAGTGCAACTTTGTGATTTCTGGTACGTGATACAAATGAAGCAGCTCATATCAGTCAATTATTCAATACTCAGATATATGTTGTCTATTTTTCCAACAAAATCACGTTTTCATGTCACTTTTCAGGTGGAGAGGATGGGGCAGAAGCAAACAGAGGTGGAAACAAGATCACTCCAAGCACTAATTGGGATCAGGTCAAGGTAAACTAACTTCAGACCAAATTGAATGAAAAGCTAGTCTATGTTAGGCCTTGACCAATTTTTCTGTGAAAGTTTTTATTGACGTAAAATCTCTTTACCCATCCCATCATTGTTGGATCTTATTGCGTAAAATCTCTTTACCCATCCCATCATTGTTGGATCTTATTGCGTAAAATCTCTTTACCCATCCCATCATTGTTGGATCTTATTGCGTAATGGGAAGAAACTTGTGAGGAAGCATTTATGGAAATGATCTGATGTCGAAATCCCAGCATGATTTTAACTGATCATAATCGTTAAATCTGAGAATCAGAACAGATTGAATGGAAACCTGTCTTTTTTCTTAGGAAATACTGGGGGAATGTGGCCCAGCAGCTATTCAGACGCAAGGCTCAACGAGTAACCCTTTTGGATCCACATATGTGTATGGCTATCAGAATGTTGCTTTTGAGGTGAAGCATTTTTTAATAACCCTAATTCAGTAGTTTTGATCCTTGTTATGTATTTGCAGATTGTTAAGTGAAACTTTATGTTGGGGTAAAATATTTGCAGGTGATGAAGAACGGTCATATAGCCACTATAACCTTGTTCCAGTCATGATGTGTATACCACCGCTGAGGTATTACTAATTCTTCGTTTAAGTTGAATTTGTACGTAAAGAGTCTTCATTGTCTGATTTTGTAGAAAAAATGGCTCAAATTAATTTGTCTTGTGTTATAATATGCTATTTAACGAAGTTTTTCACATCAATCAATGTCTTTGTAGGGGGCTCAAGAGGCTATCTTCAACCAGACTCTCTAAATCTAACGTCACAAGAAGCTACGAAAACTATGGATGATACCAAAAACTACAAATGTTGTACAGTTGTCTAGTTACTATCACGGGTTATCAATAACAGTTACTCTGGTTATATTATCCATTCTTTTCAGATTTTATGACTATGAATATCCATTTACATTCTGATAAATACATAAATAATAATAGCATCATCGTGATAATAGGCATTAAAAAACAAAACAAAACAAAACAAAACAAAAAAGCTCCGTCGCCGGGACTCGAACCCGGGTCTCTCGGGTGAGAGCCGAGTATCCTAACCAGCTAGACTACGACGGATTGTTGACAACAGTTGACTTAACTTTATTATAACACACTGATATAGTCGAGAAGGTTGTGCGGTATCTCTTCTATCCGTTGCGTAGCAAGGTTTTGTCTTTCGTGTATGGTTCCGGGAAGGAAAAGGGAAGTGGTGTTGTGGATTGTTTTCATCGGCGATAAGTCTCTTCTCCTCTGGTACTCTTTCTTTCGATTCTCTTCTCCTTTTGTTTCGGGTTCCACTTATATACTCTGAAGCTGCTTTCAATTCAGAATTCGCTTTTGGTTCAATCCATTGGTATGCGAGAACTTGAATTCATGAAATAGTTCCGATATCTCTTCAGTTTTTGGATGTTTGCTTGCTAATTGGGTTTAGAAATGCATAGTAACAGTGTGATTATTGGTTTAGCTATTGTTTAGGGTTTATGCCTGATTTTTATTTGATTTTAGGGATTGAGGTTGGTGGTGTGAGGGAAACCTCCGGTAGTTAGAGATGAATGCGTCCGGGTTAACTGTTACTCCGCCCAGATTTCACTTTCGATGGCGTTCAGGTCGTTTCGGTACATCTCAGAGAAGCTCTCAAGCTTTTACTGTTCTTAGTAAACTGAATAATCGAAATTCCGCTTGGCCTGTTCTTAAAAGGTAGTGTTTTTGGTGCTTGCTTGATTTAAGTATATGCTAGTAGTTCTTTCTCATGATTATTTGTATTCTTCTCTTCGGTGTTGCGCAGTTCTTGTTTGGCGCTTCCTACACAAAGAAGCAATGCTATGATCACTCGTGCCATGAGTGCTTCCTTTGGTGATATGGCAGACGATTCAACTGGTAATACATTATTCTGAGCTGTGCTTAATTTAAGGTTAAGCTTTCTAGTAATGGGCACAGACTCATTAATATGCAATAATCCCGAGTTAAGCTTGTAAACTGTGCTTTTGTGTTCCTTTGTGGTGATAATTAGGTGGTTTTGAATTGAACTAGCTGTCAATAGACGAAGCAATACCTAGCTAGCAATTCAATGAAATGCACTATTCTTTGTTAAAAACTTGACCTTCACAGCGATGATTCAAGCCAAAATGACTGATGTTAACTTCCATAGGTTCAGCTGTCTTTCCTCGGATCAATGTCAAAGACCCATATAAACGGCTTGGGATAAGCCGGATGGCCTCAGAGGACGAGATTCAAGGTGCGAGGAACTTTCTCATTCAGCAATACGCAGGGCACAAACCCAGTGTTGATGCAATCGAATCAGCTCATGACAAGATTATCATGCAGAAGTTTCATGAGCGGAAAAACCCCAAGATTGACATATCGAAAAAGGTCCGCCAAGTGAGGCAGTCCAAAGTTGTCAACTTTGTTTTCGAGAGATTCCAAACTCCTCCCACTGCACTCCTTGTCAAAACAGCAGCCACGTTTGCAGTTCTTGGCATTCTAACCGTTCTGTTCCCGACAGAAGAAGGACCGACCTTGCAGGTTGCGTTATCACTAATAGCTACCTTTTACTTCATCCACCAAAGGCTGAAGAAGAAGCTCTGGACTTTCCTTTACGGGTAATGAGCTGATCTTATTAACAAAACCTTTGCTACCTACTTGATTAGAATCCGCACCTGATCAGGTTGATATTGTGAAACAGGACCGGAGCTTTCATCTTCTCGTGGCTGGTTGGGACTTTCTTGATGGTATCTGTGATCCCACCGTTCATCAAAGGACCAAGAGGTTTCGAAGTCATGTCTTCGCTCCTAAGCTACATTTTGCTTTGGGTGGCTTCGAGCTACCTCCGGTAGCGTTCTAGCTATTTTCGTTTCCCCTTCTTTTGGGTCACAAATTCTAGTGTTATCTCGGATATATGAAAACACACAAAAAGAGAAAAATGCATCATCTTTTCATGTGAGATAGAGAGAGAGAGATATGATTTTTGGTCTTGGAGTTGTTATTTCACGAAGACCTCCCTAACTTTCAAAGCTCAGTTTCCAAGTTGTGACTTGCGCTTGCCGACTACTATGGCTCACGATAGAAAATTAGAAAATTGTGTTTCTCAAATTTCACTTTTAAGAAAGTGACTAGAATATGAAGAACTATCATGCCATTACTTTCGATAAAAAGATTGAGGAAAAAAAGGTAAGCGTTGATTACGGAAAGTAGTCTGATTTGTAGTACTAGACAGTCTAGTCTAGACTCATTGTTAAAAGAAAAATAGGAAACATGGCCTCATCATCATCATGGGCTGTCTCATAATAACTATGGCTGCATGGTTTTGTGTCCATGGTCTCATTACATCTGCATGGCCCTCTTATTTATTTCTGTGTCTATTAATTTATGTATATCTCCCCAAAAAAAACCACATTTTAGATGAAAACATTTGTCAGCCTCACGATTAAATATTTGCTTTTTGTTATCAACAGAAATATTTTTATTTGGCAGTATACCTTCCAAACTATTGAACGTTATAAAAGTGGGCTATCATTAAAAGTTCAATAATTTGAAACGTTATAAAAGTTGGCAAATCGCAAAGGTTGATCGTTTCAAATATAAATATAAAGTAATATAGATCATCTACTTTTACATGTTTGTTTATCTGTTAATTCTAGATGACTAACTAGATTGGTTTAACGACGACTGGTCTTTAGAAGATATTTTCATTGAACCACTTTATGTTCTTTAGATGTTAGTAAGAAAAAAGCAAACGCACATGCCTTCATGTGCTCTGCTTTTATATTATTTTACCTATATTAACTTATCAGCAGTGAACTAAGAATTCGTTAACCATACAAGAATGTGATGCTGGTACAAATAGTGAAATAGTTGCTTGCAAAATCATACAATTTCTTTTGTGGTTGTGATGTGATGTACCATTAAGATCGAAATAGTGTGTGTTCATTAGTTCATCAACTTTAGGAGATTAGGTTTAATGATGTGATTAATCAACTTTAGACTGATTTTGAACTAAAACACTATCATTAGATAATTACTATAAAATTGTTTCCAGATTATTTAATCCAAATCAATTATTAGATAATGCGCATTATTATTTTTTGGAATAAGAAATATATGGCCTAAACAAAATTATTATTCTTTTTTAAAAAAATATGTGGATAATAAAATTGAGACAGATTTCTGGCTTATTTATTAATGAGGAGAAATCTTTGAAATTTGGCAATTTGGTAACTTTTTTGGTTTCATTGGTAAATACCAAATGCAAATAAATTAGAGGAGCTGCTCAAAAAAAAAAAAAAAACGATTTTAGATAGTTGTCTCATGTCTGATTTACGAGGAACAACAAAGAGAGAGTCTACTAAAAAATCATTAGGTGCTCTAATTTATGCTTTCTTTAGCGCGCTAATATAATTAGCTAATTCCTTAATTCACCAATGAAGACAAAGAAAACAAAAAGCCATTAACGATTTAACAGCTGCGAGTTTCCGATTTTTTTGAAAACACCTGAAATTATTTTTTTCGCTGTAGCGAAGCGAAATAGGTCGCCTGAGAAATCTCTGGTTTCTCCGAATCGCCACCGTTGTTGGATCGTTTAACGTTATTGCCTCCGTCGGAACACCGTCGTGGTCCCTATCGTTCACCGTCGCATCTGCCATTGTTCTCCATCGTTTCTCTAATTTCCGTACCTCATTCGCAGGTAAAAAATTCGTTGATTGTTCTTGATTCCTTTACCGGATTTTTGGCATGGGTTTGGGATAATGCTTTGCGGTTCCGGATTTCAGTAGAACTACGCACAGATGGTTGGATTTTTGTAGTTTTGGTTATGAATTTTGCGAGATTCGTTGATTTGAAGTTCTAGTGTGAGTCTGTGAGCCGGTGAAAGGAATTTTTGGGAACCTCGCCGAAACATAGGTTGATGCTCCGGCGACGCATGTCACACTATGCGAAAGAATTTAGAAATTTGTTTGGGTGTAATTGCGTTATATTCATTATTATTATAATTACTTTCTTGGATCTTACGGCTGAATTTGTGTTGGATTTTTTTTGTTCTTTGTTGTTTCTTGTAGGCAGGTGTAAGTAGTCAAAAGCTTTGTTTCCTCACTGCACATGGAGGTACTAAAGATTCTTGGCTCCACATTGAACATTCTACAGAAACGGCTGTGATTATTATAATATCAAATCTCCCAAGGTAACTGATTTCTTTTGTAGGTGTTTTCTTTGTGATTCTAGGGAATAAAATATAAGCGTAGGCTTGAACTTGTGCATTATGCAACATGCAAGGAAGACTTTTTGACAGACTGTTTAGGAGGGGGACCATTGCGGAAAACACCAAATCCTCTCTAGAATATTATATGAAACTTCGTTTGTTTATGTCTCCAACAATGATGAAAACGAACTACGTTGTTATTGATTTCAGTGTCTGACATATTTTGGATATAAAACACGTGGATAGAGACTATGTTCTTCTGCCAGAGACATGGAAATCCACAAGTTCATAATTAGACTCATGATCTTCAATGATTGAGTTGTCCTCATAATTCCTGTTCGCTCTCTATATATGTATGACATTGCTGTTGTTCTTGTCCTGGTTTCTTTTGGGGTAGGATGCGGGAAGGGAGGTGACAGGTGAAGATGGGTATAGGAGAGGATCAGATGCAAGGGCCGAGTGGTAGGGAAGAGAAGATTTTTGTTTCTGTTCGTCTGAGGCCATTAAATGTGAAAGAAAGGGCAAGGAATGATGTGGCAGATTGGGAGTGTATCAATGATGAAACGGTCATATACAGGAGCCATCTCTCTATATCAGAGCGTTCCATGTACCCCACTGCGTACACATTTGGTAAGCCTTGCTCACTTTTGCAGCTCCTTGATCAAAGTTAATCCTTAAATCTATCTTGCTGAGCTGTCTTATGCCTCTAGACAGAGTGTTTGGCCCTGAGTGTTCTACCAGGGAGGTGTATGATCAAGGGGCTAAGGAAGTGGCTCTCTCTGTTGTCAGTGGGGTTCATGGTAAGGCATGTCTCGTACTGCTTTTTAGTTTTTTTATCCACTGTGGCTCATGTTTGATACAATTTTCAACTGTTTATAGCTAGTGTCTTTGCATATGGGCAAACAAGCAGTGGAAAGACATACACTATGAGTGGAATTACTGATTACGCCTTGGCCGATATATATGATTACATTGAGAAGGTAAACTTAACAATATCAAAGTCTTCATAGTAATCTTACCGCATTATTTCCAATTCATTCAGTAACTGTCACCCTTTTTAAAAAATTTATTTGTTTTCTGCAGCACAATGAAAGAGAGTTCATTCTGAAGTTCTCAGCCATGGAGATCTATAATGAATCTGTAAGAGACCTCTTGAGTACAGACATTAGTCCACTCAGACTTCTAGATGATCCTGAGGTAAGAGTTGGCACTGGCATCTTATGGAATTGGTTTGCACAATCTCACTTTACTGGTCATTTACTTTGGGACAGAAAGGAACAGTTGTTGAGAAACTCACGGAGGAAACTCTGCGGGACTGGAATCATTTTAAGGAGCTTTTATCAATCTGTATAGGTACTTATTCCGAACGTGTACTCAGTTAATACTTTTAGTGTTTTGGCCACAAGTTTTACTAAGTATCATCTAATCATCGCAGCTCAACGACATATTGGAGAGACAGCTTTAAATGAAGTTAGCTCCCGCTCTCATCAGATTCTGAGATTGGTAAGGCATTTTGCTGATTTTGATTAACGATACGACACTGCAGTCTTCAGGCTGCTATTTGGATGTTATTTCTGACTGATATGTTTTTCAGACAGTTGAAAGCACAGCACGTGAATATTTGGCGAAGGATAAATTTAGTACTCTCACAGCGACAGTGGTATATACTTGGAATCTTTCATTATGTATTATCCTAAAATAAAATATGAAATGAAGTATATTCATAAATTAACTAATTATCTTGCAGAATTTCATTGATCTTGCTGGAAGTGAACGTGCATCTCAATCATTATCAGCTGGCACAAGGTTGAAAGAAGGTGGTCATATAAACCGAAGTTTACTAACACTAGGAACGGTCATTCGAAAGCTAAGGTTAGCCTGTGTAGCACCTTCAGCGTCAATGAAACTTCGTGATCTGTGTCACCTTAGTCTGGTCTTTATTCTTTCCCTGTATTTAAAGATGGTTGAGCGCTTTTCATTGGCTTTGAGAGTTGAGTTCCCAAGCTGAAACATAGTACTTTCACCCAGTAGCACCACTTTACCAAGTTATTGGCAGATTGCTGTTATTAACATCTAATCTATGTATTGTCTTTAAGTGGCTTCTTTTTACATTACTAAATTATGTGGCTAGCTTAATGCAGTAAAGGGAAAAATGGGCACATTCCATTCAGAGATTCAAAGCTGACACGCATACTTCAGACTTCCTTGGGAGGAAATGCCAGAACTTCCATAATCTGCACACTAAGTCCTGCAAGAATACATGTTGAGCAATCAAGAAACACATTGTTATTCGCAAGCTGTGCAAAGGAGGTGACAACAAATGCACAAGTCAACGTCGTCATGTCTGATAAAGCTCTGGTTAAACATTTACAGAGAGAGTTGGCTAAATTGGAGAGTGAGTTGAGCAGCCCTCGTCAAGCTCTGGTTGTGTCTGACACAACTGCATTACTGAAGGATAAAGACCTCCAAATCGAAAAGGTAATGCGATTTACTTCATTCAACCTATAAGATATCTAAAACCAGTTGCAGAGTATGAGAGCTCACTTCCCCAATAATTTTTTTTGTGACAACCAACTTTTATATTACTGGTGGTTCATTCATACTGGTGACCTGTCTTATATATTTGTAAATCATTTTCATGATCCATTCACTCTAGAGACTTTACGTTCTTTTCATTATTTACAGCTAAATAAAGAGGTATTCCAACTAGGACAAGAATTAGAGAGGGCTTATTCTCGGATTGAGGATCTTCAACAGATTATTGAAGGACCACAAAAAGAGATATTATCAACAGACTCAGAACAGACAAACACAAATGTACGTTAATTTCATTTTTTTTAGCTTTAAAGAAAGCACGATAAACCTTTCAACTTGCCGATTTATAATCTTGTTTTTGTATTCCTCCAGGTGGTTCTGGGACGTCAGTACCCCAAGCTGCGTGTGCGTAGTTCATGGGAGTCTCTAAATATAACACCAGAAAGCCCTCTATCAGCGCAAGCGTCCATTATGATTTCCCCACAATCAACCCAACATGGTTCTGACGAGAATGTTTTCCAGCTTTCAGACTTTAGGTTAAATTCGGGTGCAAGTAGCCCAGCCCAACACCTTGCGTTTGTAACTCCTGGTAAATTCACTAAAGTTCGACTAAATATTCGAGGGGTAGAAAGTAAAAACCAACCGCACATTCACAAGGGGGAATCTGTAGATCAGTCTCGTGGTCAGGAGGAACGATTTCATGAAATGGACGAACCAAGTGAGGTGGATTCTGAAGATACTTGTACGGAACTTCAATGCATAGAAAAAGAGAGTCCCGGTATCATCATGTATCCAGAGCCAAACATACTTCCAGACCGGTGTAAGGCTGTGATTGCACTACCAATATGTGAACCAGAGTCAAAGCACTTAAGACCGCCAACAGAAACTGAAGAAGAAGAAAGAGTGAAGGAAGTCAGTAGTGTCTCTATCCAACCAAAGGAGAAAAGTGGACCGATCAAAGTCTCTCCACGCTGTGTTTTGTCACTTACTGACGAATCATTTCCTCATGAGTCTTCTAACCTCAGAAGAGACCCAACACATCAAGATTTTGTCACTCCATCTCCTGAAAAGCCTTATGCTTTGCAACTAGAGAGAAATTCGCAAACAGCTGGAGGCATGGGGTTTACAAGAAGCCGAAGCTGCGGAGCAAGCTTTGTATCAAGCTCTTCCTTTTCTGTGTCTGAGAGAGATGCTAACACACCACCAAGCTGGTATCAGAATGAAAGAACTGAGAGCAACCTGAAACCGTACAACAACAAGAGGCCACCATTGCCAAAGCATATTAGCCGGATGAGCATGCCAGCAACTTGGTTCGAGAAAGACTTTTTAGATGGTGGTGTTAATAAGAGAAAGTCATCACCAAATGGATCACAGGTTTCTCCCTCTAAATCTCTTGTGTATGCACACCAGACAAGTGGTAGAGCTTTAATCAACCAAGACGAAGGTGAAGAGACTGTTCCTCATAGGGACAAGCGAATCATTCACCTATCGGTTAGTTTTACTAACTTGGTCAAGCAGAGCGTGCTTTTCGTTTACCTATACTTGGTACGACCTTTAGATATCGTCTTTATTTTGAGGACCACCTCTATCATGTGGCAGATGGAGGAGATAGAGCAAAAGTTCTTGGCTCTAAGATCGTCAAAGAGTTTCAAGGACGCTGCTGTTGACCCCATTCAAGACTATTTAACCATGCCATTGAATTGGCCGTTGGAGTTCAAGAGACTCGAGATGGAGATAATAGAGCTATGGCATGCTTGCAACGTTTCCTTGTCACACAGAAGTTACTTCTTCCTTCTCTTCAGAGGAGATCAGAAAGATTGCTTGTACATGGAGGTCGAACTCCGTAGGCTCAAGTACATAAGAGAAACCTTTACCCACAATAACAAAGCTATAGAAAACGGACGCACTCTTACATCAATGTCCAGGTGTATATATATTCACATAAAAGCACTATTCTTTTCTTTGACGGTTTACATCAAGTATTTGCTTTTTTAACTGTTTGTGCTGTGAAAAAAACAGCCTGAGGGCGTTGAACAGGGAGAGGTATAAGCTAAGTCAGATGATGCAGAAGAAACTGACGAAAGAAGAGAGAGAGAACTTGTTCTTGAGATGGGGCATTGGGCTGAACACAAAGCACAGGCGGCTCCAGCTGGCGCATCGTCTCTGGTCAGAAAGCAAAGACATGGATCATGTCCGAGAGAGCGCCTCAGTTGTGGGAAAGCTCATGGGATTCGTGGACATGGATTTGGCGTCCAAGGAAATGTTTGGCCTCAACTTCTCTCTTAGACCCCGTCCCAAGAAATCTAGCCTATGGAAACGCAGCGTTTTGTCACTATCCAATTTGTAATTAAAGAAGAAGAAAAAGTGTTGAAAATCTGAAATCCAACTGAATTGAAAGTGGTGTGGCTTCTGTGAGAAGTACATTCACAAATGTAAAATTGATTTGGGTCTGAGACTGAGATTGAGCAATTTCTCAGTGTATCTTTCCCTCAAATGCCTTGAACCTGCTCTTTGTCTTAAAAAGTTAAAATCCCTCTCCCTATCAAATGCTTCACTTTCTCTGTCCAAGTGATATCTGAACAATTGTGTTTGTGTAGATTAAGAGCCAGATTCAGGGTAAAGTGAAAGAGCCATTGTAGTATGAAGTAACTTTGAGAGATTCATGTGCACTTTCATCCTCAACACATTGGAGGGAAACAATTTAGATAACTTAAAAAGCAACAAAGAAACTAAAACATAAAAAGACAACAAACAACCATCAAAGCAACAAAAAAAAAAAACGAAATTTTAAACTCTATAAAAGCAGATAAATGTAACTCCCTCTTTGTATACTAGATCAAATCAAGGTTGCTGCTTAGCATCCATGTAACCAGCATCAACAAGCAGTTTCTCCCTATTAGCAAGCGCAAGATCTTCATCAACCATCATCTTCACCAGCGTCTCAAACCCTACTTTTGGTTTCCATCCCAACACTTCCTTTGCCTTGCTTGCATCTCCTTGAAGGTTATCTACTTCAGATGGCCTAAAGTACCTCGGGTCAATCTCAACATGATTCTTCCAATCGAGTCCCAAATACCCAAATGAGACATCAAGAAACTCTTCCACTGTATGTCCTTCCTCTGTTGCCACAACGTAATCATCTGGCTTCTCTTGCTGCAACATCAACCACATTGCTTCCACATAGTCTCCTGCAAATCCCCAATCTCTTGATGCTTGCAAATTCCCAAGGAAGAGCTTCGTCTGCAAACCAACCTTGATACGTCCCAATGCTCTTGTGATCTTCCTCGTCACGAAATTCTCACCACGCCGAGGTGACTCGTGGTTGAACAAGATTCCGTTACATGCGAAGAGACCGTACGCTTCTCGGTAATTCACTGTGTACCAATGAGCAGCGCATTTGGAAGCTGCGTAAGGAGATCTGGGATGAAACGGCGTCGTCTCCGATTGTGGAGGAGGAGTTGACCCAAACATCTCCGAAGATCCAGCTTGGTAATACTTGACGCTCCGGCCACTGTCGATGGTGTGAGATCTGACGGCTTCAAGGAGACGGAGAGCACCGGTTGCGACTACATCGGCTGTGTAATCAGGGATCTCGAAGGAGACAGCGACGTGAGATTGAGCGGCTAGGTTATAGACTTCGTCAGGCTTGATCACATCGAGCCAACGACGGAGAGAGGAAGCGTCGGTGAGATCGGCGTAGTGGAGCTTCATCAGAGCTTTGTTGACATTGTGAGGATCGATGTAGATATGGTTGAGTCGCTGAGTGTTGAAATTCGATGATCGACGGATCAGGCCGTGAACTTCGTAGCCTTTTCCGAGAAGCAACTCCGTCAGATACGATCCGTCTTGGCCGGTGATTCCGGTGATCAGAGCTATCTTCCTTGGTTGCGATGGCGGCATTTCAACGACGGTGGAATCAGCTTTGGTGATGGATTCGGATTCGGATCTGGATCCGTTGTTCTCTGACGCCATTGTTGGGTTTTCGGATCTGGATTTCAGAGACAATGCTAACGTCAGCTCTGTGTTGAATTGGGCTGTTGAGTTTTAGCTGATTTAAATAGGGTCATAGAGGTTGAAGATGGAGGGGTATTTTGGTCAATTTAAGGAGAAGGCTATTTTGGTAATCTTTGTTGGTCTTTAATTTCTTTAGTGACTGATGGGATATTTTTCCTAGTTTATGTCTAACACGTTAATGATTTACTTAAAACTGGTCAAACCCATAAATGGTTTACTATAGAATTTTCTTGCAAACTATTCAAAATACTACAAATATTTTCAATAAATTTAAATCATTTGCAAAAGTTTCCAAAAGATTTAGTTAAAATTATTTTAAATTTCTTACCACATAATAATTGCAAAAAAAGTTTGTGAAAAAATAGTCAAACCAAACATTTAACATATGTTTAATGTAGTCAAATTAATAAACAAAGTTCCAAATTTGATACATTAAAAATAATAACTAAAAACATAAGATTTTTTTATTAAAAATAAGAGAAGAAAATATTTTATGGAGAAAAGTAATAGGTGTGGTGTTTTATATAGACAAGGAAAAAATTGAGAGATTTCAGTTGAAAAAGACAGATAATTAGTAACGCGTTTACTAAAAATGATATACAATAAAGAGAATGAAATCCAAGATGGATCTAGACAATAGACATTGTTTAATTACGGTTTGGTGTAGATAAAAATGAAAGAGATGTGAAAACCCTCAAGTGAACAAATCGAAATGAACTTGGCTCAATGCCGAAGCAATTCACTAACATATATTTTTTGATAGGACAGTGTAATCGTGTTGGAGTGGTGGACAATATGTAATCTCCACGATTTATGTTAGGAATCTTCTTAATTATGCTTCATCTCAGCTAGTTGTTTTTCTTATACAATTCTTCAATCATTTTCGTTTTTTTTTTTCATTCTGTCACAAATTTTGTTTGATTTGTCGACATATGCTTTTATTATTATTTATCTTGGATGTTATTCTTTCCGCAACCTAGCTAAGTGATCATTTGACAACACTCCTTTCGTATTTTCAAGCGAACGATATTCTTCATTAATTTTATATACTTGAATGAATTTAATTAAAAATTGATTGATATTTATTCAATTATTTTTACTATATCATAATGGTTAGAACAATTATTCCCAGCCCCTCCTCCCACATATTTTTTGAAGTGTAGCTTGGAATGCTCAAAAGATTTTGTGTTGAGTGGGATATGATCTCAATCGCCGATATGAATTGTTTGGAGACACGAGTTGGAGCACAGAGCTCACTGGTCCAATGAGGAGTGTTGACATTGAGATAACACCAAAGTCCCGTCCGGATAAGCAACATGTGCCTGGAACAACGTCAAACTGCAACAGTTCGAGAAAAAAAAAATTGATCGAATTATGGCGTAAATGCATATAAGATTGTAAAGCTGATAGTTCTTCAACTTGTTCAAGTACTTGGAAGGAGTCTATTGGGGCAATGGTGAATGGTGCAACAGGCAATTGAGGAAGTGTTTCTCTTAGTGGAACAAAGGGTTGCAATTCGGTTACATGTTCAAGGGACCAGTGAGTGTGTGGTCCCTTTTGCTTTGACATCTTTTTCTATCGACATTAATCTCAAGGCTCTATCTATGGATAAAGTTACGAATCCCACAAATACGTTTAAACATCTCAATTTTTTTGGTGTATTGTGACTTGTGAGAAACGTTGAACGGTTTTATGTTTAACTTGCTTGACATATGTGTTTGTTCTAATTTTCTTATGTGGTTGTGTAAAAGATAAGTAACTTTTGTTTAATATTTCAGATGATTTTACTCGGAATGCAAATCAAGTAAACCTTTTGCTAAATTTAAATTATGCTTCTTTTTTTTTTCTTTTTTTTGGGCAAAGCTAAATTATGTTTCAATACATATTAAAAAAATACAATTCTAAAATTGTTTTATGAAAGTTCCATTCCTATAAATTTCATGTAATGATCATATATACTCACCTGACTTTTCCTTTCTTTTTTTGTGTACAATATGTTTTGTATAATAACATTATCACCAATTCAAGAAAAAAATATTTGGACTATTCGTTTGAGCAATGAAAAATTAATAATTCTCAAAGTATGAGTTTTTTTTTCTTGGAATCCAAAGAAACTATACTATTTTATAGGTAGGTTATTATCAAGTATACGTTATTATTTTTATATCGACTCTAATCCAATAATAATTTGGAGTAGTTGAGAGTTGAGACTTGAGAATTACCACGCAATTAATTAATAAAATAAATAACGGCTTCCCCTATATATAAATATACAGTCTTTAAAGTAACGTCTGAAAAAATAGACCACCGTACTAAAAAAAAAAAAAAAGAGAGAAGAGAAGAGACAGTTGTTAGGGTTTTCTCATCAATCATCACCCAAATCCTCCCGCCGTCGTCTCTTCCTTGTTTCTGTTTTCTCTCTCCGATCGTTATTGACCAATTCCGTAATCAAAATCCTTCGAATCTCAATTTGTTTCGTTTAAGAAATCTGTAGATCTAGCAGAAAAAATTCATATTTGATCGGCTCTTTCTCTATCTGAATCTGATAAAAAACGATTACCGATTGTTGGATAAAAAAAACGAATTTTGGCTTTTATAAATATGATGAAGAGATCGACGAAACCCAGGGTTTCATGGCCACCAGGTCCTAAGCTTTGTCAGGTATAAATCTTATGTTTTTCTAACTTTCAATCGTGAATCCGAATTTGATTGATCTATCTTAGCAAATCTTAAACCTCGATTATCATAATTAAGCAATTTTTTGGATCCTAAAAGTTGGATTAAGAATTCCTCATCAAATCTCTCGATTTTGAAGTTTCAATTAAACTCAAAGAATTGATACGATCTTGAATCGGTGAATTATTTAATTTCATTATTCAATCTAATAATAAATAAATGGATAATTGGAATGTGATGTGTATGAAACCAACTTTGGTGAAGAAGCAAGTCTTGTTTTTGTTACTTTGACGGCTCTTTGTATCTTGAGGCTTTAGTTTCCCTATCTTTAAGATAACGTTTTAACTCATATTTATTTATATGAAGTTTATTTGAATTTTACAAAATATAACCAAGTTTTGGGTTGGGAAATTGGATCAACATCAGTTAGATTTGGATTGGATGTGTATTGAACACAAGATTTCATCAAGTGAATGCATCAATTTAATATTCTGCAACTATAAATTTACAATCTGTGGTTCATTGTTCTTTTATAGATATATAACTAGGAAGCCTGAGTGGTTTAGTTACATGATATTGATACACAAAATCTCAGCTGTGGTCAGCTTCTAATTATATGCGGATTTGGACAGGTTAAGATATTTCGAACAGAGGACTGTCCCGCCAAAGTTGCCTCTCAGCCTCAACGTCATAGCTACCCAAAGTTATCATCTGGGAAACCAGATCTTCCTCCTGGTTTTGAAGGAAATCACTATGCAGTTAAGCCTAATGTTTCAAACATTCCTCGGATCAAATGGAAACGACCTTCTAAGGTATGGATTAAATATAATCCAGAATTGGGGAATCCCTTTGAAGCTTTTTATATCTGATATTGTGTGTCTTGGACAAAACAGTTCTCTGTCAATGATGCTTGGTTAGTTGGAGGTGGTGGCGAGAGCACAGAAAGGAGAACTGAAAACTTGAGGAGTTCAAAAGTTTTGGAAGCTATCTATCCGCATCGCTCTGCCATCCCTTCTCGGTATTTTACCTTCTTTTCTTGCATTTTAGACCTCTTACGTTTTTCGACATGTTGTTGGTGTGTTATTATTAGACTGCTGATTGCATTCTGTTTTTACGTAGCCCCTCTGTTTCACCGGTTGTGGAAGCTGAATGCTTTGATGACAGCAAAACTCCTGCCATTCGTCTCACTCCAATTGAAGACGAGAATGAGTCTTCAGAGGAATCAACCCACAGTTCGGTTGAATCCGGTTTTACCGCCAACAAGCAAGGTCAGTTGGAGACCAAACCTCCCTGTTCAACCCAAGAACAGATTTCTGGTCTTACTGGTCTTGCACCAGACTTGAGTCTGGCTGCTTCTGCAGCTCTGACTGCACTGATGAAAACCAAGGAACAGGGGAGTTTGGTTGATACTGATCTACTTATCAAGTTCCTCAGCGACCCGAAAATTATCAAGAATCTGATCACTGACACATCAGGTAAATCCTCTGAAACTAAGAATCAGCCAGTTGACACTAACACCAGCTCTGCTACTAGACTTGTTCCGCAACCTGTCACCACCTCACCCATGGCTAGAAAGCCGCTGCCAGTAATAATACCTCAAGAACATAGTGTTGCAGCTTCTCCGTCTTTTACTAACCCTGAGAGACGAGTATCTCCTCCCAAGCCTGTAAATGGAAACATATCCCCACCTAAGCCTATAAATGGAAAACCGTCTAGTATACCAATGCCCGTTCATTTCCATGTCGGTATAGCTAAAGAACAACCTCAGCCTGCTCGGTTCCCATCGACTTCTCTGCCAATGAACCTTAACCTCCACAGACCTCAAAATGTTTTCTCAGAACCAAAGGTAATAGTAAATCCTCAACCCCAACACCAACCCTATTCCGCATTCCGTACTTCTGAAATGAACAATGTTCAAACATCAATTGGACTTGGAAGGGGTCCTCAAACCGGTTTCAATTCTTATCCAATGAACTTAAACCGGGCAGATGTTATTACTGGTAGAGCTAAACCGGTAGTACAACCTATGAAGGGTCTAGACTATTTCAAGAACCTTATAAGGGAACATGGGACAGATAATCATGAAACTAACCAATACCATTCACAAACTGGAATATTCAATGGACGCATTGATAATAATAATAAGATTCAGCAACAATGTATCTACTTTGGCACTGTGAGTGGATGTAAGCTGGGAGATAGTTGCGTCTATGTTCATGACCGGTTTAGGCCCAACTTTGAGGCCGAGGCTCCGAGGGCTAAGAGAATGAAGTTTAGAAGGTATGAGAAAAATGGTTTTTGAACATAATCTTGACTCTGATTCATTCCAAATCACAAACAATTTAGAGTTCACTTTTATAGTCTTGTCCATCACTGGTTAAGGAACAAAACCTGAGGTGATACAACTTTCAATTTTGATCAATTTGTGTGCACCAATTTTAATTCATATAACAAAGTTCTTTGTTTAGAGAACCAGTTTAATGGTACCTGAATAACACCAGTTTAAGAGGTTGAGAAAGCCGGAAGTGAATTATGTTCAGTCTTTTTAATCAAAAGAATGATAACTAGAGTTGAATTTTGTAATCGCTTAAAAAAGACTGTGTTGTAAGATATAGCAGGAGATTTAGATGTAGTATATAAAAACTCATCAAGATGACCCCAAAAAGAATCTCATAAATTAAATAATTCAAAATTCTACCTTCGAAGGGTAGATTCAATACGAAGCTCATAAGCTCTCAACACAAAAAAAGACAGTTATACTAAAGTAAACGGCAACAATGGGGTGCTAAGAATCTAACAGAAACAAAATCAAGAAAGCAGAGAAGAGTGTGTCTCAAGTCAAGTCTAGTAGTCTGCCTTGGCTGCTAATGCAGCTGTACCTCTGCGACGACCAGTTCTCCTTGCAGCAATTTGACCAACCTTAGCCCCAGCAGATTTATCACGCCTGACCGTACTGGCGTGACCAATGTGCTGGTGGTTTCCTCCTCCGTGGGGATGTTCCACTGGGTTCATCGCAACACCACGCACAACAGGCCAACAGTTCCTCTTCACTTTGTACTTGTGGTATGCATTTCCAGCCTTGAGAAGTGGCTTCTCTGTTCTTCCTCCACCTGCAACTTGCCCAATCATTGCTCTGCAAGCACTTGGCAAAATCTTCTTCGATCCAGAAGGAAGCTTAACCCTTTTTTTATATGGTACAAACAGATCAATACACGTCAACAATCTTGTAAAGTGCCACTCAAGTCAAGTTATACAGTGATGTTCCAGTAATATAATTAGGTTTACACATAAAATAACAACAGCACGCAACTTGAAGATATATAAACTAAAAATGGTTTCCGAAAATTACCTAGTGGTGTTGCTGTCAGGATTGTGAGCAATTACGATGGCGTAATCACCAGAAGCCCTAGCGAGAGCGCCACGGTCACCGACATGGAGCTCAACGTTGCAGACAACAGCTCCCTCAGGGATTGATCCAAGGGGAAGAACGTTACCGACCATAAGATTAGCCTTCTTACCACAGTAGAGGTATTGTCCGGTGTACATACCTTCGGCGGCTACGAACAGCTCCTTCTGCTTCATGTAGCGGAAAGGATGACGGAACGCGACGCGAGCGAGAGGAGCACCACGGCCTGGGTCGTGGATGATTTCGGTCACCAATCCTTTGAGGTAACCATTTCGCTCGCCGTAATCGAGGCTCCGGAACTTAGCTGGACCCTTGCGGTGGTGAGTGTGGGACTTGAAAACGGAACCAGCACCCTTACGCTGTGCCCTAATCACACGACCCATTTCTTTACCGTCACGTAACCTTCTTCTTCTTCGCTTCGTGCAGCCCTAATTTATAAGCGCGTTTTCTCACAGAAACCCTAATTCCTTCCTAGGTCGTCGGCTAAAGGGGCCTCCATATAACCTAATTAGTAATTAGACTGCAGGCCCAGTTAAATTATAAATCCAGGCCCAGTTATATATATTTTTTTGTAACCTAATCTGTGTCAAAAACCTAATAAATCTCCTCCACTGTGGACGGATGGACCTCTTTATGTTACGTTACCAATTATCCTTTTAACAAAAAAAAATGTTACGTTACCAATCCCTAATATGTTTTTTTTGACTTGTTAAAAAGTTTATTTCAATTATATCCAAAGAATTCTTGAATTGTTAACAAGTTATTTCGATTATAGCTGTATAAATTAGAGGATTATAATTATCAAATCCAACAATACGTCAGTCAATCGCTGGCATGCCAATTTAATTAATCAAGTTGCATGCTGCTATATACGCATGACTAATGCTTTTAATTTATGTTTAAAAAGGGTATATAATTAAGCTGTTAAATCATAAAGCCAGAGATAAAAGAGCCCACAAAATAAAATCTTTGATAAAAAATAAATAATATATTCATAGGCAACTGTGCGTTTACTTTTTTTTTTTTTGTGTTTATAACACTGATCTTATAAGATCAGAATTAAAAATAAGATGTAATATTAGGACTTATTTGATTATACGACTCATATCATTTCATGAATCATGAGTTACACGGATTAATTATAAGACCATCAAATTTGACATTTTTGATATTGTAGGTCACAAGATTATATGATTTACTAGTATCATTTCATAAATCATGACTTTTCAACTCAAAACAAACTAATTTCTTTCATATGCTATGTTAAATGCAAAATGATGATGTCCACATGGTGGTGGGCGGGTGGTTACTTGGTGGGCCAGGGGTGTTTGGGTGAAAGTCCCTCCCCTCCGGTTTCGATTCCTCCTCCTGCTGTTATCAATATTATGTGGGAAGTCTGTCAGTTGGGTTTTGGCCCAATTGGTTTATCTGGTAGTCAAAAATGCAGGCGACCTGACTATCCCCTGGCACATAGTCGGAAGGCACACCAAACTCGGGATAGGCAGAGTGGTAGCCCGAAGGGCCTAGCCGTTAACACGGTGGACAAGTCCACTATGTAACACCTCGGTGCGTCCCTACCGGGGCCGACCGGATAGCCGATAGGGTATATAAAAAAAAAAAAATGACAAATCTTTGAGAGTTCTTTGAAGTATCTATTAATTAGTACGAGAAAATCCATCAATGACGTTTCCTGATACCCATCAAGCAAAAGAAGCATAGAATCCTCTTTTACAAACTTAGCGGTTATATACTTATATGTAAACAAGAGTACAAGACCAGATAACTTCAATCATGACTCGATCATCAGTGAGTATATATATTGTATATTTGTATATATAGAGAAAGACATACACACATGTGAAGAAATGTGCAACACAAATATAGGCCTTGAAAAAAGTCACACTCCCAGCTATTTCTCTCATCATATGAAGAAGACTCAAATTAACTAAGACCTAGCTTTAGTAAGATGTGATGGTGTCTAAGAAAGAGAGAAAGATGTTTTGGTCACAAGGAATGGTGAGACCTCTCTCTTGCCTAAACCCGAACTTTTCCTCCGCTTTTTGCAGCATCATCTTGAAGGTTGGATGGTTGAGGAATGTGATGGGGATTACGTGGCGGTCTCTAGATTGGCCTACATAGATCGCGAAATGGCCCTTCTTAGGGACGTCTTCGTTGCTCTTCTTCCCCAAGCTTGAACATCTCTTCAGCATCTGCTTCATTGACTTGCTTGCTTGCTTTATCTCCATTATATATTATAATATACTCTCGTTTGTTCACAATACTAATGAATGGGAATGGCTCCAATATGTTTGATGGTTCTGTTTCTTTTGACTCCTAGAGACAGAGATACCTAGTGTTGCAAATACACATAGATATATATATGTTACACATGGAGCAAGTATGACTGCATGCATACTTTAGCCAATAATAAATTCTATCAAAGCAAATCACTTAGTTTTCTTTGTTATTAAACTAAATATCTCAAAATATTATATTGGTAAAAAAATTATTTAACATATTCACAAGTAAAATCTTAAGTCAAATCAAATTTGAAATAGATATTGCTAGCGTTTCACAAACTATCGTTTTGTGTATATAATCAAAACTTAATATTTATCCCAACAAGACTTTATGATAAGTACACAATTGTTTATTAATATGTAACAAAATCTTAATTGAATGAATTCCCAAATTAAAAACAATTAACTCATGGATATTATTTCTTAATTAACTCGCAAGGCACGCATGAGTACTAAACACGAGATGGTGATCTCTAAAGTGGTTTAACTAGACCGGTTTCTTGCGAAGAGCCAAGCAGCCAATGGAACCAATGGCTTCATCTTCTTCGTCTGCTTCTTCACCATAACTTGGTTCTTCTCCTCTTTGCCCACAATCACCTTTGTTAACAATGGTGGGTTAGCAAACTTCACCGAACGCCTCCTCTCTAGACGATCACCATACACTTCATTTCCATCAAACCGGTTCATCTTGATCTCGGTTATGTTGTCCGGTTCGTTAACCGTGGACTCCTCTATGAATTTGAGGTCATCTTCGACTTGAGGGTGTTCCGGGAATTTTCTAAGTGAGTGATTAAGCTTTTCTTTAGTGGTTTCAAGCTCTTGTGTTAGGCTTTCGATAAGCTGAGACAAAGCCTTGTTCTCTTCCTCAGCTTTCTTCAGATTCTCCTTTGCTTCCACCAGCTCGTCTTGGATGCTTTTGCAGCTGTTTCTCTAATCACAAGGTCGAAAATAAATGCAACAAAGTTAATACATATAATATAGTTCATATATGTTACGATTGATATATGGAAAAAGTGCATTTGATATATATAACCTCTACGGACTTGCTGATGTAATTATCTCCGAGAAGAATTCTCTCGCCGAAGAGAGTGACAGCCTCTTTAACAGACCGGAAAGGAGCTCCGGTTTCGATCTCTGCGCGAACCATTGCAGATTAAGTGATGTTTGTTGCTTTAGTTGTATGGGTTGGTCCATGTCATGACGAACCCTCAGCTTTTTATAAAGAAAGAATCAATCACCTTCCCGAAGATGGCAACTGTTGGTTGTTGTACTTAAACGGATGGTGACTAGATTAGTGACTAAGATGAAATTGACCACGTTATGATTAAATCAATTTCAACATATATATTGCTTAGAGTTTCTTGATGTTTAAAACAAACTTCATCTTCATATCTCAAAAAATAAAGCACTATAAATTGGTCTTTCAAATTAAACAATTAATAGATCGTAATCAAGATCTCATTCTAATTTCTAAATAGCTGATATTGTGTGATGGTTCCACCATATTATATAATCATTTTATTTTAAAATGTAACACATTACCGACGAAATTCCACTAAATGACAAAAATGATGACACGTTGTTAAGTTTTTCGTGGTGCTTGTTTTTTTATTATTCTAGAATTAGAATTTAGAAACAAGATATAGTTGAAAATGTCTTGACGTTCACTTCACACTAAAGAAGAAGTTTGGGTAAATATAGAACAAGTAGAGAAGTTCGTTGGAACGTCCTTTTGTTTTCTCATGTGTTCTGTTAGTTTTACCACCAAATTTTATAATCCATCCTCATTTCAGACAACGACTCCTCTCCTATTTCTCCAATAAATGGGCCTTTTTGGGCCCAGAAAAGTACATATCACTCTCTCGTGACTAATACAAAGCAAACAAAGCCCAATAGAATCAAAGAAGATTATTCGTCGTCTTCTTCTTTAGTAGCAAACCTGAAATGATTTCCTCTTGGAGTTGGGATCCCTTTCAAATGCAACACTTCTTTGGCCTCTACGATCTCATCGTCTTCACTGTTGTACACAAATCTGTTATGCTTCCCTGCGAATTCAGCTTGAGTTGTCTCTACACTCATCTTCTTGATTCCTTCACACAACCCATCAACCTCTTCTTCTTCTTCTTCTTCTTCTTCCCATGATGCTAACTTGTCCGTGAAGTCAAACAGCAAAGAACGAGTGATGCTCATACTCTTCTCTTCTTTCTCTTCAAATATCTGAGTGGTTCTCAATTGTCCAGCAACAATCGGGGATGCGATCTTAATCTTCACATCATTATCTGAAAAGTTTGGAAATTGAGGAGTATTTGCTGGAGTTGGAGCGAGAAGTCTCATTGGAGAAGTGACCAGATGGATAAAAGGACGAGTCTTTATTGAATGGATAAGCTCTCTTCCTTCTTCAACCTTGTGTAAGAGGGTTTTGACTTGTCCTCTCAAAAGGGCTTCACCAGATCCAGGCGTATTCTTGATTCTGCTGCTTTTTCTTTTAACCATGAACCCTGAAGGAGGTGTCTGCATCGTTAGACCCACGATCGGTGAGTCGTTGGTTATGTCGATTAGTGCAGACCTGTCTTCTTGTGCTTTGATGTTCTTTCTTTGACAGATGCTTGAATCCTCTGTTTTTTCTGAGCCAAAAACAAAGAAAAGGGTTAGATTCAGAAAGAAGAAGAACCTAAAGAAACTATAAGAACCTTAAAAAAGAAGATGGAAATTAAGACAAACATACTTGATGATGAAAAGGGGAATTTGAAGTCAGAATCAGAGTTGTTGATTGCAGAGAGAGCCTGTGATCTAGTGACCCTTCTTGTTGATGATGGAGTCTCCATTTGAATTTCAACTTCTTTGTGAACAACAACGAAAACTGAATTGAAAGAGAATCTGGGAAAGAACAAAGTGTGAAGCTCGTTTAGGTCGCAGTCTTATAAAGGCATGGGTGAAAAATATAGCCGTTAGAACGTTTTCTAGATAAACTAGCCGTTGTGGCTCCTCTCTTAGGAAGTGGAAGATGAGCCGTTACCGTTCCGTTAGTTACTAGCCGTTGGGTCCGTTCTCTCATGGTAAAAGTAGCCGTCTTTGTTCTATATGGGCCTTTGACGAACTGAGAAGGCTACAATAAATAGCCCAGCCCGTTTATATCATTAAGTCATTAGAAACGCACATTGGTGGTGGACCGGTGGTCAAACACTAATATAAATATGTTACCTAATCCCATAAACAGTTTTGTTAATTGTTACTCATCCACACCTTTATATAATACATTAATCAAAAGCTTAAATCCAAGTTGATATACCAGTAAGACCATCTTTATCAATGGGTTCTTAAGAAAATCTTAAAATGATCTTAGCATTTAATTGATTAAAATTAATTCCCAAATAAGCTTTAAAGCTAAGGTGAGTTGCTTACCTAAGAAACAAATACACACTTAAGAGACATTTTTAAGTGCCAATTTTAAATTTATTACTTTAATATTCCTAAGAGCTATTTTTAAGACACCCTTGATAATCATGTTCTAAAACCTAATACTCTACAAATCCGATCATTAATTTACCTTGTCTGCTAATGAAGATTTTGTGAAAAAGGGTTTAATTCTCTCCTCAATAAGATCTAGTAATAGGCTATGCAAAAATTTAATTAATGATGATTGGGATTTTTGTAACGCAAAGTCTCCGCCACGTGATTTCTCCACTGACCACAATCATTTTTTAGACGTGGCTTTCTATCAACCGTTAAAAACGTTGATCATATTAAGGGTAACGAAACTGTAATAAGCGTCCATCATATAATAATGTGATACGTTGGAATGTAGCCAAATACGTCATAAAACATTAAAAAGTAATAAATTTTGCATAGAAATTTGAAAACGACATCTAATTCAAAAAAATAAAAATTCTAAAACGACACTTATTAAAATACGGAGGGAGTATAAGATATTTTAAGTTTATAATGTTTTTCGTTAAAAATATTAAACACACATGTAATTTTTTTTTTCTGAAGTTAAAAACAGATGTAGTTAGTTGAGTAAATTGTGTTCTAGAAAGAAAGAAAGAGAAGAGAGAGTAGTAGTACCGTGGTAGGTAGCTAGCGACCTCTTCGTTCGCCAGTCATCACAAGCTTTGAAAGGTTTTCAGCTACCACTCTCTTCTTATATATTCATTACACATCTCTTCTCTCTATCTGTCCCTAAATTTGGTCTTTTGTCTTTGTAATTACAATGGCTCCAGGAACTCTTACTGAGCTCGCCGGAGAGTCTAAGCTCAACTCTAAATTCGTTAGGGACGAGGACGAACGCCCTAAAGTCGCTTACAATGAGTTTAGCGACGAAATCCCGGTGATCTCTCTCGCCGGTATCGACGATGTTGATGGTAAAAGAGGAGAGATCTGCCGTCAGATCGTTGAGGCTTGTGAGAATTGGGGTATCTTCCAAGTGGTCGATCACGGCGTCGAAACTAACTTGATAGCGGATATGACTCGTCTCGCTCGTGACTTCTTCGCTTTACCTCCGGAAGAGAAGCTCCGTTTCGACATGTCCGGTGGTAAAAAAGGAGGATTCATTGTCTCTAGTCACCTCCAGGTAACGACTAGCTAGGTTAAATACGTAATTATGTTTTAATCTTGGGGTTAAATACGAAATAATTATACTACAAATGCAGGGAGAGGCTGTGCAAGATTGGAGAGAAATTGTGACGTATTTCTCGTATCCGGTGAGAAACAGAGACTACACACGGTGGCCAGATAAGCCGGAAGGATGGGTGAAAGTGACGGAGGAGTATAGTGAGAGGCTTATGAGTTTGGCTTGTAAGCTTCTTGAGGTTTTGTCTGAAGCTATGGGTCTTGAGAAAGAGTCTCTTACCAATGCATGTGTCGATATGGACCAGAAAATTGTTGTTAATTATTATCCAAAATGCCCTCAGCCTGACCTTACTCTCGGACTCAAGCGTCACACTGACCCTGGAACCATTACTTTGCTGCTACAAGACCAAGTCGGTGGACTACAAGCCACACGTGACAATGGCAAGACGTGGATTACGGTCCAGCCTGTTGAAGGAGCGTTTGTAGTCAATCTCGGCGACCACGGTCATGTCAGTACTCTCTCAATCTCTCCATTTATTGTTTTTTTTTTTCTTTCTCTGTTTTTGGTTTTGACTTGGTCAAACTTGAATTGTTTTGATGAAGTTTCTGAGCAATGGGAGGTTCAAGAATGCTGATCATCAGGCTGTGGTGAACTCAAACTCGAGCAGATTGTCCATAGCTACATTCCAGAATCCGGCCCCCGATGCCACCGTGTATCCACTTAAAGTAAGAGAAGGAGAGAAGCCGATCTTGGAGGAGCCAATCACGTTTGCTGAGATGTATAAGAGAAAGATGGGAAGAGATCTGGAGCTGGCTCGCCTCAAGAAGCTGGCTAAAGAGGAACGTGACCACAAGGAAGTTGCCAAGCCTGTCGACCAAATCTTCGCTTAGAATCTTTGTTTCTCGCTTACTTGTTGTGTTGGTTCTGTTTTGTATGTTGGTACTGAAAATTATGCTACGCTTGGTGTGTTTTGTGTTGATTTATTTTCTTTCTAATCATATAGAAATAATGATAATTGATGCACTTGTCTATGACAAAAACATCATACTTCACCTGTATTTGACGCGTTGGGTTTATGTCAAAAGCATTAATACATGAAACTCCATCTCTAATCCATGGCATAAATACATCGTTGGTAACTCTCATTGTCTAACACTTTGTACTTACTACTAATCAAATATTTTTTTTTGTTATTCCTACTCTTCCTTTGTGATTTTTTCGACTATTATTCTTTTATACGGAAACGTTAAAACGGAACACTTACCTTGGTCGGTTTAGTAACGAATTTGGCACATAATCGTTTGAGAATCGACACAACGATCGGGTTAAGATCACATGTGAGAATCAACCACAAACCACCGTTCAAGTGTCATTCCGGTTGATCTCTCAAAGCTTTCTCTCTCTTAGACATTTTTCTCTTTCTCTAGAATTTTTTCTGTGTCAATGGGCACAAAGTTATGCATTATGTCTCTCTTCAATAATCCTTTTACATACAGGAAGAGAAGCCACATCGAGACACCAATGTCATAATTAAAGAGACACAAATGGTTTTGGTGTAGATTGAAAAATAACTTCCTCAAAACTAAATCGGTTCGGTATGATACCAAATTATGAGCGCAAAACGACCATAAACCAACATCGACCATAGAACATACATAATAAGTTTGCTCAAATTTTTTGATTCACACCGCTTCATCTATAGGGTGTGAATTGTAGTAGACTTCTATTTTTCCAAGCACCTCACTTTTTCATGGAATCAAACCTTTTGCAACAACGGCTTCTACTAATCTGGCATGATGCTATTTACACACTCTAGATGGAATGAAATCGAATGTTAAATCAAAATTCTAGTGATGCCCATCATATTGATGATATCACCATCTATGTTCTTATTTGTTTTTTGATCTATTGCAACACTAGCTAAAGTTTCTAGTTCCTTCTTCATATCGCAATAGACTTTTCATTTGGAAAACTGAGATATACAGTAAAACCTCTATAAATTAATACTCTATAAATTAATAACCTCTTTAAATTAATAAATTCTTCCGGTTCCGACTTGGGACCAGTGTAAAATATGACATAAATCGATAAATTAATAAGATAATAATTTTTTTAAAATTCTCTTGTAAACATATGGTCCCATCTATATTATAAATTAATAATTATATAAATTTATCAATATATATATATGTATATTTAACTTAATATATATATATATATATATATATGATATAAATATATATATATATATATGATATAATTTATATATGTCATATATAAATTACTATAATATATATTTAAAATATTATATTTAAAAAAATTAATGAAATATGAATTTCTTATTCGAAAAAAGTTTGTGTTGTTGTTTAAACTTAATAATTGTTTCTCTACTTGCAATTGGTTTTAAAAAGATATTGCTTATAAAGAAAAATATATATTTTTAGATAGAATTTTTTTAAGAATTACAAAATTAGGAAAATCTCTCTATAAATTAATAATTATTAATTTATCGATAAATTAATACCTCTCTAAATTAATAAAATTTTCTGGTCCCAACATTATTAATTTATAGAGGTTTTACTGTAGTACATTTGCAATTTTTTAATTTTATTTCTCATGATTAAATTGAAAACCTTACTAGAGGTCGTAAGTACAGATTTGATGCGTGTGGATTCAAATTGCTTATTGCTTTTAATAATACCGACAATTTTATTGGTTAAACCGGCGGGAGGACAAATTTTATTTATTAGTCTATTTTTACGCCACGGTCGTCTCTACCTTGAAAATTGAAAAGTCATCATTTTTTTCTTCCTCCCGAAGACACGACGAAGATGAATCCTTCTTACGGTGGCGACGAGAAGCAACGACCGGCGATGTATCCCCAAGTTGATCAATCCATTCCTGATAATCCTTTCGCTCACACAAATCCTTACGTCTCTTCTTCCCCTTATCTCTATCCTTCTCTATCCTCGCACAATCTCGGACCTAATCTCTTCCCAGACCACGGAGATTCATCCAACGACCAGTCACCGTCTGCTCCACCACAGGCGACGGAGGAGGTTCTCATCCGTGTCCCCGGCGCTATTCTCAACCTTATCGACAAATCATACAGCGTTGAACTCGCGTGCGGTGATTTCACCATCGTTCGAATTATCCAGGGGGGAAACATTGTCGCGGTTCTAGCCAATGTTGGGAACGAGATTCAATGGCCGTTGACGAAGAATGAAGTTGCAGCGAAGGTTGATGGATCACACTATTTCTTTTCAATTCATCCGCCAAAGGAGAAAGGTCAAGGATCTGGGTCCGATTCAGATGATGAACAGGGGAAAAAGAGTAAATCGAATTCGGATGATGATATTCTCAATTACGGATTGACCATTGCTTCGAAAGGGCAAGAAAACGTATTACTTGTGCTTGATCAGGTTTTGCGAGACTATAGTTGTTTCACAGAGCAGAAGATGTCTGAAAAAGCTAAGGAGACGGGAGGGGAAGTGCTGGGAAATTCAGTGGTGGCGGAGACTTCGCCGGAGGAGCTTAAGGGTGAGAGAAAGGATGTTGTGGAAGGTCAATGTGCGGCGTATTGGACAACACTTGCGCCTAATGTTGAGGATTACACTCACAGTACTGCTAAAATAATAGCTTCTGGGTCAGGTAAGCTGATCAGAGGGATACTGTGGTGTGGGGATGTAACTGTGGAGAGACTCAAGAAGGGAAATGAGGTTATGAAGAATAGGTTAAGTCGTGCTGAGAAGGAGAAGAATGTTAGCCCTGAGACACTTAGGAGAATCAAGAGGTATGGTGATACTTACGAATTAGCATCGTTGACCTTAAAATAACTGCCCAGGAATTTAGTAGGAATTCTTATCTGGTTCTTTGTTTCATGTTCATTAGAAAATTGAGTAGTAAAAGATGCATTTGTTTGCAGAAGACAAATTCTTTGAGAAGTGATGAGATTTCTTGTTTAAAAAATGTTAAAACAATGTGCATTCTCATGGTAGTATATCTGGATTCTGGAATGAACAAATTTTATGCCTTTGCTAATCACCCTCGTGTGATTTTTATGTAAAGGGTTAAGAGAGTGACACAAGTGACAGAGAAAGTTGCGACTGGTGTTCTTTCTGGTGTTGTCAAAGTCTCGGGATTCATCACTGGTTCAGTGGCAAACTCAAAAGCTGGAAAGAAACTTTTTGGTCTCTTGCCAGGAGAGATTGTTCTCGCATCCCTGGATGGATTTAGTAAGTATATTACTTGTTTTTGGTTCCTCATATTTTCTATCCCATTCTTGATTCACGAATTGCCTTGCTTTCTTTCATCTCACTTGAAATACATGTTTTGAATATGACATTTACCAGAAGTTCCTTGATATTGGATCTGTGAACAATTTAGGCTTATGGACTTTTGAGATTATCTTTTTGTGTGGTGTTTGAGTTCAAAGTTACCAAATGTTTTGTAATTGTTGGCTTCCCTTATATACCGAACCCTCTTTCTTCTTAATTTTATTAGACGAGGGCATGGTTTTCACTTCTAAACTGGAAGGTTCTTTAAAAGTATCTTCTTTCCTCTAGTTCTCTTGGGAACTCTTGTAGCAGTAACAATTGGTGATTTACATTCAAAACTGTTTTATTTTTTTAAGGCACATGGCATTAGTAACATTCCCTTCATGTTTACTTCTTGCAGGCAAGATCTGTGATGCTGTTGAAGTGGCTGGGAAAAATGTAATGTCGACTTCATCAACTGTCACAACAGAACTCGTCAATCACAGGTATTGATTAGAAAAGGCATATATAAACAATCACATATATCAGCAAGAGTGATCTTCAGCAAGTGATAAAAGTTTCCTTAAATCTTAAAGAAACCTTATGGATTCTGTTTCGAGATTACAGGTACGGCACAAAAGCAGCAGAGGCAACTAACGAAGGGCTAGACGCAGCAGGACATGCATTTGGAACGGCATGGGTTGCGTTCAAGATCCGAAAGGCATTTAACCCCAAAAATGTCATAAAGCCTTCATCATTGGCCAAGTCCGCTGTTTCGGATTTAAAGGCTAAGAAAGGCTCCAAGTAAACAGCCTTACTTCAACTGTTCATCTATACTTGCATTTAGTTTTTCCTTTTGGAAAAGTATATTAAGATTGACTCATGTACAACTCTATATTTAGTGTTCTGTGTATATTGTGATTCTATGTAAACTATATAAACAGTTTCTTCTAATCTTCTCCCATATATGGGTTTGATTAGTAACTTAGTACTCTCATCTTTATGTGGTAAGTCCATTGTGACTATCCTGCCTGAATTGGACCTCTTTTTCTTAGTTCTTTAAAACCAGATTAATTTGGGAAAAAACCATGTTGGAGTAGAGTTCTGAAGAAATGGGCCAGGATTTTATAGTTTTGGGCTAAAATAGCTCATCTTGGGCCCAGTACAGAAATAAATCAAGTTATGAGTCTTTCTGATTGGCTGGAATGAGTGTTAACGTGAACCTGTCCGCAGGTGATTAATAAGGAGCTGGGCATTTTGGCTTGTCGCCTAAGTTGGGAATCGTTTGTTTACTGTGAAATAAAAACGAAAGAGAGGTTTTGAAGAAGAAGAAAGAACACTCATAAGATCCAGAGAAAGGTAAAAGATGGCGAGATACGATCGAGCAATCACTGTATTTTCCCCAGACGGCCACCTATTTCAGGTGGAGTATGCCCTAGAAGCCGTCCGAAAGGGTAACGCCGCCGTCGGAGTCCGCGGCATCGATACTGTCGTCCTCGCCGTCGAGAAGAAATCCACCCCTAAGCTCCAGGATTCTAGGTATTGTCCCGATCTCTCCCGATACAAGTAGTTTTGTCCATTTGCTTTGATCTCCGCACTTTAATTTTGACTTTATTGCTTCACCTGGATCGCTTGATTTACTCAATTGCTACTTGTCTTGTCAATACTGAAACCCTTGTGAGAGTTTATCCTGAAGTTGGGTTTATTGTATCACTTCGTAATTTGGATTCTACGAGTGTTAGATCGAAGAAATCTGAGCTGACCTGAACCCTAGTTTTAAGTCTTCTTCTTTACAAGTGTGAAATTCCTGCTCCAACTATGGTTATTTGTATGTTGGATCTGGCTGGTGTTCCTTCCTAATAATCGCGTGAGTCCTGTCTTGATGAATTTTTTTTTTTTTTTACAGATCAGCAAGAAAGATAGTGAGTCTTGATAATCACATTGCGTTGGCCTGTGCTGGACTAAAGGCAGATGCTCGCGTCCTGATAAACAAGGCGAGGATAGAGTGTCAAAGCCACAGGCTTACGTTGGAGGACCCAGTGACTGTTGAGTACATCACGCGCTACATTGCAGGGCTCCAACAGAAGTATACTCAAAGTGGTGGTGTGAGACCTTTTGGTCTTTCCACTCTTATTGTTGGGTTTGATCCCTACACTAATATACCCGCGCTTTATCAGACCGATCCATCTGGTACTTTCTCTGCTTGGAAGGCTAATGCAACTGGGAGAAACTCTAACTCAATTAGGGAGTTTCTGGAGAAAAACTACAAAGAATGCTCTGGCCAGGAAACTGTTAAGCTTGCTATCCGTGCTCTGCTTGAGGTTAGTTTGTTCTATCATGTTCTATAACTAAAGCTAGTAGTTTTCTTTTGAGCTATTGTCGGGGTGCCCTGTTACTAAATTTGATAATGAGATCACACCTATTGATTATTTCGCTACCTAAACCAGTGATTTTGTGAGCAACATGCCACACTTTGAACCACATAATGATTCTTCATCTTTTATAGGTGGCTTTAGGTAAAAAGTGAATGTTAGAGAATGATAAAGTTTTCGAAATATAAAAAACCTTACTAGTTGAGCTGGATAATAATGATGTTAGATGAGCTTACTTAGAAAATGCACAAGCAGTGGAACTTGTAAAGAAGCTGAAAAGGTTGCATTTTGCAGGTAGTTGAGAGCGGGGGAAAGAACATTGAGGTTGCTGTAATGACACGAGAGGAAGGTGTTCTGAAGCAACTAGAAGAAGAAGAAATTGATGCTATTGTGGCTGAGATCGAAGCAGAGAAGGCTGCAGCTGAAGCGGCCAAGAAAGGCCCTGCGAAGGAAACATGAACCAGATCTTACAATAGCGGTCTCAGATTCTGAGTTGTAATACTGGTTCAAACGTCAGGATATTCAAGGGTTGAATAGAAAATCAAGACCGCATGAAATGGTTTTGTTGGATTACTAGCCTATTCGACAATGTTGCTTTAAATCTTAATTAACATTTTAGCAGAGTACCAAACTTTAGTCATTCGAAACTTGTGGTTGGAACTATGGCCTTTTCAATATGCTAGATGACATTTGTGCTCAAGAGTTGTTGTAGCTTTCGCTTTTGGAAATGTGGTTTCTTACTAGACTTGTCTCTTCTCGTATATGTCCATTGTGGAACTTAACTTTTTTACTATCCTTGTACATGAAGATACCAACATTACAGACTATAACTATTTAACTTTTGATAAAGCAAAAGTTTGCCAGCAACCCAGAAGATAGTTATAGCTGACAGAACCACAATGGTTTTGAACTTTTGTACCAAAAGAAATTCCATAACCTGAGAACAAGATGCTACCGATACCCTTTCTTCTCTTAGCTGTGTGTGTCAACATTGAGAAGATTTCCTGAAATTCACATGTAAACGATGTAAGGGTATCGTTTATTAACATTTTGAAAAAAAAAAAAAAAAATCGCCGTTGCCGGGGATCGAACCCGGGTCACCCGCGTGACAGGCGGGAATACTTACCACTATACTACAACGACCTTGTTGTTTGATTTGCAAAAGATATAGTATTATTACGATGATACACATGCAAAGATTTCTAAAACACAGAATTGAAGTTTTGTCTCAAGGATTTTTCAGTTCACAAAAAGAATTTCCTCGCTCTTCTGAGCCGCCTTCTCTCTTAGGTAAGCTTCTTCAGTTTTATCTAACAATCAATAGTTGCTTTTCGCATAGCTCCTGTGTGTGATTTCGTTTCTAGACATAAGTTATCTCCATTTTCCAAGGTTTGTGTCGATTGATAAACCTAACTTTCTCCGTTCTTGTCCGAAACTTCACCTAGATTATTTAGGTTTAATCGTATCTAGTCGACATCTACTTTTTACGCCGAGGGCCATCATATTTATTACTTTTATCTGATAAAGTTTTTACCTTTTAGTGTTATTCTGGGTTTGTCATCTAGGGTTTCACAGCAATTTGAGAAATTGGTTTTTATTCAGCCAGGTTTAATCAGAGTAGAAAGGGTTTTACACTGCAGCGTAAAGGATGAAGCTTGACGTGAATGTGTTGAGATATTTATCGAAAGATGATTTTCGAGTTCTCACTGCTGTTGAGATGGGAATGAGAAACGTCAGTGCTCCTCTCTATTTAGGGTTTAGGGTTTTACTGTATCACCATTTTGCTTTTCTTAAAATACTCTGTTTTTCGTGTTTGCAGCATGAGATTGTTCCTTCTGAGCTCGTGGAGCGCATTGCTTCTCTAAAGTATGCCCCGGTCTTGATGCTTTGGATGTTTCCATTCTTTATTAAGCTTATTTTTTCGTTATGATGAAACTTACTGTGTAATTCACATTCCTGTTATATTCACAGACATGGAGGCACATACAAGGTCCTGAAGAACTTGCTCAAGTATAAGCTTTTGCACCACGATGCCTCTAAATGTGAGGAATTATCTCTGAAGGCATTTGTAACTTTTCTTGATATGTCTTATGAGGATTGGAAGTCTTGTAAAGTTGCAGTATCTAATGGCTATATCTTTCTTTCTTTCTGTTTTTTTGTCTAGATGATGGATTCCGACTCACCTATCTCGGTTATGACTTTCTTGCCATTAAAACATTGGTCAACCGTGGTGTATTTACCGGTGTTGGTCGTCAAATTGGTGTCGGTAAAGAGTCAGGTACGTTGTTTTCCTATTTATTTTTATTTTATTGGTGTGTCGAAGAGATCTTGTCGGTGGCTGATGTATCTTATTTATTGGTTTTTTGCATATAATAGACATATTTGAGGTCGCTCAGGAAGATGGAACTATTCTGGCAATGAAGTTACATAGACTAGGGAGAACCTCCTTTAGGGCTGTCAAGTCTAAGCGTGACTACTTGAGGCATCGTAGTAGTTTCAGCTGGTTGTATCTCTCTCGACTTGCAGCTCTCAAGGAATTTGCTTTTATGAAGGTTATTGCCTTCTTCCACTAATGTAACACTATTATTGTGGGTGTATCATCTTTTATTATTTTTTGCCTAATGTTTGTTTGGCTTCTGGGTGAGTAGGCTTTGGAAGAACATGACTTTCCGGTTCCAAAAGCTATTGACTGCAATAGGCATTGTGTTATCATGTCCCTTGTGCAAGGTTACCCCATGTAAGGACCTAACTACATATTCACACAAATAAAAGTTGTTATGATTTTTATGCTGTTAGTCATCATCTACTGATGGGTTGTGGTCGGATATTGATTTTTAGCTAATATTAAGGTGTTTATGCATTGGATTCGGGTTTCTTAGAAAGCTGAACCATTTGCTTCATTCACTCACTAAGAAACAGTTGCACCCTTTCTGCTGTGAATCACATCTTTCACATTTTTTCATTTATGCAGGGTTCAGGTGAAGCAGTTACAGAATCCTGAGACAATTTTTGAGAAGATCATTGGCATTGTTGTTCGTTTGGCTGAGCACGGTCTAATTCACTGTGACTTCAATGAGTTTAACATCATGGTGAGATACTTTGATATATCTAGTTGAATAATTCCTTCTATTTGTAAGCTATTTTTGCTGAAAATATCATGCATTTATTTGAAGCTGCCTTCTTATTTAAGTTAAGTAATACTTCTGTAAGCATGCTAGTTTTTTCCCCTGCTTACTAATAATTTTCATTGACACATCCTGTTTATGTATGTATATTTTAGATTGATGATGAAGAGAAGATAACAATGATCGACTTTCCACAAATGGTTTCTGTTTCACACCGAAATGCACAAATGTATGTGATTTCTCATCTCTGCACCACGCCTCAGTACTCTCTTCCAATTTTCCATACAGTGTTCTTGGTTTGTTTATGACTTTTGTCTTTCAGGTACTTTGACCGTGATATCGAATGCATCTTCAAGTTTTTCAGAAAAAGGTTAGTTACCATTTTGATTTATTATTAGTATATACATACATCATTTGTTCAAAATACCTAGTAGTAAATTATCTCTCCGTCGCTGAATCCATGTGTTGATTGACCCTTAACTTTTCATTTTTCTGTGAACTCTGGTCCTTTCTTCCAGGTTTAATATGTCTTTCCATGAAGATAAAGGTGAATCAGAGGAGACGGAGGTTGACGAGAACAGCAGACCATCTTTTTTCGATATAACTAAAGATGCTAATGCTCTGGATAGAGATCTAGAAGCTAGTGGGTTCACAAGAAAGGAGCAGACTGACCTCGATAAAGTACGTGAGCCTATGACCATAGCTATACCACTGCTTATCAATCTTCAGTTAATCGTTTCTTGGTACTGTGTATATATTTTGAATCTTAGGCAGTCTAATTTGCAGCATCGGTCTCTCTCTGGTTTTGTTTCCTCTGGAATACAGAATGAATATGTGGTTTCTGTCTTGTATAGTTTATTGAAGGTGGGGTGGAGAAGAGTGAAGATTCTGATGAGGATGAGGAATCTGATGATGAAGAGCAGACTTGTGAATCAAATGAAGAAGGAAACCTAAATAAATTGAAATCATTACAGTTGCAAGACGAGGTATAAAACTTTCCAATTCATCATACAACTGAAACATGTACCAAGTAAAGATGTCCTCTACTTACAGTTTATGCTTTTGGCATGATGTAGGAGCAAAAAATTTCAGATGGTGTTGAGGCAGAAGTTGAGTTGAATAATACCGAGAACGGTGAAAGCAATGGAGATGGAGATGAAGATGAAGTTGGAGATAATGAGGTTAGTATGTTCTGTGCTAGTAACTCAGAGAGTGTGAAGTAATGAAAATCACTTGCAAAAATCTGTGTTACTACTTCCTTTGTACAGGAGGAGGAAGAGAAAGATGCAGAGCTGGAAAAAAATTTGGGCAAGGTAAGACGCAGAGCCATGACAGCAGCCAGGGGACGTAGAAAGTCACAGTCTTCAAGAAACACATACAAGGACAAAGGACGCGGATCCCAAAACTCCAAGATCCACAACAACATGAGCGGCTTTTGATACGTTGTGCAAGATTATGGAAGAACTCCAACTGTGGGCTTGATGGGCCGTATAATGATGTAAACGGGCCCATATTCGTTTTCTAGTGACTTTTCTCGAATCATTCCAAATTGAACACCAACCAATGTACTGAGACAGAAATTTAAATTATAATGGATATGTTTCTTTATAAATCAAATCTCAAATGTTATTTTGTCCTAATTTGTTGATATTCTTTTAACGGGGCTAATCCGAAAACACATGAAAGTCAAGGGAGTAGAAAAGAAACGCTCCTCCAGAGAAAATCGCGGAAATAGAAAAATACATAATGCAACGCAACGGCTAGTGATCTCAACGGTCGAAAATTTAAACCTTTTTATAATAATTCAGATCTCTCTTGTTAAAATCCTAACCTTGTTACCACATTAATCCTCCGCCGAGATTCCTTTTGTCTCCATCTTCTTCTTCTTCTTCTTCTTCTTCTTCTCCATTTCAATTCCAAAGATGATGAGAGATGTATTCAGGCCGACCAAATCAGCCCCGTGTTCTCCTGCAAAGCCACTTGGTATCTCTCGGACTCAATCTGAATCATTTCATGCTATCCACAAAGTTCCTGTCGGAGACAGTCCTTATGTCAGAGCAAAGAATGTTCAGGTGATTGATTACATCCTTTCGTTAGATCTGAATTCCACGGAATCTGGATTTGTGTTTGATTTGCATTTTTGGTCTGTCTTTGATTGTTGTTTGTTTATGGATCAGTTGGTGGAGAAGGATCCAGAGAGAGCAATTCCTCTGTTTTGGAAGGCCATTAATGCTGGAGATAGAGTGGACAGTGCTTTGAAAGACATGGCTATTGTGATGAAGCAACAAAACCGCGCTGAAGAAGCCATTGAGGCGATTAAATCACTCAGAGTTAGATGTTCAGATCAAGCCCAGGAATCTCTCGACAATATTCTCTTAGATCTCTACAAGGTCCGTCCTTTACACAAAACCCTTTTTCCTCTGTTTCATTTTTGCATTTGGTTTAGTTTTGTATTGAAATGGATTTGTTGTTGCAGAGATGTGGGAGATTAGATGACCAGATTGGACTTCTGAAACATAAGCTCTTCTTGATACAGAAAGGACTCGCCTTTAATGGTAAACGAACCAAAACCGCTAGATCTCAAGGCAAGAAGTTTCAAGTCTCTGTGGAGCAAGAAGCCACTCGGTTACTGGTAAGGAGCAATTTCAAAATGTGCATATAACGTTTGTAGCAATTGCCAAAATTTGTTTGATTCTTAATTGGATGATGATTTATATACAAAAACAGGGAAACTTGGGATGGGCTCTGATGCAAAGAGACAATTTTGTGGAAGCTGAAGATGCGTACAGGAGAGCTTTATCTATAGCACCGGACAACAACAAAATGTGTAACCTTGGTATCTGCCTTATGAAGCAAGGAAGGATCGATGAGGCCAAAGAGACTTTACGACGTGTGAAACCAGCGGTTGTTGATGGTCCTAGAGGTGTGGATTCACATCTTAAAGCTTACGAGAGAGCGCAACAGATGCTGAATGATCTTGGATCTGAGATGATGAGAAGAGGAGGGGATGATAAGGTTGAACAAAGAAGGCTATTTGATGCAATCTTTGGATCTTCCTCTATATGGCAACCTCAGCCTTGTAGTGAGCAGAACGTGAAACCCAAATCTAAGCCTGGTTTGAGTAATGGTGATGGATACGGTGATGAGAACGTGAAGATGAGTGTGAATCCACCAGTAGTAGTAAACCCATTAAGGGTTGATGCAAAACCCTTCTTCTCTTCAAAGTTGATCATCAGTAACAACGAGAAGCTGAAGAGAACGAGATCTTCAAGCCAAGAGATGGGAGTATTGACTGGTGGTGGTGATGATCATGAGGGAGAGACAAACACAAGCACAAGAAGGAGATTGTCAATGGAGAAGAAAGCAACAGACTGTGGATTGCCAGACAACAAAGACTTTGAAGATGCGATTTTGGCTGCTGTTTTGGGAACAGAAACCAAAGTGGACAAGAAGAGGCTCAAGGTGTTTCAGGATATCACTTTGTGTATCAATCAGAATCTCTAACCAATCTATTTATTTTTTATCAGTCTAATTTATAATTCTTAAGTCTAGTGAAGGAAGCAAAAAGGAGATGAGCTTAATTCTTCTTGGTAATTTATTAATGTTTTTGTCAGCTTAAAGTTGCTGTCATTTTTTTCACAATTATTGTCGTCATTGACCAGTAATAAAAGTTGATGTTATTTTCTTTGCCATTCTACAATTATTGTTATTGATCAAAAATAGTGTTGTAGATTGTTAGAAGTCTAATGAGATAGAGAGAGAGAGAACTAAGAAAAGATGAAGATGACATGAGTGGTTACCATTAATACTCTCTCCTGTTAATCCATCAAAATCTATTACTGCATCACCATTAATAATTTTGATTCACCATACACTCAACTTTTGTGGTCAAGTTTGTAGCACAAATTAGGGGAAATTAGTATCCGTTAAACCAATAATGTGTGTGTATATATATCAGTTTGGACTCTTCTGCTTCCAATTTATAGAAACGCTTTACTTAACCCTTATTTAATTCGGCCAAAATACATCCGTTGAAATTGTATAAAGTTCCGGAAGTGCCCCTATTATTTTCACCACAGCAAATGAACTGTATAAAAGTTCCTAAAGTGCCCCCCTTAAGCTCTCTCTAATTGAAAGTTAGGCATTTTTGGTATCCGCATTAACTCGAGTCATGTAAACTTTGACTGTCAGAAAAAGGCAAAAAAGATAAATTTGTTAATGGAATTTTTTTGATATACATTTTTGTAATAGAATTGAGAAATAAAGGATATTTTAGTCAAATGGGCTGTTGTGGTTTTTGGAAGAAAAGAGAAAAAAGAAGAGAGTTTAATTGGAGGAAAGGGCTCTCCGACCAAAGCCAAGGTGAGTGTGAGGCTAAACTGAAAAAAGAAGAGTCCCAAATTCCAACTTCATTCCTCAGGGAAGCCAAAAAAAAATATAAACCCCTTCACAATCCTAAAGTTAAACTCTTGAGTTTTTCAGATCAAGACAAAGTTTAGATTTTTTCTTTTTCTTTTTCTTTTTGGTTAATTGTTTTGACACAAACGAGGTAAGCACGAGAAGAAGGAGAAGATAATGATTGTGGGTAGAGTTTGAGTTCAAATCAGATTTGTTGAGAAGACAGAAGAAGATAAGAAAGGAGTGATTTTTGTTTTTGATGCATGGTGAAGAAGAAGAAGAATAGTGAGTGAGAGAGAAGAAAGACCCATTTTTTTTCATTTTTCAGACAGAGAGTACTTGAAGAAATGGGTTGTTGTCAGTCAAGAATAGATAGCAAAGAGATAGTGTCTCGTTGTAAAGCAAGGAAGAGATACTTGAAACATCTTGTTAAAGCTAGACAAACTCTCTCTGTTTCTCACGCGCTTTATCTCCGTTCTCTACGCGCCGTCGGCTCTTCCCTTGTTCACTTCTCTTCCAAAGAAACTCCTCTTCACCTCCACCACAACCCACCTTCTCCATCTCCTCCTCCTCCACCGCCGCCGCGTCCTCCTCCTCCTCCTCTAAGCCCTGGCTCTGAAACCACCACATGGACCACCACCACCACTTCCTCTGCTCTTCCTCCTCCTCCTCCTCCGCCACCTCCACCTCCACCCCCTTCTTCTACATGGGACTTCTGGGATCCGTTTATACCGCCGCCTCCTTCTTCCTCCGAGGAAGAATGGGAGGAAGAGACAACCACCGCGACAAGAACCGCAACAGGAACCGGAACTGGCTCTGAAGCTGCTGTGACGACGGCTCCGACTACAGCTACTCCTCAAGCTTCGTCTGTAGTGAGTGGATTCTCTAAAGATACAATGACGACGACTACGACGGGAAGTGAGTTAGCAGTTGTGGTGTCAAGGAATGGTAAAGATCTAATGGAGATTATTAAAGAAGTCGATGAATATTTCCTTAAAGCTGCAGATTCTGGTGCACCTCTCTCTTCTCTACTTGAAATCTCAACCTCTATCACTGACTTTACCAAATCAGGTAACAATCAACCTCTTCGTTGTAATGATTACTACAAGTGCCTGAGTGATTTTGATTTGTGTCTGTTTTGTGTCTATCTTCAGGGAAAATGTATAGTAACTACGAATGTAATCTGAATCCGACGTCGTTTTGGACAAGAGGATTTGTTCCTCCTAAGTTGAATGAATACAGAAACGCAGGAGGAGTAATTGGAGGAAACTGCATTGTTGGTAGCCATTCCTCTACAGTGGATAGACTCTATGCTTGGGAGAAGAAGCTTTATCAAGAGGTCAAGGTATTCACTTTTTGACTTCATTTTCATTCATAAAGTTTCAATCTTTCAACAAAACAATTAGACTTGGATTTATCTTTGTGGAAAAAGTTTGAAGTTTGAATATTGAAATTGCTTGCTTAGACTTCATCCAAATATGGATAAATGTTTTGTTTTGGAATTTGGTTGATTCATGTGGCATTAAAGGCTTGTGGTGGGTCCAAGCGTGAGCAGATAGTGTAAGAGACCCACGTGTGTACTTAATTCTGATGAATAATGTGTTATGTACACTGGCACATATATGTTGCCAAGTAGTGAGTGAGGGTTTGTTGTTTTGTGAATGTGGGTATTTGCAGAATGCAGAGAGCATAAAGATGGAGCATGAGAAGAAAGTGGAGCAAGTGAGGAGGCTTGAGATGAAGAGAGCTGAGTATGTCAAGACTGAGAAGGCTAAGAAAGACGTCGAGAAGTTAGAATCTCAGCTCTCAGTATCTTCACAAGCCATCCAGAGCGCTTCTAACGAGATCATCAAGCTCAGAGAGACCGAGCTTTATCCTCAGCTTGTCGAGCTTGTTAAAGGGTTAGTTGTGTGCATATACATTAAGTATCTTATGTCTCTTCATTTGGTCAATGTGAACAAGGTTCTTGTGTAATGTAATGTAATGTAGGCTGATGTGCATGTGGAGGAGTATGTACGAGAGCCACCAGGTTCAAACCCATATTGTTCAGCAGCTTAAGTACCTTAACACCATCCCCTCCACTGAACCCACATCCGAGCTTCACCGACAATCAACTCTTCAGCTTGAGCTCGAGGTCCAACAATGGCATCACTCTTTCTGCAACTTAGTCAAGGCCCAGCGCGACTACATCCAATCTCTCACGGGTTGGCTTAGGTTAAGTCTGTTCCAGTTCAGCAAGAATCCACTTGTTAAGAGTAGCTACGAGTCGAAGATCTACAGTTTCTGCGAGGAATGGCATTTAGCTATTGATCGGATCCCTGATAAAGTAGCATCTGAAGGGATCAAAAGCTTTCTGACCGCAGTCCATGGAATTGTGGCTCAACAGGCGGATGAGCATAAGCAGAAGAAGAGAACAGAATCCATGTTAAAAGAATTTGAGAAGAAATCGGCTGCGCTGAGAGCGCTTGAGAGCAAGTATAGTCCATACTCGGTGCCTGAGAGCAGGAAAAAGAACCCGGTGATAGAGAAGAGAGCAAAGGTTGAGATGCTGAAAGGAAAAGCAGAAGAAGAGAAAAGTAAGCATGAGAAGTCAGTGAGCGTGACTAGAGCCATGACTCTAAATAACTTGCAGATGGGATTCCCTCATGTGTTTCAGGCAATGGTTGGGTTTTCAAGTGTGTGTATGCAAGCCTTTGAGTCTGTGTACAACCAAGCTAAGAGCATCGGTGAGGATCAAGAGGAGGTCAAGAGGTTGCTTCCTTAAGGAGAGAAAGACAAATCAAACAAATTGTTTTACCATTTGCTCTCTGTTTTTGCTTGATCCTAGCCAAATCTTTTGGTAATATGTTAGGTTGAGTTTATGCTATTTTCGAAAATGAAATTGGTTAAAGACTTTTCATTGAATCATTATTGCTTGAAACAAGTCAAATCATTGGGAGGTGACCTAACAACCTATTATTAACTTTGGACAAGTGTTTGTTAGTTAGTTAGTGAGGTAGTTAAGGGCATTGCTTAAAGAAGTAAGCAAGTTTAATGGTAACTAAACACTGTCATGATTTGTACGTAACAGAAGAAAAGAGACATGATTCGTTTGAGCGGCAGAAAAAGACGAGTGCCTAATTTGATTTCCCATAAATAAACAGACAATAGATTGATTGGTAAGTTTGGTGTTTTAATTAGTTGGGAGCTATTAAAAGAGGAAATCCACAATAATCGGAAATAGAAAGAGTTTGGTTGGCGATTATTTTGTGCCAGCGGAACGTTTCAACGCCATTTTTCCCGGCCAAAGCTAAACTAACTAACTCTTTGTTTTTTGTCATCTTCCATTTTCCAATTTTTTTGTTTCCCCTCTTTCTTTGGGTAATAGGGTTTCCAATTTTTGGGACAAAGTCCAATCCTTTCGAATCCGCAATGCCCAGATGGTCGATCAATAGAAATATCAAGAATCTCCAAATCCAGGCCTGTTTTATATAGTTCTCAAGATCTGAAGATCTTTTTTTAAAAAAATTTCCCTGGAATTAATAATCTTTGAGGGGAAATGAGCGCTTCGAGGTTCGTAAAGTGCGTGACGGTTGGTGATGGAGCTGTCGGAAAAACTTGTTTGTTGATTTCTTACACGAGCAACACTTTCCCTACGGTTATGTCCAGCTCATTCTCTCATGTTTCTTGTTTCATTGGCACAACAACATATCTCATGTTCTTGGTTTTGTGAATATACAGGATTATGTGCCTACCGTTTTCGATAATTTCAGTGCAAATGTTGTGGTTAATGGAAGCACCGTGAATCTTGGATTGTGGGATACTGCAGGTTTTAAATCTAACCATCTTCTTTTAAATTTGGAATATTGATTTTCTTAAACTTTTAGATCTGAAGATTTTGAAAATTTGGGTATGAAAAAACAGGGCAAGAGGATTACAACAGATTAAGACCACTGAGTTACCGTGGAGCAGATGTTTTCATTTTGGCCTTCTCTCTTATCAGTAAAGCCAGTTATGAAAACGTCTCCAAAAAGGTAAAAGAATCCATCAATCTTCTTTCATATTATTGAGTTTTCGTCACATTGTGAACTCTTCTCACAAATTGTGTTTGCAGTGGATCCCGGAGTTGAAACATTACGCGCCTGGTGTCCCCATCATCCTTGTTGGAACAAAGCTTGGTGAGTTTTTCATTGTTTTTTTACTGATCTCACGCCTTTACTTTATTAGTTGCGACTAAGTTTGTGTCTTTGCTCTCCAGATCTTCGAGATGATAAACAGTTCTTTATCGACCATCCTGGCGCTGTCCCGATCACTACTGCTCAAGGAGAGGAGCTGAGGAAGCAAATAGGAGCACCTACTTACATCGAATGCAGTTCCAAAACTCAAGAGGTATATTGATTAGTCTACTCTTGTGACAAACTTCTTATGTCAATGTTAATGCTAATGTTGATAATGTGAGAGTGCAGAATGTGAAGGCGGTGTTTGACGCAGCCATTCGAGTGGTGTTGCAACCACCGAAGCAGAAGAAGAAGAAGAGCAAAGCGCAGAAGGCATGCTCCATTCTATGATGATTGGAAATCTCTGTTTTTATGTATTTGGTTTTGGTATATTAATCTTCTAACAATGAATGAATCAATGTGTTAATGGACAGACACCCAAGTTTGATTGGTCCTTTTTTGTTCTTAATATTAATGGAGTTTGTCGGAATCAACGTCTTTTTGCTTCTACAATTCACTCCTATGCTGCTATGCACAATCACACTCGCACCATTTCTTCAACTGATAATATTTTGTATGCTAATGTTTCAAACTTTGCAAACATGTTTATTGGTAGAGAGAGTGTAACTAGGAAAAGAAAAGTAATGATACAAGTTTTATTTCTCAAGATTACTCTTCATGCTTCTGCAACAAGACGAGAAGCCATATGATTATTGGTGATGTGCCAAAAAGAATGCAAGAAAGAAATTCATTCAAACCATTCCATTTTGATTTTCTCGTATTTCTCATTCATGCCATCTTGCTGTCTCTGAAACTCGATGTAACGCAGAGTGCTATTTATGAACAGCTCTGACTCAACCTTCTTCGTCTCGCTTCTGATTAATTCAGCTAAGCTCTGGATTGTATCGCCTGTTACTTGTGGGTTTCCTTTCTCCAAGAAGTAGAGATACCTGCATTTGACTCGTAAAACCATTAAGAGAAACGGTGACAACTGGCATAGTACTCAATTACAAGTATTTTGCAGCGTAGGTACTAAATAGGTGCAACTAAAACAGAAACTTACTTGTTCAGCAGTTCGACATATAGAGCCACCGACCCAGTGCTACTGGTACCACGGGATGCATTGGCCATTTGTTGAACAGCATCTGCAATTCTTTGTGCCCTCTTCAGACAAAGCACAACCCTGGTGTCCCACCAAACGTCAAAATCTCAATATGCCTCAATTTTTTTCCCTTTCTTAATTGCGTACAGCTCCCAATCGTAACTTTAAGATTTTAGTATTTGAGAGTATACATTCATATGTACACATACCTCTCTCCATCTTTTAGGTTCTCGCATTCGTCAGCCCAGAAGAGATGCGCACACTCATAAACAGCCCTACACTGATCTGGCTTCCTAAGGAGTCTTGCAGAGTACTACAACAACATAATTTAGGCTAGTTAGTACTCAATGTAGCACTCACTTACTCAACTGGTTTGTCAGGAAAGATACCCCTGTCGCCTTGTGAGTCAGAGTATCTCTGTTCTCAACATTAAATACACGCATCCGCTGGAGTGTCCCTATTATTAAACGTAGTGCTGTTACTTGTGCCTTTGAATCCTAGAACACCCAAAATTTAAAGCCACGTCAAGGTCTTTCTTGCAGAAAGTTGCATGTAGACTCCTAAGAAATTCACTTACTGAAATTTCTTCTTCATACAGAAGATATGCCTTTGTGAAGAACTCATACGTGACTGTTTCTAACTCACAATCATTTGCTGCCTGACGATCCAATAAAAGAAAATTTCAGCTCATGCACTATATCTATTGTTGGTTTGGATAGTGGATACACCAAACGATCATATACCTGAGCACACTGCAAGTAGAGGCGCAATGCCAAATCAGGTGCGGAAACATCAGATAGAACTTCCACGGTCTGTAAAAAAATGAGATTCAAAATCGACTGGCATCATAGAAATTCTGGCATAAAGGGATACTATATATCACTGGGACAAAGCCAATGATGTTTGCAAGGCAACTAAACTGTCCTCACTATTTTCTAACAATCAAGATGTATGTACACTTGCCTCACTTAAAAGCTGTAGAATTCTCTTCGGTGTTGCTGATGCATCATCTCCAAATGGGTTTTCATCTCCACCTCTCAGTCGCCGAATTAACTGCACAAGCATATCAACACAATGTGCGGAGTTCAAAATTCAAACACAATGTCTAATCGAATCCATACAAAACTGGAAATGACACAACCGTCCCCAAATTTTAAATTGAACTTTCCATTTTGGAGATGGAGCGAAGAAGTGATTAGTAAACAATACAAACCTTGAGAGCGGAAAAGACAAGGGGTGGTATAGTTAAAGGCAAACGCTTAGGTCCTCCAGCCAGGATGTGCTTCCTTACTGTGAAAATAATCTGTAGTTGGGTAAACGAATTAAGAATCGCACACACAGGCCACATTGATAGTAACACCTCTATTAGTTATATAATACACACCTTAGACATTTCTTCTGGATCATCATTGTAGAGCTTGTGAACAAGCCGTGCAACAAGGTTCTGCTCTTCCTGGAAATCTTCTTCATCAATCTAGAACTCAACATAGTTTCCCGTTTGAAAGCGTAAGTTACCTAAAGAAAAACTATTCTTTCCAATGACTAAATGCAATAAGAATTGACGAACAAGGGTTCTAGAACCTCATCATCAATTGTTCCGTCAAAATCCTTGATGAGACCCTTTGCCAGTTCAAACAATGCATCGACCTGTAACAAACAATAAATGGAAACTCCACATCAATAGAGAATGCTGAAAGAAGAAACTAAATCAAGGAAGGAGACGGACACCTCATCAGCAGTAGCAATATGAGTATTGTTTTTCAAAACGCTCTGAACTATAATGATTGCCATTCCTTTGTTTGTCTCATGGTCAAGGTATTCCATTACTCGAGGATAGTTTGTGAGCTTCAAGATAGTTACAACATTATTATACTTTTCCAACGGAGCGCTAAGAAATGCGACGATCTGTTTTGCTGCCTTGTCATCACAAAGCTTTCCTGTGGCAGATAGTTGAGTAACACAAGATCCCTAAAGAAAAAAAGAGAGACAACAATGTGTATTAGCAACAATCAGAACTGCTTTAAGCATTAAAAAAAAGTACTACACATGAATAAACTTAACACGCTTATACATCCTCAGAAAGTGTTATACCAAAACTTCGTCTACATAGTCCAGACGATCGGAATAGACATGGAGAGTGAATTTCAGAAGAAACAAATACAATGTTACAGATGCTGCGGCCGGCAAGTCCACCTGTGCTTCTACAACCTGAATCATAATAGATGTAGACTCAATCAGCTGTTTATAAATACAACTGTGAAACGATTATCAATGTGATACAATCAGTGGAAAGTAGGGAAACAAAAATTACACAATAATATCACAACACCATGGGGATTAAGCTAGATTTTTCAGTTGTTTCTAATACTAGCACCCCTAATATATAAACTTACATTGAAGTGTCAATTTCAGTTATCCCTTTTGACTTCATGATTAGATGTAAGATTTTACCTTCCCAATGGCATAATTTAACTTTGAAAAGGCTTCTACTTGCAGGAAATTAGGCAATGCTTCCACACTGGATGCAGCATAGTTCGAAAGCCTTTCCATTAGACCCGAAAGGACCGTCTTGATATCAACAGATGGCTGAAAAACAAAATGACAGAAAGGAAATTAGGAGAAATATGTTCTGATGGGATGAGGTTTATTTAGCAGTCTAATCATTTTTTCTTCTTTTTAAACTGTATATAAAGAAGAAGTGGTCGGTTACATGAAAAATTACCTGAAGTTGTGGACAAGCACCCAATAATACATCGAGAGTTTGAAGGTGGAAATCATCAGGAAAGACTTGAATAATGCAATCCATTAGGTAGCATTGTGCAAGTTCATCCTTACAGTTGACAACCTTTAAAAACATAGTGATACATAATTCATTTCCCGCAACACGTAGACGGAAGCTTGTATGCTGAAACTATCTAAAGGGAGACAAAAAGCAGACCTGCTCCAGTATTCTAGGAAGAACAGTATCTCTGTAGATTCCAAGGTCAACACCTTCCAACTGACTCAGTACATGAAGGTTCTTCCCAACCTAATCAGGCAGTAAAGAGAAGAAAAAAGGCGTCTTTCAGAAAATAATAAGAACCATTGCTCGCAAATTTCTAGATGAGAAGAATCAGCTACAAGTTAATGCTATTACAAGATCACGTAGTTCATTCCTTTCTTTCTCCCGTTTGTCCTTCTCCCGACTAGGTCCCTGGATACCAGAAAGTCTCAACTCAGGTTCAGCTCAGTAGGGAAAATTCACAAAGAGTAGACAATAGCATGATCAGACATTGGACTCTCACAGTTCGCAACCATATTCAGTACATACATGCTGGATATGAGAGCAGAAATATAACACTAGTACTTCTAACCAACCTGATGTTGCATTCGAACCCATAATTTGTTCATCTCGGTAAAATTTTGAAGCACGAACTCTAAAGCATTCATGTGTGCATCACCATCTCTGGAGAGAAGAGCAAAACACTTGCCTCTTAACATGTGTTTCATACCTCAAACAAAAATCAACTAACAGAAGGTTAAAGGAAGACTAAGTAAGTTGTGTGGACTTACCCTTCCGAGTCAGAACCAATGCTGGGCAACTTATCCCTAGTAACTTGAGCAAGATAACTTCTCAAGAAAAGACCACGTAAAGGATGTTGAACAGCTCGACACATTTCAATAAGATCCTTAAGTATATCCGTAGCAGTAACGTCCTTGGATTTGATATATACAGATCCTATGGTACAGAGAAGATACCTGAAATCCAATTGATGAGTATGCATGTATCTAGGCTACTAAGTTAAAATCAGACAATGTATTACTCTCAACATAAAAGGAAAAAACTTACAATCTTGGCAAAATGTTACCGGCATGCTGCACTAACTCGTAGAGCTCTGCAATGGAGCAACCACGCCCTGTCTCTTCCTTAAAGAATATCTCCAATGTCCCCAATTCATTAAAAACTCGAATATCTGAACAAATCAGATCGCAGTAAGGAAATGAAATTCATACACAAGAGCTACGAAATAGAGGAAGATGATGGTAACGAACGAGTCGACTCACAGAGTTCATAGTATTTATGAGGAGAAAGCTTGGAAGTACGAAGCTCGCTGAGCATTTGAGCAGAAAACTTTAGAGCGTCTTTGAGATTGTTGGAGTCCTGCGAGCGATTACAATTGGAGATTCGTTAGAAAACAAAGCAGAATTTAGGGTTCTAAGATCCCAAATGGAAAATTGATTGATGAAGAAGAGAGGAGAGGAGAAGGAGTGGTACGATAGCGCGCTGCATATAGAAAGCATTTTGCTTAACGGCGGCGATGGCGGCGGCAAGCCACTTCTCATCGTCGTCGGCGATCATTCTGTTTCTCACTACTTTACTCTACAGAGAAAGTCTCAATTTTGACCGATTTTTCAGAGATCTTAGCATTTAAATTTGTTCTCTGTTCATAATTAACTTTTTTAGTTTTTTTTTTTTTTTAATCCAACACTTACTTAAATAACTGCATTCATAGTCATTTTAGTCTTATCTCTCTAAGCTGGTAATTTCAATTTCTCAAATAGATCACATGATTTTGATACCCTTTTTGCTCCTCGCATTGATTTTGTTATAAAAAGCCTTTCTCAAATTTAAGAATTGACAAATCTGACCCCCAAAAAGAACAAAAATGAAACAGGATCAAATACAATTAGAGAGACCATAACTTTCTCTTCTTTCCATTCTAAACAAGAATTTTACTACTCTTTGTCTGCAAAAACAGACCAGCTTTATTATGTCAGTGAATCACTGTACCATTGTTCTAGACTAGTCTCAGTGATCACTTTTTCTGCTTCTTTGCATCCTAGTCTAAGGCCATGGACTATCTCCTTCAAGTCCACAAGGCCACACCCGGGTATTCGTCCTATTTTCCTCTCCTTCACCACCTCTCTCACTCTATTAACATCCTCCCACCTTCCTGTAACACTGTAAATGTTCATCAGCAAATGGTAATACTTGTAGTTCAAAGGATCTGTCTCTATCAGGGACTTGGCAATGCTCTCCCCTAGAGCCGGGTTTCCTGTGAAACGCGACGAGCTCAGCAAGTTTGCCCATTTTGCAGATTCTGGTGTCACATCTTCCTCTGGCAGATTCTTCAGAGCTTCCTCTGCTTCTTCAGGGAACCCGGCGTTGGAGTAAAGATTAGCCATGCACCATTGGTGTCCAAAGTTGGGTTTGATCTCGAACTCGTCAACCATCAGGGCGTAGTAACTTTGTCCTTGAGAAACAAGACCAGCTCTAGCACAACTACAGAGAACACCAACAAATGTCACTTCATCGGGTCTAAGCATACCATTGATCATAGCTTCAAATAATTCGAGCCCATCTTCAGGACGCCCGTGAAGACAATGTGCCAATATCATCACATTCCACGTTACTTTGTTCCTAACAGATAAACTATCGAATATCCTACGTGCTAAATCTACTTCCTTGCACTTTCCATACATGTCAATAAGAGCTGTATCAATGACTACACTCGAATTCAGAAAGGTTCTTATCAAAGAAGCATGAACCGACCTACCTTCCTTCAATCTAGCTGATCTACCACAAGCATTCAACAACAAAACCAATGTACTCTCATTTCCTTGGAACCCTGATCCAACCATCTCACGGAACAAACTAATGGAAACTCCAGGATTATTAGCACCCAAATACGCACTAATCATGATATTCCAAGAAATCATGTTTTTCTCAGGCATTTCATCGAACAACTTGTGAGCATACAAAATATCACCATTCCTCACCGCCCCAGCGATTATCGAGTTCCAGGACACAATATCTCTCTTAGGAATTTCAACAAACAGCTTCTTTGCAAGATCCAAAGCACCACAACAAGTATACATATGCATTAACGAATTTTGAACAGGCAAAACTTGATCGCATCCATGCTTAATAGCCTGCCCATGACACATTTGACCAGAATCAACGCAACAAGTCTTCTCGATACAACTAATCAATGAAACGAAGGTGTAGGAATCAGGAACAAAACCAAATCTCAGTATATCAAAGTAAAACCCCAACGCTTGTTTCGGAGTAGAAGAGACCAAATAAGCCTTAAAGACGGGATTTGCACAGTAGAGCTTCCCAATGCTGCGGAATATCGAAACGGTATAGCTAGAATCACCAAAACGCGAAGAACACTTCAACAATCTGATAGCCCAAGAGGAATCCCAGAAGTTACCGGAGGTGATTAGCCTCGCGTGGACTTGGAAGAGTTGTTTAATAGAGTTTGAATCTTCGACAAGTTTGAAACCCTTAAGCAGACCTGTCCCGGGGACGATGAATCTGGATGTGACGAATTGGCGGATAGAGGAAGCTTTTGCCATTCATCTCCAGCTTCGATGCTTAGATTTGAGTCAGGGTTGGATTCAGAAATCGCCATTAACCCACGATCATAGCTATGTCAAGGTCTCAAGGAGAAGGTGTGCGGCGAAGGAGAAGAATCGTTCAGTGTAAAAACCTTTTAAGAGAAACCTTCTGAGAGAGACGGAGACTTCCGGTTTTGCTGGATCAAGTCAAAACATATTTAAACAGAGTTTTTCCATAATAATAACAAATTTCAGGACCAGTTATGCAATTTTAGAAAAGAAGAAGATAAAACACATTTTAAAAGTGGTGTGAATGGGATAAGTCACCACCTCACGGATCACGACCTAATTATAGTTAAGATGGCATTTCAAATCAAATTTATAAGAGACAGACATTTACAAATTAATTACAAGCAAAAACTATCTTTAAAAGCAAGATTTAAGATTAGCTAAATTATCTAGAGAGACTTCTTATCTTGATATTACTTCTGTTGGAAATCCAGACACACACACATATCTATATATCCGAATTAGATTGAGCTTTTAAATTGATTTTGGAATGTGATCTGCATGAATAAAGAAATAAAAAGAAAGAGGAGAAGAAGAGAAGGTGATACGTAGAGAGAAAAAGAAGGTGAGAAGTAAGGATCTGGTGTTGGTGTGTGAACATAAAGAGAGAGGTGTGTTTAACGTACATTGTAATCCATTAAAGAGCCTTGCAAATCACGCAACAGTGACCAACCCCTTTTTTTGGTTTGTCTCTCCAATCATTCTGTTATATTGATAACACCAAGTGCATTGAATCCAACAAAGACGGAGAAGAAGATGAAGGTTCTGGAGAAGTGGTTGGCCTTGTTGTACCCGAGAGTGCAGGGAGGAGGAGGAAGAGAGGAAGAGTGTTGTAGTGTTTGTCTGATGAGAATGGAGGCAAAAGATGTGATCAAGTCTCTTCCTTGTTCCCATGAGTTTCATAGTCTATGCGTCGATACGTGGTTCAATGTCAGCCGCAAGATTTGCTGTCCTCTTTGTCGCTTTTCACCCGCTACCATTCTTCTCACGGATGAACTTCTCCTCTGGTTCTCTTCTTTTCATTTCTGATTCCTGCTTTTCTGGGGATCAAACACCTTTCTAGCTCCTTGTATAATACTATAAAATCTCTTGTAGTACTAGTTTTCCATTCAAGGGGAAATGTCTAAGAAGTTTGATTCCTCTCTGGACAAAAAGATAAAAAGAGAGAAGAAAAAAATGAGAAAGACTATAATTAAGTTGTTGATGCACCAATTCTCACAACAGCCAAAAAAAAAGCAATGTGCATCACATCACATCTTAATAAGGGAAGCTTATATATACCTCATTGCAGCTCTCTTGATTCCAGATTTCTACTATCATAGTGTTGTGTTCAGGAGATAGAATCAGCACTAGTGCTATAGCTTCATAGGCTTCAGAGCGGTTTTATAAGATAAGACAAAACAGTTGGGGAAAAGGGGATGCTGGTTTTGAGATAAACCCATTATTCATCTCATGTAGGATTGTGTACCTGAACTTCCACAACAGCTAAACTTTCCACATTGTCCAAAAAATATAAGCTGGATATTGTTGGTCAGCTCGGCAAGCTGAAAGAGCCACACTTGTGCTGTGTTAGCTATAACACATGTACACTTGACAATAGTTAGTTTAAATCTTTCACTACATGAAAAAGTTACTTCCAAACTCAAAGAGTCATTCAGTGATATGTAAAACGGAAGTAAAGCAAGGAATGAAATAAGAAAAGAGTATAACCCAACAAAACAAGAAACTAAGTTTAAAGAAAATCAGACATAATGCAGCAAGACTACTACTTCAAAGAGATGGTAGCTTAACATAAAACAAATACAGAGAATAACTTGCGTAAAGGTGTGATTGCTAGCCTTAACTGATACATTAAAAGGTCCAAATAAAGATATGAATGGATTTTACGAAATACTTTAGCTTTGAGATTAATAGTTTTGAGCCAATACTAACAAAAGATTTGGAGCTTGAAGTACAAGTATGTCCGTAAGAACCAATAGACAAACTCCACCTGTACATGGGTTTTGGGAAACAGAGGAACGAACGAATCGATTTTGGTGAAGGTCAGTGGTCACAAGTCACAACACATTTTCTGACAAGACAAAGCGTTAAACATCTTTGACAAAATATCCAAAACACACAAAGATACATTATAAGAAGGAGATAAGATTACAACTCTCAAACCAATGAATATATTGTTCGGTTCAGATTATAGTTTTATGAACATAACATGGTCAAACTCAAACCAACACAAAATGAATCAGAGGAAGGCCAAAAGAGGTAGGAGAAGTAGGAGTTGAGATGCGAGAGGGATGAGATTGGCTGCAGTGCCTGAGCCAGAGTTTCTGGTGGAGTTACGAGGGTCTATTGGGGGAGGTGCATCAGCAGCAGCAAGAGGAGGATGACTAGGTAGTGGAGCGGATACACTTGGTGCAGGAGCTTCAGTCTCTGGTGGTGGAGGAGCCTGAGATGCTAAGCTCTCATCTTCAAAACCTGCCATTAACACAAAAACCACATCATTACTAATGCTTTGTTCCTAAGTATATACAGTCACTTATGAACCTGGTCACTTACAATCAGACCGTTTCCAACCCAAAATCATCCTCTCCCGGTCGAATACAATGCGGTAGCCCGACATGAAGTTCTCTGCAACCACCCAAATGTATTCAACACATGTTCTTTATTTCTCTGCTTCAATTCTATATATTGAATATCTGCAGTGTAAAATTCAGTATTGTGATACTTACGTCCGATAATGTTAATCTTGAAATCCACGCTCTTCAGAATACCCAAGCAGTACATGGCGGTATTGTCCTGTTATTCAGGTAGAAAAAAAAAAAGGGAAAATGTATTATCAAGACGCTAGTTCACGAAACTATGTGAAACTGGAAGAAAGAAAAAAAAACACCCATGTCTTGCCTCATTCCACACTATGAAAAGCGGGTTTCTCAGAAACATTAGGGATCCTCCTTCAAAAGTCATCGCTACTCTGGGGAATAAAATGCTTGTACTGTTTGGACTGCATGTGAAGAGGAAGAACATCAGAATTCAAATGTGGAACAGAGACATGCTAATTGGCATATTACTTAGCTAGTTTTACTATTTCATACAGTTCTTCCCTAACATTCAATGTTCCCCATCTTTCTTATACTATTGGTGTTCGCATTCTTTGAAAGTCCAACACATCTCTACTAAAATGAGAAGAAGCATATGACAAGACCGCACACATGACCTTAAGTCGTAACAGAACTCAAATGGAATCTCAGGATCAATCGGACGTCGCTTGTCAGTGACATGATCGTCAAACTGCAAAAGTAATATAATTAAGGTCATGTGATGTATCAAACACAAGCTTGGAGAAATGACATTTCTTCTACCAAGTCTTCATCTCAACGCCCACTGAAAAGATTACAGAGATGAGATATCTAATGATTCAACATCACAAAGTTTCTTGAAGGATGAAAACTTCACTCAGATATGGTATTAGTACAATGAATTTGGTCAGGCAGCATTAGAATAGATGATTAGCCTGATCTATGGCACTTACAGCTTTGGTAATAAGACCATATTCTGGCTCTAGTAAATGTGTAAAAGATGTTCCAGTGTCGAAGAGAGCTAGCAGCTGAACCCCAACAACATCTCCCCCCACGGATACTTGGGTCACATTCACAGCATATGTCGGACTATTTTCATTTGGAATAAAGAAGATCACAGGAGAGACAGAAACAGAATCAGTATTAAAAAATACATCAAATTGAAAACTTTTATTCGCTGTCAAAACAAATTGGAATTTACTATGTACCTTGGTTCCGTAGGAAGTAGTGGCGTCTCCATCTGGTCTGTGTAGCCTTTGTCTCCGAAGCTGATTCTTCCGATAACGTCAATAATATTCCCAAAACACATTGAGAAAGAGTTTGCAGTGATTTTTGCTTTTGCCAGTATGCTCGGAACAGAGTAATCTTTCATACCTAGCCCAAGAAGACCATTAATAGCCGCACTACTCTGGAGAAAACCTGTCTGATTTCGACCGCAACTGCATCGCAAACACATGTTAGTTCCAAAAGAGGCAAATTTTTTTTTACTTTTTTAGTTCTTACAGTGTCTGCACTTGAAACTAAGTTCAATATAATCGTTAATCTGTTTTGCTATGCATATCAATATATAGAACACGAAATGAACATATTTTTAGAGGTTTTAATAGCGGCAAGGCGGTTTTTGTTAAGAAAAACAAAGTCATTAGTTACCCAAGCGTGATATTAGCTTTGACAGGCTTTAAATCCACGTCCTCTGTGACCAAATGCAATACATCCTCAAACAATGTCCCGCTGGTGAAGGTGTCCTTAGAAAGGTACTGGATCTGATAAGGGCAACTACTTGCAGGAGAAGAACACTGACTCGACCCAAAACAACGGTCATCACTGCATCTAATGCTTGAACTTGTAGAAGATGTGTTGGGGCTGTATAGATTGAGTGGTCGACTCTATGTCAAAGAAGAGAAAGAGTTAAGGAATAAACAGTTTGAAGAAAATGTGTATCTGAAAAAAGTATCTGCTTTTGAGAGGAGAAAGGCACCTGTGAAAGTCCAATGTCTTTCAAGTCGCGGATACAAGTGGAACCGCAGTTGCAAGGCAACCAAAACAAATTGCTGCCGGTGTCCAGAGCAACCAGGAACCAAGTGGCCGGTGTTCCCACAGAAACATTGGCGTAGTGCAGGCTGAAGTCACATAGATATACCAATCAGATTCAATAAGAAATGAATGAAAGCAGCAGCAGCAACAGCATCAATCATATTCAAAATATGGATGCATTAAATAGTTGTGAAACAAGTTAACAAGATGAGAAGAGGTATTACAATCCCAGAAAGTCGATTGAAACCGTGCGATTTCCTCGCATGAAAGTAATAGGGGTTTCTTCGTTGTTGGAGGCAAGACCTCGACCTCTGATCAACCGATCGCGCTGTGCCAAAACCTTGAAGTACTCCAAACTTCCCTTTTCCGGCACTAGATCGTCAAGCCCAAGAGTTTGCTTGACCCTATCAGAGAACATGTGGTGAACTTCAAAGCTAAACTTCCCAGAAGCCTCACATCTCTCCAAACCCCAAAAGCCCACCACTAACAGAGACAATAACACAAACACATGGCGTGCAACAACCATGACTTCGCTCTCGGAGATAGAAAAAACACCTCCGGAGTAAAAATACGTTTACTTTCTCAGATAACGACATACTCCTAGACGAATCCCGTATATGTAAGGAAATTGAAGAATTGGAAAAGTCAACAGCTTGACTCGTTCGTATTGTTCCAGAGAAGCTTATTTGATTCTTCGACCTAATAATTTCTTTAATTTCTCATCTAATACTAGTTTAATCGGAGTAGTAGCCATTATTTTGCATCTTCTTCTTCTTCCCCGAAGCTGAAGATCGACAAAGACAAGAGTTTTTTTATCCGGAGGGAGACGACTTCTAAAATGAGCCGTTATAATAAGTCTGTTAGTCAACTCTTTCTTTTTAAAGAAAAGCCCTTTAACACTTCATATTTTGCACTTCCCTCCTTCTATTATTTTTTATTTTATACAACGAACAATATCTTTTCCTATTTGTTGTTGATGTTTTTTTCTTGTGGTTGACTTTCTAATCAAGCCACGTTAGAGTAATCAATAATTCAATACTAAACTCGAATTATATGCAACAAATGGAGAAAAAGATAAGCTCTTTAAGAGAAGTCAACATACATTGTAACGGGAGATAAGATTACCACTTTCAAACCAATGAACATTATTTTGCTTATCAAACGAAGTTTATTATTAAATGAACATAAATGGTCAAACCAACAGAAAACGAACTTTTGTGAGTCAGAAGAAGGCCAAAAGAGGTAGGAGAAGTAGGAGTTGAGCTGCAAGAGGGATGAGATTGGCTGCAACGCCTGTGCCCGAGTTTTTGGTGGAGTTACGAGGCTCGATTGGGGGCGGTGTAGCAGAAGCAGCAGGTGGTGGAGTGGGTACACTTGGTGGAGGAGCTTCGATCTCTGGTGGTGGAGGAGACTCAGATGCTAAGCTTTCATCTTCAAAACCTGCCATTGACACATAACACTTCATTCACAATGCTTTCTTCATACAGTCACTTCCTGATTTGGTCACTTACAATTAGACTGTTTCCAACCCAAAATCATCCTCTCCCTGTCAAATACAATGCGGTGGCCCGACATCAAGTTCTCTGCATTCGACACATACTCTCAGTATACCCATATATATAATTGTGCATCAGAATTGGTTGTTGAGATACTTACGTCCGATGATGTTGAGATTTACGCTTTTCAAAATACCCAAGCAGTACATCACAGTACCATCCTGTTACTCGTGTTCCAAAACCAACAACCAAAATGTAAATAGATATGCTAATACAGGAAATAAAGAAACCACGAAACACCATGTCTTGCCTTAGATAGTGTTTTAAAAAACGGATTTCTGAGAGTCATTTTTGATCCTCCTGCGAAAGTCATCTCTACAAGGGTTGTAACATTTGGGCTGCATGTGAAGAGGACAAACATCAGAATGTTGTATAGATTAGACCATCTTAAAAGTAACTTAGCTAGTTCACCTACTCCTCATACTTCATATTCTTTTTCTCTAAATTCAATGTTTCCTATCTTTCTTACTTTTTAGATGTTCTTGGCGTGGGTTAAAAGTCCAAAAGTGCTACTAAAATGGGCAAAAGCATATAATAACTACACTGATAAGAGTGCGAGCATGACCTCAAGTCGTAACAGAACTCAAACAGAAAATCAGGATCAACTGGGCGGCGTTTGTCGTCCGCAAGATCATCAAACTGCAAAAGTAAAAGAATTAAGGTCATGTAAAACACAAGCCTAGAGAAATGACTTTCTTCGAAGAAATCATCATTTCAATATCCACTGCAAAAATTACAGACATATCTAATGATTTAACAGCACATTATTTTCTCAGAGGAAGAAAAGTTTACACATCTCTGTCTTTTTAACATGAATTTGGTGAGGCAGCATTAGAACATATGGTTAGTCAAGTTTAAGCACTTACAGCTTTGGTAAAAACACCATACGCTGGCTCCAGTAAGAGTGTAAATGATGAGCCAGTGTCAAATAGTGCAAACAGGGGAACATCAACAGGATCTCCCCCTACTGATACTCCCGTCACATTCACACCATATGCGGTACTAGTTTTCAATTAGGTAAAAAATGTGAAAAAAAAACAAAATGGGAGATAGAAGCAGAATTGGTATAGTAGATATACATCGAATTATAATTCTTTGGGCCTTGGCACCGTTAATCTGGAATTTACATCATACCTTGTTTCAAGAGAGACTAATGGAGTCTCCTCCTGGTCTGTGTAGCCTTTGTCTCCGAAACTGATTCTTCCAACAACGCCAATGATACGCCCGAAACACATTGAAAAGGAGTTTGCAGTGATATTTGCTTTTGCCAGAAGGCTCGGAACAGAATATTCTTTCATACCAAGCCCGAGAACACCATTCACAGCAATATTTTTCTGGAGAAAACCTGTCTGGTTCTGACCGCAACTGCACCACAAACACAGTTCAGTTCTTTGGGATCTCATTGGTTGTCTCATAGGTCATTTATCAAACAGAGGACAGTTGATGGAGCCGTACATGAGTTCTATGAGAGGCAAGCAAAAGACCTATACTTTTTACATGTCCGGAATCTCACTTCATTCAATAGGTTACTCCAGGAATTTTTCATTGCTTTAACAGGAATGAACCCTTTATTCTTAAAGGTGCAATAGAAGAAAGACAGAGGAAACAAGTCATTACTTACCCAAGCGTGACATTAGCATTGACAGGCTTTAAATCCTCATCCTCTGTGACCAGATGCAATACATCCTGTAACAATGTCCCTGTCGTGACTGTGGTGCTAGAGAAGGCAATCTGATAAGGACATATGCTTTCAGGAGAAGAACACTTTCCCGATCCAAAACAACGTTTGTCATTGCATAGAATGCTTGAACTCGTAGTAGATGCGTTGGGGGTGTATAGATTGAGTGGTACACTCTGTCTCAAAGAAAAGAAACGACAAGAAATAAGGAACAAACAGTCTGAAGAAAATGTTCAACTGCTTGGAGAAGGGAAAGGTACCTCGGGAAATCCGGCATCTTTCAAGTCGTGGATACAAGTAGTACCGCAATTACAAGGCAACCAAAACAAATCGCTGCTTGTATCCAGAGCCACCAGGAACCAAGTAGCCGGTGTTCCCACAGAGACATTGGCGTAATGCAGACTGAAACCATGTATATATACAAATGATATTAAAGAGGTGATGGAGTTTAGCATCATAGATTACCAAATTGTGTTTGCATTAAAGAAGAAAACGAAATGTTGTGAATATAGAGGAGAAGAGGAATTACAATCCCAGAAAATTGAGTGCAAGCGTGAGGTTGCTCCTAATGAAAGTGAGGGGGGTTTCTTCATTGTTGGAGGCAAGACCTCGACCTCTGATGAAGCGATCACGGTGGGCCAAAACCTTGAAATACTCCAAACTTCCGTTTTCTGGCACTAGATCATCAAACCCAAGAGTTTGCTTGACTGCATCAGAGAACATGTGGTGAACTTCGAAGCTAAACTTCCCAGAAGCCTCACATCTCTCCAAACCCCAGAAGATCACAACTAACACAGACAATAACACAAACACTTGGCGTGCAACGTCCATGACTTCGCTCTCGGAGCTTTTCCGAGAAAACAAAAACACCTCCGGGATAAAAATCCGTTTATTTTCTCAAAATAAACGATATGCACTGGTACGAATCCAGTATTTGTAAGGACTAAGGAGATTGAGGAAATGAAAAGGTCAATAGCTTGACTAGTTCGCATTGTTCCAGACATGCTGATTTGATTCTTCGAGCTTATACTTGTTTAATCGGAGTAGTAGTAGCCATTATCTTGTATCTTCGTCTTCTTCCCTGAAACTGAAGGTTGACAAAGGCAGAGTTTTTATCCGGAGGGAGACGACTTCTGATATTAACCGTTATTATAAATAAGTCTGTTAGTCAATTCTTTCTTTTTGCGGAAAAGCCCCTTTATTCTTCGTATTTTCAACTTAACTCCTTGTATTCTATTCTATTCAACGAACAATTTCTTTACTTTTCTATTTGGTGAAATAATTCCTAGTTATTCGTTCATCTATTTTTTGGGTGAGTAGTTATTCGTTCATCTATTGGTCATAACCTTTTTAATTATGCTGCATTAGAGTATTAATAATTTAAATAAAAAAGGTCGTTAGATTATAACAAAGCTTATCATGCACTTTGACATATCCAAAACAGTTGATGTAACAAAAAACATATCCAAAACACTTTTTACCACTCACAAACCAATGAATATTGTTTTGCACATCAAACGAAGATTATTATTAAATGAACATAAAATGGTCAAACCAACACAAAACAAATGGCTTCTGTGATTCAGAGGAAGGCCAAAAGAGGTAGGAGAAGTAGGAGTTGAGCTGCAAGATGGCTGAGGTTGGCTGAACCGCCTGTGCCAGAGTTTCTGGTAGAGTTACGAGGATCGATCGGGGGTGGTGTAGCAGAAGTAGCAGGAGGAGGAAGAAGAGGTGGTGGCGTGGATACACTTGGTGGAGGAGCTTCGATCTCTGGTGGTGGAGGAGTGGTAGATTCCAAGCTTTCATCTTCGAAACCTGCCATTAACACAAAACACTTCATTATCAATGCTTTGTTCCTAGGTATATACAGTCACTTCCTGATTTCATCACTTACAATCAGACCGCTTCCAACCCAAAATCATTCTCTCCCGGTCAAATACAATGCGGTAGCCTGACATCAAGTTCTCTGAAACCACCCAAATGTGAAATGCATTCAATACATACTCTTTTTTCTCTCTGCTTCAATTATAAGCATTGAATCTGTTGTCGCGTAAAACTCAGTATTGAGATACTTACGTCCGAAAATGTTAAGCTTGAAATCCACGCTCTTCAGAATAGCCAAGCAGTACATGGCGGAATCGTCCTGTTTATTAGGTTGAATGCAAAAGGAAAAGAAAAAAGCAAATGTACATGAATACGCTAATCCATGAAACTTTGTGAAGCTGAAGGAAAGGAAAAACACCCATGTCTTGCCTCATTCCACACTGTGAAAAGCGGATCTCTCAGAGTCAGTTTGGATCCTCCTACAAAAGTCATATTTACTCTGGGGAATTTAAAGCTTGTAATATTTGGACTGCATGCAAAGAGGAATAACATCAGAATCCACATATGTGAAACAGAGACATGCTATTTTACAGATTACTTAGCTAGTTTAAGTATTCCATACACTTTATACTGTTCTTCTCTAACATTCAATGTTCTCGTCTTTCTTATTTTATAGGCGTTCTGGCATTCGTTAAAAGTCCAACACATTTTACTAAAATGGGCAAAAGCATATGTAAAGAGTGCATGCATGACAATGACCTTGTGTCGTAACAGAACTCAAATGGAATCTCAGGATCGATCGGGCGTCGCTTATCAGTTACATGATCGTCAAACTGCAAAAGTAAGAGAATGAAGGTCATGTGATGTAACAAACACAAGCTTGGAGGAATGACGTCCAGAGAAAAGATTACAGATACAACATATCTAATGATTTAACAGCACAAATTTTCTTGAAGGATGAAAACTTCACTCAGTTATGATATTAGTACAATAAATTTGGCCAGACAGCATTAGAATAGATGATTAACATGATCTAAGGCACTTACAGCTTTGGTAAGAAGACCATATGCTGGCTCCAGTAAGTGTGTAAATGATGTGCCAGTGTCGAAGAGAGCTAGCATCTGAATCTCGAGAATATCTCCCCCCACTGTTACTCCGGTCACATTCACAGCATATGTTGGACTAGTTTTCATTTAGGATAAAGAAAATCACAGAAGACAGAAACAAAATCGGTATAGATAATAATCAAGTTGATACACTTCTAAGCCCTGTCAAAGTAAAATGGAATTGACAACTTACTTTGGTTCAATAGGAACTAGTGGTGTCTCTAGCTGGTCTGTGTAGCCTCTGTCACCGAAGCTGATTCTTCCGATAAAGTCAATAATATTCCCGAAACACATTGAGAAAGAGTTTGCAGTGATATTTGCTTTTGCCAGTACACTCGGAACTGAGTAATCTTTCATACCAAGCCCAAGAAGACCGTTCACAGCCAAACTTTTCCGATACAAACCTGTCTGATTCTGACCACAACTGCATCACAAACACGTGAGTTCCAAGAGAGGCAAAAAAAAAACCATTATTTTTTTTAGTTTTTTCAGTGTCCAGCTTTCAAACTAAGTTCAATCTCATCGTTAATTGGTTTTGCTATGCATACCAGTATCTAGATTGCTTCACAGATTATTTCACAGCTTATAACACGAAATGAACATATTTTTAGAGGTTAAAATAGCGGCAGGACGGTTTTTCTTAAGAAAGGACGTATTAAGGAAAACAAAGCTATTACTTACCCAAGCGTGATATTAGCTTTAACAGGCTCTAAACCCTCGTCCTCTGTGACCAAATGCAATACATCCTCAAACAATGTCCCTCTGGTGGATGTGGTGTTAAAAAGGTACGGGATCTGATAAGGGCAAACACTTGCAGGAGAAGAACACCCTCCTGATCCAAAACAACGCTTGTCACTGCATCGAATGCTTGAACTTGTAGAAGATGCATTGGGACTGTATAGATTGAGTGGTAGACTCTGTGTCAAAGAAGAGAAAGTTAAGGAATAAATACGTTGAAGAAAAGGATATATACTTATCTGAAAAAAAAGTATCTGCTTTCGAGAGGAGAAAGGTACCTGTGAAAGTCCAATGTCCTCCAAGTCACGGATACAAGTAGTACCACAATTGCAAGGCAACCAAAACAAATCGCTGCCGGTGTCCAGAGCCACCAGGAACCAAGTGGCCGGTGTTCCCACAGAGACATTGGCGTAATGCAGGCTGAAGCCACATACATATTCAATAAGCCATGGAGTCAAGCATCAGCATCAATCATATTCAAAATATGAATGCAAGAAAGAAGAAAACGAAATTCTTGTTAATCAAGAGGAGAAGAGGCATTACGATCCCAAAAGGTCGATAGAAACCGTGCGATTTCCCCGGATGAAAGTAACAGGGGCTTCTTCGTTGTTGGAGGCAAGACCTCGACCTCTGATCAACCGATCCCGCTGGGCCAAAAGCTTGAAGTACTCCAAACTTCCCTTTTCGGGCACTAGATCGCCAACCCCGAGAGTTTGCTTGACCGTATCAGAGAACATGTGGTGAACTTCGAAGCTGAACTTCCCAGCAGCCTCACATCTCTCCAATCCCCAACTCACCACTAACACAGACAATAACACAAACACTTGGCGTGCAAAGGCCATGACTTTACTCTCAAGGGTTTTTCCCGAGAAATCAAAGACACTTGTGGAGTAAAAACTCTGTTTACTTTCTCAGATAACGACATACTCCACAACGAATCCCGTATTTGTAAGGAAATTGAGGAAATGAAAAGGTCAAAAGCTTGAATTGTTCGCATTGTTCCAGACATGCTTAGAGAAGATTATTTGATTCTTCGAGCTTATACTTGTTTAATCGGAGTAGTAGTAGCCATTATCTTGTATCTTCGTCTTCTTCCCTGAAACTGAAGGTTGACAAAGACAGAGTCTCTTATCCGGGAGGGAGACCGAGACGACTTCTGCAATTAGCCGTTATAAGTCAACTCTTTCTTTTTGTAGAAAAGCCCCTTTAGTCATTTATTTTTCACTTTACTCCTCCTATTTAACGTTACTTCTCTAATTTATAATTTCCTAGTTATTCGTTCATAGACAACAAATATTCTAACGAGACAAAATATATTTGACATATCCAAAACACTAACAAAAACATACATTGTAACAGGGAGATAATAAGATTACAACTCTTAAACCAATGAATATTGTTTTGCACATCAAAGGAAGATTATTATAGAATGAACATAAAATGGTCAAACCAACACAAAACAAATGGCTCTGTGATTCAGATGAAGACCAAAAGAGGTAAGAGAAGTAGGAGTTGAGATGTGAGAGGGATGAGATTGGCTGCACCGCTTGTACTAGGGTTTCTGGTGGAGTTACGAGGGTCGATAGGGGGCGGTGTAGCAGAAACAGCAGGAGGAAGGGAACGAGGTGGCGGAGCGGATACACTTGGTTCAGGAGCTTCGGTCTCTGGTGGTGGAGGAGTCGTAGATTCCAAGCTATCATCTTCAAAACCTGCCATTAACACAAACCACATCATTACCAATGCTAATCTATTCCAAGGATATATACAGTCACTTCCTGATTTGGTCACTTACAAAGAGACGGCTTCCAACCCAAAATCCTCCTCTCCCGATCGAAAACAACGCGGTAGCCAGCCACAAAGTTCTCTGCGATCCACAAATATACCCATTATTATATGCATATATACAGAATTTGTGCATCAGTGTTGAATGTTGAGATACTTACGTCCAATGACATTAGTCTTGCGACCTACGCTCTTCAGAACACCCAAGCAGTACATCACATTACCCTCCTGTTACTCATTGTTCATAACCAAAAACCAAAATGTAAATACATATGCTAGTAAATGAAAGAAAGAAAAATTAAACACCATGTCTTGCCTGAGTCCGTGCTGTGAAAAACGGATTATTGAGAATGATTTTGGATCCTCCTACAAAAGTCATCTCTACTAAGGGGAATTTTATGCTTGTGGCGTTTAGGCTGCATGTGAAGATAAAGAGCATCAGAATTCAAATGTGGTACAGATCAGTCCATCTTACAAGTTACTTATACTTCATATTCTTCTACAAAGTCAGTGTTTCCTCCTACCTTTCTTACTTTTTAGATGTTCTAGCGTGCGTTAAATTTCCAACACATTCTACTAAATTGGGCAAAATCATCTAATAACTACACTGGTAAGAGTGTGGGCATTACCTCAAGTCGTAACAGAACTCAAACGGAAACTCGGGAACAACTGGTCTTCGCCTGTCCTCGACAAGATCGTCAAACTGCAAAAGTAAAAGAATGAACGTCATGGTGATGTAACAAACACAAGCTTGGAGGAAGGGCTTTTCTTCTAATAAATCTTCATTTTAATATCCACTGCAAAAATTACAGATGTATCTAATGATTTAACAGCACAACAATTTTTCGGAAGAAGAAAAGTTTGTACGTACAGATTTGGTTAGAACACCATATGCTGGCTCCAGCAAGTGTGTAAATGATGAGCCAGTGTCGAATTTTGCAAACAGGCGAATGTCAACAGGATCTCCCCCCACTGATACTCCCGTCATGTTCACACCATATGCCGTACTAGTTTTTTTCATTTTGGATCAAAATTGTCAAAAGAAAACAGTGGGAAATGGAAGCGCAATCGGTGTAGATACTACATCAAGTTAGAAAATTTTAGGTACTATTTCGACTTCGTACCTTGGTGCAACAGAAATGAATGGAGTTTCCTCCTGGTCTGTGTAGCCTTTGTCTCCAAAACTGATTCTTCCGACATTTCCAATGACACGCCCGAAACACATTGAGAAGGAGTTTGCGGTGATATTGGCTTTTGCCAGAATGCTCGGAACAGAGTAATCTTTAATACCAAGCCCAAGAACACCATTCACAGAAGTATTTCTCTGGAACAGACCTGTCTGCTTCTGACCGCAACTGCACCACAAACAAGGATTCAGTTCTTTGGCCTCAGAGGTCATTTCTCAAACAGAGGACAGTTGATGGAGCCATACATGAGTTCTAAGAGAGGCAAAAGACCAAGAAATTTTAAATGTCCGGATTTCACACTATATTCAATCTTACGGTTTATTTGTTTTGCTACGCACACCATGGCGTTAACAGGACATGGACAATTTTTTAGAGGCGCAATAGCGTCCATGAGGGTTTTTTGTTAAGAGAAGACAGAGGAGAAGAGTCATTACTTACCCAAGCGTGACATTAGCTTTGACAGGCGTTAGATTCTCATCCTCTGTAGCCAGATGTAATACATCCTGTAACAATGTCCCTGTGGTGCCTGTGCTGTTAGAGTAGGAAATCTGATAAGGGCAAATACTTTTAGGAGAAGAACACTTTTTAGATCCAAAACAACGCTTGTCGCTGCATCGAATGCTTGAACTCGTAGTAGATGCGTTGGGAGTGTATAGATTGAGTGGTACACTCTGTCTCAAAGAAGAGCAAACGACAAGAGTTAAAACAGAAATAGTTTGAAGAAACCGTTTATCTGCTTTCAAAAGGGGAAAGGAACCTGTGGAACTCCAATGTCTTCCAAGTCACGGATACAAGTAGTACCGCAATTGCAAGGCAGCCAAAACAAATCGCTGCCTGTGTCCAGAGCCACCAGGAACGAAGAAGGTGGTGTTCCGACAGAGACATTGGCGTAATACAGGCTGAAAACACATGGATATACAAATCATATTTCAACAACGAATGGATTCGAGCATCTTAATCATACATATCGCTTTACTATCACCAATTTGCATGAAACAAGAATAAGAATCGTTGTGAATCAAGACGAGAAGAAGCCTTACGATCCCAGAAGCTTGATTGAAACCGTGAGGTTTCCCCCATCGAAAGTGATCGGGGTTTCTTCATTGTTGGAGGCAAGACCTCGACCCCTAATCAAGCGATCACGGTGAGCCAAAACCTTGAAGTACTCCAAACTTCCCTGTTCCGGTACTAGATCGTCAAGACCAAGACTTTGCTTGACGGCATCAGAGAACATGTGGTGGACTTCGAAACCGAACTTCCCAGAAGCCTCACATCTCTCAAATCCCCAACTCACAACTAACACAGACAATAACACAAACACTTGGCGTGCAACGTCCATGACTTCAACAATCTCACGTTATTCCGAAGAAATCAAAAACACTTCCGGAGTAAAACTCCGTTTACTTTCTCAGATAACGACATACTCCACGACGAATCCCGTATATGTAAGAAAATTGAAAAGGTCAAAAGCTTGACTCGTTCACATTGTACCAAACATGCTGAGAGAAGCTGATTTGATTCTTTGAGGTAATATACTTGTTTAATCGGAGTAGTAGCCATTATTTTGTATCTTCGTCTTCTTTCCCTGAAGGAGAAAGGTTGACGAAGGCAGAGTTCTCTTATCAGGAGGTAGACGACTTTTTGAAATTAGCCGTTCCTTATATAAGTCTCTTCGTCAACTCTTTTATTTTTGCGGAAAAAGTCCCTTCACACTTCGTGTTTTGCACTTAACTCCTTATATTATATTCTATTTTATACAACGAACAGTATCTTTTACTTTTTTCTTTTTTGGTGAAATAATTTCCTAGTTAGCTTAGCTCATCCTATACTATTATTTGGGGAGTACACTTTATAAGATACCCTTAACTAACCTTCCCTTTTGTAAAAAATTACATGAGAATGCCATTAGAAATAAAAATTTATAGAGTAAATTAATTCAACTCATTAAGGATAAACAAGTCAAATACTATTTTCTGTAATTTAATTAATTTAATTTAATTATAAAAACGAAAATCTATTATTAATTTTTTTAAAAAAGAATGACCAAAAGTCTAAACTTAGACATAGATAATTAATCAACAATAAAACTTAATTAGGTATATATATATTAATATATATATATATATATATATATATATATATATATATATGTTGTCATATCTTTTATTTGTATTTAACACTTATCCTATTAATTCATGATATATATATAGTTTTTAACTTTAAGAGCACACAGATTGATCCATAAAATTGAGGAATTATATTGGCATCAAAAAAGTAGGAATACTTGGATGGTATTAGGTAGGCCTGGGCGTTCGGGTACCCGTTCGGTTCTGGTCCGGTTCCGGTTCGGTTCCGGTTCTTTCGGTTCTAGAATTTAGGATCCATATAGGAACCAATCAATTTCGGTTCGGTTCCGGTTTCGGTTCCGCTTCTTTCGGTTCTGAAGTTTAGGAACCATTCGGATATTTTCTTTCGGATATTTTTAGGTATCTATACTATTAATTGGGAAGCATTCCCAGAAAAATAACCTTAAAAAGTGTACAAAATTACAAGGGAATGCCATTACAATTTTTGCATTCTAAGAGTAACTAAAATATTTCGTTTAAGGGTAAAATGGCTAATTTGCTGGTCAATGAGACGCGGATCTTGGGTTATTGGGTCGGATCTATATCCATACTTTGGTAAAACACGCGGATCTTGGTACTTGGACATTTCGATCCGTATTAATAGCACATCTCATTTCGATCTGTATTACTCGCACATCTCCACCTTATTGGGCTTCACGGATCAAAGCCTTTGTGATGTTCTCGACACTGATTGAGATCTGTTGAAGTTAATGACATAACCAAATTAAATTCCTCACTTAAAAGAGATTTCTATAACAAACAAATCTAATTTAATCCGTTTCTAGATATGGACAGATCTCTTTAAATACGAATTCAATTATTAGTTTTTACCAAAAAACAATAAAATCTATAAATCCAAATCTTAACAAATCAAGCATATACCTTAACAATTCTTATTCGCAAATATTTATTTTGATATGATTCTCTAAACCCTAAAGAAAAACTAGCCGACGTCTACTAATATAAATATAGAATGTAAAATACCATTGAAGATACACACTAACCTTTCTTAGCGACTACTCTTCTCTCTTCTCTTTTTGCTCATTTTTTAGAAAATGGCTGCAATTCTTGCATTCACCAAGTTAAAATTGTGCATTTACAATGGGGAAACAATGAAAATAATTTTTGCCTGATATAGCTGTAAGTATAGATTCCATTTTCTCTTCATATTATACTAATTACAAACGTATATTAATAATTAAGGTCATCCTATATTATTAACACGAGTGTATTTATCTTCTTTATAGGGTACTTTGATTTATGCTACTATTAAAAAACAAGTGAACAAGCTTCAAAGGTTCATCAAATCTTGAGAGTGGAGAATTGTGAAAAATTTTACACTTCCCAAATCTATGAAGAAGTATCAGGTAACAAAACATGGGTTTAAACTGCGAGACACCGGGTATTTTCAGAAATTAAACTAGATATATAATTCACTAACACAAATAAATCAGTTTTTCAAAACCTATAAGACTATGCTTTGCAAGAGACATTTGATCTAAGAGGTAACAACCTATAAAAAATTATTGTTATCGATGTCTGCTATACTATAATAATCTCTTTTTTTTTATATGTGTCTATAGGTACAAGCTGGTTTCAAAACTTGCATTTAAAGAGATTTGGTGTCTATAGGTACAAGCTGGTTTCAAAACTTGCATTTAAAGAGATTTGGTGTTATTGAAATCATTTTCCATGGAAGAAATGATGTTGTTTAGAATCTCAAATCTGTTAATTTCTTTTTTCCTTTTTTTAAAGAACTTAAACATTTAGATCAAAACACGAACTTTTTTTTTCAAAAGTTTACTGTGTTTTTAATTTCATATCAGGCAATATGACGTTAACGTTTTCATAAACATAATCAGTAAGGATGATTAAGTATTATCAAACAATAGCAGAAGTTAATCTATTGCTAATCTCTAATTTATGTAACTCATTTTAACAGTGTTTGCATAAAAATTGATTCTATAACAATTCTACTAATTCTAATTGTATAACAACACCTACCAATTCATAACAATAGCTATATATTTTAATCAAGTAAACAAAGCTGTTATCCTTATTATCTTACTAACCTTTAATATAGTTCCCAGATTTAATCGACATCTAAAAAGATGACATTGTCTCTGCTTCTTCCATAAGAATTTGACCTGGACATGATGTTTGGTCTGTATACACAATTAAACTTTGTATCATCAATAACTGTTCTTTTCTCATAATCATTTCAGAAAACTTATCTTTGTCTTTCTTCTTCTTTTGGCAACATCATCATTTTTGTAATTATCTGAAATATATAACGAAACAAATTTAATTAAACACATATCAGGAATTGTATATGTACTGTTAAAATCTAAATACAATCCTATTTAAAAATATATTAATTCGGACAACTGAAGATTTATCTAAAGATATTGGTTTTCTAGCTAACAAAAAAATTAATCTGTCACGATTTGTGATTTGTTGATTAAAATAATTACAATCAAAATTTAGATCAGAAATTGGAAATACTTACCCATATAAGATCGTTTTCTTCACAATCATTTTTCAAGATCTCTGTACAAACATAAAATTCCAAAGATTGAAATTTGAATCGAAACATTTGAAAAAAATAAAAGTCAAAATCTGATTCAATAATAAAGTTACCTCTTTGTAGATTCAGATTAACAAATGATAAACAGAGACGTAGTATCTTGATTATCTAACAATTTTGCAAATCGATTCCTTTTACAAACAATCGGGCTGAGAACTTTAGGGCATAGTTTTTTTTTTTTTGTTGGCCAGGGCAGTTTAAAGACGATAAGACCAAAGTTGGACTTAAAAATCTGTCCAAAAAAAATAAAAAAAAATAAACAAACATATATTACATGTATATCGGCCCAAACGGAATATGTATCTCGGCTCAAAAGAAATTGTTATCAGTTTCAGTTATGGGCTCCTTGATTTAAATTTGGGTATAGCATTTTTATGAATTACCAAATATTATTTTATAAACAATATTGTTGTATTACTAAACAATTATGTTCATTTTTAAAAAAATCTAATTTTCTATAAATAATCCAAAATTGGGGCCTATTCTTTAAGGTTTTTTCTCTCTTTTATGTCCGTCCTTTGGGGCCTTTAGTCTCTGGGGGTTTATTTGTACCCGCCGGCTTTGTTTTCGGAAGGATCTATGCCCTTGCCGTGATGTATAACTCAAATGTATCCTATCAATGAATCATTTAGACGAAAAAAATAAAAAATAATCCAAAATACAATTATAACTATTACACTCAAGTATTCTGCAACTGTCCAAAATAAAATTATATAATGATGTATGCAACTGTCCAGTATTCTGCAACTATTCATAATTAAAAACTAATCAAACACAGATCAAAATAGATGTACCAAATTTTATTTAAAACATAAAATATAATTTTTCAATTTGAAATAATTTGATATATGTACTATTCTCTAATTCCCAACAAAAAAAAAACAATTTGTTATATACTAAAAAAAAAAATTGATTATAAATTTTATACAACATATTTCTTAAAATATGAAATCCCGCACGTACGTGCGGGTCCGGATCTAGTAGTAATAGACAACAATACAACATTGGATTTGTTGTTGATATTTTTTCTTTTAGTAGTTGACCTTTTCAATCATGCCTCATTGTTGCCTAATTAACTAATTTAAACAAAAAGGTTGCTGGATTATTACGATGTTTATTATCATCATACTAAAATTCGACTTGTAGAGAAAAAAAATATAAACTTTTTTAAACAGACGAGGAGGTCACTAAAAATTATATGAATCAAAAACATACAACTTGAATTATGCTCATTTTCAATCATTTTTTTTCCTCGTTATTTAAGATTTCAAAAATTCCCATATTGGACTTTTGGATATTTTAAAATTCGGGAGACGAATGCATGCTCTCAATTCATGCCCCCCATATTAATTAAAATATTGTAATTATAAATGTCCCACTTGTATGAAAGCGACAAACATGAGGCCAGAAGATAAGAACTGAAGAATGCTGGGGTGGATTGAATAATATGTGAAATTTAGAGGGTAGAAAACGAAAATAAGATTAGCTCTTGCACAGTAGATGTCAATTAGTCACTATCACAAACATACAAAAGAAATGAAGCAAATGATAAAAAGTGAAGAAGCAGCCAGAGGGTTTAAACGAGTGGAAGGGTTTACGGTTCTTGGAGACGGCAATGGAGGCAGCGATGGCGGTTTCGCTGAATCGGTAGGTCCTGTGAAACCGTTAGTATCATTACCTGAAAATGTCCAGAAGCAATTAGTTGTTAACATGAGTACTTTATATTTGGATAAGAGTTTAGTTAAGTTAGGACATACAGTTTGATTTTTTCCATCCCAAGATCTTTCTCTCGCGATCGTGGACGATTCTGTAGTTGGTCATAAAGTTTTCTAACACAGAGAAAATTTCATGTGATTAGGAATTGGTTAAAATGTGGAATAAGATGTTGTTGATTGGGAAAGAAGTAAAAGAAACGAACGTCCGATGATGTTGAAATCAGCTTTATCTTGCTTCAAAACGGCCAAGCAGTAGACTTGAAAACTACCCTGTAAATGCAATGGAGACTCATATGTTTATGTTAAGTTTCATGAGCTTCCAGCTCAAAACCAATTGGTTATGAGTGGATTGGTTTATGTCTTGATGAATTGATGCTATGAGATGAGATGTGTACATCGGAGGTGTCGAAGACAAGTATGGGGCTGAAAACATTATAAGCAGCTCCTCCTTTCATCACAAAGCTAATTGAAGGAAGCTTCTCTTCATCTGAACTGCAAACAGCAACACATATGCATCAATATTGTTTTAACTACAAACATTTATCAAATTTTTTCTTAAATCATCATATGTATTATATAGATAGCCTACGCACGTTGATGTAATAATGTAGCAAAACTCAAAGGGGCTATCCACATCTGCTGGAAGTCGTCTGTCTGGTACAGAGAGATGAAACTGCAAATCACAACACAAGACAGGTCGGTTTGTAATGTTACATGCCTCAAGGTTGTAGGGATTGGAATGTACTAAATGCAAAAGAAGAATCGGTGCATGAATTCTAAAGATAAGCCAATATAGTTAGGTAGGTACGTTTGTTGTTAGAGCAGTGTAGTATGGCTCGAGCAGCCATGTAACCGCGGTTCCAGAGTCAAATATCGCGCTGAATTTTGTTTCCACCGTCACTTTTCCTACCTTGAATTTGGTGATCCTCACATCGTAAAACAGCCTGTGTTTAGATCATGTACGTTACATATATATAAATTTACTTAATTGGGATTTGGGACAAATAAAAGAAAAAGGTGTAAGGAGGGTTTACGGAGAGATGGTGCCACCCAATGGAGTCTCAAGCTGGTCTGAGCTACCTTTGTCTCCGAAACTGATTGTTCCTTTCCCATTAGGACCAAAACACATTGAGAAAGAGTCTGACGCCACACCGGCTTTAACCAACATGTTTGGAACCGCTATGTCGGCCATTGCAAGTCCCATTATACCATTTACAGCCGCTTCTTGGAACAACCCTAGTTGGGTCTCACTACATCTGCCACCATTTAAGTACGTACTTTGTATGTTAATTACTGTTAGAATATTTCATATATGAAGTAAGAAGAGACATAAAATACTATATGAAAGACATATTATTCAGTGCATTCATTGCCAATTGGTTTTAGGTTAGACACCGAATGAAGTTCGATAGTTAGTAATACACGCATTGCCATCATTCGTAATACGTTTTCAAAGTTTAAAGAATTACAAACCCGAATGTGATCCGAGCATCTCTAGCTTCTCCTTCTTCTGTGCTCATGTGGATCACATCCTCCACCAACACACCTGTGCTTCTGCTTCCCGGCGAGAGATATCGGATTCTGTAAGGACAATCGCTGAGCGGAGAAATGCATCTGTTTCTTAATGCACAGAGTGTGCTATTGCACGAAACCTTTGAGCTTGATGTTGATATGCTTGGGTTGTAGATGTTGAGCTTGATCCTCTATGTATACATTTGTGTCTTAAAAGATGATCGAGTTTTAATGTCATAATGAATAACATTCCAAGATAGTATTTAATTACCTCGCCTTGGTCAGTCTCCATACTCCGTACGCAAGTGGAATTGCAATTGCAAGGTAACCAGAACAAATCACTTCCTGTGTCTAATGCCACCAAGAACCATTGAGCCGGTGTCCCTATCGTCACATTCGCATAATGCAGACTGATCATTAAGAATTTTAAAGAAAAAAAAACATGATCAAAGGTCTATATGTAGTAGTACTAATTGAAAAACAGAGGAGGTGCCAAATTTTGATCATACAAACTGATTTCTTCGGTGGAGTTGCCTTGAGCGAAAGAAATAGTTGTCTGATTGTTGTTGGAGGTTAGCCGCCGACCTCGATCACGATGAACCAACGCCTTGTAGTAGTCAAGGCTGCCCATTTCAGGCAAGCCATGGCCACCTAGAACCGTCTTGACTTGGTCTGAGAATCTATGGTGGATTTCAAAGGAGAGTGATCCTGAAACAGAAGAAGCCAATCCCAAACTCATAACGCAGAGGAATCCAAACTGAAACATCCATCTCAAATTCCCATTACTCCAAATCATTCTTTGATCTTCCTCTCTCTCTCTATGAATCTTAAGTTGAAGAAACAAAGAAGAAGGAAGAGATGTGCTTATTCTTGCTAGTTGAGTTTCCTTTTACTACACGAAACTTGTTTTTTTTTTTGTGGGAATGAGGGAAAAGGTCAACGTTTTGTCTGGTGCTTGGTCTTTGTCAACGGATTTTTAAGATGGTTATTGAAGGCATATGTTGCCAACGAAATTATCGTATTTAATTCAATTTTTGAACATCAACTCTCATATTATTTAATTATTCAAATTTTCCATAGAAACGTATAATAATATTTCTTGATATTTTCATTCAAAAAAACAAAATTTCTTCATTTTTATCTTTATAAACAAAACCCCACAAGTACATGATCTACATTGGATCGTTGTGTTTGTGGCTGTTTATATGTACATTTTGGTGGGATTGTGATTATAGACGTGGAGGGATGTTTGTTCCTTCCATGAGTTTGGTGCAGCCGGTATACATTATTAGGCAACAATGGTTAAAAAAATGTTTAAATCTATATGGGAAACATAGGGGTGATTTTGTCATAAAATATAGATAAGAGGATGAAAATGCAAATACTGATAATAGTATTTGAAATAGAAGGCGTTGACTCTGGATAAGTTCATGTACACGTCAGGTGCGCATATGGGACCGGGCTCAAATTATTCTTCTTGGCTTTCTTTTTTTGGCCTCCTTCTTTCTGATACATGAAAGCTCTCTTATAAATTTTGGATGGGAACAAAACTGTTTTTTAAATTTTTTCATTATTGGTATATATAAAATTAAAAGTACATGTCTTGATGAAGACAAAATGAGGTCGTAACAAACTAAAAGGAGAACATGTTAGAAAACCAATTTCTATATTATATTATAAATAGCATCCAAATCATATTCAGGCATCTCACAATAGCCTTTCTGTCAAATAAGTCTCTGCATTCATTGTGCACTGTGGTATAATCCTGCTGATCTTAGTGGAGACTCTTCTTGATCGAGAAAATCCATATACATTTCTATAAAGAATATACTCCAAACTTTGATACATCGATCTGTGCAGAAAGTTTAATTATGAAGTTTTTGTTTTAGGATTTTGACATCACATCTATCTTTACTCGAAGATCGATCCATATGGCAGTGTAGTGTATGCAAGGAGGAGTGTCTTTTGTGTGTGTGTGTGTGGCTAATGGCTATGCATGCTTATGTATAGAAGAAGTACGTAGTCTAAGACGAAGATCAAGCCTTGGATCTTGAGAAATTGGGGAGAAGATCGAGGCAGTGAATGAAATGAAGGTCGTGTACAAGAGGATTTCCGGTTCTCCTAGGTGGAGACCCTACGTACCACATTGACTCTATTGTTCCACCTTCTATTGGCTGCACCTATACCACGATGAATATTTATATTTAAATAACACTCAAAATCCATGCATGCAAGTTTGGAAATATTCAGAATCTAAACAAGTTTATGTTTTCGAAATGATGAAAGAAGCAAGAATGACGACGACCTTATCGATAATGCTAAGAACGTCGCTTCTTCCCTCCGTACTTTGTTGGCTGATTAAGGCACAAACATGTATGAGTGAATCATCATCATTAATTTAAAGAAAGGATATATATATATAGGCTTTTTTTAGCAATTTTAAACATTTTTGATTTTTCATGGAAAGCACAAACACAAATTAAACCAAATGTAAAAACACAATCCAAACAAACATTCTAGACCATATAATGTTACCAGGTGGAGGAGTGTAAGGAACATGAGAGAGGTTTGAGGAAGTCAGGAAGAGAAGGACACACACGGCGTGGCTTAGGGCAAAGAGGCTGCTTCACTTCCGAATGATGTTGCATCTTTTCTATATTTCTTAATCGGATCCAAAGAACAAGGTAGTTATTTAAATTGATCCTTTGTTAAGTGGAGTCTGAAAAGAAATTAACTAGTGTGAATCTATCTATATATACAAATGTATAGTTCGTTTAAGAAGAAAATGATTTTGTAGTGATGATGAGTGAAGCCAAGTTTGGTTATTCTCAGACAAAACATTCTCTAAAATAACGTGATCAATTTACATGTGAGGTCTTTCTGCGATTTCTTTATTTCTTGGTGAAGAGTGAAAGTAGGGTTGGTGTTCTTGACTACTCCCCATCATTTTTGCCCATTTTTCTTAGTAAAATATATAAATTTAAAACATGGAATTGCTAATACGAAATTAATTATGTGCATAAAATAAAAGTTATGACACTTTCGTTTTTTTTTCTTTGACTGATTAACATTTTTATACTATTCATGATACCTTTTTCTATTAAAAAAATGCATGTACGCAAACACAACCATGTCTCGATCTCGTTACAATTACATAAACATCAAAATAATCAAATATCACCAAATTTTTATACTATAAGCCCTAATGGTTATAAAGGCCGACCATACTTATCTAAAAGCCCAATATATGTTAACTAGACGAGAAAAGGCCCGTTGTTATTTTAAAAATATAGAGCAAATTCTCTAATCATTTTGAGGGAGGAAGAAAAAAAAAGAGAGGAAAAGGGAAGCACATGGGAGAGAAGTGAAGAGGAAACGGGAAAAGAAGTGCAGGTCAGGTGCAGGTGGAGTTTGCACACGTATGAGTCTGTCTTCTTTCGCCAGCTAACGTTTTTCTCAATCTCATTTCATCACGTGTCCCTCTTTCTTATCACTCACACATACATTTATCTCTAATCTTCATTTTTTTCTTCTTCTTATAACTATCAATCTTCTTCTATCTCTCTACCAATACAAACACTTGTCTTTCTTTCCTATTCATCCATCTATCTATCTGCAACACTTTTTTTTTTTTGTACTTCTCCAAGTTATAAGGAGTCGTCGAATTCGGAGTTTGGGTTTAATAGATAATAAGATTAGTTATTGGGTGTAAATTGTAAAGTTTCAGAAAGGTAAAGGACCTTTGGGTAAATAAAAAGAGGAAAGAAAAGTCAATTAGAGGAAAAAAGAAGGGTTAGGTTTAGAAAATCTGATCCAGTAAGTAATTGAGAGATTGGATTGTCTGGTTAGAAGCAGTGGAGCCCTTTCCTTTCTCTCTTCTCTCTTTTCCTCTTTGCCTTCTTCTCCGAAGAGAAGGTCGACGCTACTTCTTCCTTCTTCCTTCTGGATCTGATTCGGATCCATCACTCTCTCTTTCTCTACATCGATTTTTCTCAGATCTTCATCGTTTTTCTTCTACCTGTATTTGTCGACCTTTTCTTCTCTTATCACTAAACCCTCAAATCCTTTGTTTTGGATTGAGATTGCTTCTGATTGTAATTGCTTTGTTGTGTATCTGTTGACTTGAGAAAAGTCTTTGGAGTGACTTCTTCTTGATTACATCAGCTTCTGTTGAATCTCTCAGGTACTAATTTCTCTGAGTTTGAAAAAGTTTCGATTTTGTTCTGATCCTTGTTGAATTAATTATTCCCTCTTGCTCATCTGATCCATTAACCAATTGGGTTTGCAGATTTTTTAGTTAAAATGGATTTTTGATTTTCATTTTTACTTAGCCAAGTTGAGAGTTTTCAGATTCTATCAAGCTTAATAAAACTGTTGTTGTTGTTCAGATCCTTACTTTTAACTCTTTTTGAATTGCAGATTCTTAAAAGCTTAAATCTTTGTTGCTACTTTGTTTGTTTCTGTGCATCCCTTTGACGGATGTGGAGGAAAAAAGGGTTGTCTTGATGAAATGAGGGATGTTATCAACGTTAATGAAACTCTTGAGTGCTTGTCTGTGGCCGTCTTCTTCCTCGGGCAAGTCCTCTGATTCAACAGGAAAACAAGATGGATTACTTTGGTACAAAGACTCTGGTCAGCACCTCGTTGGTGAATTCTCCATGGCTGTTGTTCAAGCCAATAACTTGCTTGAGGATCAGAGTCAAGTTGAGTCTGGTCCTTTGAGTACTCTTGACTCTGGTCCTTATGGAACCTTTGTTGGTATATATGACGGCCATGGCGGGCCTGAAACCTCACGATTTGTTAATGATCACCTTTTTCAACATCTAAAGAGTGAGGATACTGTCTGAATGATATATGCATACAAGGTTACAAATCAACTGCTTGGAAACTAAAATTTTCTTTGAATCTGCAGGATTCGCTGCAGAGCAGGGCTCTATGTCGATGGATGTAATTAAAAAGGCGTATGAGGCGACGGAAGAAGGTTTTTTAGGGGTTGTGACAAAGCAGTGGCCAACTAAGCCACTGATTGCAGCGGTTGGGTCTTGCTGCTTGGTGGGTGTTATATGCGGAGGGATGCTTTACATAGCTAATGTTGGGGATTCCCGTGCAGTTCTTGGAAGGGCTATGAAGGCGACAGGTGAGGTTATTGCGCTTCAGCTCTCCGCGGAACATAATGTGAGCATAGAGTCTGTTAGACAGGAGATGCACTCCTTGCATCCGGATGACTCGCATATTGTCATGTTAAAGCACAATGTGTGGCGTGTTAAGGGACTTATTCAGGTATGTTTCTCAATCTGAATGATATTTAATTAGATTTTAGGGTCAAAGGACATGGTTTTTATTCAGGTACATGAGTATCTTAGTGAATCACTCGTTCAATTGATATGTAGTTGTCTTTGTCTTGATAAGGCAAACCGGAGAAATCTGAATTATATGGCCTTGAACTTCTTGCTGGTTTCTTGAAACCAAGACGCTAAAATTGTATTCGAAAAACAACGTGTTTTTTCTTACTTTTATGATGTCAAGATCAACCAAGACGGTTTTTTTTTCTGTATGGCGGGCGATAAGGTCTCTGCATTAAATTAGACTTTATACTCAAAAGGCTAGATTTGTAGTAACCTTGACTTTGACATTGCCAATACAAAACCCACCAACCTGAGAAAGTCAGAGCTCTGGTTGAAGTTGAAATTGGTGGTATCTAAAAGCCAGTTTGTGTATGTCAGTACATTGAGTCATTGAGATATATATTAGAATCGACATAACAGTTGAATCTGTATTTTGTCCCTATCACTGCATGTAGACACTAAACACTAGGTGCAAACGCCTAGATATATTTGTTCATTTACCATGTCAATTTAAACCCTGGAGATTGAAGTTGAAAAGGATAAGATATGTTTGTTCCTTTGCAGGTATCTAGATCCATAGGAGACGTGTATCTTAAAAAGGCGGAGTTCAACAAGGAACCATTGTACACAAAATACAGAATCCGTGAGCCATTCAAAAGACCGATCTTGAGTGGGGAACCGACAATAACTGAGCATGAGATCCAACCACAAGATCAGTTTCTAATATTCGCTTCTGATGGACTATGGGAACAGCTGAGCAACCAAGAAGCTGTTGACATCGTTCAGAACCACCCACGAAACGTGCGTGAGATCCATTTCTTCCTTTTTTCACTTTCAGTAAAGACCTATTACAAAACCAAATGTTGACTCTTGTCCTTTGCTGTGGCGATTTGCAGGGGATTGCACGGAGACTGGTGAAGATGGCACTACAAGAGGCGGCAAAGAAACGAGAGATGAGATACTCAGATCTGAAGAAGATAGAGAGAGGAGTGAGAAGGCATTTCCACGATGACATAACTGTGGTAGTCATCTTCCTTGATACCAATCAGGTGAGCTCTGTGAAAGGACCCTCTCTCTCTATCCGAGGCGGTGGTATGACATTCCCCAAGAAAATCTAAGATACTCCACTTTTAGGCTCCCATCTTTTGTAGTTATATAAAAAAAAGTCACTCTTGTTGGTATAAGAATGTATAATTTTAACGTGAAAGCCACACACTACTGACGTTTGGAACTCATTCCAGTAATTATTAATTTTTATTTATTCAGCAAACTTTGTGTAACGATGTAATTTGTTGTTGATGATGAATGGATATGAATGTAGGCCTTCTTCTGCTTCTGTCATGTATTTGTATTGCATTCATATTACCAGAGGTGCTTGATAGTGATTTATATTCTAAATATGTGAATGAAGCCAAGAATCAGTTAACACTAAAAGCTCAAGTGTTCAATATACATGACAAGAGAGCATCCATCACAATACATGTGTCCTCGTTTCAGGTCCTAGAACATCGCGACATTATATGCATTGTTTCACTAGCATAAGCACACATGTTGCATGTTTTTGTCAGTTTACTCTAGAAAGAAGTACTAAAAACTTGCTTATCTCTCAAGGGTCTGGATTCTGTGTCATCCAGTGTAATTGAACAGAAGAAGCTTATCCTGTTCTACTTGTTCTGATGCCAATTTGAAGCTTATATCAAAGGAGCTTAAAAAAAACTATTGAGACAATTGAAATCAGCTTACGTTGCAGACAATTTACTGTTCCTTTTGGTTTTGTCAATAGAGAAACCTACTCACTGTACGTGGGCACTATTAGCTTTTCTTACCTATTAATATTAGTAGCTTATAGTGTTCTTTAAATGTGACATTGATATTAAGCTACTCAATGGTAACGAATCATAAGGTGAATCTATTCGAAAACAGTAATCTTGAAAAGAAAGTAATATTGAAAAGAAAGAATGAACTAGTAATGATATGATTTGATATTGCAAGTCAAGAAAATATAATTGGGTAGAGAGAGAGAGAGAGAGATAATGTGTGCTCTGCATAAAATTTATGGCAATGGTGGACCGGAGGGGTTAATGAAGTAAGCATGAGGGAAGTAAATAAGGGTTGCAAAAGTTTTTGCCATCCCAACAGTCCTAACCAGACAAAAGAAAAGTGTTGGTTATAAACAAGCTCTGGTCGTCTGGTGGTTACAATGTGACATTAAAACTCGAATCTTTCTCTTAAGAATCATCAATAGAGAGAGAGTGAGAGGTCATTTTAGGGTTCATAACTTGCTTGAGGTTTTGTAAAAAGCAGAGAAAGAAAGAGAGAGGGGCCTAGAAAAAAAAGCAGTAAGAGACTATTAAATGTTGCAGACAGGCCAGCCAGTGTCCCCTCTCTTCTGCGAGATTCCCTCAAAATTTATTACAAAGCATCTTCATCGATGTTCTTTTAATTCTTCCTCAAAATCTTTTTTTTTTTTTTTTTTGAATTTTGGTTTATGAACCTCCTCAAGAAGGAAAGACAGAGGAGGAGACAAAGAAGTATAGGTTCACATTGCATAGCCAGTTTAGTTTTGAACGATGGATATGTGAAAAATATATGAAGAGAGAGAAGAGAGAAGAGAGAAGAGAAGAGGATTAAAGAGGGTGAGGCCAGCTTTTGTGCTTTGGTAGTAGATGAGGTTTAAATGCTCCATACCTTCCATTTCCTTCTCTCTTACCCTAATTTAATTCCTCCTCTCCTTTATAACTCCCCACAGACATTCTCACTTCTCCTCCTCACACTTCACATCAACAACACTTCTTTCCTGTTTTTCTTTTCGTTTTTACATTGCTTTCCTTTGATCTATCACTTAAGCATGAGAGAGTCCCTTTGATATTGGCCTGGTTCACTCAGATCTTCCCTGACCATACACACGTCGTACATATGCATTCTCTCTAGATCATCTGATTGAGCCGCGCCAATATCTCAGTACTCTCTCGTCTCTATTTTGGACTTTGTGATCTTGTAAATCGACCTTTATGTGTGTGTTGAAATGGAGACAAGTACTTGTAATTTCTTTGTTCTTTCTTGTATTATTTACCTATAGGCGATGTAATAAACTCTTTTGATCTTGCTTATAACTTCCAGATTCTTAAAAAATCAAGTCATGTGATCCAGACAAAACTGTGTGTCTCCATGGAAGCCTTTTTCTCTTTCTTCCTTTTCAAGGTATCTCCTTCATCAGCTTCCTTCCCAAGTATAAATCTGTTGTATCTAGGGTTTTGCTTCAAATAATCTATGGATCCTTTTATAATAACATATTGTGTTGTCTACCAAATTTTGAGACAGAATGTGTCAGCTAAACTGATCTTGTTTATTAGTACAAATGCAGGGTGTTAGAGAGTTAGCTCTAGTACATACATATACAACAAAATCACAAAACCGGTGAAGTAATGTAAATGTCACAATCACAAGAGTTTTTATTTGTTTTCAAAAACAGGGGAAAAAGCAGAGTTGTTAATGAGAGAGAAGCTGACGAGCACGAACCCTAACCTGCAAGCGAGCAAGAGCATGCATACAATGTAAAGCAATTCGAGCTTGTCTCCTCACAAGCACTCCTCTCGCCACCGCCTGTAACTTCACCAGACTCTTCAATGCTTTAAACGCTCTTCTTGCCTGCAACACGTTTAATTAATGGTTCTACTAATTTTGCTTTATTCAGGTTTTGAAATCTACAGAGATAGAAATGTAATTTACCAGGTGACCTCTGAAGAAAGATTGGATTTTAACGGCGGAAATGTCTTCTTGAGTTGTTTCTGGTGCTGATGACCGAATGATTGTGATTCTGCTTTGAGATCGCCGGAGAAGTTTCCTTCGTACAACGCCAAACAATCTTTTGGAATTGGCCATGTTTATGGGGATTGGATCTTCTCTTCTTTGGTTTGTTTGGTTTAAAAAGAGGACGTCTAAGGAAACGTAAAATGTGAATAAAAAGTGAAAACGGTGGCTTTAAGGGATCTATGGACATGATGTGCTCTCCTCATTCCTAACTAACGAACGTGCTCGCATGCTCCTCTCTTTCCACTTGATTTTTGTTTTTCTTTATTATTAGTTTTCAAGACACACGAGTCTTTTGGTCTTTTTTACATTTAGTTATAGAATTATAGTTATGCCTAACAAAAACAAAAGAAATAAGCTTGTTGAGATTTTGAAAGGTTATATAATAAAGGGTGAATGGTGGTGCATTTCAGTGCTCAAAATAGCATGTTATCATGATATATCTTATAATCACACACACTGTTTTTTATGAGAAAACTAAATCACAATATTTTCGAAAATGTCATCCATCGATTTTTCAAAAATAAGATAAGGTCATTGGTATTGTGGTACTCTATAATATACCAATGACATCCACTACAATCCTACCGACAAAAACATTCACTCTTTGATGAAATTCTTTGATCATTTATCTCTATTCAATTTAGACAATATGAATGTAATCGCGCAACGGAAGAATAGTTCATCATACTCTTACGTTTGCGTCTTTTGATCCGTGGATATTAGCAATTGTCATCAATATGGTTACAGCTTCTTGTCGAATCCGGTAAACCAGAAGTGTAGATGTATTCTTCTTAGTAAAAAAAAAAATCGTACTCTATGAGAAACTTACAACACTGTTAAGAAATCAAATGTCCTTTTTTTTACCTCAACTTTTGAAAATTTCTGACATATGTAGAGACTTTTTCTGATATGATAAATGTTTATGTTGGAAGTCCTATTTTGAGTATTATCATTTTACACGTCTCCTATCTTTCTTCAATTAATAAAGCCTTAAAGCCCAAAACCTGGTAATATTGTACAGTTAAACCCAATTGTTATTGGGCTTAAAAAGAAGGCCCATCTAAAGTCTTATCTTCTCGACTTCTTCATCTTCCATTGCCTCGTTGCGAGTTTGCGACTAAAACAGTAATTAAAATACTAATTATGCAATAATATGACTAATTAATCGAACCTACTCTGTCTTTCTCTCTCTATCTCTCTTGCATCTCCATAAACTATCTTCAAAGATTGAATTTTGAAGATCTTCTTTTTGGCTTCTTTCGCGATTTCTTCACAGTCTCTTCTTCTTCTCCAATCCCAATGTTTGTTTGAGAGAAAGAAAGTCAAACCATGGGCGTTTGTTGCCCTTTCCTTCAACCCTGGGATCGAGCTCGTGACCAATTTCTCATCAACCTTCCTTGTCTCTCCGATCCTGGTACCAAATTTCTTCTCTTTAATCCTAATTCTATCTCACGATCCGTGTTTCATTAGATTCTTCTGATTCACTAACTAATTGCTGTTTTCTTCATCTACCAGTTCGAAGATCTTCTCTGCTTTTGAAATTGGCACTAGTGGTTCTCCACCTCGTCTTTATCGGCTTTCTCTTCCTTTTCGATGCAGAATTTATTGAGAAGACTAAACGAGATCCATGGTAATTACTCATCTCTCTCTCTCTCTCTCTCTCTCTGCTTATTCAATTACTGTATCCTTGAGCTTAATGTTTATTACTCTGTGATTCTTTCTCTAACAGGTACATGGGCTGTTATTTATTGCTGTTTTCCGCCACTCTTCTGCAGTATTTTGTAACTTCTGGCTCTTCACCTGGGTATATCTAAACTATCTATATGCCTAAATGTGTGTTTCGTTTTGATTCTGCAACTTAAAAAATTGGTACTTGATCTTCTTTTTGCTTCTTTTGTTGTCTTTTAGGTATGTTGTTGATGCAATGAGGGATGTTTGCGAGACTAGTGCAATGTATAGAAACCCACTTGCCTGCTCAATGTAAGAATTGTTCTTTCCTTCTTCTAGTGGCAAAACTCTATCAAGTTTGATGGAACAAGTGTGATAGGGGAGGGATAGGAAAGTAAGAATCTTTTGATCGTTTGGTTAGTGAGAGAGCCTTTTGGAATTTGGATATAGGAGGGTTAGGAGAGCTTTACAACATTTTTCCAAGGTAGTTAGGGTTCTTGATTGTAATTCAGTGATAAGAAATACAATTTGGTTACTTGATTCTTATCAAAGTGATGGAAGTGAATTCTACATAATTGTGTCTCACTGTTGTGTTTATACTTTTGTTATTATTTAAGCGAAGACAACATGCTTCCAGAAAAAGTGAGAGCGTTGTTGTTAATGTGGAAGGAGGATCAGCCTCATGTGCTAGAAGGACTCCAACGCCCTGGGGGAAGTTGGTTCTGGACTTGTACCCTCCAGGGACATCTATAAGGTACATATAAACTTCAATCAAGGCTTTCTATTGTGTGAATCCTGAAGAATCAGCTTATAAGTTGTAATTGTTAGTAGAAAGGAGTGTTCTGAATTGTTCAGTTTATGACTTGCAGAAATTTGACATGTGGCTATTGTCATGTGGAGCAGGTAACATTTGAATCTTGTATGATTCAAATCGCCACTGTAGTTGTTCGTTTAGCTTGTTTTTTTACTTGTTTGTTCAAGTTTCCCCTCTCTGAATCTTTCTCTCGAAACATGTAATGCTTTGCAGCCTCCACGAACCAAACATTGTCATGATTGTGATCGATGTGTTCTTCAGTTTGATCATCACTGTGTTTGGTTAGGAACATGTATAGGCCAGAAAAACCATTGTAAATTCTGGTAAGCCTGCAAAAGCTGAAGTCGTACAGTTTTATTGTCCAATAACTCGGCACTGTTATGCATCAGACTTTTTGTCTTTCAGACCCCAGTAACGCGTTTTGTGATACCAGGTGGTACATCTGTGAAGAGACAACTCTATGCATCTGGACGCTCATCATGTATGTTGACTACCTGAGTAACGTAGCAAAGCCTTGGTATGATCCTTTTCGTGTATTGGCCAATTTATTCTCAGGCTCTTTAGCAGCTCCAAATTGTTAAAACATGAATTTCTAATGGAAATGTGAACAGGTGGAAGAATGCAATTATCATACTACTGCTTGTCATATTGGCGATCTCTTTGATTTTTGTGCTGCTTCTATTGATTTTTCACAGGTGGGTGTTCACATTTTGTGTTATTTTGCACAATCTCATATTTTCTTTTTTGTCTAATTGCTTCTGTTTCTATTTGAAAACTGATTTCTTGCAGCTATCTAATTCTGACAAATCAAAGCACTTATGAACTTGTGAGACGAAGACGTATTCCATACATGAGGTATTCAACCCGTTTTCTATAACCTAGAAATAATATCAGGTTTGTTTGCGTGATACTAAAGCTGTTAGGGTTTGCAGGAATATTCCGGAACGAGTGCATCCTTTTAGCAGAGGAATTCGGAGGAACCTATACAACGTCTGCTGCGGAAATTATAATCTAGACTCACTCCCCACTGCGTTTGAACTCGAGGATAGATCAAGACCCTACACTTGCATCGATATGTTGAAATGTCGCTGCTGCTAAGTTTTCATTTATAGTTTTATACACAATTACCTCCATTGTTTCAGTGTCCAAAATCTATGAAGGTAACATGTTTCCGCTAAAATTTGGATGATGTTGTATACATACATGGAATAATTAATGAGTTAATTATATATGCAAAGAGAGTATGTTCAATAGAGAAACTCTAGCTTGGATCATACGCCTGTACAATCTTTCAAGCGACTCCTCCAGATCTTCAACCGCAACATCTACGTGATCCAAGTTGGTGATCATAGACTTGATCCGATCCTTCTTTATCTCTTCTGCTAAGCTGAATCTTCGCAGTTCTTCGTCCATCATCTGGAATTCGTTTCTGTGTCCTGTCCGAGCTTGACCACTTGTACTAGTACTGTTCTTGATCACCAGTTTGGTGACCAAGGCCCATTTGGAAGGCCTGGGCTTGGGAACAGCTGTGGATAGGGACAATAAGACTGTCCTAAAGGAATGACATGTTTGGGAACAAACTTGTTGGAGCAGTGTGATCAAGGGATGAGACGACTCGGAGGAGGAAAGGGCGGTTTGTTTGAGCAACAAGAGTAGCTTAGCAATGTCCTTATGAACCGCTTTCTTAGAGCGGATAAAGGCTTTGACGTGACAGCGTATGGTAGAATCTCCACTGTGTCTCCTCCGTCTGAAAGCAGAACGGAGGTCACGGAGGCAGTCCTTGATGCGGCAAGTGATGTCTCTTAGCTTAGAGCACAAGTCAAGGTGTACAAGAGACAGATCAAGAAGGTGGGTGAAGAAAGAGTGATGAGGTAGTAGTAGTGAAGAAGGTGAGTCGTTGAAGAGATGAGAGACAGAGTCGTATAGATGTGAGAGAAGCGAGAGACTATTGTTATCATCTGCAGGAAGCTTATTAAGGAGTTGCTGAATCTGGTTGAGACCATGTGGGTGTAACCGAGCTGGTAAGCTACAAGACCGGACGTGGTAGGAAGCAGCCATTGATGATGTTTTGTTTTAGATGGAGAGAGAGCTTTAGCTAAAGGGAAGTTGAATATGAATATATATAGAGGGAGCTAGCTAGAGACTAGAGAGAGGTCAAATGAAATAGGATTTTTTGGGTTGTGAAAGTAAAAGCCACGTGAAGGGGATAATGTTCTTTGTTCCATCAAAGCCCACCACTTCATGTTCGCTCAATATGTACCTAATTTGCTGCTAATATCATGTTTTTGTTTTCTTAATCCTTTCTTGAAGCAAACAATAATTTGATGTACGTACCCACTTAATTAGATCTTAAATTAGGCAAGAAGAATCAAAACAAAGATATTATGTCAAGCCCTTCCTCAACTTTGGGTATTGATAATTAAACACCGTCATGCATGGATATGAATGGTTCTAATTACTTAATTAGTGAGCATATCTTTCTCTCATATCTGTGTGATCAAATGAAGATTTAGCATCATCTAAACACCAAAAATAATTGAACCGAAAATGATTGATCTCATGATATAAGAGAAGATGGTGGTTGGATAATACTAAATATGGGACCGTGTGCACGAGTGTCTTGTTGAAAACTTCCAGAGAAAACGATCAAATAGTAATTAATAATCAAATCAATCACAATCGCACCGCTTTCCTTTTCTTAACTAATAGCCTTGTTCAAAAAATCGCTAGGCGCTAGTCGGGCGGCGAGGGCGGGCCTAGCGATTAATCGGAAAATCGGATTTAAATCGGGATTTAATCGGGGATGTTTTTTAGGTATATATATTTAATACGCATGGGAATGATACGAGTATAGCATAGTCTAGTGGTTACACGAGCATGTAAGGCGCTGCAGGTCATGAGTTCGAGTGTTAATATGTGCAGATTTATGATTTTTTCCGATTTTCAGGTTAATGAATATGAAATTACTATATTACCCTCGTCTCCTACCTTTTGTCTGTGACTTTCACAACCCTAATTTCCGCCGCCTCACTTTTTTTCCCCCAAATTTTGTTAGATTTACCTTATATCTTATGGTTTTTACTTAATTTTGATAGATCTATAATCCAACATTCGAAATCAAGCTTAAAAATCTAGTAAACGTGAATTATTTAGATGTTTACGATTTAATGGCCGATTTGTCCAAATCGCCGTGGCTGCCCTCCGCCGAGCGCCTAACCGGCGATTAAACGGCCGCCGAGCCCGCGTTTTTGAACAAGGACTAATAGTATGAATTCATGAACTTGACTTGTCTCTATCAGAATACAGCCTGCAACTACATCTCTCTCATCTCTAATTAGATTACATAGTCCAATATCTAACTAGCAAAATATCTACCCTAACTATTAGGCTTTCGATAATAAATATCTTCTCGTGCTTTGGATATGTAACTTTTTCCTTTTTTGATTTCTTAGATATGTAACTTAATTGGTGTACAAGAAGATATTTTAATTGAGATATTTTATTCAATGCCATTCCCATGCATGTATGAAAAGTTTAAACACCAACTTGGTTCTACGTACTGTATAAAACTAAACTCTCTCCACACTCTCCAACTAATTTTTTTTTCTTTAAATATTTAACCAATAATAACCACCAATCCAAGCAAAAAAATATGTAGAAGAGGTTGAAACTATATATATAGAAAAAGGCTCGTATATATTATAAGTTCTTTATTCATTTTAAGTAACATCGATCGGGGTTTTGGAAACCGACAACCCTAAGGTTTAGGTATTGTGAGTTAACGACGATAGACAAGAAAAAAGTTGGGCCATGTGAAGTCACGTTACTCTTGGAATGGACCCTCAATTACGTAAAAATAGCAAACTATTAACATTACACTTGTTTCTCATTATTGTTTGTTTGGGTTTTTGTCATTTTGTGTAATTATTGTGCCACCCAATTGCCATAATTAGTGAGCCATTGCTCCCATCACCTCACCTCTCTATTGCCGCCTCCATTACCTTCTATTCCTCTCTAGTCTCTAGTGTCTTCCTTTCTTCTTCTCTCACTTCAATAAAATATCATGATATTGTTGTAGAGAATTAAAAAGGTATGAAGAAGCCTTATGCTTTTGTGTCATGCTCTCATGTTTTCTCTATGTATTTATTTGAGTGATACAAAAGGAAACCAAACTTTTGATATATGACCATTCTTTTCTTACTAGGAGATGTGATTCAAAGCCATGCATTCCTAATTTTGTACCTCCATTTTCTAATGAATGGAGGTTACACAAACTACAGTCTTGGTATTTATAATACTGATTTTTAATTAAAATTTCAGTTTTAATTAATCCTATTCGATATCTTAGTTGGAGAACTAAACTTATAAAATGATATAAAACGACATCTATAATGAAGAATAATTTTGTATTGAAATGTGTTAGTTGCTTAATTTTATTTTATATTGTTTATAACTTATACATGCATCGACTTCTCAGTTGAAAACAATAATGCATGCAAACCAGGCTGCAAAAGTTGATTTATCAATGATTTTGTAATAAAAAAACTTGTTAGTTATTTAGATTTATTTTGTCTTATATAATTACTTTTAAGTACAATATAAAATTGAAATAGGGTCGGCCTCGTAGCAACCTTGAACAGTTGGCTGTATCAATGTGTGGGGACAAGAGGAATCAAAGATCCACTCCTCTCTCTCCTTTTTAATTATTCATTATGAAAATAACAATTTACTAAATCAGTGGATCATCCGAAATTAAAGATCTTGATGATGATGATGACTTTATCATTGGTGGCATCAAAACTTAATTATAAAAATAATAATGTGCACGAGGGATATGGGACTTTTACCAATGGTAGACTGACATGTAAGAGTACGGACACAAATGACAAATCTAACAAAGTTCTTATTGTACCTTTCCATAACTTTGCTCTGTTGAGATAAGTTTCTTCGGTATTAAGAAGTGTTTGATTAAATTTGTTGATTTATATATAATTCCAGTGAATCCATTAAATTCTTCACTACAAGAATCTGTATCTATTACTATTATATGTTTTGTGTACAATTAGAGACTAACTAAACTAAGAGTGTGTTGTAAGAATGTTGAGCAAATAAACTCTATATTGGACAAGAGACTTGAAAAGAGAATCAAGTGCAGCCTCAAGTTCCTCTGTTCTTTCCTCTAATCTCTCTAACATCTTCTTCATTTCCTTGGAGTTATCCCCATCTGAACGTAGAACCACATCAACATTCTGCAACTCGCTCATTATCGACGACGACGATCGGTGACCACCACTGATCAGCTTGGAGACGAATTTGAGAGAACATGTCTTTGTCTTCACGGTCGATGTTGTCGACAGGAACATGAAAAGAGAGCGGAAGATGGAGATGGCTAAGTCGGTGGTCTCAGAGCCTTCTAACTTCTTGAGACCAAGAAGAAGCTTGTTAGTCTCTTTCTTGATCTTTTTCCTAAAGGAAAAGTACTCTTTGATCTGAACTTCCATGGATTTGTTTTTTCTCCTCAATGCAGATTGAAGATTAAGGAGATGCTCTCTGAGTGTTAGGATTAGGTTTCTCGCTGCGTCGCAAGAGTCTAGTAACGTGGCTGACACGTCAAGAGAATGTTCAGCTTGAGCTGTGGGAAGAGAGTGATTGAGTTGGTGAAGGGAATGGTAAAGCTCAGAGAGGTTGAGTAATGAGGCGTGAAGAGATTGTGAATCAGATGAGTTTTGGAAAAGATGAATCTGAGAGAGAGCAGCTTGAAACTTAGCAGAAGGATGGTGGATTCTTGATGGAAGACTTATAGATCTAATGGGCATTTGAAGTTTGGTTTCAGGGAATGCCATGTTTCTTGATTCTGCTGAAGAAAAAGAAAGAAGAGAAGTTGGGTATATATATGAAGACGTGAAGGCATGTGCAGGAAACACATGGGATATTATATTTGTTAAATATAAACAGTGATTGTTTAGTGAAGCCACGATGCACATGGAGGTGGTGAAGGAAGCTTTGAATGCTCTGTTTTATGCTCTGTTTTGAACGTGAAACCAATTTGAGAGGACCATAGATAGATAGAGCCATAACTAGTTGTTGCCTTTGTGATTCCCATTTCGATAGCCGGAGAGAGTGGGCTTGTCAGAGGAAACAGACATGGAAACATTTGTCGCCAGTGGCGGATCTAGGAAAATTGTTTGATGGGGTCAAAATAAGTTGGTTCAAAAAAATTTACAACCCGATAAGAAATATAACCATAAATAATATCTAAAAAATTTATTACAACGCCGCAAACGCACTTGTTTTCAACCGCTTAACCAGTCAGTTAAAACGCTAAATAACGTTTGAAACCGCAACCGCTCGCTTCCACAAACTCTCACAACCGTAACCGCAACCGCTGCGTTTAAACCAGTCAAACCCTGAGTTGTTTTATTACTACAGATTACAATTGGGTTAGATTAAAATGGGTTAGATTAAAATGATTGGACTCTACAATTTCAAATAATTGGGCTTCACGTTTGCTTTTATAAGTTGAATTGGGTCAAATCATTGGGTTCTTATAATTTGAATATCTATCTCACTTTTACTTTGTTTAATATAATTGGGTTGGGTTCAATTCTAATTGGGTTGGGTTCAAACTCAAAATTGGGTTGGGTTCAAGACTCATGTATATTTAAAAACTTAATGAAATTAGAACGTTTTTAAAAACTTTATTGGTGTCAATTGCACCCATAATACTCTACGTGCCTCCGCCCATGTTTGTCGCAGACCATTTTCAGATTTCAACTCTTTCTTGTTTCATCCAATTGTCAAAAAAAATTCCTATTAATTATTCACCATTGGTTCCCGAGACGGTCGTGAAGGAAAAAAGATGTCACAACACTACCAAAGATGCTACACAACAAATATTGTTTTGCATTTTCAATGCAATAATCAAAATGAATTCCAAGTTTATTCATATAAACTGCTTTTTCTTATACTTGAAAAAAAAAACCTAAATATTGTATTTGTATTAATAGACAATTTTCAATGTTGTCTTAATTTGTGTGAAAAAAATTATAGAATGACACATTTTAAAATTGAAAAAATATTATATTAAGACTAATCCTAAATAAGGATTATATACAACTGTACCTACTTTAATTAATGTTGATTAGAATTTAGGAGGGCGGTTCAATGTTTTGTGCCCTAATAATAGACGTTGTATTATAAGTTTTGATTGATTGCTTCAAGGCTGTCATTGGATTCATGATCATCAATTAGAAACATTGTTGAGTGAGAGGGACAAACTTATGAATTAAGATATTAGCCTTGTCTCCGTTACAAGAGATATGCTTATATGATAAAATTTGTTTATTAAGAAAGAAATGATCATTGTGGATCGCATGTATAGGATATAGTGCAAAATCACGAGACGATGTAATGTACGGGGAATCTTAAAAATGGTACGTTTCAGACAAAAGATCTTCTTGAAATTTGATACATTGAACCTCATCTCAAAGTGTTAATCCACCACTCATCTTTATTTGTCAGAGCCCAAAATTAAAACTCATTTGAAATGTATTCACAAAATATAGTTATAGGCAACAAACTTCGACTATCAATATGAACCACATACTTTGGTCGGAAACTAGAACAAAATTAGAAATATGAAAAAATCGAAAAAATAGATAAATGAAAACATGGTGAAGTTACATCGGATCCTTAACATATTTTCCATTGTAGAAGTCGTTTTCCGGTGAGAGATAGACAATGGTGTCTTTGTTAAAACAAGATAGTAGAGATTCTTGTTCAATATAGAGAGAGATATGTTCGAATATCGTTTTTTTCGATGAGAAAAGAGGTGAGTGTATAAGAAAATACCTACTCATGTGACTAGTATACCGGGTTAATCACTTATCTAAATTGGTCACATGGATCCGAAACAATCATGAAGAGGAAGACGTAGCAACATTATCAAACTTATATTATGTAGAAAATTTCTATAATAGGATTTTATAACTATAAGCTACTTTAATGTTGATTAGAATTTAGGAAATTAGGAGGGCTAGCTTCAATGTTATGTCCCCTGATTCACCACATACATTTTAGTACAAGTTTTTCTTTAATTCGATTGAGTGCTTCAAGGCTGCCATTGGATTCATATTCATTATCAATTGGAAGCATTGTTAAAATCAGAGAGACAAGATTGTGAATCAAGATCATGGCTTGTCTTGTCCCCGTTAATAATGGTTATGACTATATGATAAGTTTATTTAGAAAGAAAAAAAAAAGATCATGTACGGGGAATCTTAGAAGTGGTACGTTTCAGACAAAAGATCTTCATAAAATTTGATACATTGAACCTCATCTCAACATCAATCTACTACACATTCAATAATAACAAAAATAACGTTAAAAATTGGGCCTGATAATATAGGCCCATATTACTCATTGTTTAATACTTTAAGGAAAACCGAAAACTAGTCCATACAATAAATATTGGGTCTAATGAAATACAATTAAAGCCCATGAGATCACATCAGACTATCGAGTGGTGGTTATTAGTTACGTAACGCGTGGTACGATTGATCTACACTACTACAAGTGTATACCATCAATCAAACCCAATCTTTCTAGTTTCTACAATGGCTATGTTCGTCTCCACTCGTTTGCTCTTCTTCTCCATCTTCATCCCTTTACTCATCTCTATCACTCTCTACCAACTCGACTCATTCGATCCAGCTCCACTTCCCGCTGACTCACTCGTCTCCTCTCCTACTTCAATCCCGCCACTTCTCAACGACAAATTCCTCACCGGAGCTGAGTTTATCGGCGTCGGTCTTCTCAATAACCCCGAAGATATCGCTTACCATAACGACTCTGGTCTTATCTACACTGGTTGTGTTGATGGATGGGTGAAACGAGTCAGTGTTCACGAGTCAGCTAATGACTCAGTCGTAGAGGATTGGGTCAATACCGGTGGTAGACCACTCGGTATTGCTTTCGGACTTCACGGCGAAGTCATTGTCGCAGATGCAAACAAGGTTTGGTTCGTGAATGAACCCCATAGAATTTTGAAAATCTTGGCTTAGGTTTGATTTTGTTGTTGTGTGTATAGGGACTGTTGAATATAAGTGGTGACGGGAAGAAGACGGAACTGTTGACGGATGAAGCAGAAGGCGTTAGATTGAAGCTGACGGATGCAGTTACCGTTGGAGATAACGGCGTTTTGTATTTCACTGATGCTTCTTATAAATACGATATCCATCAATTTATCTATGATTTCTTGGAAGGCAAACCACATGGACGTCTCATAAGCTTTGATCCCACCACACGTCTCACACGTGTACTTCTCAAAGATCTCTACTTTGCTAATGGCATATCCATATCCCCTGATCAAACCCATCTCGTCTTCTGCGAAACGGTCAGGTATATATGTGTATTGAATTTGTTAATGTTTCTAACTCAAAATCAATTGGTAATGAGCTAATTGATTGATATCTTTTGTATATTACTTAGGAGAAGATGTAGTAAGTATTATATAAGTGAGGAGCGTGTGGAGGTATTGATTCAAGGCTTGCCAGGTTTTCCAGATAACATTCGATACGACGGAGATGGACATTACTGGATTGCATTGATTTCGGTATTTATACATATTGAAAATCTTTTCTTTAAAGTTTACGATGATGAGATTTTGTATCATCTTTTTTCTGATCAATGAGTTGTGAAAACAGGAAGTAACAACGCCGTGGAAGCTCTCGATGAAATACCCTTTCTTGAGGAAACTCATATCAATAGCGGCTAAGTTTGGCGTGGAATTGTTGTTTATGAAGAATGCAGGCGTTTTGCAAGTGGATTTGGATGGTAATCCCATCGCATTGTACCATGATCATCCATTCTCTCACATAACAAGCGGAGTCAAGATTGGGAACCATCTTTATTGTGGGAGTCTCTTGCATTCCTACATTACTAGACTCGATCTCTTGAAATATCCTGCTCAAAAGAAGCTTTAAAACATCATGTTTATACGAATAAGGAACTTTTACACTTAAGGACTATTCAGTATAGTTAAAGCCATACATTATTGGGCCTACTAGGAATATAGCTAAAGCCCACGAGATTCGACTATGGAATGGTTAGTTACGCAACGTAACTTACAAAAAAAAAAAAAAAGTCAAAATGTTTTCAAGTCAACATCTATTTCATCGTCATCAAATCAATCAAGGAAGTGCTTACCAATTTTGCAAAGACATAATCCTTCTCCGATGCCTATATTCTTCTCTTCTCGTTTTCTCTTCTTCTCCACCATCGTCCCCTTCCTCGTCTCTATCGCTCTCTACAAACTCGACACCTTTGACCCAGCTCCAGTTCCTTCCGATGCATACGCCTCCTCTACTACTTCCATCCCGCCGCTGGTCAACGAGAAATCACTCACCGGAGCTGAGTTTATCGGCGTCGGTCTTCTCGATAAACCTGAGGATATCGCCTACCATCAAGACTCTAATCTCATCTATACTGGCTGCATAGATGGATGGGTGAAACGAGTCACTGTCCATGACTCAGCTAATGACTCAGTCGTTGAGGATTGGGTCAATACTGGAGGTAGACCGCTCGGAATCGCGTTCGGAATCCACGGCGAAGTCATTGTCGCAGACGCATACAAGGTTAGCTTCGTGAACTCTTTAGAACTCGAATTTTGAAAATCTCAATCTTAGGTTGATTTTGTGTTTGTGTGTGTAAGGGACTGTTGAACATAAGTGGTGACGGGAAGAAGACGGAACTATTAACGGATGAAGCGGAAGGCGTTAGATTTAAGCTGACTGATGTAGTCGCCGTTGCAGATAACGGCGTTTTGTATTTCACTGATGCTTCTTATAAATACACTCTACATCAAGTCAAATTTGACATTTTGGAAGGTAAACCACACGGTCGTCTCATGAGCTTTGATCCCACTACACGTATTACACGTGTACTTCTCAAAGACCTTTACTTCGCTAATGGCGTCTCCATATCTCCTGATCAAACCCATCTCATCTTCTGTGAAACTCCAATGTAAGTCCACTTTTAATCTTTTGGAGTTTACAAGTTTCCGACTCAAAACCAATTGAAAATGAGTTAATTCATATGTATATACTTTATCTAGGAGAAGATGCAGCAAGTATTACATCAGTGAGGAGCGTGTAGAGGTATTCATTCAAGGCTTACCAGGTTATCCAGATAATATTCGGTACGACGGAGATGGACATTATTGGATCGCTATGGTTTCGGTATTTATACGTACTTGAAATCTTTTCTTTAAAGTTTATGATGATAAGCTTTAATTTGTATCATCATTTTCTTTTTGCTCACGGTATTGTGAAAACAGGGAGTAACAAATTTGTGGAGGCTATCGATGAAATACCCTTTCTTGAGGAAACTCACAGGCATGGCGGCTAAGTATGGCGTGGAACTTATGTTTATGAAGAATGCAGGCGTTTTGCAGGTGGATTTAGATGGGAATCCCATCGCATACTACTATGATCAGAGACTCTCTCACATAACCACCGGTGTCAAGATTGGGAACTATCTCTATTGTGGAAATATCTTGCATTCACACATTATCCGACTCGATCTTTTGAAATATCCTGCACAGAAGAAGAAGAAGCTTTGAAACATCAAAGTTTATACAAGTACGGAAATTTTCCTTTTTAGGAGTCTTCACTGTCACAAAATGTAAACTCATTGTCCCTTAGAATGAATGAATGAATGAATGATGTCTCTCTCAGGATATTAATTAGCAGCCTGAAACAATGAATACAAAACAATTAACCATACAAGGTGTCAGATACACACTACTAACAAAGGTTAGAGCATGATCTTTATACATTATGATTGAAAGCAATAAAACAAGACTATGAAACAAGATCATGGCTAGTTGTCCCCATTAAAAACATGTTATGGAAAACGAGTCCACACAATATTGGGCCTACTAGGATAATAGTTAAGCCCATAAGATTCCGTAACATAAACGTACTACGGAACCAAGAAGTCAACGATTTCATCATCATCAATCAACGTGTTTTTCTCTTAAATCAACTTCAAAAATTTGTTCATTCACCATTTTTTCCACAAAACCCAATCCTTCTCCAATGCCTATGTTCTTCTCTTCTCGTTTTCTCTTCTTCTTCATCATCGTCCCTTTACTCATCTCTATCACTCTCTACCAACTCGACACGTTTGACCCAGCTCATCACCCCGCTGACTCACTCATCTCCTCTACTACTTCAATCCCGCCGCTTATAAACGACAGATTTCTCACCGGAGCTGAGTTTATCGGCGTCGGTCTTCTCAATAACCCTGAAGATATCGCTTACCATGAAGAGTCTGGTTTCATCTATACCGGTTGCGTTGATGGATGGGTGAAACGAGTCAAGGTCGCCGAGTCGGTTAATGACTCAGTCGTTGAAGATTGGGTCAATACCGGTGGTAGACCGCTCGGAATCGCGTTTGGAATCCACGGCGAAGTCATCGTCGCTGACGCGTACAAGGTTGGGTTCGTGAATTTTTTGAAATCGAATTTTGAAAATTTTCAATTATAGGTTTGATTTTTGTGTGTGTAGGGACTGTTGAATATAAGCGGTGACGGGAAGAAGACGGAATTATTAACGGAAGAAGCGGACGGAGTTAGATTTAAGCTGACGGATGCAGTTACTGTTGCAGATAACGGCGTTTTGTATTTCACTGATGGCTCTTATAAATACAGTCTCCATCAGTTTAGTTTTGATATCTTGGAAGGAAAACCACATGGTCGTCTCATAAGCTTTGATCCCACCACAAAAGTGACACGTGTCCTTCTTAGAGACCTCTACTTTGCTAATGGTGTCTCTATGTCTCCTGATCAAACCCATCTCGTCTTCTGTGAAACCCCTATGTCTCTTTCTCGACTCTCTCAAACATCTCTCTCTTTTTGTGCAGTAATTGAATCCTCATGATCTTAAGTTGTTTTCTTGTTGTTCTCAGAAGAAGATGTAGTAAGTATTACATCAATGGAGGGCGTGTGGAGTTATTTATTCAAGGCTTACCAGGCTATCCAGATAACATTCGGTACGATGGAGATGGACATTACTGGATTGCAATGCCTTCGGTAACTAACTATACAAATTGAAACCCTTCTTTAGAGTTTATTGAGTTGGTTTAGGTCTAGGTCATATTCGGTATGTGTCTACATTTCTGATTTGTCTTTGGTTTAGGGAATTGTACAATAACCATGTTAGTAGTACATGATGAGAGTTTTTGTATCATCTTTTTAATTGATCACTGTTATTAAAAACAGGGAGTAACAAAGTTATGGAAGCTTTCGATGAAATACCCTTTCTTGAGGAAAATCACAGCTATGGCGGCTAAGTACGGCTATGAACCTATGTTTATGGAGAATGCAGGAGTTTTGCAAGTGGATTTGGATGGGAACCCCATCGCATACTACCATGATCAGGCACTCTCTCACATAACCACCGGTGTCAAGATTGGGAACTATCTCTATTGTGGAAGTCTCTTGCATTCACACATTCTCCGACTTGATCTCATGAAATACCCTGCACAAAACAAGAAGCTTTGAAACATCAAGTTTGTTTATTATACAAATAAGGAACTTTTTACATTTTAGGAATATTCATTGTCACAAAATGTAAACTCATCGTCCCTGAGAATGAATCATGGTGTCTCTCCAAGGATATTACAAACCAAAAGAAAAAATAACAGTGAATACTACAAACCAAACCATACAAGCCACAAGGTGTAAAATGCGCAATTCCTACAATATTGGGCCTACTGGTAAATATAGTTACAGCCCACGAGAATTCGACTATCGAATGGTTTGGTTACTTAACGCAACTAACTGGAAACTGAAGTCAAAGATCATTCTGAGTCAACGATGATCTGCGATTTCATCATCAAATAAACGTGTTTAATTTATTTGTTTTTCTCTTCGACCACAACTACAAAATTTGGCGTCGTTCACCAGTTTTCCACAAACTCAAATTGTCTCCAATGCCTGTACTTTTCTCCTCTCGTTTTCTCTTACTCTCCATTATCGTCCCCTTCCTTATTTCTATCACTCTCTACAAACTCGACACATTCGACCCAGCTATTGTTCCTTCCGATGCATTCACATCCTCTGCTACTTCAATCCCACCGCTTATCAACGACAAATTTCTCACCGGAGCTGAGTTTATCGGCGTCGGTCTTCTCAATATACCCGAAGATATCGCCTACCATAAGGACTCTAATCTCATCTATACTGGTTGTGTTGATGGATGGGTGAAACGAGTCAAGGTCACCGACTCGGTTAATGACTCAGTCGTTGAGGATTGGGTCAATACCGGTGGTAGACCGCTCGGAATCGCGTTTGGACTCCACGGTGAAGTCATTGTCGCAGACGTATTTAAGGTTCGCTTCGTTAATTATTTTAAATTGAATTTTGAAAATTCTCAATCTTAGGTTTGATTTTGTTGGTGTGTGTGTAGGGACTGTTGAATATAAGTGGTGACGGAAAGAAGACGGAATTGTTGACGGATGAAGCGGACGGTGTGAGATTTAAGCTGACGGATGCAGTTACCGTTGCAGATAACGGCGTTTTGTATTTCACAGATGCTTCTTACAAGTACACTCTCAATCAATTAAGTTTAGACATGTTAGAAGGGAAACCTTTTGGACGACTCCTGAGCTTTGATCCCACCACACGTGTCACACGTGTACTTCTCAAAGATCTCTACTTTGCTAATGGCATCACCATGTCTCCTGATCAAACCCATCTCATCTTCTGTGAAACTCCCATGTATGTTTATTTGAATCAGTTATATAAATTTCCGACTCAAAATCAATTGGCAATGAGTTGATTTATCGATATCCGTTATATATTACTTTAGGAAAAGATGCAGCAAGTATTACATCAGTGATGAGCGTGTGGAGGTATTCACTCCAAGCTTACCAGGTTATCCAGATAACATTCGATACGACGGAGATGGACATTACTGGATTGCACTGCCTTCGGTAAACTATACAAATTGATTTCCTTTGTACCCAAATTTATATATGATGAGGTTTTTGTATCATCTATTATTGATCATTGTGATGAGTTTTTGTATCATATCTTTTATTGATCATTGTGTGTGGTTGTGAAAACAGGGAGTAACAACGTTGTGGAATATCTCGTTGAAATACCCATTCTTGAGGAAACTCACAGCTATGGTGGCTAAGTACGGCGTGGATCTTATGTTTATGGAGAATGCGGGAGTTTTGCAGGTGGATTTGGATGGGAATCCCATCGCATACTACCATGATCCAAAACTCTCTCACATAGCTACATGTGACAAGATTGGGAAATATCTCTATTGTGGAAGTCTCTCACATTCACATATTCTCCGACTTGATCTCCTGAAATATCCTGCACAGAAGAAGAAACTTTGAAACATCATGTTTTCACAAATAAGGAAATTTTCCATTTTAGGAGTATTCACTGTCACAAAATGTAAACTCATCATCGTATCTCTCTTTTTTTTGTCTCTCTTGTAGATTTGTATCCCAAAGCATATTTATAGCATGATGTGACTGCGTTGATTTTTCCATTTTAAAGTCGTCGTCAAGAGTCGATGATTTGTCTAATTAAACTTGTTCAGAAGAGACCAATAAGTGATTGGATCGAGTCTAATTAAAGGAATAATAACACTTTGTGATATACGTAGTATCAAATAATCAAAAGCATGTATAAATGGTAAGAAGTAGGAATCGAACCGGTGACCTTTGAGAAACTAAGCTGGCTTGGAAAGGTGTATCATGTGGTGGTCGTCCACTAATTAGATTCAGAGTCAAGGACTTGATCTAACGATTAACGCAAAATCATTTGCACGTTCTACGCAACTCCATAATTTCAATTCCTCTCGACGTTTCACGGCGAAGCTTCAGATCTACTTTTCCCCAGCTCAGGTGACTTTTTCCATCATCTTCGTTCGCTGTTAGAGATTATCTTCTTCTTCTTCTTCTTCGTCTTTCCCTTAACGATTTTGTGTGAATCTCCTGTTTGATTTTTAGTATGGAGACGGCTGATTCTCGGAACAAATTGCATTCCCGGTTACGTTTATGGGAATTCCCCGATCAGTACATCATCGAGCCAGCTGATGGTTCAGGCGCTTCATGTTTGGAAGTTAGTCGTGTTGATGCTTCCATGAAGCTTATCGGTTGGTTTTTTCTGTTTCCAACATTTTTTGTTTGATTCCATTAATTGGCAAATGGTTGCGCTATCTCAATCCTCTTCCCCTTGCGTCTACTCTGTGCTCAGATCATGTCCCAGAAAGCAATTCCGTGCGAGTCCCTAAAATCCGTTCCATTTTTGGTGTGGTTGGGATGTTGAAGCTCCTTGCAGGTTAGAAACAATCATCATGTGGAACAATACTGTATATAGCCTTGTGTATGTTGCAGGTGTTTCTGGTTTATGTCCATTTTAGATCTGAAACCTATCTGAGAGTTGCGTTATTCATTTACTTCAGGATCATACTTGGTGGTTGTAACCGAGAGTGAACGTGTTGGATCGTTTCTGGGCCATCCTATTTTCAAAATTACAACGCTGAAGGTTCTTCCTTGTGATCATTCACTTCAAAACTCACCTGAAGAACAGGTAAACACTGTGCTCTCCAGTTTTCTGTTGAAATATTACTAGTAATGATGGATCTAAGAAATCTCAAAGAATTTTTCTATTTCCGGCAGAAAAAGATGGAGACTGAGTTCTCCAAGCTGCTGAGTGTCGCAGAAAAGACAACTGGTCTCTATTTCTCATATGAAGTTAACTTAACACTGAGGTAAAACGGTTTATCTCTTTCTTTATGATGTTTTGTTTTTACACATTGATGTTGAAAATTAGAGATGTTGTATTAGTGTACTTCGGCATTGCACAAACCAATTTTTTCCAAAATATTTCTGACATTACTCTGAATTTCATTAGTTATTTCCTTTTAGTTTGATCTTTATTATTGCGATTTCAGCTCACAACGGTTGCATGATTTGGGTGATGAGTCTAAGTCACTTCCTTTGTGGAGACAGGTGACCATATAGCTACTTTTGGGAAATTTATCTTCTTTGGAAGCATTTATTAGTTTTGTACTTGTTGCATGTCTGTGGCAGAACTGAAAATAACTTCTGATGGTGCTGCATTCTTTTTTACAGGCTGAGCCGAGGTTTCTTTGGAACAATTACATGTTGGAAGTTCTAATCGATAATAAGGTGTGTATTCTTGAGGTCCTTTTAAATATATTACATCCCCTTGTTTTGTGCTTGCAGAATTCTTACCCTTTCTTTCTTATGTTGTCATAAATTTGCAGCTTGATCAGTTCTTGCTTCCAGTAATTCAAGGGAATATCCTTTGTTATCAGTTGTTTCACTTCCTTTTCTTCTATTTTGTCTTAATGGTTACGTTTTATTTGTAAACTGAATCTTTCCTTAACCCTGATTCACGCTTTAATAGCTTTGAAACAGCCATTGGAAGAGATATTGTTGACATTACTCTGATTGCTAGGAGATGCACTAGGAGAAACGGTACTTGTCTCTATGTGCTTTTTTTACCATTATACTTCGACTTCAAGTTACTCAATAGGTTTTATTGCACTGAAGTCTAGCGTGATCTGTAAGTATGTCGGTGGTACTTCAGTCATTTATTTGACTATGAACCTTTCTACTAGACGTAGCAAGAAATTCAGATATTAACAGCACTTGATGGGACTTGTTAAGAATAGGAAAGCACGATGTTTGGCACCTTAACATCAGTTTGAACTTATTTCTTTTAGATAGATAGGAGAGATATATGTCCTTACCTGCTGGAAATTTAGATGCTGAGTATTGTGTCGTGAATGTGTCTTCTCCCTAATCCTGGATCATTTTACAAGGTACACGTATGTGGCGAAGAGGAGCTGATCTTGATGGCTATGTTGCTAATTTTGTGGAGACTGAGCAAATTGTACAAATGAATGGATATTCTTCATCATTTGTGCAGGTAGTTTTTCTTACATGCTTGCATACTGTGAATTCCCTTATGCTGCAAATCTTTGGTCAATTTATAGTTACATTTTTTTTTTGCATACAACTTTCTCGAGACTGAGTTATCCACGATTATATTCTTAATGTTATTTACTTCCTACATTTGCAGGTCAGGGGATCCATACCTTTTATGTGGGAGCAAGTTGTAGATCTGACTTACAAACCCAAGTTTGAAATTGTCCAACCTGAAGAAGCTGTGAGTACTAATTTCTAACTAACCACTTACTTACTCTTTTAGTACTTTATCTATTTCTTTAAGGTAAGTTGCATTGGGTTCTTCTCTTGCAGACACGGATAGCTGAGCGTCACTTTTTGGACCTTAGGAAAAAATATGGATCAGTTTTGGCAGTTGATCTTGTTAATAAGGTACAAATTCTTTCAAATTGACATAAATACAAGTGGAGTTCTGTGACTCAAGATGTGGTACAGGTCATATTTGTGAGCTCACCTTGGTTTTTAAATTAACTGCATTACATAAATCTATTTTAACTTCTTATTCCGTAATTTCTCTAATCAGCATGGCGGCGAGGGGCGCTTAAGCGAGAAGTATGCTACTGTTATGCAACACATTACTGGGGATGATATAAGGTAGTCAATCTGTTCGTCTAATGTGCTTCTTAGACAGCTAGCTTAATATTGTCTTGCAACTCATTAAAGGCGGTGCCTTCTGTAGATACCTGCACTTCGATTTCCATCAAATTTGTGGGCATATTCATTTTGAGCGCTTATCAATTCTTTACGAGCAGATCGAGGGTTTTCTCGAAAAAAATGGGTATGATTATTTTGTACATTTCTATTTATGTAATCTGGAAATCTGAATAATAGAAATAAATAATGGCACGTCATTTTGCATTCTCTGAATTACACAGGTACTTTCTGTTGAATGAAAAGGGTGAGAAAATGAAGGAGCAGCTTGGTGTTGTCCGATCAAACTGCATAGATTGCTTAGACCGTACAAATGTCACCCAGGTTAGTCATAATAACATGACGATGCTGCTCTTATCTCATTGGCCTTTTCTCATCCATGCTGCATACTTCCTGCCAAGTGCAGAGTATGATAGGTCGAAAGATGTTAGAACTTCAACTCAAAAGGATTGGAGTTTTTGGCGCTGAAGAAACCATAAGCTCACATCTGAATTTTGACGAACACTATAAAATATGTCAGTCTCTTATCTTTGTAGGAAATCTGATATTGTAGAACTTAGACGTAAAATTCCGAATTTGTACATGTTGCTTATGTGCTTTTGGCTTTCAGTATGGGCTAATCATGGTGATGAAATCAGCATTCAGTACTCTGGTACTCCTGCACTTAAAGGAGATTTCGTTAGGTACTTTTGCCATATGTTTAATCTTTGGTCTGAATAAGTCCTGGCTATAAGGCAATATACAGTCATGAGTCACCTATAATAAGGGAGTGTTTTATAGATTACTCTACATGCAATCTAATGCGTCTCTAACCGGCTCAATTCTAGGTATGGGCATCGGACTGCCCATGGTGTCCTTAAAGATGGTTGGAGCTCCCTCAGACGCTATTACCTGAATAACTTTGCTGATGGAACTAAGCAGGTCAGTGAATTTTCATTCTCAGTAACTATACTTGTATTATCTAATAATGTTCAGCTGCATACTCTACAACTGTGTGCGACTACTTGTGGTATCACTTACCCCTGTAACTGGAATGTGTCCTGACTCTAGTTAATATGGCTATGTGCAATAGGATGCAATTGATCTCCTGCAAGGGCACTACATAGTTGCTGTGAGCCGAGACATGGCTCCTGTACCTCAAAAGGGAGGCCTTGAGGCTGTAGCCGTAAGCATTTTATCAATTACGATTTGAACTATTTTCCACTATATTAGCATACAAAGAATTCTAGTCTTATAACGGAGTAATTTCATTTCTCAGAACTTCCCAGTGGCATTGTTCGTGGTTCTGATGAGTTTCTGGTTTGCAACAATGTCTCTAAAACAAGGTAAGTCTGGTATTTCTTTTGCTGGATAGTTAGATTTTCTGTCAAACTTAATCTAAAACTGTGTAAATTGCTGAGCAGCTGGGAGTGATTATAAGCATAAGCACTTATTCTTCTCATTGTTGTGGACGGGAATTTGTGTGGGCATGGCTGCACTGGTGAGGGCAAATGGCCGGATCTTCTGCAACCGGCCTCGTCTGCACAAGCCCAGAGGCTGATTCATTTTATCCACTCGTGTGATCATTAATTAAAGACATGGAACTCAAGTCGGAGCCAAAAGTTTTCTCCCTTTGATTGTTTATTTTTTTGTATCAATGTTGGACCTTGTGACACCATCTAGAGGCAATTGTCTCACGTTTCGATCTCTCATGATTAATACTCCCACAGCCATCAATGACTCGATACAGTTACACATCTTTCTTCTTGTTCATTCTATGATTACTCGGTCCGATAAATGGCTTTCTAATTCCTTACAGAAATGACTACTTCTTGTAGCCAAAGTCTCCAAAAGTCAAGTTCATGTGCAGGAATCAGAGCAAGAGGTTACAAAGTCAAATCTATATTCTACTTTGTAACTATCATCAATTCATCAATAATGCGTTGATTCTTCATCAAAGAGTGGTTAAAGCTCGAGGATCTCATTTTAGTTCCTGCCAAACCGCAATCTCTAATGCTAGCTGATCTCTGTTGGTCATCGGTTCCTATATGCTCCGGTGTTTCCAACGATTCTGACAGTTCCTCATTGCAGAATTCATCATGACGCATGATAGACCAAGGGCAGACTAAGGAAGTGCCGGTTTCTACGTTGTTTTTGCCATTCCCTATACGGATCTTTGTTATTCAGGCTCAGTCCCTAGATGATCAATCGTTACATTGTTGTTAGGATCCATTATTTTGTGGCAGATGCACATCTACCCTCTGTTAAATCTTTTCTGCTGTTGTTTCTGGGAGATTTTGGTGCTGCATTGTTGCTTGATCATATTTTGATATTTGGTAAGGATTCAAATTCAAACAAACCAAAAAGAGGCCTCCTAGTTCAAGAAGCAGTTCAATGAGGCAATAATACTGAATGATTTGCTTAATTTTTTAACTTAAGAAACCAAATATTAATCAAAATATGGTAAGATCTACAGTACAAAAAAATGGGTAAAATTCCTTACAAAAAGAATAATGGAATCAATCAAAACTTGGAAAAACCAGAGAAAAAGGAACACAACCTGGAATCTCTGACTTTCCTATCAAAAGAGGAAACAAAAAAGAATAAAGTAACTCTCTTACCTTTTTCCAACTTGCTCTCAGTTCTTTCACAACTCGTTCAAAACACCTTTGAGGAGATCCAATCCCTCTGCAGAGATGCTCCTCCTCTTATGCGACTTAGGGATCTCAATCCGAGGAGGCGGTTCAGGCGAGAAACAGACAACCACTACAGTAAGATTATCACAGCTGTTGCGTTGAAGAGCCTCCTTAACCAAAGCTTGAGAGCATCTCTCAGGATCATTATGCTGCATCAGCTCCCTTCTTACCATCGTCACTGCACACTGGCTGCTCATCACATCCCAGAGTCCATCACAGCCCATTATAAGATACTCATCCTCCTCCGTCAGCACAATCTCTTCCAGCTCAGGCTCGCAGCTGAGCGGGCAGAGTGAACCTTTAGTTCCCTTAATGTGCCAATCTCCTAAAGCTCGAGCCACGGAAAGCTGCCCGTTAAGGTAGCCATCATAGATCACACCTCCAAGCTTCTCAATACGTAGCCGCTCGGAAGTACAGTTTGGTTTGTGGTCCTTTGATAGCTCAATTGCTCTGCCACGTTTCCCAAGCACCGCTCTGGAATCACCAGCGTTTGCAATCAACATAGTCTTGTCCAAGATAAGAGCAGTGAGTGCAGTGGTGCCAGATGATCTATCAAGAGAAGAAGCATCAGCTAAAGCATGATCCGTCTTGACAAAAGCACTTCTTGTTGCCTTCTTTGTACTGGTTGGGAAATGTTTGTCTTCCATTACAAGTTTCATCATGTTCTTCTTTGTGAATGATGCTGCATCAACACCTCCATGTCCATCAAACACCTTCACAACAACAACACATCTAAGAGACCAGAATTTTCAGAAAAAGCAATGGATGATACAGATGTTATATATACCCCATAGAAAGCTCCAGTGGATGATCCAATATGTTCAGTGAGGTCATCAACACAAATGAATTCATCTTCCATGGATTGCTTTGGTCCTTTATCAGACCAACTTCCAGATCTAAACACAGGCTGGAATGTTGAATTTACTCCTTGCGGAGATTTTGCACCAAATCTCTCATCTCCTTCCTGCGGAACAATCATTTCACATTGTAAGTTTCAAACTTTTGAATCAACAACATGAGATCTGACTATAAGGATTTCCACATCCGATCTAAGCTACATTATCTTATCTGTTCGTGATCGCACAATCACGAGAATTTGAAGAAAAAAAAACAAAGCAAAGAAGAGATGAACCAACGGAATCGGTCAACCAAGCAGTGCTGTTGCAATGGCGCATTGCAGAGATATTCCTTGGAGGCTTGCCAGAGGAGGTGAGATTCGTCATTTTGTCATCTGCAACTTCCAAAGTGTTAATCATCGGAGAAACTTCAGTCACCGGTGCCATTTCCAGATTCCGATCAAAAGCTTTCTTTTTTTGTCAGAAAGAATCATCACTTTTAAATTATAAAAATAGCTTTCTTCTTCCTCCTCCTTATTTTACTCACCAATCAGCTCTCTGGATGCCACGTGTGCTTCCAATTTGTTTTTCAATTTGAATACAAAAATTAAATATTTTATTAGTTTGCCATTCTTTTCGTCTCCTTCCTCGTCCTATTAACACAGAGCCATTGTTCAGTGTAAACAGAAAGCTTGAGCGAAAGATGAAGATTGCGTCTGGGTTTTACTTCTCACGCAGACCCATTTCTTCTTGGCGTCGTCGGTACCGGAACAACGTGAAGTTTTGATCAGCCTTTGAACCAATTTCAAAAACCCGAATGGTACACTCTCATATCTGTCTCTCCTGAGTTTTTTCGTTTTCTTCTAAATAACATAGGATAAGAGATTTTGATTTTGTGAATCTGGGTCTCAATGCTACTACAGTTAGCCATTAAACAATTGAAAAAGTTCGCTTTTTTGGGTTTAGAAAACAAAAGGTGTTAACTTGAGAGTTTTTTTTTTTTTTTTTTTTTTTTTGCGCTCTAACTCGCAAAAGCTAAGACTTTCCAGTATCTAAGATCTGAGTGGCATGTTTGGTATTTGATGGAGCTTCTCACTGTGATGTGGAAGTAATCATATGAGGTTAAAAGTGGGTTGGGGAAAGATGGAGGATTTGAGTGAGTGAGAGTTGGAAGAGGATCTCCACTTTGCACCTACTATAATGGGTACTCAATTACTTCCTCCACCATTCCCTCACGCTTAATCAGAAAGTGACCGACAGGTCAAGCATCTCTCTTCCCTCAACATTCTATTTCTGCTTGTAATGGTGGTTAATTTCAGTGACTTGACCTTCCTCCTTTTTTTTTTTTACTTGTGAAACAGAAAGCTTCGATATTGAGAAGATGAAGTGGTTTCTGGTTATGCTCATCATCTGCGATGCAGTTCTTTTACAAGGACTCGCCAAAGTTGTCTCCACGAGACCCCAAATTGTGAACATCGGCGCGGTTTTCACATTTAATTCTCTCATCGGTAAAGTCATCAAAGTTGCTATGGATGCTGCTGTTGAAGACGTCAATGCTAGCCCCAACATTCTTAACACCACTACACTTAGGATCATCATGCATGACACCAAATTCAATGGATTCATGAGCATCATGGAACGTAAGTGAGACTGCTCTGTGATTGTTGGATGATTATTATGTGTTTGTCTCAAGTTATATTATTTCCTTTTTCTGTTTTGCTCATGGATACTCTAGTCTTCTTTACCTTTGAATCAAAATTTTATACTCGCTGATTCATTTTTCTGTCTTGGATTGTTCCGCTATCTACTTTAGTTTCTGATACTGCAACATGCAAGTATACTCATGTCCATATTCTAGTATCCGGTTTACTGACTGATTGTTTTATGTATCATATTAAAAGCTCTACAGTTCATGGAGTCTGAGACAGTGGCCATAATTGGCCCTCAGAGATCTACGACCGCCCGTGTAGTAGCTCATGTTGCAACAGAACTAAAAATTCCTATACTATCCTTCTCTGCCACAGACCCTACTATGTCTCCTCTGCAGTTCCCTTTCTTCATCAGAACTTCACAAAATGATCTCTTCCAGATGGCCGCCATAGCAGACATTGTTCAATTCTATGGTTGGAGAGAGGTGGTAGCAATATACGGCGATGATGATTATGGCCGAAATGGGGTAGCTGCCTTGGGAGATAGGTTAGCGGAGAAGCGCTGCAGAATCTCATACAAAGCAGCTTTACCCCCCGCACCTACCAGAGAGAACATTACAGATTTGCTGATTAAGGTAGCTTTGAGTGAGTCAAGGATCATTGTCGTTCACGCTTCTTTCATCTGGGGCCTAGAGTTGTTCAGTGTGGCTCGGAATCTTGGTATGATGAGCACTGGTTACGTGTGGATTGCTACCAACTGGCTTTCTACAATCATAGACACAGACTCTCCTTTGCCATTAGACACCATAAATAACATTCAAGGGGTCATTACACTGCGCCTGCACACTCCCAACTTTATCATGAAGCAGAACTTCGTTCAAAGGTGGCATAACTTAACTCGTGTTGGACTGAGCACTTATGGACTGTATGCTTATGACACTGTCTGGCTGCTTGCTCACGCGATTGATGATTTCTTCCAAAAAGGTGGAAACGTTTCCTTTTCGAAGAATCCGATTTTATCTGAGCTTGGGGGTGGAAACTTGCACCTTGATGCTCTGAAAGTCTTTGATGGAGGCAAGATATTTCTTGAGAGCATCTTACAGGTTGATAGAATCGGCTTAACCGGTAGGATGAAGTTTACCAGAGACAGAAACCTTGTAAATCCAGCATTTGATGTGCTTAATGTCATTGGCACTGGTTACACGACCATCGGTTACTGGTATAATCATTCAGGCTTGTCTGTGATGCCGGTTGACGAGCTGAAGAACACATCTTTTCCGGGACAGAAGCTTCATAGTGTTGTCTGGCCAGGACACTCAATAAAGATACCACGTGGATGGGTGTTCTCTAACAATGGAAGGCATTTGAGGATTGGAGTTCCAAATCGTTACAGGTTCGAAGAGGTAGTCTCAGTTAAAAGCAATGGGATGATCACTGGCTTCTGTGTGGATGTCTTCATTGCCGCTATTAACTTATTACCTTACGCAGTCCCATTTGAGCTTGTAGCTTTTGGGAATGGTCATGACAATCCAAGTAACTCTGAGCTTGTGCGCTTGATAACGACTGGGGTGAGTACGTAAGCACTCTTTTAGAACTTGTTATGTTGGTGGGTGTGTATTTGACATCTTTTACACAGGTCTACGATGCGGGTGTTGGTGATATCACCATCATAACAGAGAGAACCAAAATGGCAGATTTTACTCAGCCGTATGTGGAGTCAGGGCTAGTGGTGGTGGCTCCTGTTCGGAAGTTGGGTTCCAGTGCTATGGCGTTCTTGAGGCCATTCACACCCCAGATGTGGCTTATTGCAGCTGCGTCTTTCCTCATAGTCGGTGCTGTCATTTGGTGTCTGGAGCACAAACACAATGACGAGTTTCGAGGCCCTCCTCGTAGACAAGTGATCACTACTTTCTGGTGAAAACATAATAAGCTCCAACTGGATGAACTTAATTCCAAACACTCTACAATTTTTTCAGGTCTTTTCTCTGAAATATTTCGTTGTTTACTTGTTTTGCAGGTTCAGCTTTTCAACTCTTTTCTTCTCGCATAGTAAGTGTACTGCCCACACCCCCTATATATCTTTAGTTGTTTTCCATTTAAAAATTGGTGTCCAATGTTCTCTGCTGAATTTATACAGGAGAGACTACCACCAGCAACCTTGGAAGAATAGTGCTGATAATATGGCTATTCGTAGTTCTCATAATTAACTCAAGTTATACCGCAAGCCTCACGTCAATCCTCACAGTTCATCAGCTGTCTTCGCCAATTAAAGGCATAGAAACTTTGCAAATAAACCATGATCCTATTGGGTATCCACAAGGCTCCTTTGTCAGAGACTATCTGGTCCACGAACTCAATATCCATGTTTCAAGACTTGTCCCCCTTCGGTCTCCAGAGGAATATGATAAGGCCTTGAGAGATGGTCCCGGGAAAGGTGGTGTTGCTGCTGTTGTTGATGAACGTGCTTACATAGAGCTTTTTCTCTCAAACAGATGTGAGTTCGGCATAGTTGGTCAAGAGTTCACGAAAAACGGATGGGGATTTGTGAGTATCGTTCTGAATATAAACAACTCCCTACTGGTTTGATGACAACAGTAACCTGCAGAACTTTTTCGAATTTGATAGTGTGATAGTGATGATGATATGTATTTTTTCTCTCCCACTGTTTAGGCATTTCCACGTAACTCGCCTTTGGCTGTGGACGTCTCCGCTGCAATTTTGCAGCTATCAGAAAATGGAGATATGCAGAGGATTCGGGACAAATGGTTGCTTAGAAAAGCATGCTCTCTGCAAGGCGCAGAGATAGAAGTGGATAGGCTGGAGCTTAAGAGCTTTTGGGGGTTGTTTGTGGTGTGTGGAGTGGCATGTGTTCTTGCTCTTGCAGTGTATATAGTGTTGATGATACGTCAGTTCGGACGACAATGCCCTGAAGAAGCAGAGGGGTCGATCAGGAGAAGAAGCTCACCATCCGCGCGTATCCATTCCTTTCTCTCCTTTGTGAAAGAGAAAGAAGAAGACGCCAAGGCTCGGTCCTCTAGGGAAAGGCAGCTTGAAGATATCTCTGCTAATGGTTCAAGTCGTTGCAACTAAAGTATTTCAGAAAATTAATTGCACCAGAGAGACCTCATAATGGCTCTAGTATGTACTAATCCCTCTTTGTTGCTACACTTGAGATCAAACACTGTTTGTATTTAATCTCATGGTGATTTGACTTGTACAACAAAAAATAAAAATTTGGTTAATGTCTACATCTCATCTCATGGTCACAAATGTGAAGAGCTCCCAATTGGCAGCTATAACACCAAGAATCCAGGAAAGCTTTATACAGCCTAAAGAAGAATTATAGAAGACCAAACTAATGATATGGATTTGTTATTATTAATGTGCTCAACTTCAAATACAGCAGGAATGTTGAAAAAGACAGCAGAGAATAGAAAGTCATCCATCAGAGAGAAATGAAGCTCCAGCGTCTTGCTGTTTTGCACCGACGGAGAAGAACTCGGAGATAACTTCAAGGGGCATTCCCTTTGTCTCTGGTACCTTGAGGTACACAAAAACCCATGCGACAGCACAGACGATTGCATAAATGCCAAAGACTCCCGCGATGCCAATGGATTTGAGCATGACTGGGAGAGTGTAAGTGACGATTATGTCACAGATCCAGAAAGTGAGGGCACAGATGGTGATGCAGAGACCACGTACAGAGGTAGGGAAGATCTCTGAGCATAGGATGTTTGGGATTGCCCCAAAACCCATCACGAAACAGCTTAGGTACACCGTAACACTAGCTGTCGATATCAATGCGTTTGTTGTACCTCCAAGCTTCACCAAGCTTCCTATCACCAGTGTTACCAGCGACAGTATTAGAATGGGGATAGTGGAAAGCATCAGAGACCTGTAATCACGCTTCTGGTATTGTTACTTTTTCAAATTATACCATTCAGCTGAAAAAAAGAGAAGGAAAAGTAGAGAAAACTCGCCTTCTGCCAGTTACATCCATTAACCTCATGGAAACAAGAATGCAGGGAAGCATCAAGAGTGTGGTTAAGGCGCTTATGAGAAGCGATGCAGACTCTGCACTTATTCCAAGGTTTGTCAAAAGACTTGACACTCCTGTTTCTTCCAATATTTGAGGTGTATAATACATCACTCCATTTATTCCTGCAAACTGCAAACATGCTTCTTTTCTTTTATTTACTTCCTTATTTGTTTTGTGTCTTTACTTCTTACAGACAAGAATCTGGAAAAAAAACATTACCTGTTGCAGTATCTGAAGCCCAACTCCAACCATCAAAGCTCTCTTAACCCCTGGTTCTTTCAGCTCCCTCCAGCCTGGACTATCCTTGACCTCCTTTGGCAACATTGCAGTCTCGCCTTTACCTCCTGGCATCATCGAAGCTTGGCTCACAAGTGCAGCAGCCTGAACGTATCCATTCACCTGATCATGACCATCAGCTTCTGGATGGAAGGAGAGAAGTGATCCACGTCGCGAAAAAGGAATGTTGTTGGTGTTGTTGTTGGCGGTTTCCTCGTGAATATACATTCTCTGTAACCCTCCATTGACTCTCTTACCATCTGCACCAACCTTGTCGTTATACTTCCACGCCAATTGCCATCCCCCGCCTATGCTTGTAGCTGTCGCTGTCTCACCCACGTTTGCCATAAACAAGCTGCTCTGTCGCCTGTGCATGGTACCAACGGTCCGCTGGTGGTAGTCATCCGGCTCAGACGTGGTTGGCGGAGAAAGCAGAGGACTGTTCAAGTTTTCATCTTGGTCAGAGCTATCTTCATTGTTTCTCTCTGGATCCCACTGGGACTCCTGCCTTCCCATCATTCCCAGTATACTTCCCATATTGGGGAAGAGCATGCTGCGGGATGATGCGTTCATGTTCTCAGAAGGGAGTTTTTCATGAATGCTACCAAAGAGTGTGACAAGTGGGTCCATGAGGGATCCGCCACGCGGTAACATGCTGCCCTGTCGGGACGCCAATGCGAGAGAACTCTGTCCTTTCACTGGCTTAGCCATCCATGACTGTCCATCCTCTGGACCGTATAGTTTTATCTGATCTTTCCTCGGCAGTTCATGTCCACCCTCGCTTTCCTCGTTGTCCGGTCCAATCACATATTCTTCTATCGACGTGTCCTTTCCCACCCCAAGCCCTTCAACCAGCAGAGCAAGCTCGCCTAAATCACATCCCGAGTTAGTCTAAGTTCAAAGTCGATAATCTAAAGGTCTTAGTGTTCATCAAGACAAACCTGAAACATCTTCTCTGCCACGGAGTCTCTGCAGAACCTGTCTAGCTTCATCCATCCGGCCTTTGCTGACAAGCCACCTAGGAGATTCAGGCAAGAAGAAAGCCGCAAGTACAAAGTAGGCAATAGACGGAATTGACAAAACACCAAGCATCAGCCTCCAGCTTGGTGATTCTTGAAGCGACATCCCAAACACAAGACAATAAGACAAAAACATCCCACCAGATCCACAGAACTGCGGGAAAGTGTTGAGTAATCCTCTGATCTCAGAAGGTGCAGTCTCAGAGATGTAGATTGGGACGAGAGTGACAGCTAAACCGATCCCAAAGCCATCAAGCAGCCTTGCGAAAAGGAGAACGTAGACATTGGGAGACCAAAACATAACGATGCTACTGAGAAAATAGAGAACAGAGGAGAGTATAAGCATGGAACGCCTTCCAACTTTGTCAGAGACAGGACCAGAGAAAGTTGTGATCAAAGTGGCTCCAATGAGAGACATTGCTACGATCAGTCCTTCTATCTTTGGTTCTTTTTCCAAATGAAATTCTTTCTTTATATAAATTACAGCTCCTGCCACCAAAATAGAAGCAACATCAAATCATTGTGAGTTTTCGTATAGTTCTTCTATGCAAAGAAAAACAAAGACGGAGAAAGAAAGAGAGAGAGAGATACCTGCAATGGTGGCATTGTCCCAGCCCTGCAACATATTCCCTATGGCAGCGGCTAAAGCAACAAGCACTACACTCCTCATCCTTATTTCTTTCACAGTGGATTTAACTTCCCAATTAAGAATCAATAATTCTGTTGATAGAACATAATATATATGTTTCTTTTCCTTCTGAACAGATTATTACTTCACTGTCCCAGATCCATTTCTTTTCACAAACCAAGAAAGAGAAAAGGAAAAATAACAAGAGTTGTTACTCTTAAATTATGCGATTTAACAACAACTAAAAACGAGTTGTTAAAGACGTTTTAGTGATTAACCGGAAGCATGTAGCGTTTTGAGAAGTGGTAATAACGGTAGGAGAGAGAGTGAAAAGAGTTGGTCAAGAAGAGATATATAAGGAGAATGTGACATTGCTATTTTGACCGCTTCTTATGTCCTTTTTTATGTAATTACCCTAACCAACACAAAACAAAACAAATCTTACCACAATTTACTTAACTAGAACCTACCCTGCCTAACAGTCAATTCTAAAGTGCATAATAACCAATTTCAATCTATCCAATCAGACCGGACATTTAACCAACCGGTCTTACTGTTTTTGAACGCCTTTAACGGGTTTTACGGTTTGAAGTCAATGTCGGTTCTAAACAAAATCATAAATCCCAAACCGAACTCAATCTTCTTCCGGCAACTTCATAATCTGCTTTCCCAATTCTCTCGTCGGAGAAGGTCCTCTGAAACCCTAGACAAATCGCAAGGTAAGTCTTTCTTCAGAAATTCATTCTGAGTTCTCAATTTATGTTCTATTCTCTGCTTTTGAATTGAGATCATCGAATTCCATGGTTTCTCTGATGCTTTTTGGCTTTCAATCTCAAAATTTTGTAAAATTTTTATGATATTGAGCAGAGATGCAAAACTCAAAGATTCCACCGTTTTCTGAAGCAAAAAGAATGAAGATTTCTACTCCAAAACAACCCTTGACCCAATTACCACCAAGAATCGGGAAAAAAGTTTCAAATCGGAGCAAATCAGACCAAGTTCATGCGATTTCACATCAACTTGACATGTCTCCAAATTCAGATTCATCTTCAGGAAACGAGTACAGAGCACTGAGGCGTAAGTATTTGCTGCTAGAAGAAGATAGTTTCGCGTTGGAGAGAGAGTTAAAAGAAGCAGAGGATGAGGTTAAAGCACTTGAAGATGAGAAACTTGAGCTCTTGGACAAACTCGTTGTAATGGAAGGTTTAGTTGATCCTTGATCACTTGTCTTATCTGCCCCTTTCATATGTACAAAACCGCCTTATGTAGTAATAACATTGTTTCTGGTTACACAACTGATAAGCTTGTTGTGTCTGGAGAATTGGAGATGGTAAAAACTGTTAGTTCACTTATTGCGTCTTTCAAGTTGATTAAAAAAATGGTCTTGGCCTCTTGGGACTAAAGACGTAAACTTGCTACCGTTTTTTTACAAGTCTTGATTCAAGAATCCATTTTGATACTAGTTTCGCTAAACCCAAACTGTGATTAAAAATGTCGTTTATATGCAACACGTGTCCTTCTTACACATCAGGATGATAGATGAGATATTTATATTCAAGAACTGTAACGTGTGGCTCAAAATCATCGATTCACCGCTCAAAATCATCGATTCACCGCTTCAGACTCTGTTTTAGACCAAAGTCGAGTGCTTTCATCTTCTTCTTAAGCATCTATGGCCGCGTCTCTAACATCTCTTTCGACCACTTTCTGTCTAAGCCATAGTGATGAGTGTTGTAACAGCCGTTCACCTACCAAATCACCATTTCCAGGCCACCATCCTCTGGCTGGGAGGAGGAAGGTTCACTTGCTGCATTACGAACTTAGTACAGTGAGGAGATTGGTCGTGACGGCGGCGACAGAGGGTTCTAGAAAATCTAAAGAAAATGAACCGTCTTGGGCGAACCCTGACTCAGATGAGCCACCTCCTTGGGCTAGAAATGAAGGTCGTTCTTCTACTTCCCAAGAGAGCTTTGAGGTTCCCTTCTATGTTTATCTGCTAGCCTCTGCGATTACTGCCATTGCTGCTGTATGATTCTTTTGTCTCTTTCACTCCTTTTGTTTTTTTTTTAATTGCTGATTCTCATATCAAAGATGTTATCTTTATTATGCATCTTTTGGTCACTGTAGATTGGTTCTGTTTTCGAGTACTCAAGCAAGAATCCAGTTTTCGGGGTCTTGGATTCTGACAGCATCTTTTATACTCCTGTACTTGGATTCTTTGCTCTTACTGGAATCCCTACTTCTGTGAGTTCTCTGACACTCTCTTTTGTTTTTGTCCATTTGATCTTTGTGTTGTTTCTTCAGTTGAAACTGTGGATTTTTGTGTGCAGGTATTTCTATGGTTCAAATCCGTTGAAGCTGCTAATAAGGAAGCTCAGGAACAAGATAAAAGAGATGGCTTTCTTTAAAACTCATTTGTGTGTTTCTGCAACTTTCATACAATGATTGTTATCCTCCACATACTCTGAATATAGTTGTGCATTTTCAAAGGAGCTTGCTTCTGTTCACTGTATTATTACCACAATATGTCATGTTACAACGCAATGCTGCAGCTGAGAGAGTAAACTAATTTTGAAGTTGCTTACAATTTAAATGCTCAGCTCTACATTTCCCAAGTAAATGGAGGCATCTTGGTCTATTTATTGAGTTTGAGACTGTGCCCTCTTTTATCTGTACCTCTGAAAGATATGGATTAACAAGCAATCAAAGAGTTCCGATATGCCACCCCACGGTTGAAATGTGTGGAGCTGATGGCAGCATCACCACTTGTTCAGTGAGTTGTTAAACAGATCCAACTTTGTTGTGGTTAAGCATTGCTTGCTTCCATTCTTAGTAGGAGATAGGAGTCTGAATATCGGTTATAAAGGATATTTCCTTGACGCTTGGAGAAAGTTGGTGAAAGAGGGTCAAATCAATTGCTGATAGACTGACTGCTTGAGCAAAGGCTCTTTCCGGGAATGATCACTCGCAAAACTGTGTTTCTCTACACTGATTGTACTGAGAAAAGGCTCATTCATTGCAGTTGAATATAAGTCTAAGCATTGGAAGATATCTAGTGGTATACAAAAACTGTTGGAGCATATTAAACTAAGGGAAGTATTGTCATTTGGCCCAAAATGTACTTCTGAGCTTTAGCAAAGGCTTAAACTTTTGAAAACTCCAATTAGGCAATAATTATTACGGATCAAATGAGAGAGAGTATGAAACTTGTCGGGCTCTTTAAAGATGGGTTGTTGTCTAAAAAAGTTGGGTAGTTAAAAGATTGGTTATTTGGGCTCTCTACCTTAAGTGAGACAGAAGATAGATAGATAGATCTGAGTAGAATCTTCGATTCATTCATTCTCGTCGTTCATCTGTGAGAAGCGGACAAACCAAAGAATCCGCCGGAGCTAGTGATATGGGTGGTTCCAGAGAGTTCCGAGCTGAGGTACCCTCAAACCAATTCCACTCGATCATCGCCATAGTCATCTGGCTTGGCGCCATTCACTTCAACGTCGCTCTTGTTCTCTGTTCCCTCATTTTCCTTCCTCCTTCTCTATCTCTCATGTATATACCCTTCTCTCTCTCTCTATCTCTCTATAGTTTTATCTCTCTCTGTTTGTTGTTACATGTCTCAAAGTTAAACTCTTTGAAATCCTCTGTTTTTTTCAGGGTCTTGGGCTTGCTCTCTCTGTTTATCTTCATCCCAATCGACCATCGTAGCAAATACGGTCGTAAGCTCGCTAGGTACTTCTTCTCTTTCTCTCTTCTTTCATCTCCAATCGTTTTTTGGTCTCAAATTCATCTTTTTGTTTTTTGACCAGGTACATATGCAAGCACGCGTGTAGTTATTTCCCTGTCTCTCTGTACGTCGAGGATTACGAAGCTTTTCAGCCTAATCGTGCCTATGGTTTGTCACAATCTTGTTCTTACTCCAAAGTATCAAACTTTAAGATGGGTTTTGTGATGTCGTTGACTTTTTAAACTTGTGATTACAGTCTTTGGTTATGAACCACATTCGGTGTTACCGATTGGAGTTGTTGCGCTTTGTGATCTCACAGGGTTTATGCCTCTTACTAATATTAAAGTTCTTGCAAGTAGTGCTGTGAGTTCATGCTGCTTAATCTCTTTGTGTAGCATCCTTAACCTTCTTGTCCGCAAACTCATTGTTTTGCAAAATTGATTTTAGATTTTCTACACTCCCTTTCTAAGGCATATATGGACATGGTTAGGCCTCACGGCTGCTTCTAGGAAGAATTTCACTTCCCTTTTGGATTCTGGCTACAGTTGTGTTCTTGTACCTGGTGGTGTGCAGGAGACTTTTCATATGCAACATGATGCTGAGGTAGCTTTATTGTAGCTCAATTAGTAGCATTCACTTTTGCTTTGATGAAATCATTTTCTTATGAGGGATTTGGATTACTTAGAAAGCTTCAAGTTTTTGACTACTTGAGATATCTCATGTACATGTAGTTTGTAAACTGAAGAGAAAAGGGTGTATTTATGATTTCCTTATTGAAGTGTATCTCACATTGCAGACTATCTTCCTTTCAAGGAGAAGAGGTTTTGTGCGCATAGCCATGGAACAGGGGAGCCCTCTGGTTCCAGTGTTCTGCTTTGGTCAGGTAAGGAAAAAGAGTTTCTCACAAACTGTTATGCTCTATCTAGTTGTCTTTATGTACCTGAAACTCTCAAACTAATCAGTTGGTCAGAAACATAAATCGAATTTTGTACCGTTTCTGCTTTCCAGTTTTATGTTTCATGTGTGTTTCTTCTGCAGGCACGCGTGTACAAATGGTGGAAGCCGGATTGGGATCTCTATCTTAAACTATCTAGAGCAATCAGGTTTACCCCGATCTGCTTCTGGGGAGTTTTTGGGTAAGCGTAAACCTTTTTGGGTTAGTTCTTTTAGATACATTTTGCCTATGGAAATCTTGAAAGAGGTCAACTATTCCCATTGTCTTTTGTAGATCACCATTACCGTGTCGACAGCCTATGCACGTGGTAGTTGGTAAACCAATAGAAGTTACAAAAACTCTGAAGCCAACTGATGAAGAGGTTAGTCTTCATGTATCAATGTTTTATAGCTTCTTCTTAGAATGTAATTGTGCTACTAGACGTTACTGTGAATAATGCTTACTTTTGAGTTCAGCATTCATCAACTTATTGAGTTTTTGCGCATCTCAGATTGACAAGTTCCATGGCCAGTATGTGGAAGCGCTTAGGGATCTGTTTGAGAGGCACAAGTCCCGAGTAGGCTATGATCTTGAGTTGCACATTCTTTGAACAAAATCTCCAGGGAAATTACTACTTGTGTGTATTATCCTTCATTATTTGTTACCTTGGTACTAGATTTGGATTTAATATACATGACTGCAAGTATGTCTTTAACATCGACTGTTGTAGTAATGGAATACGTTTATAAAGCCTGTAAATTACTTGTTATCTTGCAGAAGAGTGTTGGTAACAATAACAAGTTTTTCCTTGACTAAAGACGAAATAAAACTAATTTGTTTATAAATCCCTCTAAACAAATTAAACTAAAACATGTAGTAAAAGAAGCTCCAGGTGATGCAAATGAAGTCTAATACATATAAGATCATTCGAATTCAAACACAAGGTGGCTTGAGCTGGAAGCCCTGACCACACCATCCAATTCGTTGCGCATCTTACTTCTTTTTGCCAACTTACAGAGCCTTTTTGATTCAATGGGATCCGTGGAGAAAGTTGCCTTCTTCAGCTGTCCTGCATTCCTTAGAATGTATGTAGCCACTTCTTTCTCTTCTTCTCTTCCCCAATTGCAATTTTTCCACATAAATGTCTCGAGATGGGACATCAAACATTCAGGGACATACTTAGGTTGATTCCATTCCCCTTGGTCCGTATGTCGTTTGTCAAATTCTAGATTTTCCTGACGAGTTTCATGCTACCAAAAGGGAAATGCAATGTATATTATTATTAGTCATTCAAAATTAACCCCAACGAGAGACCATCAACAAGTGCTAGCTAACTAATAATGAAATGTCTTACATCAATCAGCTTGAGGACTTGTAGTTTAGGAGAGCTATCAAGCATGACCGTAAGCAGATTCCACCACTCCACTTTATGTGTATGCATCTCTAGATATACCAGCTGATGGTACATAACTTCAGTAGGATATGTAATCTATTCATGAGACAATTATTAGTATATACAGAAACAACAAATAAGTCAATTCAAGTGCGATAAAAACCCACAAAGTTACCTTCAAAGGTGATAAGTCCAAGGAAAGACGTTTGACTGACTTGAGAGATCCCAAAATCTTCTCATTGACTATCTTAGAAACGTTTCTAATACTTGCCTCAACTAGCTCAGATGCATTTTCAATCAGAAGAAACCCATAACCTTTTACACCTTCAATTCCCAAGTACTTCAAAGAAGGAGCTTTTATCACACATCCCCTATTCTCTCGCGCACTAAAGGGATCGGAAAGCGATAGTGTCTTCAAAGATGGCGCATCAATGACGAAATTCACAACAGCATCATAGGAGAAACCTCGATGCAGGACCAAATGTTCAAGATTAGGGCAGCTAGATAAAAGGTTGTGAACAGACTCATCGCCTTTGTACACCACAGATAGAAGGTAAAGAGTTCTAAGGGACTTCATAGAAACAGGAGAAGGAAAATCAAGATAAACGTAATTCATAAGTTTCAAGGTCTCAAGTGTATCAAAGCAAAACAAGCTACTTGGAAATCTGATTTGTGGGCCATGGCAAAAACTTAGATCGAGTACGAACTCACGAACATGGCGTGCAAATGCAATTGTAGCCCATATTCCAAGATATACACCATCAAATTGATCTCTAACGCTCAGATGCAAACTCTCTAGAACTGGAGCTTTATGTGAAAGCAAAGACCTGGTAACATTTTCTGCAAATTCATATATGTTTCGATAAGATTCAAACTCGAGTCTTGGTACCATTTTCCAAAGAGAACGCCATCGTTGAGACAAAACACTTGTGGATATGACAAGTTTAGTAGGAAGTGAAGACAATATCTTCAGAAGCAAAACTTCAGGCAACTCACTGATCCTGTCCTCACTCATAATACCTGGCTTTCTCGAACTTTTGCCACTAAAAATCAAAGAAGACATATATATTAAGAGTTAGGGTTTTGGAGCTTACTATTAAAGATGCAGAGAAAAGAAACAAACCCTTGTTCCATCAATTTTGCAGTTCGTCTTCCCAGACGAGTGCTATCGTATTACCAACACTCCAAACGCAAATACAAATGCAAACAGAACCTAAAAATCAAAACTTGAAATTTCACTGAACCTGTGAGAGAGAAGACCGGCAGAGGCAAAGCTATTGAGTGAGATTGGAGAACGATGACGGAGGAGAACGAAAGATCAGAGAAAATTAGGGCTTTTTAATTAAAACCGGTCTTGTTCGGGCAGACTTAGATAAAACCGAACCGAATCCAAAACGATCAGCCAACAATGCCGGTTTCGTTCCGGTTGGTTTTGAAATTCTATGTTTTTTTTGGTTTTTTTTGAAAATAGTATCATAAATATTACTGTATTTTTGAAATTCTCCCTTATTAATTAAAGAGTACAGTATTTGAATATATTTTTATATATTCTCTTATGACATAATTCAAATTATAACTGAAAATGATCCTAAAAATGAAAAGTGGATAAAAAAACAGAATATGGCCGAATAAATTGAATTAAATTACAAAATAAATGTAACCTATTAGATAACTAATCTAAATCCGTGCATCATATTTTGACACGTCTATTTATTTATACGTCATAAGATAATCAGCTCAATTTGAGTTTCTATGTTCACATCGTGCTTTAAAAATTGGAAGAAAACGACATGAAAACTAAAACCACACGGGAATGGAAAATGCCTTTGTTGAAGCTGAGACTCCCTTTAAAAAGTTAACTACCTCCAACCACCTTTTCCCACCACTTTCTCACATCTTTTTTATTTTTCTTTGTCAACTCTTTTTATTTTAACAATTTTTGGAAACATTCTCTATCTCTCTTTTGTCTTTATCTGAATTCTGTTTCGTTTATCTGTTCTTTAATCGTGTATTTTTAAACCGTCGATGAGTGATCGGAGTCTGAAAAAGTCTCTTCCCGGAAAAAGCAACCGCCCGGCGGATGAGAATTTGGATCTCTTCTCAGTCAACCGTGGAACTTCTGTAGATGGTATCATCATCTATTATTTGGTCCATTGACTTGTCTTTTGCTTTTCTACACCAACACACATTGAAATTGTTCTTCCATCAGTGTTTAGATTGCATTCTAAGATCTCTTTGATGCTATTCTCATTTCAATTTGCTAGTTTTTTTTGCCTATTCTTTGTATACAATAATTCGTCTTCCAATAAGTCAGATCCATATTAATGTGATGTAGAATGTTCTATGTGGTATGCAGTTTTGATTAAACCAGGAAGACATTCTTTCCAACAAGCTAAAGTTGCTAAGCATGGACCTAATGATGACAAGAATCACAAGATACATGCAAATGAACCGTAAGAATTTATGTCATCCCTCATTTGAATTTATACGCAATAATATTCCTGAAATACAAGTTATAATACATATAATCTTTGTTCCTTAGGCTTTATACCATTGCAGAAGTTCCATTAGGAGATCTTTCTAGATTGGTTCTAGAAGCTAGAAACACAACTTCCAAGCTTCAGTCCATAACCACTACAAGGGCTGCTTTAAGGGTATGATGCAACAAGCTCGATATAATTTCATGTATGCTCATGTAATATTTTTATATTTTTTTCGCGCAGAGCGAGAGTGATCAATCTTCAAGACCAACCAGAAGCGGTTCAACAATTCGTCCCTCCAACATTCCCACTCTCAGATCCTCATCGGTCCCCAAGAAGACAACAACAACAACAATTTCAGCTTCAGCTTCAGCTTCAGTTTCTTCTCCAAAACGAAATGTCTCACGATCTTTAACTCCCTCATCACGCAAAATACCATCACCATCCTCAACTCCTTCAAGAATCAGTACAACTACTTCAACAACTCCTTCCTTCAATAAAGCTGGAGACGCTCAACGATCAAGATCGTTGACTCCAAGATCAAAGCCTCAGATTGCAGCAAATTCAAGTAAGACCAATGTGCGTTCTTCATCTGTTTCAGCAACACCTCGGACACCACCAAGACTAAAAGAAACAGTCACTCTAGCGTTTGGTAGACCAGTGGGGAATGTTAACTCGCCAAAACGAAACACCTCACCGGATGTTACAAGAACGAGGCCTAAAGGACGCTCTGCTTCTCCTTCTCGGATTCCGACTTTTTCAGGCGTCTCACATACAACAGTAACTCCCAAATCTGTAAAGCCATCTACCACTGTTGCGGATTCAACTAGGCCAGGAAGAAAATTGTCAAGAGCTTCGGTTCAAATGGCTATCAATCACTTGGTAAACAGAGCTGAATATTTTTGTCATTTAAAACGTCTATAATACTCAATTAAGTAGTAACTTATTTATGAGGTTTTGCTTGACGATAATATTGTCACTTCAAATGCAGGACGTGGCACGAAATGGTAAAGTTAGTACACATACGTTTTCAAGCACTATGTTGTATCCACACAGCATCAGATCTTCTTCTTTGGGTCTAAGAAAGCCGTGTGGTAGTAGTGAAGGCAGCTGCAGCAGCAGCAACCATGAAGAGGAAGATGGACGAAACTTAACGAAAGAAGGAGATAACACAGAGAATAAGAAAGATAGTGCTCGTTACGACGCACTCTTGAATGTTAAAGATGTCAAGGATACAAACTGGCTACTTAACATTGATGATGAATCTCATCAATCTCTCATCTTCGACAATGCTTTCGAATCTCCTCCTGATCTATTCCCTCCTCTCTGATTCCTTTTGATGTTTTTTTTTCATGTTTGTTATAGTTTAAAACAAGAGAGCTGCTTGGAAAAATAATCCTGTTTCACTCTTTTTATTTTTTTATGCAATCAAGAGAAAAAAAAACATTTAATATACAGCTTTGAGCTTTTTGCTGGACCCTTATTGTTTAGATCAAAATATTTGCAAGAAAAGACACAATTGGTAGGATTCCGTAAAAAAAATGTGTATACTATTGTAGTTTAGTTCATGGTTAGTGTAATTCTAGAAGTCCATATAATAAAACAGAGAAGTGGTGGTTGATGTACTCGTTTACAATTTGTGTCGCAATTTATTTCACACATGTTTATGATGTTCATAAGAGTTCGACTTGTAATAGACTAATAGTTAGTTAGTAACGATACATCCATTACCAAAAGCGTTAGAGATAACAAACGAAATAGTACATTGACGCGATTCATGTTTAATGTTTTGTAGAAAGAAGAAACAAAAAAAAATACATTATTTTTTACACTCTCCATCGTGGTAGTATCAAATAACAATCCAAAATTCTAAATAGATAACAGCAAAGAGAATAATAATAAATAGTTAAGAGAAAAAAATATAAAAAGGAGAAACGAACCCGTCTCCTTTGGATGGAGCCGGTTTAGAAAGGTAGGTGGTAGTGTACCGTGTTTTAAGACTCTCTAACGTCCCTTTGGATTCATGATCTGAGAAAACACAGCACTTGGAGTGAGTCCATCTGAATCTTCGCTGGCCAAACTCCGACCACCGATGCTCATGTCTATTCCACTGCTCCTCGAGTCCGTCACATTCCCTTCATACACATCAGAACTCTTGTCGTTCTTTCCTTTACAGTTGCCATCATCGTACTTAATCTCATCCATGTCCATGTCACCGCATACTCCTTTTCCGCTCTCCTCTGCGCTTTCCTGGAGCTGCAACGCAAATTCTAAGTTCCACAGAACATCTCCCATTGATGGTCTCTCAATGCCCTGGTCTAGTACACACTTCATTGCGGTTTCAGCAAACTTTTTGAAGCATTCAGGTGTGATCTTGCCCTTGAGATAGGGATCGACTATTTGATCAAGCATGCCTTTCTTGTAGCAGTATGGTGCCCACTCAGCTAAGCTCACTTGTTCCTTTGCAAGTGTTGGGTTCAAGGCTGGCCGTGCGCATAGGGCTTCGAATAGAACGACGCCAAAGGAGTAGACATCAGATTTCTCAGTCAGTTGCTGCCGTCTGAAATACTCTGGGTCAAGATAACCAAAACTTCCTTTCACCACCGTGCTTACGTGGGTGTGGTCTAGTGTAGGACCAGTCTTTGACAGCCCGAAATCAGAGACCTTGGCCACCCATTTCTCATCCAATAGAATGTTTGTTGTCTTCACATCTCTGTGGATGATTGTGTGTTTTGCACCAGTGTGTAGATAATGCAAGCCCCGGGCTGCCCCGATGCATATCTCAAGACGTTGCTTCCACGGAAGAGAAGGATTCTGGGTTTTGTAGAGATGCTCCCTCATTGTACCATGAGCCATGTAATCATACACTAAGATCATTTCGCAGTTCTCTTCACAGTATCCAATCAAGGACACAAGGTGACGGTGTCTAAGCTTTGAAAGCATTTCAATCTCAGTCTGGAACTCGTGTACACCTTGCTCAGACATTGGGTTTCCTCGCTTGATGGCTACCTTTGTAGTTCCACCATCAATTTCTCCTCTGTAAACCTTGCCGAAACCTCCAACACCAAGCACCCGGGACTCATCAAAGTTTTTAGTGGCTGCTTTAATCTCAGCAAACGAAAAGTGACGGCAAAGATTTGACGGAAGGGAAGAGGCATAACTTCCTGTTGTGTTTGTCTTGGCCGAGCCAGCAGAATGTGAGTTTCCATACAGAGAAAGTGGAAGCCACCCTGATGTTGCATCACTTGCAGGCTGGTAATCACCACGCTTACGTCTGCGGTAAGCACCAAACACACAGAAACCGATGATAAGGGCCAGAACAACCGCACCACTGGCTGCGCCTGCAACAACTGCCGTATTGCTTTTTGATTTCCTAGTAGTCGGGCGTAGGACTTTGGATGCATCTGCAGTCACCTGTGGACCAGGTATAGGATTGGGACCTGCCAAATTACCATCAGATGTATTCATCTTGAATATCTCCACTCCATTAAGAATAGAATCATAATACTCCGGCTTGTTAATCGGGTTAGGATGAAGAGCAAGCCACATATCTTGTTGTCCATTTCCCTCTGGAGGATTCACCACGTAATCCTTGTGAAACGGAACCCCGTTTGAACTAGTCCAAGCAATAATATCAGCTTCAGGTTCAGCAGTTTGATTGTTGAGGTAGACGGTAAACACCCGTTGGTTGATCTTAGTGATATTGGAAGAAACCTCACAGAAATGAAGCCTAACAAGGTAAGTAAACCCAGAGTCAATGCTGAAAATCCAAGTAAGATTGTAGTTGAGATTGATTTGAGCTGTTGGACCCATCGACCTAGCAGTTGAATAAACATCGAGAGGAGCAACATATGTAGGAGTCCCCTCAGGATACTTAATGGTCATGTTAGGATCAGCAGTCTCTGGAATCCCAAGTCCTGCACCAAATATATAAGGCTGATCATCATACCACGACCTATACAAACCCGTATCGGCGGAAGGCGAGATATCATTCCCTCCAACATTAAGCCTATAAACATTCTCAAGAGCAGTACTGTTGTCAATAGTAATAGAAGTAGATGATCCGACCATGGTCAAAGTCCCATCAGTACTACTATAAATATCAGGCATTGAAGTCACCTCAATCCCATTAACAAACGCATACGCATTCGACGGACTTGATTCCGGTGTAAACGTCATGTTCAATGTTCCACCTTCAACATTCACAACAAACTCCTTGATGATGAAAGCGTAAGTCAACGCCTCCGCCGTCTGAGCAGCGCTAAAGTTCTTGAGAAGAGTGTAAGGACCAAAGGAGACGGAGAACAACGAGTTCGTAGCATTGAGGCCGTCGTATGAGTTTGGATAGAAGTAGAGACGCACGAATTTACGACCTGGTGCTACAGGGAAAGTGTAAGTGAAAGGAGATCGGAAAACTCTAGCCGTCATGTAAGGAACTTCGGGAACGGAAGGATCTTGTGTTAACGCTGGTGATGTTTTAGAGTCTCCTCCTGATGAAGAAGATAAGAATTTTGATTTGACATCGGAGATCCATCTACGGTTATCTGTGTCATTGAGATCAGAAGCACCACCGCAATTCAATAAGAATTGCTCTGTTGGAGAGTAATCAGCAGCTGAGATTAAAGTTGCTGCAGATAAGAGAAGAAGAAGAAGAGAGAGACGGAATTGTCCCTCTGTGATCTTCATCGATCAAGAACAGTCTCCGTGAAGATCTTCTTCTCAGATCTATCAACAAAAAGCAAAATCAAAACTATAAAACTTCGCAGATCTAAAAATGGAAAGAGCTTAAGAAACGATGATCATTTGATAACGAAATTAAGCTATAGAGAAACAGATGAAATTGAAGTATGAATACAGTAGTAAAGAGAGTGAAGTGAAGAAGATGATGATGATGATTAACATACCTGAAGAATCGGGGAAGAAACCCTAAGCGATGAAATCGGAGAGAGTTTTTGGAGAAGACAGAGATATTTTTTTGAGGGAAGAGAGAGAGAAACAATTAATGAGTGGAGAGGTAAGTATAGTTAAAGACGACAAAACGGACAGGATTGTTGCCTCCCTCTACGCGTTAACGCTATTTTAATTTAAATTAGTAGATTAAATTAAGATATAGTAGTTAATTAATTGAAGCCGGCTTGGAGGTGGGTGAAGTGACGATAATGACCTTTGAGTAACAAACAGCTGGAATTATATGTCCCGACCATTCGAAGGATAATGTTGATTGGTATGGTTTAGATGACAGTTCATAAAATGTGAAGAGTAAATCCATTAAATAAAAGAAAGACAAGAGAATTTTATCAAAACGCGTATTTTTGTGTGCGGTGGTCACTGCTCGTGGCTGAGCTGGCAATTGTATATACTATAAAGGGAAAAGAGCGGGGCCCATTTTGATAACAACTCGTTTGTTAGTTACTTTAGTTTACGTGATCATGGGCTTTTTATTTTTGTTTCAGTTGACCTCATATGGCCCAGATAGAAGTGGGCCTTCTCTATCTAAATTTCTTGTACTGATAGAGTTATAAATTGTAAATTATCATCTTGGTGTGAATTGTATATGAATAAGTTAGGTACAGAGAATTTTCCAAGAGAGTGTTGACACTGGAAAAGGAAAGGAAAGTACAAAACTAATAATTGTGTTCGTATGCATGATACAAAATTTGGAAACAAAACACAGGTTTTGGTTGGGAAACTGTAGTACAAAATTTGACATTGGTAAAGAAATGAATTCTAAAATATTTATATAGGCGAATTGCGTATACATTAACCTTTTTTTTTCTTCTGTCTTATCTTCTTTGCAGGTATCTGTATCCAAGTGGTTTTCATTCTTCTGTAATGGTTATCCATCCTTTGATATAAACATTATAACTCTAGTCATCCCAGTCATGATCCCAGCCATCGCGGTTTGGAGCCCTTGCTGTTAAGCCATTAGCAGAGATGCTCACACTCTTTGCTGCACTACCGGGCGATTTCACAGCATTATTCTCATCCCAATCATCATCCCAACCCTCGTCCCAGTCCGCTGTCTCCACATCATGGACCCCTGACTCACTTTCCAAGCCTGGTCCTCCGCTCAGTTCTAGCTCACGATAAGGCACTCCAGTGCCTGCACGGCGATTCTTCCGGCACAGACAAAATGCCCAAATTCCCCCAAAAATCACGACGGATACTATTAAGAAATATGCACCGTTAATGGGCGTCACTAGTTTTTCATATGAGGGAAAGTGGAATGGTAAGGTGTTTTCTTCTGATGGGTACATGTGAAGCGCACACTCTCCTTTTCCACCGTCTAGTATGATCTTGTTTGTGTCTCCACTAATGGATATGTTTACCTGTGCAAATGAAAGAAGATCGATTCAGTTTCATAACATACTAGAGTAACAGTTGTGTTTGTATCACTAAAGATCACAAAATGGTTCTGAATTCCAAAGATTAATACGTTCAAGGTAAAGATTTTTATCAATGGAATCAACTCAGAAGAACATAGAAGACGTACCCTTTGACTCTGGTGTTTTGGCAGTGTCAGCTCTTGTAAAGAGTTAACCGGAAGAACAATTTTTGCTTTTAGAGATATTTCACCTTCGTTTTGAACTAGAATCAACCAGTTAGCAGAACCTGCAATGATAAAACACAACTTCAAAAATGAAAATTCAATCAACTCAAGCAAAACTTACTGGTGAAAACAGAACATACAAAGCAGAGACCTTGCAATTGTGGGGGAATAATAACTATAATGTCTAGGAAAGTTTCATGTCCTTGAGATCACAATCATTTACATATTAACACAACGCAATAACTGAATAATGTAAAACATATCCTAGTGTGATCTCTAATTTCATAAAGGCCATTATCCCCAACGAATATCTGTTTACAACTTATCCAACCATTTTCATGGACATCTCCATGCTGCAAACAGAACCTGCAGCTGCAATATGGCTTTTATTCAAGAGGCTAACACGACTAATATTGTTGCATTGTTCAATAAACAGGAAAGCCACATGCCAGAGATATCATTTCGAGTAAACTCGTTGAAACAAAGAGTACCGAAATCAAAGAAAACATCACTACAAAGAAGGCGCAAATATACCTTTATCAATGCTCAAAGTGCAAGCCACCAATGAATTCTCAGTTCTACATATGTTAGACTTTCCTACACAGGTTTCTACACTGGCAGACTCAGAGCTCCCCTTATCATCCTTGGCCTTATCAGGATCTTTAACCAGAGGCGGACTCTCCTTACCTGGCTCCGTCCCATTTTTCCCACTCTCCAAACTATTTGGAGGCGGCGCCATTTTAGCCGGTAGCTTTCCACTATCCTGGCTATCGGTTAGGTTCGCTGGAGGCGGAGGCGGGCTTATCGGCTCTGTTGTATTTAACACTTTGGTATCATTCTTCTCATTTTCAGGTAATAGTGGCGGAGGTGGACTCATTGAATCAGGCTCTTTAGGATTAGGATTCGTCGAATTACTATTTGGCAGAGTAGGTTCTAATGAGGTCACATTGGATTTACCATCTCCACTGGGTTTAGGATTAAGCAACGGAGACTCCTGAAGCATAAACATAGAGTAAATTCAAATCACATTGCTCAAAACCCTAATATAAGATCAAAACGATAAAAAAACACAGAAAAGAATCGAAGTTTACTTGTTTAGTGGTTGAATTTGAATTATCCTTTTGTGTTTCTCCATCAACTAGCTCACGAGAAATATCGAACGAAGAAGCATTGGAGATGAACAAAATCAATAGAAGAAGTGATAAGACTTGACTTGTATCCATTGCAATCAGGGTCAAACCCTAAATTATGATTCGATCGGTTGATTTATTAGCCGGTGGTGGTCTTGATTCGATCCAAAGATACTTACCGGATTTGAAAATTTGCACCAGAAGCTCATTTTTCAGGGTATCAGTGGTCTAGTTGTCCAAAACGCATCGCAGATTCCGCAGATTCACCAAGCTTCAATTTCACGCAAAGGATCGGCAAAACGGTGAGTGAGAGAGATGGATGATAGATGTAATCAGAAATTGGTGGTGTTGAAGATCGAAGAGAAGACGAAGAGTGGCTTTGGCTCTCGTGTCGTTGTTGGTCGCGTCTGAAAATTGGATCGAATCGTAGAGCCGGTTTCACGATCCCTCCACTTCACGGAGTCGTCGGAGAATTATTTGGGCCGTAACTTTTAAAAGCCTGTTATTTGTGTCACATAAGTCCATCAGGCCCATTGGCTAATTATTTGATTAATATTGTATTACCTATTTCACTTAACTAATCGAACCTTATAATTATGTTAGTGTCACATAAGTCCACCAGGCCCATTGACTGTGATTAATCTTTTAGATTTTTACGTTTTGGAAACGGAATTTATGTTATTTTTATTTCTTTCTTTTACAACATTTATGAAACTTTGACATGTTTGAACAGTGAATTTGTTGTGGTAAATCATGTAAATGTTAAAAATATATATAACATTTGGTACGCCCTATTCAACTAATATGTTTGTTTTCATATCATTCTAATGTTCCATTATTTCGTTGTTCATCCAAATTCAATATCATCTAGCTACACATGACGATATACCACATTTCCGTCATCTCTTAGAATCTAAATCTCCTTCGATTTATGTACTAACAACTATTTACCTTTCTTATTAGATCTCTATAAATTATCTCATAAAGTCTCTAAATCTAAAATGTCTTTGTCGAAACTTCAATTTTATCGACATGCAACGTCTCTCCCTGCCTAGTTGATGATTCATTTGGTGGATCAGACTTTACGGCCACGCGTTAAGTTAAATTCTTCTCTAGGTTATCTCTCCGATCCAACAGCGCACAACAAAACACTGGGGACACGTGAGGTTAATTCTCTGTTTGCCATTACATGCATGTTTTCTTAAATTAAAATCAATTCTTAATTTCTTATGTGTGGTTTTGTAAAATTTAGAATCATCCTGCAATCTCTTGATCATATATAATGTAAAACAGTCGATGTTATTTTTTGATGATACATATATGTAAATATGTATTACACCCAATTTTCTTTCATACGTATAGATCATTGCTAATGGTAACTGTAAGCTACATATATGTTCAAGCGCGGTGATATATTGCTTTCTTTTTTAACAAGAAACATGAAAGAATGAGATAGAGGCCGATCGAGAGAGAGAGAGAGATCCGTTGACGTTATTTGCATATGAAATGGTTTGATTACATAGATAAGAAAATGAAAATCACAAAATGGGAAATATAACAGCAAAATACTTTTATTTAATTGGGTTAAAAGCTGGCAACTTTGATTTGTCCATATTACACGGCACTTTTACATCTGACAGTAGCCTCTTTCACACGGCAGTCGATATACTGCAACATTCGAACAACCAAAACAAATATCTATCATGACATTGGAAATAACTTAACTCCAAAATCCAAATGCACTTATTCATATATACATGCATTGAAAAAAAAAGAAATTCATTAAAATAAAAAATGATATCTCTTAGTTTGATTAAATAATTAGTTGAATTCATTAACTCGTATATAATTTTTGTAGTCAAGTGTATATCAAAGCTATTTATATTCCAAACAAAACAAAACAATCTAAGATAAAACAAAAATAAAGTTATGGAGACGTACCTATCACAATTAGTGCTGAAACTGATGGGGTAGGGAACTGAAACACCACAAGTGGTAGGAAGTGAGGCCACAAGGTCAGTATTTAGCCCCTTGATTTCTTTACCCGTTGCTTTAAGGCACTCACATACTTGTTTGCGGTCCGGTGTGGTCTGAGCCATTTGATACAATGACTTGACTCCCACGCAGCATTCTGATGGCAATGGACCACTGTTGGTCAAGTAATTCACGCACTGTACTAGTGTGCTTGTCACTGTCCCACACTGGATGGTTGACTTTGTTGGGGATACCATGTAAATCGTAAGGACGATGAGGCATGTGATGATCTTTGGAGCAAACGCCATTTTGTTTTTATTGTTTTTACTTTGTTGAGGTCGGTAGGGTTTTTATAATTGGAAAAACTCATGAAGGTCATGCGTACCCGTTAATTATGCTTAGTTCCATATGCATGCAAATTTAATGAAAACTTTATTTTTTGGTTTAAGATTAAAAATACACATATTCCAATGTAAATACGTTGCATTCCCGATCTTCGCTTAATTGAGTTTCAAGAAGATGTAGCATCAGAAAACTAGATTCAACCCTGGACGGAATAAATACTTACCTCGATAAATATTTACAAATTTCGGCAATTGAAAAGAGACTAATTAACCTTAAGGTATTGTATTAATTTTCTTCTAGATAAATATTAATTGGCCTGTCTTGTTAATTCGAAATCTTATAGAGTATTGTATATCAATATTTTCTCACTAGATAATAAAATCATGTAATTATATTGAAAATTTTTTATGATCAACAGAGAAGAAAGTGGAAATATATGCTTCTTCTTTTTTTACACCAAGTGGAAATTACAACAGAATTGCCTTGCATTGATTTTGAATATAAACGAAATGTGTGTACTTATGTTATTTTTGGGTACATGTCAAACAAGGTGGTCGTAAGGCTAAGCACATATTTATGAGGCCACACACGTGATAGGATTCCAAAAGAGTAAGGAAACTCTTGGACATGTGGACCGAAAATGGTGATATATCAGATCAAGTGGCAGTTCAAGGAAGTAATGGAATAGAGAGAAAAAAATGGTAATGGTCCAAAGCGTCATCAAATGGTAAAGAGTTGGAGACATCAAAGGAAAATGACAAGAGAGGAAAGCATGTAAAACAAATAGACGGCCTAAGAGATTTGGATATTCATCGAACAAGGACTCTTGGAGGTTATACGGTCACACGTACTTGGAGAAATCCAAAAGAATCTCCACAAGTCGTAGGCGATTTTTTTTTTTTCGTATGCGAATCATATTAGAAACTTGATATTATCTGCATAATCTTTAGCAACAACAACAAAAAAGCTATTATTTGCATAATCGGATCTACATGATAAAATCTTCTTTTTCGTTTTATACACATGGTAATGTAAAAGAAAGTAAAAGCTCTAGCGTCGATCGACAATTTTTGGTAGATTTAATGGGTTTTTACTTTAAAAAGTAACGCTTACAATAATAGAAAAAAAGAAAAGAAAGCAAAATGCCTTAGCAACTGGATCATGTAGGGTCGATCGACATATTACACACTCAGTCACCGACGAAAAAGATTACGAAAGAAAGAGTAAGCAGTGTCAATGAGCAAGTTGTGAGAGTGTGAAGAAGTAGGTAATGATTGATTAAGAAAGAGTGAGTCTCTTGTGCTGTGAAGATCTACTGTTTTTCCTCATATACGATAATCTTTCACAAAAATTTGAGGATATTCTAAAGTAAACTAAAGTATATATATATATATGTTTTAAAAGCATACGAATTAGTACATTATATTGGACTATCTTAATATTTGTTTATAACTTAATTATATTTACATCTACGTAAGTCAACTGATAATATAATCGTGTTAAGAGAATTTAGTGTACGGTACTAGTTTATTATACTGCATGCGGAATAGAAGAAGTTATCGGATGCATCCAAAGCAGAACGTGACCAAGTGAATGGCAAGATCTTGAAAATAATACATATATCGTAATTCCATATATCATTGGAGGAGTACATAACACAGACGACCAATTAAATGGACCGTCATATATAAAGAAAGATATGAAAACACAAATTCTAAAACACAGCAACAATAACAGTAAAAGGATACACTCTTATATATATAGTGACATCTTAATTATTTTTAAATACTCTCTCATCGATTATATGAAAACCCTTCAACGTCTACCACCTCTTCTTGATCACCTCACGCTGCATAACCAACCACATACATCAAACATATTATGGGGTTAAATATCATCCCATTAAAATCCAAACAAAAATATTAGAACCTCAAGTAAAAATGTAATAAATAGAGAGTGAGAGAAGATTACGTGTTACAGTTGGTTCTGGCACTGATGGGGTAAGAGATCCTAACACGGCAAGCACCAGGGAGACGAGCAGCACGACCAGCGTTAAGTCGAGAACCCAAGGCTCTAGCTGCTCCCTGGATACAACGACAAGCTTGTTGTCGGTCACGGGTGGTACGAGCCATGCTATTGAGCCTCCGAACGCCAGAGCAACACCCTCTAGGAATGAAACCGCCTCGGGTCAAGTAGTTATAGCATTGACCCAAGCTACCAGTGACTGCGCCGCATGAGATCGCTGCCTCGGATGCCATTGGAGCGGCTACTAACATGCACACAATCACCAAAGTTGACAACTTCAAGAGTCCCTCCATATCTTTAACTTTTGATTTCTCTTTTACTTAAGTAATGGATTGGATGATGAAATAATGGTAATGAAGTTTGGGTTTATATAGAGAGTTAAGAGCGCAAATGCATGAAAGTTGAAGGGGTGAGGGTTAGTTGGTGGTTGGTTTCATTTATTGCATTGCTTTCTCTTCTCTTATCTTTGGCTTTTGTAGTTTAAATTAATCTAAGCCAATTACTACGTACTCTCCGTTTTGTGATCAGATCTATACTTAATACTATATAAAAATGTTATTCATTCTTGTATGAACATTTTTTTTTCTTAAAGGCCAGTCATTGTTTAACATATGTCCAACTTAGCAATATGTCAACGTTGGTGGTAGTATTAGATTTCAGGGTACTGAAACAGAGTCACGCTTCTCTTATTGTCTTGGATCCCTCAAACAATAGACAAATTTAAGATATGTATATCAGTTAGCTACTCCAGTCTGGTCCGTTTCGATTTTGTTCAAGCTTTTATTTTGAAGTCTGGTTTGGCTCTAACAAAGCTGTAGAGTAAAAAGTCTTTGGAAATGTTGACAAAAAAAAAAATCTTTAGAAAGTAAATGCAATTGATATTGTAACCTAATCCACGAAAGGTAAATCTATTGAACCAAATGTTACAAGGACAAAGTTTTGCTCTCGACTATTCATGCTTTATCTCTTTTTAAAACAAATTAGTAAAATCCTGGATAGAGAGAGTTGAACGACGAATTCCAAGCTTCTAAAACTGTAGAAACATACATGTACTTGACTATTGACTCAATCCGCCTTGCCGAATTCTCCAACATTCGTGCTGCTGCTCTCCACCACCGTCTCTCTTACAAACCTACAACAACATTTTCAAGAATTAGGTTCAAGAAAGAAAGATATACGTATGAATTGGAGAGGACATGAACACCATTTACCTCGCCAGCTTCTCTCGTGAAGATTGTAAGACGTAAATGGAGAGTACGAAAGAAAATGTGAGAGCTGATCACAAGTAAACAACATCAGTATAGATTGTATAAGCTTATTGTCTAATTAATTACGAAACAGGAATTACCTGATCCAAAGAGGACATAAAATCCCGAGGATACATCAATCTCTGACTGCTCCTTCCTGCATCACAATAAAGTGTCTCAGACACGTATCACTAACGTGATTTTCCTTAGCACGGAGAGAGGAGAAAAAAAGCTGAAAGAGGTGAGCAAAATTAGTGTACCATGTGTATCTAACTAGAACATGTTTTGGCCAGTGTTGAGGATCCCAGAACTGCTTACGGATCTCCGGGTGTGTATTTAGATCTGTTCATGGATAAAATCTCAACTCAGATATCCTGATGTTGTCTTTCAAATATTTGAAGTAACTGAGTGCTACTCTATGGCAATGGAAGTAGAATTGCAAATTAAAATATCAGAGCATAAATATTATGATGTTCATTCCTTACAAAAAAAATCAATGCCATTATTAACATAAACATAGTTCAGGCAACTTGTACAATATAAGGAAACCATGGAATCATAGATGAGCATGAAAATGTGTATTTATTTGAGTACCGCCACCAAAAAGATGGATTGAATCAGTCTGTGATATAGACATAATGATAACAGCAGAAAAAAACTGGGACTATAAAGCAAACTGCCTCTATATAAGCACCCAGTGTCTCCAAAAAGGTGAAAAAGTTTTGACTCACCAGATAATGTTAGACTCTATGGAGAAAGCATTGTAAAATTGAAGCCAGGTTAACTTAACTAGGCCTAAGACATGGGGTTTAAGCAACTAAGCATCCAACCTTGAGAAGCTACCGCATAATATGTCGTATAATCTTGAGTTTTAAGATATGAACGTAAGACTTGGCATATCTGGTTAGGCCAGAACAAACAAAATTCTCTTATTCGCTGAGAAGACAGACGATAATAAAGAGGAGACTCCTAATTCAGGAAAAAATAGCTAGATAACGAGTATTACGTACAGCTATGAGGCATATCAACAACTTCAGCTGTGACTCCAAGCAGATCTCCTCCAGAATATCTCTGTGCAAATGAAAAAATCAAGCCACACCGAAAAATCCAAAAACTGGTATTATACAAATCTGCCAGTTTTCTTGGTAGCAAATAATCTAATCAGTCAAGTCTTAGAAAACGACTCAAAATCAATGCTTAACATACCAAATTTACATCGATCATCGGAACATCTGTGCTCTTACGGTTTATTACCAAAAGCCAGTGAATTAGATATTTCTCACTTCCAACTTGGAATTTTCTGCACATAAAATCATCCACACATCAGGCACCAAATTTCTCTAACTTGCATATGACTAATGTACAAAGACGATAAATATCTCGCCATGTCAATATTGTGCTCCATGTTCAGCACATATAAAACATCAGAAAAAGAAAAAAAAACACAATCTGCAGCAAGACAGAGCTAGAACAAACCATACAAAATCGCTTACGGTAATCAAAACAGATGAGAAATGGCTAAAACATCACAGTATCTTCATCATTTCCTTTCTGAGTAGCAACAATAGAAATTGCTAAATACAATCTAAAAGCTGGTTAAACCAGTGATGAACTAGGCAAGTAAAGTAAAAGACACAGCAATCTCAATTCAAAAGCACCAAATACACAGATTCAAGATAAATTCTCACATTTTATATGGATCAGTTCCTGTGTAGCCAATTGGTTTCGCTATGGGGATCAACACCTAAAAATTGGCAAAGAAAGACAAGATTCAATCTAAATTTCCAAATTCTCCATCATCAAATGTTTTAAAACTATTTACACACAGTACCTCGCGATTAACGGCGAAGATCGGGCAATGTTTTCCGATCACATCATGCCAAGTGGTTCTCGACTGCCACAGAATCAACAGATCCTTTAGTCTCCATCAAATTAGAAATTAATCTCAGCTAAATGTAAAGAGGAGGAGTACGAACTGAGTGATATTGCCCCATCTTGCTCATCCGGACGATATCTCCAGGTCGGTAAGCGCTGGAGAGAGCGGGAAATGATAGAGATATCAGAACTAGAGCTTGAATAAAAGCGTTCCACGGTCGTGATCCTGCCACCGCACCCATGCCTGCCATAACTTTGCTTCGTCGGCGAGGTTTCTCCGTGAAATTCGCCGGTTATTTTCTTCGCCGGGAGATTTAGAATTGAAGCGGAAGATTAAAAGATGATGATGGGAGTGAGAGAACTCTCCTCCGCGTTATTATTGGGCCATAAACATCAGGCCCAACTTTAGTGTTTCCCAATTTACATGTTGACTCAGTTTTGACCAGCACTGTATTATTGGTTATAGGGCCTGGTAACTGATTTTTTTTGGTCAGTAGGCGTAGGCCTGGTAACTGATTAGATAGGGAAAATTGACGAAAAAAAAAAAAAACTTATATCAGAACAAAAAGTCATGGTTTTACCATATTTTAGTGATGTTCCTACCAAAAAAAAAACATGTTTTAGTGATGTAAATAATCTCGTGTTCAATCATTACAAAATAGTAGCTAAACGGATTGTGTTTTACAATTTTAGATTAAAAAATCCAAAATTTACACAAAGTATTAGAATACATATTACATTGCTTCTGAATTTTGATTTAAGAGAGCGTGTTATTTATTTTGAAATGAATTAGTATCCACAAAAATATTACGAAATTATGGTTTCGAGATGAGATGTTGTTTTTATAACGAAAATGTTAAAACGAATGTCTTTTGATATATATTTTTAAGATATAACGATATTTATTTTTGAACGGTTATATTTAAATCTCTAATTTTAAAATTATACATCAAATTTTCCATGTAAAATTCTTAAATTTTGATTTTGTTTTGCAGATTTTTTGTTTAATTTTATTCTATATATAACAAGATTTTTATTTTTGTTTCTAAAATGGGGCGTAAACTAGAGATTTTGTTTTTTTTTTCTTTTCAAAACAAGACCTAAAGTTTTTGTAATTGAAGTTTTCAAAATCTTTTACTGAACAAAACTAAATATTAGTTTATCTAATTATTGGAGGTAATATTTCGGTTTCACCAACCATATCGTGATACGTGGGTATCACGCCACAAAATCATATGTCCAGAGATTGACAGATGATCAAATTTCCCGAACACACATGAAACACAGTTAAATCTCACTGTAACTTCAGACAATTGTGCTAACTCATCTCTAGGAAAGATCTTAAAGAATAGTATCATATGGTAGAATTCTCAAATGATACCTTTTTTTTTCTTTAAAAGCATATTTATCTATGATAATCGGGTTTATTTAACAGAAAAACGCGCGAATGCGTTAGTTAAATCTCTATAAAAGGAAATTTATATTTAAAAATTATTTTGGTTAAGATACATGAGAATTTAGTATGATTGGTACAAAAAATAGTTAAAGTTTATAACTTTCTACATGATAAAAAGATGCTAATCCATGAAAACATCAATAAAATCATTGACATTTCTCTTAAAACATTCATAAGAATCACAACTCTTTAAAAACTTAATACAGAAGAATATCTGAACTTTACAATTAAACAAAACTCTATAATCAAATCAAAATTCTTCACAATAACTTCCCAAATCACTAATCAAACTTCAAATGATGTCTTAAGAATTTAATGCTGGTCGTTGTTTCTAAATACTGCATCGTTAAGGTAAATAAAGGTACAAGAAAAGAGCGACATCTATTAAGGGTTTGAAGATGAATACACAAAAGTAAGACAAATTTGGTTTTTTTTTTTTTCGATGCAGTGAAAAAAAAAAAGAGACATAGAACATCAAATAACACAAAATCGGTCCTCAACAGTAATCACTTGGGATCTTTCAAAACCTAGAAGACAAAACTCATCTCTTTCTTCTTCATCCCCTGAGACATCTCTCGATTCTTCGTACTCTCTTGTTTCGTTCGAACTCAATCGGATTTTCAATTTCTGGGCGTAGTTTACAACGAACTGATTCTTTGGTTTGATCAATCGGGGTGTTCTTGTATCAATCGATTTTTTTTGTGTGTTTGGTTAGTTTTTAGATTTTTTTTTTTTTTTTGTATTTCCATGGCCGCGGATCTCGATGATTTGGAAGAAGAGAGTTCGTCTTCATTGTCACCACCGCTTATTCCGCCGCCTCGGTCTCCGTCTAATCAGCCGGAGTTTTGGATGAGAGTTGAGGAAGCAACCCGTGAAATTATAGAGCAGGTTCATCCAACACTTGTCTCCGAGGATCGACGAAGAGATGTGATTCTATATGTTCAAAAACTTATCAGAATCACACTTGGATGCGAGGTAAAATTTGTTTCCAACATTCTCTGTTCTGTCTCTGTTTGCATTATCTGGAAAAAGAAAACTTAGGCGTGTTTTAAATGTTGGAACTTGCTTGAATCGGCGATGTTGTTTAATGTTGATGGCTTTTTAATGTTGTCTTAAGTCTTTTTATTCTTAAGTTGATGGCTTTTCTTATTAGATTATCTAAAGTCATCTACTTGGTGTTATCTATTTCGAAGTGGTGTGCTTTTTTGCACACCTTTTCTGTTACTGACCAGAGATTCTGCAATGTTGCGGCTTATAAGTTTGATTGACTATGGATGTGGTTTGCAAAGTTGTGACTTTTTTTCTATTTGGTATGTGTTTTTCAGGTACATTCTTTTGGATCGGTTCCATTGAAAACGTATCTTCCTGATGGAGACATTGATCTCACTGCTTTTGGTGGGCTGTATCATGAGGAAGAACTGGCCGCCAAAGTTTTTGCTGTACTTGAGAGGGAAGAACATAATGTGTCTTCCCATTTTGTGGTTAAGGATGTGCAGTTAATACGGGCTGAGGTTTGTTTTACATAATCTCTGTGTTATTCAATTCCAGAAACTAGAGTCTGCAATGAGTATTCCAAGTATGTATATGGTGTTTATGTATGCTTAATTGCTTATCGTGTTGGTTGTTATCTCCTTGAGTACCTAAATTTCTTTTCTTTTGCAGGTTAAGCTTGTTAAATGTCTGGTGCAAAACATCGTTGTTGATATCTCTTTCAATCAGATTGGTGGGATTTGTACTCTCTGCTTTCTCGAGAAGGTAATCTGCCATCTTCAGTATGACCATGCTGTTTCAAACAAATTTAACTAAACTTTTTAAAAGGTAAAATACAGTTTAGGCTTATTTTGTCTGTTTGATATATGTAAAGCAGAAGTTGAATGTCATTAACCTGCCATATTGACATTGTTTTCACCCAACTGCCTGATGAGTTTTCTGGTAACTCAATAGATTTTAATATTGCAAATTGTTTGCAATATCACATGCGTACAATAATATGTTTGAAGCGCATTTGTCTAGAATAATATTCATATCAGCAATTTTGAAGGATGCGATTGTAGAAGAAAAAGATTTACTTTTGGAAAATTGACGTTGACTATATGATTACGCAGATCGATCACCTCATTGGAAAGGACCATCTCTTCAAGCGAAGTATCATACTAATTAAAGCTTGGTGCTACTACGAGAGCCGTATTCTCGGGGCTTTCCATGGATTAATATCAACATATGCTTTGGAGACATTGGTCTTATATATCTTCCATCTGTTCCACTCATCATTGAATGGTCCACTAGCAGTAAGGGTCTTCAGCAATTATGAGGGATGCTTCATGTTTTAGTCTCATCTTGAGTTACTTAACTTTTTTTATCCCTTAGGTTCTATACAAATTTTTGGACTACTTCAGCAAGTTTGACTGGGATAACTATTGCATTAGCCTGAATGGTCCTGTCTGCCTTTCCTCTTTACCAGAAATTGTTGGTAAGAATTTCCTCTAGTATACAGAAAATTGATTTCTTTTGCGTTTATAGACTTTCAGTATCTGCGATTTCTTTCTTTGATTTCTGTAGTTGAGACTCCGGAAAATGGGGGGGAAAATCTTCTGCTGACCAGTGAGTTCCTCAAGGAATGCATGGAGATGTACTCTGTACCATCACGAGGATTTGAGACAAACCAACGTGGGTTTCAATCAAAGCATCTTAATATAGTCGATCCGCTTAAAGAAACTAACAATCTTGGACGCAGCGTAAGCAAAGGTTGACTGCTTTCTCCAACCATCACAGTTTTTATCTTCCTGTTGCTATCTCTATGTTTATGGATTTAGATGTTTGAGAGGCCTAAGACAGTAGATTTTGACCTGTCCCTGTCCAGAGTTTTAGCGTTACAGAATATTTATGGTGGGTTTTCCTGACATTCTTGGACTAGGGTATGTAGGTTTTAAGTGCAGGCTAAAATTAAGATTGTGATATTCTGGTATGTATTTTCACCCTGGAAATGAAGAAATGTATAAACATGAGATAAAAACTTAAACTTAGTTTGCTCTGGTAATCCGGTGGATTTTATGGTCTAGAGGATTCTCTTTATTGGTAAATTTTTAAAGCACATGGATTTGACTTTCTCTTACACAGGTAACTTTTATCGTATACGAAGTGCATTCACATATGGTGCTCGGAAGCTTGGGCAAATTTTTATGCAGTCAGATGAAGCCATAAGTTCTGAGCTTCGTAAGTTCTTCTCTAACATGCTACTCAGGCATGGGAGTGGCCAGAGGCCCGATGTCCTTGATGCTGTTCCATTTGTAAGGTACAACAGGTACAATGCCATATCACCAGCTTCCAACCATTTCCAAGAAGGCCAAGTGGTTTATGAATCAGAATCCTCCAGTTCATCTGGTGCTACTGGAAATGGTAGACATGACCAAGAAGACTCGTTGGATGCAGGAGTAAGTATATCGAGTACAACTGGGCATGAATTAAGTGGATCACCTGGTGAAACAGCCCCATCGGTTTCAGAGGAACGATTTTCGGGTGACGCAAAAGACTTGGCTACTTTGAGGATCCAAAAGCTAGAGATTTCCGATGATGCAATGAAATCTCCGTGCCTTAGTGATAAGGAAAGTGTCTCTCCTTTGAATGGTAAGCATCATTCTTTTCATCAGATGAGAAATGGAGAAGTTTTAAATGGAAACGGGGTGGGGAAACAGCAAGAGAATTCCTGGCTTGCTGATTCCAGAAGAGTTAAAGATATACATAGTAATGAGAATGAGAACGAGCATGTTGGTCATGAAGACCTGCCGTTTACAGGGGCAGTACCTTGGCCACAGGAGGACATGCATCTCCACTACTCAGGTCATTGTGTTTCTGGCACTCCGAATATGCTGTCTGACCTCTCAGGCGATTACGAGAGTCAGCTTAACAGTTTGCGATTTGGGCGCTGGTGGTTTGATTATGTCCAAAATGGTCCTATGTCTCCACTATCACCTCCTGGGCTGCCTCAGCTGCCGAACAACAATTCATGGGAAGTAATTCGGCATGCTCTGCCATTCAGGCGAAATGCGCCCACTCCAGTAAACGCCAATGGAGTTGTTCCGAGACAGGTTTTCTTTCATGTGAACCCTCAGATGATTCCAGGTCCTGGTTTTGGTATCGAGGAATTACCTAAGCCACGAGGAACTGGAACATACTTCCCCAATGCGGTAATTACTTATTCGCCTCTCTCACATCTCTTACAGCCACTCCCGTAAATGGCCAAGCTTCTAACGTCTCCTTTATGCAGAACCATTACAGGGATAGACCGTTCTCCCCAAGAGGAAGGAGCTCACACCAAGCTAGGTCGCCGCGTAACAATGGCCGAAGCATGGTACAGGCGCACTCAGAAATGAATTTTCCTGACAGAAACACTCGTGAGAGACAGCTTCATTATCCCAACCAAACAAATGGTTCATGTGATATGAGTCACACTGATTCACTTGAAAGCTTTCCTGATACCAATGGCTCTACAAATCATCCATATGAAAAGGCTCCAGATGTTAGGCCTACGGAGCCTCTACCAGTGGAAGTACTCTCCCCTCCTGAGGGCAGCAAGCCAAGAGATAGCATTGAAGGTCATCATAATCGGCCGCATCGTCCAAAATCTATACCCTCATCCACACAGGAAGATCGGTACAGTCTATATATCTTACCCTTAAAAACATATTGTCTTCATTGAATTATTACCATTGATCACCAAAGCCTCTATCTAATTCACTGTAGTAATGTACATGTAGGGTAACGCCTACGCAGTCATACCATTTGACAGATGATCATGAGTTCCCTCCTTTGTAGCTGTGGTCTGAATTACAAACGCTTGCTCTCTAGACCGTTATAGGAACAGGTATAGTTTTCTAACTTGGTTTGTCTCCTAAGTTATTTGTTTTTACCTCCTGCAAGAAAGAAAAAAAAAAGAATGGAGCTGATATGTTTTGGGCTGTGGCTTTTTCTTGTATGTTATCTCTGGTGCTATAGAATAATTTATATGTATCTTTATCAAATTCTCTGGACAAAACCTTTGCAGAGCTTTGTATTTTCTACTTAGACAGGTTTGCTGAGTGTATTATAGGATGTTTTTATTTTGAAAGTCTCTATTCTATCTTCGTGATTCTTCTTCTTGTTTCTTGATTCTTCTTCTTGTTTCTTGATTCTTCATCCTAGTGGATGGTAAAAAGTAGCAACGTTTATAAGTTATTTCATATCATGTCTTCTTTTAGTAAAATATGTCATTAGGTGCCTCAGAAAAATTCTTGATATTGGGTCCGATTGGTGACATAAAATAGTAAGAGTTTTTTTTAGCGGGGAAAGAAAATGGTAACCGTTAGCAGAATAGTTATAAAAAAAAACTTAGAAAAAGATAAATTATGCTCTTAATATCGCTAATTCTTTCCGCTTTTATGATTTGCAACAATCAAAATGGTAAGGTCTAACTGGTGACATGAAACAGTAAGAATATTTTAGCGCGAAAGGATAATGGTAACCGTTAGCATAATAGTTAAAAAAAAATCTTAAAGGTAAATTATCGTTTTTAATATCGCTAATTCTTTCCGCTTTTATGATTGGTAACAATCAAAATGGTTAGGTCCGACTGGTGATCAAATAGCAAGAATATATTAGCGCGAAACTATAACGGTAACCGTTGGCAGAATAGTTATATAAAAAAAAAAATTTAAAGTTAAATTATCGCTAATTTTTTTCGCTTTTATGATTGGTAACAATCAAAATGATAAATCATTCCCAATCATTCATTGTCAAAATCATCATTGAATTATTTATGTTGTATGAATGTTTTTTGTTAGTTCTATCTATAGCTTTAGTTGACAGCAAATCTGACCAGTTTATTCTCTCAATCAGTGCTGGATTTTGCAAATCACTTTCAAAAACATTGAATTTGAGTATTGTAATAAGAAAAACAAAAATTGTGGGAGGGGAAATAGTCAAATAAAGGTGTATGTATGTGTCAAAGTTACGCAATCATCGGTTACATACATAACTCTTAAACCACTCGTCTCTACAGATACACACTTAACGTTAATCAATCTCTACTTAAACGTTAATCAAATCTCGTTTGACTTGTTACACAAATCATCAATAAAGAGCACAACAAAGAAGAAGGAGAAAAAAAGTTGAGCTTTTTGGGAATCAGAATCATCATCGATGGTGAATACAAAGCGTGGCAATAGGTTTTTCAAATTCAGAAATGTCTAAATTGCTCTCTTCTCTTCCAAATTCTCTTCCTTTTATTGTTTTCAATAACTTTCCGGAGAAAAAGGAGTGAACTTTTTGCCCACTTTGATGGGCTGCAACCACATATTCTTCTATCTTTAACTTTTCCCACCAAACTTGTTCCTTTTTTTTTTGGTTGGGTTCTGGGTCTGCTTTTTTTGAATGAATGTTCAGATGATTGCGAAAGAAGAGCAGGACGAATACAAATTACGCAAACAAGGTCTTGTTGTTGAAATGGCTTCTCTTTTGCTCTGTTTTGATTATTCCAGACTCTTTTTTTGGTTGCTCTTCCGCGTTTTCTCCTACGAGAATCACGAAGGAAAACACAAGATTTTCTAGCACTTCTCTTCTCTCTTCTTCTCTCTTCTCTCTTGCTATTGCGATCTTGTTTTTTCCCCCAAATTTTCGATTTTTTTTTTTTTTTTTTTTGTAAAACTTTTGATAGATCCGGTACGGAGCCATGTATATGGAGATCTCTTCTGCTTCCGATGATTCGATCCCTTACGTTGAGACAGATCCTTCCGGTCGCTATGGACGTGTAAGCAAGGCTTTACTCTATCTTACCTGATTGGTTATTTCTTGTTCTGAGTTTGATCAATCCCCAAATTCGAGGAAGCTAAATTTGATCACTTTGTTAATTTGCTTTGATCGTAGCCTTTCCTCTGTTTGCATTTTCTAGACTTGATTTGTTTTTGATTATTGGGATTGCTCTTGAACATTGGGTTGATTCTGGTGTGTAGTTTAGAGAAGTGCTTGGTAAAGGGGCGATGAAGACGGTTTACAAAGCATTTGACCAGGTTCTAGGAATGGAAGTCGCTTGGAATCAAGTTATGCTCAATGAGGTCTTCAGATCACCTGAGCCTTTACAACGCCTTTACTCTGAGGTTCATCTCCTTAAGAATCTCAATCATGAATCCATTATTCGCTACTGCACGTCTTGGATCGATGTCAACCGCAGAACATTTAACTTCATCACTGAGCTCTTCACATCAGGCACCCTTAGAGAGTAATCCTAATCTCCTACCTTATGCTTTGTGTCTCAAACAACAATATTTAACAACAATACCTTATGCTTTGCTTGTGCTTTGTCCTTACATCTGCAGGTATCGAAGGAAGTATCAAAAGGTTGATATCCGGGCAATCAAGAGCTGGGCACGCCAGATCTTGAATGGTCTTGCTTACTTGCATGGACATGATCCTCCTGTTATTCACAGAGACCTTAAATGCGATAATATCTTTGTTAACGGCCACCTTGGGCAAGTCAAGATTGGTGACCTGGGCTTAGCCGCAATACTCCGTGGATCACAAAATGCACACAGCGTCATAGGTATTCTCTTTCTTTTTCTTTCTCCATCTTCTTATATAGAATTTTGTGAGTTCCAGAATTAACCTCTGCCTTTCGCTTGAATATACCATTAGGAACGCCTGAATTTATGGCACCAGAGCTATATGAAGAAGATTACAACGAGCTTGTGGACATTTATTCGTTTGGAATGTGTGTCCTAGAGATGCTTACCGGTGAGTATCCATATAGTGAATGCACCAACCCTGCCCAAATATACAAGAAAGTTACATCGGTAAGTAAATGGCCTGAGGCTCATCTCAATCATCATTATCTTCCCAGAATATGTTTTGATATGTTAACTTTCTTTGATGTGGATTTGATTCAGGGGAAGTTGCCTGACTCTTTCCATCTAATCCAACACACGGAGGCCCAACGTTTTGTTGGTAAATGCCTGGAAACTGTGTCAAGAAGATTGCCTGCAAAGGAGCTCTTGGGGGACCCATTCCTTGCCGCAACTGATGAGAGAGATTTGGCACCTCTTTCTAGATTGCCGCAACAATTGGCAATCCAGAATTTGGCTGCAAATGGAACGGTGGTAGAACATCTGCGAACAACAGATATGTCAATAACAGGAAAGATGAACTCAGAAGACCACACCATCTTTCTTCAAGTACAGATTTTAGATGGCGATGGTACGTTCAAATTCTACTTACTACAAAGTTCTTGTCTGGTTTGATTGGGACATGAAAATTGTTGGATTTGAAGTAGCTTTAGTATTAGCTTCTGATTTTGGGTAACCTGAATGGTGAAACTTTGATGGAAGAATCACCGATGGAAAATGTTTAAATGAATCTGTTTGGCTGTGTCACAGGTCACATGAGGAACATTCAGTTCCCGTTCAACATTTTAAGTGACACACCTCTAGAAGTAGCTTTGGAGATGGTGAAGGAGCTTGAGATCGCTGATTGGGATCCTTTGGAGATTGCTGCAATGATAGAAAATGAGATATCTTTGCTCGTCCCTAACTGGAGGGCCAATGACTCTTCTATCCGGCACCAAAGCTTTGGTCATGAAGATGATGAGGACAATGGCGAAGCAGAGGGAAGAACGCGCCTTTTCTCCTCTGCTTCTTCCTCGCACGACTCTCATGTAGCAGTTAGAGAGAACAATGACGATTCTAGTAACGATGTAATCCCAGATATGGATGATGGCAATAGAAGCTCTAACAGGTTGTTGAATTCTTCAACATACCACTACTCACCTGCCATTGATGATGATCAAAGTCAGCAACAGCGGAGACGAGTAAGGCTACAACAGAAAATGAGATCTCTGGTGGACACAAGAACGCAGGTGCTACACCGTTCGCTCATGGAGTTAATCAACAAGCGGCGTGGGCGTGGCTTCGACCCGAATGCGAACGAGCTAAAACCTCAACCGTCGTCCACTGATTTCATTCGACGATGTTGATAATAGGATGATGAGAGAGAGCCTTTTGTGGCTCTTTCATGATAAAGACAGATCTTCATATTGGTACTAGCATTTTGATTTGTTGATATTATATGAAATAAAATGTTTTAGAGTCCTTTGTATATATGATATTCTTGGGGAAGTGTTTATCTTTTGGCTCTATCTCGATCAGAAAGCGATGCAACACCGCACAAATTCGATTTAAAGTACGAAGGTATTTTCTTCCCTGTGTTAAAGAGACATTTTAGAGATTACATTTATGCATTTACCATTACATTGATAACTTAATATTCAAATAATCATAACTTAATATGCAAGTGTTTTTTTAATCTTGATACGACGAAAGTTGTTTATCTTCTCGTATCAAACGTAGAGGCAGTTGAACAATTTAACAAACGAAAATGCTCTTAGATTGGTATAACCATTCGTCGAAAACTATAAAGACTTACTTTTATTTAACCAAATGATGATATCATCATTTATTAAAAAGTGATAATTAATTATAGTTGATCATATATAATAGGAACAAAATATAAGGCAGTATACAAAGGAAATTTGCGCTAATTAGGTTATCTAACCGCATGCATCCAAACAAAACCACGTCTATTTAAAAACTTAATCACAAGTGCACATCTGAGCTAATCTTCACTCAACACCAACTTGAGCAAAAGCTATGGAGAGCAAAGGGCCATCGCCAATAGTTCCACTTGTGCTTGTTGTACTCTTCGGATGGTTCCTGTGCGGCTCTTACCTTGTCTCACTATTAGAGGATTATGTATTACCAATCTTGCAAACCGGAACATTCATTGTAGGAATCTTTCTCTTGCTTCTCCTTTTGCTTCTCCATGTCTTTTCTTCTTCTTGGATCTCTCCATGGCTCCCTTCTCTTCTCCTTTTCCCATCTCCGGCTTCCACGACTTCTACTGACTCAGACAGCTTTGGTCTTGGATCCTTTCTTTTGCTTTCACTTTTTTTCATCTCCTTCTGGTTTTTTCAGTCACTCTAATGTTTATTCGACTTGTACATATATAGTTTCTCTCATGGGAATTTGTATTTTCCTGATTGTTCATGCAAAATATTGCTATATACATGTACATCTTTTATAGAAAAATTAAACTACTTGATAACTCATGCAAGATTCCAACATATTATGTTTTTTTTTTTGTTAATTTATGTTTAAACCAATAATTAATTACTGCATCACTCATATTTCATTTTCCATGTAGAGAAACTGAATACAACATATATATCACCTGTGAAAACAAGATAAGAGAAAAAGAAGTAGGGATAACATAATATGATAATAAAAGAGACAACCTAGCTAGGAGTTGCATAATAATGAGTCTATAGAAGAGATGTTATATAAGTCTCCGTGCAACCACCTTTAACGACCAACCAGCACGAAGGACATGAAAGATTGAAAGCAACGACATGACACAGACGAAAGATCACATGCATTGCTTTGGGTTTTAGATTCAAACTTTAGGGTCAGATTTTGAGTAATATGTGTATTTAAATGAGGTAAAAACTATAAGAAAATAAATTAAGAAACTTCTTACTTCATTTTATCAGTTTTTTCCAATATTATTTTTGTGAAGATGGACAAAACATATCCAAGAAAATAATTTCACCAATTTGGTATATAATGCATGATTGGATTGGATGTGCTATAAAAATCTTTACCAATGCTTAAACTTTTTACCATATCTAAACTATGTTATAAAAGAGAACTTTTAAACTATCTTCTTTAAACAAACAACAAAAAAACTTGTTAAAATAATGTTTCATATGTCATTTGAACATTTCTTTGATTATAAATGCCCATTATTAGTCCATTACTTAGTGCAATTCACCCAACAAACCGTTGGATATATATATGGGTGGGGCGTTTAAGAGACACCGACTTGACCCGAATACCCACCCGGTTAATTCTGGTTTTGCCTTGTAAACATATTCTTTCGTTTTTCTTCTTCGTCTTCTCAAATCTTTCGCGTTTACGGTTTCTTCGTTGGCAGGATTCGAACGAAAGCCACGAGACTACGTGATTCAACCCGAATACGATCCGAATCAGGAAGCTCCTTCCAACATCTTTCATCCCCAATTTCAAAGCTCTTCTCTTTTTGGCTGATGCTTTTGCTTCAATGGCCTCCTCTCTATCGGTAAGTCTCCTCTTACCCTCTCTCGATTGCACAACAAGTCAATCCGAACTCTGCGTACAAGGGTTCATCGATTTCCATTTGTAGAACGTTTTGTGGTTCTTCTAATTTGATTCCATTGTTGTTGTTGTTGCTGCATTAGGTATGTTGTTGATTCTCCAAGGCTATAACAATCTTTAACTAAACTTGCTTGGAGCTGGAGACTTGTTTACTTCGATGGTGTATAACCTGAAAATAAGATTAGGGTTTGGGTTTTCTGTTGAGACTACATCATCCCCTGGGTTGAAATTTCTCTAAGTCATTAGGGTTTTCGGATACATTTGGTCTGTTAAAGAAGAAGAAAAGGTCTTGGCTTTTGGAGGATAATGTGTATATTGTGCGTTATACAAAAGTGGTCTCGTCAGGTTGCAACGATGCTGCCTTGGTTTGTGATTCCTTTGATTGGACTATGGGCTCTCTCTCAACTTCTTCCACCAGCTTTTCGTTTTGAGATTACTTCTCCAAGGCTTGCTTGTGTGTTTGTGCTCTTGGTTACTTTGTTTTGGTACGAGGTTTTGATGCCTCAGCTGTCTACTTGGAGGGTACGTAGAAATGCACAACTTAGGGAGAGACAGAGATTAGAAGCTATTGAACTGCAAAAGCTTAAGAAAAATGCGACAAGACGTTGTCGTAACTGCTCAACACCTTACAAGGACCAAAATCCGTGTGGTGGGAAATTTATGTGTTCGTATTGTGGGCATGTATCAAAACGCCCTGTTTTAGACATGGCCTTGTCTTCCGGATTAGAGATTTCTGGTTCAGGGATTTTGAAGGATCTTGTTGGAAAAAGTGGAAAGATGTTGAATGGGAAGGGATGGAGTGAGAATGGATATTTGCACATGCAAGAGTGGTCTGACAGCAGCGCATGGAATAGCGGGTCAAGCTATTGGCGGAATAATAGTGGTGGTACATTTGAAGGAGATGAAAATTGTTTGGTGGAAAAATCATACTCTGGTGGTGTTGTTTTTGCTTGCAGGTTGCTGACTTCTTTTTTCATGAGCATGTTGTGGCTTTGGAGAAAGATATTTAGATTTAGCTCATCAGTTGATGATTCTTCACTTGACCCTGAGCAGAGGCGGTTGCTAGCTAGGCATGGTGAGAACGGGACCAGCTATCATGAAAGTAGGGTAGAAAAAGCACGTAGAAAAGCAGAGGAGAAAAGACAAGCTAGGCTAGAAAAAGAGCTTTCAGAAGAGGAAGAAAGAAAACAAAGAGAAGAAGTCGCAAGACTAGTAGAGGAACGGAGAAGGCTGAGAGATGAGATACTTGAGGCAGAGAAATGCAGCAAATTATCAGTGGCTGCTAAGGAGAAAGACACTAAGGAGGCAGAAAAGAAGCGTCAGGAGAGAAGAAAAGAGACAGATAGGGCCTCAAGTAAGAGCAATTCTGATGGTGAAGAGGTTGACAAGAGAACAAGAAAGGAAACTGAGCAGAAGCGTGGGCTTAATAAGAGCGATCATCTGGAACACGCATCTGATAGTTTAAGGGGCCCCAACTTGGAAAGAAGACATGCACATGGTTTAGAGAATAATGTCACTAGTAACGGTACAAAATCTGGTGGTAGGTACTTTGATCGAATGAAGGGTACATTTTTGTCTTCTTCAAAGGCTTTTACTGATAGTCGTTTATTTGGGAGAGGTGTTAATACTTCTGCTACAGTTGCAAAAGAAAACAAGCCCATTGGTTCTGCAGATAATTCCCACACCTATGCTCATTCTCATATTAATCCTCCTGAATTCGTGGCTATGAAATCTGTCCCTAATGAAGAGGAAAGGAACACTAATAATCCAGTAAGTACCCTTTCCAAAATTTCTCATCTATTTGTGGTCTATAGTTTTTGAGTAAACTAGTGTTTTTTTTTTTTTTGGGACAAATTTAAAGTGTGCTTAAAGATATAAATCTCACCTTCGCTCATATGTTTTCTGTTATAAATGTTTTTAAAAGTTCATTTTCATCTTGATAAATTTTCAATTAAAATCTGATTCAATTTACTTCAAAGTTCTTTTTATCATTAAAAACTGAATATATTATACTCTTTCCTCAGGTTGTTTCTGAGCCAACGCCGAGTAGAGAACCTAGAAAATCATGGCACCAACTGTTTGTCCGTTCAACTCCTGTTCCTGTTTCCTCTAATGTTAATACTATAAGTAGACCTAGTACGAAGCCCCAGCCAATTGTTCAGACCTCACAGGTTCCCAGTCAAGTTTCCTCAATACGAACCTTCGACAATCCCATCAGTTTTGGGCTCCCATCGCCATTCACCATACCGGTGTACTCTAGTGGATCCACTACCAGTAGTTTAGGTTTCTCACCTCCAACAGAGATTGTTTTTCATCAACCCGGTGAAGATGAGCGTTTTGAAGATCCGTGTTATGTTCCGGATCCGATATCTCTACTGGGACCTGTTTCAGAATCACTTGATTTAAGAGCTGCTGGGTATGAAACTTGCATAAGACAGGTAAAATACCATGCGATGAAGAATACACCTTGTGAAGCCAACAAGCCATCTCCAATTGAATCTCCCTTGTCTAGATCACGGGCTGCGGATAAAAAGCAAGCTAATGATGGAAGCTGGCAAATGTGGAAGAGTCCCCTAGGCCAAAACAGTCTCGGTTTAGTTGGTGGGTCAGCAAACTGGATTATACCTTCTGAAACAAGTAGATCTAACGAGGAAATTGCTATGCACCATGTGCCTCAGCACAGAACAGAATCATTATTTTCAAAAGAGGATTGTCAGCTTCATCAAGGTGCTTATTCACAAAGGAAGGACTGTCTTGAACATGATCAGAGAAGTGGCGTTTTCAGCCCCATTAGTGGTCCAACCACTACTGATCCTTGGTCACAGAAAATGTTCTTCCCTGCATTATCTGGCATTGAGAGTCCTTTTTCTTTCACCACACAAACAGAAAGCATCTTGAACAATGTGGCGGCGTACAGAAGTCCAACTGGATCTGCTCCAGACAATCCATTTGAACATCCGTCTCCTAATCACTGGCTCAAGTAAGTCCTGAAAACCTTTTTATGTTTCTGTAGTTTTATGAGATGGCAAGACAAATTAAAAATCTTGAACAAAAGCAATGAAGAGCGGAGTGATATGGTGGAATTTGTGAATGTGCAGGAAGGTGAAGAGCTCAGGGGATGGGACTGGGAAGCAATTTGTGGCGGCCGGTGAAGTTGAGAACCACCAAAAAAATGTAGAATCATTTTGGTAGTCACAAAATCAAACAAATTGAGGTCAAATTTTTTGCAGATACACACACGTTGACTGTGTCTGTCTGTGTCTGTCTTTGTCCTCTCGGGTCTTCAATGGAGATCTAAGAGTTTTTACTTGAAACATCTCCGATGAACACTCGACGCATAATTATAATCAGGTAATCTTTACTTTATAACATCACTCTCTCACAAACTTGCTTTGGGTTGGTCTCTGAACACGTTTCTATCAATATAAACGAAACTAAATATATACTCTTTGATTTAACTGAAAACGGCCAAAGTAATAGAATGTGTTCCCATCTATGTCGATCGCACGAAGACTTAATATGCCTATGTGATAATATTTAATTAGCCAGAAACATGACAAAAATAAATCATTACAATCGAATATGCGATATCAAGCTAAACAGAAAAAAGTTTAGCCGACAAAATCAAAAGCAACAGCCCGACAAAAAAAAAAGCATCGTTTCGTCAGGCCACTTTTTTAGTGTTCTTAAAATGGCACAAATCACAACTTATTTACTCTAATATCACTTACCATATATAACCAGTGGGAATAGTTTTTCACCTAATCAAGGAAGAAAATAATCAACAAAACAAAATGTCATAGTGTATGTTTGTAGGTATTTTCTGCATGTAGTAAGTTTGGTAACTCTCTACATCTGGATACTATTAACTTTGATGGGTAATGAGTTGTTAGGACTTTGCATAAAAGAAACTGAATTCTCTGGATGCAAAAAGTTAGAGATTTGGCTGCCAAAATATGTTACTTTCAATTATTTTTAGAAGAAAGATAAATAATCATGTCAATTTACGAAAAAAAAAAAAAAATCATTTGGCATATATTTGATTGGACTTTCAAGATTTTTTATGATGTTTTTTACCTTTTAAGTTTTGTATGTCACTGCTGAGTGCTGACCTCTATTTTTTCACCGCAGGTAAAAGGGAGTGACCTGTACCTTTTTTCTGGAAATTTCTTAGTACAAGACGTATGAAGATTTTCTATCTTTTTTTGGATTTTAACATATCTTGTTTTCCGACTTGTGATTGATTCTGAGACTTCATTTTGATTTCTTGGATTTTTATCAATAAAAATAATTTAGCTACTGTTCTTCTTATAGCTTGTACGTCTTCACAATGACCTGTCACCAACCACACCATTCATTTTTTTTTCCTACTCCAAATTATATGACACCCGATGAATTCAGTGTATCTTGTTAGGCAAAAAGATTGTTGATTACTTAGTCACGCTAGTCGGATAAATGAGGAGACTTAATTTTGGTGAGTTTTGATTGTAACATTGGCTCTCGTAACCAGGACGAGTTAGTCTGGTGGTAAACGGCTTGCAGATGCAAGAACGGCCCCGGGTTCGATTCGCACTGGCCACCAGAGAATTTACATGCGGACTTGCTCTGGCGCCCGAGACCGAAGACCGTTACCTGGCCATGTCCCACCTTCGGGTGTGCGTCCGTGCCGTAAGTGTTCGGTCTCTAGTCTGGACCACCTCGGTGGGGGCAGGACACTCGGTTATCAAAAAAACATTGGCTCTCGTACGTTTTCCCTCATTTTGTATTATACCCGTCGGTGACTGACGTTAGCGGCGGTGACTGACTTCATAAAACCGGTTAAACGTTGTCTCAAACTGTTAGCATTTTTTTTTCCATGCTTAGTTTTGAAACCTCATCTTACAGTTCTATGGATCCCTTGTTTGATACCTCTAACATTCTATTGTGGTCCAAAATCAAGAACGTGTAAACACTATACCAATTGTTGGCTCCAATCATATGGAAGAAGAATTAATGTGTACGACTTGTGATTTTTTTATTAGAAATATTTTTTTTTGTCAAGTTTCATTCATTTATTTTAGTTCCTATTTAAAATTAAACGATAGAATCATAGATTCATACTAATCGGAAACTCAATGATTTAAAGTTTGTTTCTAATCTTCAAGGAGACTACTTCTTCTCTAATTAAAAATTGTTAAGTAGATCCAAAAAAGATGAAACTATGACCAAGTCCAAAGACTTATTAGTCTATGTCTCTCAGATTAGGACATCTCTCGGTATCTTTTGTTTCAAGTTTTGTATTACGATTATAGGGTCAACATCTAATTAAATGATGATATAATAGTAAAAGCTTGTAAACATAAAAATAGAGAAGACTCATAAAGAAAAGAAAAACATGTGACTGTATATATATATATGTTGGTTAACTTGAATGATATCAATCAAGTTGATAATTTGTGTTTGATGAACAATACAAAGATCATAACAGTACTATAGTTTAGAAGGAAGAGGTAAAGAATTGATATCAAAAACTTTAAAGATAAAACGAGTGGGATGAATAGAAAAATGAGTGTGAAGAATAGAACCAACGGTCGCGATAAGTTCTCTCTTAACTTGTTTGGTGATACCTCCCATTGACACAATCTCTGCATATGCAGCTGCTTCTTTGTTCCCTCCAAACACTATCTCTACTGATCCCTTCAACACCACCATCACTAACTGCAATGGACATACACATTTTATTGAGTATATTTAGGGTCCGTTCGTTTCATCATTTACCATTTCCATCCAAATGGTCCATTTAAATGTTCCATCCAAATGCTTCATCTTAATGTTGTTCGTTTCAATTTTTGGATGTTCATTTGGATGGAACATTTGAATGAATTTTTGTTTGTTTATTTAATTTTTACAAATCTTTGTCTCCATATAGATGACTTTAACAAGAAAATGACTAAAATACCCATACTTTAATTTACTTATATTTTAAATCTTAATCTAAGCTATATTAATTTAATCATTGCTCTAAAATATATTTTCATCTAAATAATTTTTAAATTATTATTTTAACATATAAATTAAGTTTACGGTTTTGACGAAAAAAGATAATTTTACGGTTTAGGCGGAAAACATAATTTTGCGATTTTTGGCGGGAAAACATAATTTTGCAATTTTTGGCGGGAAAATATTATTTTGCGGTTTTGGCGGGAAAACATGATTTTGCGATTTTGGTGAGAAAAAATGATTCCGCAATTTTGGCGGGAAAACATAATTTTTCGATTTTGGCGGGAAAATATGATTCCGCAATTTGTTCGGTTTTGGCGGAAAAACAGAATTCCGTAATTTTCCCGCCAAAATCGTGATTTTATAGTCTTGGCGGGAAAATATGATTTTACGGTTTTGGTAAAAAAACACAATTCTTCAATATTTTTGGTTTTGGCGGGAAAACAGAATTCCATAATTTTCCCGCCAAAATCGTGATTTTATAGTTTTGGCGGGAAAATATGATTTTCCACTTTTGGCGAGAAAATATGATTTTGCGGTTTTGATGAATTCCATAATTTTCTATCAAAAAACACGATTTTACTTTTTGGCGGAAAAAAACACAATTCCGCGATTTTATGATTTTGACGAAAAATGATAATAATTGATTTCACGATTTTTAGAGATTTTATTTGGTGCAAATATGGCCCTGTTCGTTTCTCCATTCAGATGGATCATCTGGATGGAGATAAAAAATGATGTTCGTTTTTTACAATTTAACAGATCATTTGGATGAATTAGTTGGATGGATCATCTGAATGAGTTTGTAATTTTAGGCAAATTTTTCAAACTCATCTGGATGAACATGATTGGAGCATTTGGATGGAGATGATTCAGTCAAAAATAATAAATGACAAATATACCCTCATTTATAATCATATATCAAATAAGGTTTATTTTCCATAGATTTTTCATTTTATATTCTAAAAATTACATATTTGCACCAAATAAAATCTCTAAAAATCGTAAAATCAATGATTATCATTTTTCGTCAAAATCATAAAATCGCGGAATTGTGTTTTTTCCCGCCAAAAAGTGAAATCGTGATTTTTGATAGAAAATTATGGAATTCATCAAAACCGCAAAATCATATTTTCTCGCCAAAAGTGCAAAATCATATTTTTCCGCCAAAACTATAAAATCACGATTTTGGCGGGAAAATTACGGAATTCTGTCTTCCCACCAAAACCGAAAAAATTGAGGAATTGTGTTTTCTCGCCAAAACCGTAAAATCATATTTTTCCGCCAAAATCACAAAACTTAATTTTCCACCAAAAAATTGTAAAAATTATGTTTTCCCGCCTAAATTGCGGAATCATATTTTCCCGCCAAAATCGAAAAACTATGTTTTCCGCCAAATTGCGGAATCATTTTTTCTCACCAAAATCGCAAAATCATGTTTTCCCGCCAAAACCGTAAAATAACATTTTCCCGCCAAAAATTGCAAAATTATGTTTTCCGCCAAAATCGCAAAATTATGTTTTCCGCCTAAACCGTAAAATTATCTTTTTTTCGTCAAAACCGTAAACTTAATTTATATGTTACAATAATAATTTAAAAATTATTTAGATGAAAATATATTTTAGAGCAATAATTAAATTAATATAGCTTAGATTAAGATTTAAAATATAAGTAAATTAAAGTATGGGTATTTTAGTCATTTTCTTGTTAAAGTCATCTAGATGGAGATAAAGATTTGTAAAAAATTAAACAAACAAACAAAAATTCATTCAAATGTTCCATCCAAATGAACATCCAAAAATTGAAAAGAACAACATTCAGATGGAGCATTTGGATGGAACATTTAAATGGACCATTTGGATGGAAATGGTAAATGATGAAACGAACGGACCCTATGTAATTTTTAGAATATAAAATGAAAAATCTATGGAAAATAAACATTATTTGATTTATGATTATAAATGAGGGTATATTTGTCATTTGTTATTTTTGACTGAATCATCTCCATCCAAATGCTCCAATCATGTTCATCCAGATGAGTTTGACAAATTTGCCTAAAATTACAAACTCATTCAGATGATCCATCCAACTAATTCATCCAAATGATCTGTTAAATTGTAAAAAACGAACATCATTTTTCATCTCCATCCAGATGATCCATCTGAATGGAGAAACGAACAGGGCCTTAGTAAACATATAAATTGGAAGATTTGTTATCTCCTACATCTTCACAACACAAAGAATGAAATATTTAGAGGAAAAAATCTTGGCCACATGCTATTCATATCGATATTTCCTGTTTTATACATATAAATATCTTGGTTGGGGGGTCAAGTACACATATAAATAAATAAATAATTGTGATGTTGACTTTTTTTTTCTTAAACTTTTCGAAGGCAATTTACGTGAAACCTAATAAACAAAGCTTATTATTAATAGCATCCAAGTAAACTAAATAATATAACTGCCTTTCGTTTTATTTAAGCGAAACCCGAGAATTTTAGGATGTCTCAATTATCTTATATTTTCTAATAGAAGAAAAAAGGATTAAAATAAACTCTTTCCATTTTACAGCAACAAGTGTTCTTTTGAAATATTGTTTTTTGTTTCACAAAAATATAATTAAATTCCAAAATAATTGAGTGTATGTGGAAAAGATACTTTATTATTAAAAAGACAGAAAAGACATCACAATAACTTTAGAATGGATAGAGAGTATTTGATCACTATTGAATTCCATTAAATAACAAAAGTGCATCTAAAAATTAAAAGAAATGCATCTGCAAGTCAAGGAATTTTTTTTTGTTTGATTTTAAAACTTAAAGGAGATTTCTGAAGGAAAGAGAGATTAAAGTTTAAGAGAGGTTCTTACGTTCTGAGGTCGTCCGACGATGGAAGCGACGGCTTTGGTGACTTCCGAGTAGAACGGATCGGTGTTAACGCCGTCAAAATTGACGTTGGTTGTAATGTAAAGACAAGGCATTTTCTCACCGTCCGTTTCTTGATGCCGTTAAGCTTGTTGCCAAGAATCTCAAGAAACCAAAAGAGAGGACTTATATGGAGTTTGGAAGTTGTGGAAGAGAAGATCTCTCACATGGCCAATTATATATAGAGCTAAATTATCGGCTTCTAAATTAATGAGAGAAGTTATTGTATTGCATTATTTTAAAATTCGTTTTGATGTGAACAATGTTTGAAATAATATCTTTGAGTTTCAAATCTGACAACTTGGGGACGTGACTCAATCAATTACCGCAACTATGTCGCCCTCGAAGAAATTTGTTTTCATACCATATTGGACCACACACAAAAAAAAACCAAGTCCGTGATTTTTTGTTAACAATGTTAATAAAGGATAAAAACTTGAGTGTTGTTAATTTTTGTATTTTCTCCGTAATGGGTTAGGAAAATGATTAAGAGATTCGTTTTAGATCATTGACCATTTATTTTAAATTGTGTTTTCATATACATCCATGTGGTGCGTATGTAGCGCCGTTACTTCTTCTTGAAAAAATTGTTTTCTTTATTTTTCAACTGTCACTATAAACCGGTTGCCCACAACTATACGTTTTATCTGCAATTAATCTTATCAGTTATCACTTTTGAAATATGGAAAACGTTGTATTTATGGTTACACATGTTTATTTCAACGTTTGGTGTGAGTTTTTTAGGACTTGTATATCAAAAGCTAACTTTTCATCGATGTAGAGAGTAGAGTCATACCCGGACTATTTCAGCATGTCGATCCGGTAAACCTGTGATCCACTGAATAAATCGGTTTGAGTCGCTAGTCATGAAACCCACCTATAGTAAAAAATCGGATAAAGTAAACTCAATAAAACCGATCGACAACCAGGATTAATAATTAAACCGTCGAATTTCGGTTTGTGTCTCACAAGTCACAACCGTCCGGATCCCTTGCCCATTTACTTTATCACGTGTTTTTCCCATAGGTTCATATTTTCATAAATTGACAATAAAGTTTTTGGTTTCGGGATGAAGTCACGAGTAAGAAGAAATGGAAAAGGCATCGAGTTCGTGACTTGTAAGGGTTAGAAAAAAAAAAAAAAAAGGAGATAGACAGTGCTAGGATATATGCTTACGCGGTCCTAAGCAGGAATAATAGAAGCTCAAGGTTAGGACCACTAGAGATATAATGAAATTTGGAGGCCACAATGTTTAAGAAATTAGTAGCAACTTTGGTTGAACACTAAAGATTCTAGCCTTCTAGGTATGGAAGGTTTCTCTTCATGATATTTTAAAACTTATGGACCACGAAAACAATTTTGGCGTGGGGTGGGGCCTGACAAACACATGGGCCGGGCTTGGTTACACATGAGAAAATTGTAGTTTTTAGTTAGATTTTGATAGACAAGTATAAATGGATAAAAGAAGTCGTTGGAAGAAAACCAAATTGATAAAAGAAAGAAGAAGAAAAATAGCAAAATTGTCGAAACAGGGACAGAGGCTGTCTTTAATGAAAATCCCGTATGATTAAAGTGTACGTAATCGATTAGTGTTCCTCTGTAAGCACTAAGTCAAAAGTAAACTCCAAAGCCAAAGGTTTCAATTTTCAAACATTGTTAAAGCAAAGTATGTCCACGAGAATTAGCACATACTGGTCCACCATGTTCTCAAGAAACGCCAAACCATTTTTGATAATTTCTAGTTTTTGAAATATATAGAGAATTAGAAAACCATTTTTTTAAAATATAGAGATTGACAAAAATAGATAAATAAACAAGAATAAATAGATTGAAAATTTTGAAATTAACTTATTTTATAACTAAAATAATAGAAAGAAAAAAATCTTAAATAGAGGGTTGGGATATCAAAAGTATTTTACAAAAATTCAAAGAATATGTGAAATTTTTTTTTTAATTATAGAAAAATTGATAAGATCTGCCCTAGTAAAATTAATTTTATGATATATATATATATATATATAAATATATATATATATATTTATTGTACTTTTTAATTAATAAGCCCCTGTTTTTTTCTTTTGGAAAATATATATGTATGACAGTATGAGAATTTTCGTAGTGTTCATATTCAGTTTTCTAGAAAAGCTAGGAAAGCGAAAGTGGCCTGCCATGGTTTTGTATTTTTCCTTTTTTAACGTATGATCAGAAAATATGTAAAATGAAAATATATTCATTTTCAAGGTAATGAAACAAAAGAAAAAAAAAAGGCAAGGAATAATGAGTTGACAACAAAACAAAGGTAGGGAAAAATGATGAACTATTCCGATGAACCTATTATTGCAAAATTCAGTTATATATTGTATATGGTCCAACGCTACTATAGCATTACACATGTTGGTAATAATTATTCAAATTAGTTACAATTTCGTGAACGTTGTTAATTAATAAATGTTTAATTAGCAGGTTATGGGAATGAACTGGAAAGCAATAAAGTTGAACCGCATGGGTGGAAAGATGATTGTTTTTGGCTAAACTAATGTATTTTTATAATGCTAATTTGATCGGATCCCCATATATTCTCATAATCACTCCCTCTTATTACGTTGAAACTTGAATCAAAGTGCTAAGCTAGCTAAAACTCCTTTCGCTTTTCAGAATCTAGAGGAGCTAACAAAATAATAACGAACTTATTTTTAAGGTCTAAATATGCGAATGCGATTACCAAAACTATGCCTATGAGGCTATGACATGATTCTTTATTTTTTTGGGATTACTTTGCCATTTGCTTATAACCATGGACTATGACTACAATGGCTTTGATTGATTACATTCAAACGGTTCAAAGTTTAACCACTCGTTTGGTTACCAATCATACAAACGAATAAAACATGTGGTTGGTATCCGATTATACTCCTTCCGTTTCATAATATAAGATGTTTTCAAGTTACTATGCAAATTATAGATTAATTTAATATCTACTAATTATTTATATTATTTAGTCTTTTTCATGATTTGTTGAATTTCTTAAAAATATATATTTTTTAATCTGCGTGCTTTTACCTAAATCATCATATATTTTGAAACTGATGGAACGTTGTATTTTCAGGATTTTATATTGAAATCATAAAAATTAATTGTAGTGATCAAATTAACATCTTATAGTTAATGAGATATTGAGTCCATTGGTAATCAAAAAGGTTTGGTTAAAACCTGTTAAAAACAGTATGGAAAGTGTGGTTTGGTTAAAATATGTGATTAAAATGATATTAACTATTTGTGAAAAAAGAAATTTTGACTCATAAAACTAGTTTTAAAAAAACATTAACTAGTACAGTATATACACCTTGCTTCCACTCAACTACCATCACAAGCCACCATCGATGGGGTTTACATCGGCTAAGTTATGAAAGTGAATGTCTCTATAAATGCTTACCTAAGAGATCAAGTTTCCAATACACTTGAACTCAATGCGTACGTGAAAGCAAGCCTTCACACATCAATAAAGACCTACTAGTTTCTTCATAAATCAGATAAGGCCGTGTTTGAACGTAGAGGCGACTTGGTGTCTCAATGAGTAAAAAATAAAAACCTAAAAAAGGAAAAAGGTAGACCCAAACACGCCCCATCCCTTAATCTCATTATTATCACCTCTTTCACACGTTACCTCCCTGCAAAACTCACGCTCCATCCCCAAAAGCACGTGACTCTCACGCTCCTCCACCTCCATAAGATCTTTTTTACTTGAACCAAATTTATATTCTTTCACCTAAAAATAACGAATTTTTTATTTTACATTCGGAAATTTTCAAATTAAAACATTTCATTGATTCCAAAAACATACTTTATTGTTTTATATAGTTACTATTTTAGTCTTTATGTAAAATTTATTAAAAGACGTTGGAATTGGAAATTAGTAGTAGATTGCTTTATCAGAATTTTATAATTTATATATGTAAAAAGCCGCGTTATCTGTTCAAAAATTCAGAAATCAGAGTCACGCCTATATCTCTCTCTCTCTCTCCCGTCACTCTCACTCTTCCTCTTCTGCTTCTTATTATTACATCGATCCTCGTTGTCTCTCCTCTGTTTCTTCAATCCCTCTTTCTTTCCAACAAAAACAAAATCAAGAAAGCAAAACTCTCAAGAAACAATGGATGCTTCATTGTCTCCATTCGATCACCAAAAAACTCAAAACACAGAACCAAAGAAAAGCTTCATAACCTCACTCATCACTCTCCGTTCAAACAACATCAAAGAAGACACATACTTCGTCTCAGAACTCAAACCCACCGAGCAAAAATCACTTCAAGAACTTAAAGAAAAGCTCAAAGCTTCATCTTCCAAAGCTTCTTCAATGTGGGGAGTCTCACTCCTCGGTGGAGACGACAAAGCTGACGTAATCCTCCTCAAGTTCCTCAGAGCAAGAGATTTCAAAGTAGCAGACTCTTTAAGGATGCTTGAAAAGTGTTTGGAGTGGAGAGAAGAGTTTAAAGCAGAGAAATTGACTGAAGAAGATCTGGGTTTCAAAGATTTGGAAGGTAAAGTTGCTTACATGAGAGGCTACGACAAAGAAGGACACCCAGTTTGTTACAATGCTTATGGTGTGTTTAAAGAGAGAGAGATGTATGAGAGAGTGTTTGGTGATGAAGAGAAGCTTAACAAGTTTCTGAGATGGAGAGTTCAGGTTTTGGAGAGAGGTGTTAAAATGCTTCATTTTAAACCTGGTGGTGTTAATTCCATTATTCAAGTTACAGATCTTAAAGATATGCCTAAGAGAGAGCTTAGAGTTGCTTCTAATCAGATTCTCTCTCTTTTTCAAGACAATTACCCTGAAATGGTTGCTACTAAGGTATAAACTTTTCTCCATTTTTTTCTCTTATGTTTCTTTTGGAGACAGAACATTTAATTTCGAAATTATGTTTCTGTACTTGTTGTCTGAAAAACTCTCGAAATTGTTACGTTTTTTTCATGTGGTTTTGCTCTGTTTTGCGTGTTGGGTTGCTTCTCTTTGCATTTAAACAGAAACGAATCTCATTCAAGAAAATCTGAAAATTTGAATGCTTGTTTCAAGAAAACTGTTCTTTATTTTTTTAATCTTCTTAACATTTTGTTCTAGATCTTTGGAAATTGTTGGTTTAGTTGTGTTTTTTTTTTTTAAGTTCCGTTCAAATTTTCAAAACTGGATGGGAGAAATATGAATGGTTTTAGATGTTACTGTGTGGCGTTATTCTATGTCTTGTCCATTTTGATTCTCTTTTTGTCTTACTTTTCGTAAAATTACTTCCATAGCTTTGTCTTCTTCTATTACAGTGTAATTGAAGCATTCTTTGTGTGGCCGTACATTGAAGTTATTAAATCAGTCTCTGTTCTCGATTACTACACAAACATTTAACACATACATTGCATAATATCTACAAGGTACAATACATAACATCTCAGTTCAACTATTCAAGTTTTGATGAATCCATATTTTTTTTCTATTGCAGATATTCATCAACGTGCCTTGGTACTTCAGTGTAATCTACTCAATGTTCAGCCCTTTTCTGACTCACAGAACAAAGAGCAAGTTTGTGATGTCTAAAGAAGGCAATGCAGCTGAAACACTCTACAAGTAAAAACTTAAAACTCTTAACCAATCTAATTTCGTTTTGGGTATTATAATAAACCTTTTTGGTTAAATATATGCATACCATTGTTGCTATTTCAGATTCATAAGGCCAGAAGATATTCCAGTGCAATACGGCGGTCTTAGCCGTCCTACAGATTCGCAAAACGGACCGCCAAAACCCGCGTCTGAATTCTCCATCAAGGGTGGTGAGAAAGTTAACATTCAGATTGAAGGCATTGAGGTAATATCAGTAAGCATTTTACAGATAGCCAAGTAAGTGAAAAATGATTTGATGATGCTGAAAAGTGTTTGTGTGGTTGTAACATTATAGGGTGGAGCAACCATAACATGGGATATTGTAGTAGGAGGATGGGATTTAGAGTACAGTGCAGAGTTTGTTCCAAATGCTGAAGAGAGTTACACGATTGTGGTGGAGAAACCGAAGAAGATGAAAGCTTCAGATGAAGCTGTTTGCAACTCTTTCACAACAGTAGAAGCTGGGAAACTCATTCTCTCTGTTGACAATACTCTGTCTCGCAAGAAGAAAGTCGCTGCTTACCGTTACACTGTCCGGAAATCTACTACAACCGCCTAAGACCGGTTTTTCGGAAGATTGGTTTCTTTCTTATTACTACTTTTTTGGGTGTGTTGAGAGTTTTTTTCTTGGGTTTGGGTACTAGGTTTGTTTGCTTGCTCAGCGGTCATGTTGAACCCGAAATATCGAAAAGTTTGCGAGGAAATCATATGTATAAATACAATGATTTGTATGACATTTGAATATTTGGCTTAATATTTTAACTAAAGATTGAAATGTCAGTCTGCAAAGTGCAAGCTTATTTACTCCTTGTACCATGTTTAGCTATTGAACACCAGTGGTCCAGTGCTTATGTTTGCTGCATTCTCAGTGATAGTATTGAGTTGTTTTGTTTCAGAAGCTGAACTAAGCAATGGAATTTCATAAGAAAATCTGAATCTTTAACGGCCACAATAGGCGCCCAAACTTGAAGAATCAATCATTGCATCATACTATTAACCAATCATTGCAAGATTCAAAGTTACTGATTGATTTGTGGAAAGAAAATGTACATCTTCATTTCCCAAATGAGCAGTTTCCATTTTCAGCAGCAAAAACTACGTCAAGACCGACTTTGCACGGAGAATGATGGTAGTAAAAAAGTTCACGGACGGAGAAAGGGAGTGAGATAGAGAGACAACAATCTGAACTTATCAAATAACACATTGACCAATACCACAGAGTACGGCCCGGCCCAAAATCCGTGTATACTTAGTCAGGTGCTGGTATAGCCCGGCCCAATATAAAGTCTGGCTACGAGTAAGAGGAAAATTTGTTATATGGTTGACTTTAGTGTTTTTGACTTTTGAATGCAAGTCAAAGCTATGGAAGTAATTTTACGAAAAGTAAGACAAAAGTTTTTGGCAGGTAACTTTTTTAATTTCGATTTGAGTCAAATAAAGTCGCAACTATAATTAATTAAAAAAAAAAAAATTGCAAACCAAACACAAACAGAGAAAAACTTTTGTTTGTGCTATATTTTATGAAAATATTTCATGAAACTATGAGAAGTTTTGTATCTTTAAAATCTGAAATCTTGTTGATATATTTTTATTACGTTACCTGTGAATGATATCAACTTAAATGAGAAATAAAAGGAAATTAGTAGAATGTATAAGCTTAGATAGAACGCATGAGTTAATTTTTTTTTATTTTTTTTAATACGAGAATCTGATATCTCTTCTGTTCTTAAAAATCGCTAGTGTATTGATTGAGCTTATACAAAGTGTAAATTTAAAAATAAAATTAAATTTAACACATTATGATACGCTTTATACCTAACATTGTCAAAACTTCTTATCTAATAGAGACTATAAAAAGCCCAAAAATTATGTCTTATGAGAAGTCCATTAGTCCATAAGATTAATTCTAAACAAATAAATTCATATATATAGTTTTGTAATGAACATGAAAGCAATTAACTCATGATTTAGGCCTTTGAGAAATTACCCTATTTCTCTTTTTTATAAAATCAAATCTAAATTTATTGTGTTTAGCCTTTTTTTTTTTTTTTTTTTTTGTTTAGCCTTTTTGGTGACAACTTAAATCTTTGTTTTCCTCTTTTACATGTCTTGCATAATAAAGTTCATTAATGAACTATCTAATTTCATTTTCCTTTCATTTCTAAGAAATCAGAGTTTTTTTTTTTTTTTTTTTTTTTGATAACCGTGGGATCCCAAAGGCTTCCTAGGCCCAAAGACTAATCCACGAGGCCTTGCATCCGGGTACGCTTTACCCCATCGTTAAGGGAGCGGCTAGGTGGCCAACTCTAAGAAATCAGAGTTAAGAAATCAAATCTTAAACAATAAATTATTCTTCCTTACAAAAACATTAGGAAGTGTTATGTATTAAAAAAAAAAAAGGTAATGCTGAAGAACTTGGGACCTTTTTACAATGTTATTGTTCTGACATGATCTCAAGTCTTGGGAGGTTTCCACGATCGAACCTCTTAAAACATTACCTACTTTAACATAAGCACCTCAAATCCAATAAGTTTATTATTCGTCCCTGATCAGATTTACAAAAGCCTCAAAAGCATTGATGTCGAATATTATTTCTTCACTTTTTCCCCATAAATTTCTTATTGATAACACGTTGTTTCTTTCGGTTTTTCCTTATGATCGTTGGAGATAAAGAACTTTTACAAAAGTGAATAATAGACCAAATAGTCAAATTTAGCATATCGAAGAAAGCGAATCGTCGATTTCAAGAAATGGAGGCTACTCAGATTTTTATTAATTTCCTCTTTCTTTAAATAAAGAAAATAGTACTAGTGTATAGCTGTGGGTTTGACCATTAGGAACCAATCTTTACTTCGTGATTTTCTTATAATTTGATCTGAGTTAATGATTCCACAATTACGCCATTACGCCATAATCTCATCTGATTTTAAATATTTTCGTTGATTTCATATGTGTTACAACCCAATACACCCTTGCATTCATTAAATTATAGTATCACTATATTTAAAAATATATATATAGTATCACTAACATCGAACCTTTACTTTATCAAGAAAAGAAAAGGAAAAAAAAAACATCGAACCTTTAGCTTCGACTATAAAACTCAATTTGCATTTAAAACTTTGCGTAAACTAAAGTGTAAAATAAAAAATAATACGTGGATGTTAAAAGAAAAAGAGAAAGTATAATACGTTATTGCTCAATATAACAATACAAGAACAAATTCTGAGTTAGTCCAAGAGATTCGGATTCTATCCTTCAAATTATATATAGTACTATTTATTATTAACTACTATACTATTTTCCAGAGAAATTGTTCCTAAAAAACGATTGCATTGGTCGGTTTTTCGATTTCTTTTCAAAATGCAGATTTATCAACAAACTCTCTGCGTAATCCTTTTTTTAACTAACTCTGTACTTTGACGTAAACATATCTTAAGGCTGTAAATTAAAGAGTCTATTTTACTATGGGTCTATGGCTCAAATGATATCTTTATTGTGTACTTTGGCAGTTGTCGATTAAAAGCTACATTACTTATCAACACTAAACTTGCATTTACACATTATTCTTCATAAATTAGCTTAACTTAAAGAAGAATCTATTTCAATCAATTAATTAGAGCTATATACTGTATTTCACAACCACTATGTTACAAAAATTTGATTTGTTTTAGACAATAATAAGTCTGTTCGACATTATATAAAGCCAGTTAAGCATATCCATATACTAAACAGATGGAAATTATATAAATAACTAACTATCAGTTAAAAATTTCGGAATCTGCCATAATAATGTCATCGATATGGATTGGTATGAAACAAGCTTTTTACTTTATTGTCCTGTTGACATCTAAAGTCACTGTTTTATTAATTCACCAGCTATTCCAACAACAACAAAAAGATTTACCAAAACCAGTTAATTAACAGCAGATGATCAATTAGAGAAAAGACAGAAAAAGGACACATTTGATCACAAACCAACACAGTTTCTTGCAGTCGTAACACCACCGTCAACGACAAGATTATGTCCGTTCACATACTTAGACTCATCACTTGCCAAATATAACGCTGCTTCAGCTATATCATTCGCTCTCAATGTCTCTCCTTTCAAATTAGCCAAACTCCTCACAAACTCTTCCATCTCCTCCACTTCATCATCTTCCACGTCTCCACCACTCGTCTTTCGCCACGCGTTAACCAGCATCGACGTGGCAACTCCAAACGGTGATATACAATTAACCCTAATCCCATACTTGCCTAGCTCACAAGCTGCGTTCTTGGTCAAACCAACGATCGCATGTTTGGAGGCCGTGTAAGCGTGTGGTCCCATTCCACCCATCACACCGGCTACACTTGCCGTGGAGATTATGCAACCTTTGAACCCTCTCTTGATCATGGCACGTGCCGCGTGTTTCATGCCGAGTCCTATGCCACGCACGTTCACACGCATCACGCGGTCGAACTCGTCCGCGTCGAAGTCTAATATGCTTTTGTGTTTCTTTTGGTCTCCGAGAACTCCCGCGTTGTTGAATAGAATGTCGAGCCTACCATACCGCGCGACGGTTACATTCACGAGGTTTTCCACGTCAGCTTCGACCGAGACATCGCAGCTAATGAATGCCACCGTCGAGGAGGTTAAGTGGGATGAGAGTGACTTAGCCAGGGAAGAGCCAGCTACGTTGTCCACGTCAGCAATCACCACCGTGGCACCGTGTCTAGCGAATAGCATGACGGTTGCTTTGCCTATTCCATGTGCGCCTCCGGTGATAATGGCTACTTTTCCTTCCAACCTATATAAAGTGTATACATTATCAGTCCATAAGAATTTTGAGAATTAACCAGCACTATAGTATAAAAGTGACATGGACTAATACACTCATTGTTAATTAATTTTAAGTTCGTCGGACAAAAAATGTACCTTTTATGATATAAAGTTGTATTCGTCTCCTCCATCATGGTGTCGTGGATGGAGTGAAAGATCTGCTCAGGGATCACTTGGGCCGGCATGGCGGATTTTTAGTGAAAGAAGTGATGACAGGGAGAGACTTTGAAGCTTAAAGTGGAATTGAATAGTAGATACACACATCTCTGAGTCTATTTATATACCTAGAGATGTGAAGTTCGGAAAACCAGTGTGAAACATCCAATTATGCTCAAGTTCTGGAATCATTCAAAATAATAATTTAGTATGTACAAAAGCTAACAGATAGAAGAAAGACAAAGAAAATTAAATATTTGAATTGGATGCTTATAAATTAGATGAACAATAAAATTGAGTTTAATTTAGAGAGACTAATTAATAAACTTGTATGTGTCAGGCTGAAACTAATGCAAAATAATTTTGGAATATATCATTGATGATTTGATATCAGATTTATTATTAGAAAGAATCTAGAAGAAAAATACTAAATACTACTAGTAGTAATTAGATTTGAGATCTTGCTCATATTTATTATGCTGGCAATGAAAAAGCTGTAGTTTATAAATGAGATATAATCTTTTATTAAATACCGGATCCCCCATCACCCTCATTCTCTCAAATTTAAAAAGGACTGAGGTAGATACTTAAATATTACCGTACAAAACACAATAAAATATTAGCATTTTCTTTCTCTAATGCTCAGTGTATCATCAAAAATACTTGTTTTAAACTTCTAATGGTTGTTGTATGTTGGGCGTTAACATCTCTAGAGTTAAGTGACCTTAGAAAGTGGATAGTTTCTTTAGCGGAGACAAATAGTTTAGGTAAACAATATCAAACAATAGTTTTAACAACTTTATATTGTTTCTCCATATGTGAAATGGTGGTGGCGATGGTCTGGCAAGATTCCGAATTCTAGAAGAAACACGACTTAGTCGGTATATAGTCTTCTCTTAATTTTTAAATAGAGTAGACTTATGTAAATCTCGCTAAGCAAATCTCTTAAGATCGAATCATATATATAGCCTTTCAATCATTCTTGATTAGAAATAAATAGTGTTAATAAACTAATTGTATCATCACATATAAAAAATGGAAAACACAGCTCAACCAAACCTTTTCCTTGTTGTTCAAAACGATTCATATCAATGCCGTACAACTAACATTATAAAATTTCAGGTTATTGTTTTACTTGAAAATCTTTTTGGGCTATTTATTGCATGTTAGTTGTGATGAAGCCCATTTGAGTTCAATCAATGCTTTAAATACTTGCTACGTCTCCTTTGCTTCAATTGTTGAAAAGGCTTTCGATGGCATTTCCCACATTTCGGAGAACGTGAACTATTTGAGATAGTTGGAGAAAATAATGTTTAAGATAGTTATGTAAAAGCAATCAGTTTGCAGCTAGCCTGAAAAAAGATTAAAAAAAAAAAAAACAGTCTATAACACATGTTAACGACTAAATGTTCTGAAAAAACTCCTTGAACATAACATTCTTGGTTTCTTCTTGAGGTTTCCCATCTTAATCTGTGATAAGAACTTTCAAACCAGCTATTGACTCCACTTTGGATATTGCAACATACATCTGTCTGTGAGAATAAAAGAACACTCGTCTCGGTAGATATAGACCAACTTTGGAAAGTGTTTGGGCCCTTGACTTTCATCTATATTCATGGCGAATGCAAGGTTCAAAGGATACTGCGTACGCGGCTTTAAAGGAAAACTTGTTCCTTCCGTTGGGAACATATGCGTCTTAGGGATCAAGAATTCCTTGAAACATTTACAACATGTTGCAAATCTAGCCTCAAATTATAAATATCCATGATGTTCTAATTAATACACATGTAGCATAAATAATACACATTGTCCATAAAACCAAAGTCTTAATTATGCTGTTTTGAAGAAAAAGAAAAAACCAAACCATAAATAGGGAACGTTATATATAAATAGTCTGAAACAAGAGATCTGTAGACTAAACGTTCCAAAACAACTTCTTCAAGACAACATTTTGGGCTTCTACATGGGGTTTCTCACCTTCTTCTGTGATAAGAACTTGGGTCAAACCAGTTGCGGCCTTAACTTTGGATATGGCAAGATACCTTTGTCCAGGAGGGCACAGTACTTGTTTTGGTAGATATAGACCAACTTTGGAAAATGCTTGGCCTCGACTCTGATCTACAGTCATGGCGAATGCAAGTGTGAAAGGATACTGGGTACGCCGCATTGGGGTAACAAAATCTTTCCCAGAGAACATGTGCATCTTAGGGATCAACTCAAGCATTCGGGGAGGATGACCAGGTTGTGTTGTTGCAAATCTAGCCTCAAGCATAGTATCACCCAACTGAACAATTTGAAGTCTAGTCCCAGTACATAACCCACGGCTAGGATCAACGTCAGCAAGTAACATGACGGGAGCACCAACCTTGAGTCTCAAAATCTGTTTAGGCACTCCGGGGACTGTGATGCTACCAAAAATACATGGAGGTAATAACATGTAATGGCCTGGCCTTGAGTTATCCTTAAGGCTCGGAACAAGACAGTCATCGCTGTGAGATAATATATCTTCACCTTTATGTGATGATATGAAAGTTAGTATGTGCAGAAAATGGTGGCTATAGTTTCGAAAGCGATGCGTAATTAGTATATATAAAAACCGGATTTTACCTGGTATTTGTGAAAGCATATAGGCATTAATCTGATCCACATCAGATTGAGTATGACACAAAATAACCGTGTCGCGGCAATAGGAATAGGAGGACTGTTCACGAAAAGAGTCTCCATAAACTTGGCTCACTATTTCTTCGATAGGATCAGGGCACTCAATTGGCGACGCATTTTCAGGGATATCAATATCAGCGTGATCATCTCCATCATTAATATCCTTAATCCATTCAGAGAAAGCTTTATCTATTGTTATGTGAATTCTTGATGATTCCTAGAATTCAATAAACAAAACAAAGAAAAAAATAAATATAAATTTTCTAGTCAACAAACTTGTTCGGCTGTCTAGAAAGAACGAAAACCAGCGTGAATATTGCATCATAGTCAGATATCAAATGCCAGATGATTGATTCAACTTATTGTAATCAAACAAACCTTGAGTCATGACCAATCGATTACTAATTGTATCATGTATCAGTCTGCTATATATAAATTACGAAATACACGTTACAGGTGGTACTCTGTAACCAACAAATAAAATTTAAAGTGTATATAAATAATTGAGATCAAATCATACCGATGATTCGAGTAAAACCATGTCGATCGAGTTTGCGGCTCTTTTCCTCAATCCCTCCTTCCATATCCTCATTAGCTTCACTTTGATCTTCCATGGCTTAGTCTCATCGAGAGGAGCAACAGAAGAGGAGGGTTCGTTAATTAAGGCCATTGCAGATCTTGACAGTCGAACAACAGAGATAAGAGAGGGGTACGTAGAGGCTATAGTTGGCGACAAAAAAAGCTAAAATAAAAGTTAAATATGTGACTGCAGAATAGGGACGCTCCCTTGACAAGTTTGTTTTTATAGCTAGGGCTGAGAGTTTGGACGAAGTTTAAATGGGTTTCGTTGGCTTGGTTTAGCTAAACTAAGTTGTTTAGGTTAAAAGGTCCTTTATACCTTTTTTTTCTTATAAAACACAAGTCATGTAAGTTTTCTGCTCTGCATTCTAATTTTCATGACAAACAATGTAGTTTTTTTCCTACAGTAGACAAAAAAGAATTAGTATAAAAGATCAAAACATTTAGGTTAAAGGTTTGTCTGATCGTTTTGCAAAAAAAAAAAGACAACAGGCCAGACGAAAAAACAAACTATAATAGAGAAAATGTAAAACATGATTGTCTGAACTAAACCAGTAGAAAAACCATGAAAAAACCAAAATTAATCAGTTTGCAGCAAGCCTGAAAAACAAAATAAAAAACCAGTCTGACACATGTTGAACACTAAATGTTCTAAAACAACTCCTTGAACACAACATTCTTGGTTTCTTCCTGTGGTTTCCCATCTTTATCTGTGATAAGAACTTTCAAACCAGCTCTGGACTTCACTTTGGATATCGCAACAAACATCTGTTGTCCATGAGAAAACACTCCTCTTGGTAGATATAGACCAACTTTGGAAAGTGTTTTGCCCTGACTTTCATCTATAGTCATTGCGAATGCAAGTTTCAAAGGAAATTGCCTACGCCGCATTTTGATATGAAAATTTTCGTTTGTTGGGTATGAAGGTATCCTAGGGATCAAGACTTTCTTACCATGCTTATTACCTGTTATAATCATAGCCTCAAGGATAAACCCCTCCATTCGAGTAATTTGAAGTCTTGTCCCCTTAAATAACCCGCCGCTAGGATTAAGGTCCCTAAGTAACATGACGGGAGCACCAACCTTCAACCTCAACTTAAAATCAGGCAATCCTGGGACTTTGATGCTATTCAAAAATTCTAGAGGGTATAACATGTCGTCATTTGGGCTTGCATGCGATGGAGAAATACTGTCAGCGCTGTAACATTCTTTCTCTTCACCTGATATGATATAATGAAGTCGTAGTTAGTAACTTAGTATGTGCATACAATGGATATAAAAGAGAAAAACATTACGCATTACCTGGTAATAGTGAAAGCATGTAATCATTAATCTGATCCATATCGCGATCACTATGACACAAAATAGCCCTGTCGTGACAAAAATCAGGATTATAGGCCGCTGCAAAAGATTCTCCATAAACTTCCTTCACTATAGTTTTGATAGGATCTTTGCACTCAGTTCTCAACAAATCTTCAGAAATATCAATTTCAGTTTCTCCATTATTTTGCTTGTTGATATTTCCATCACCAATATCCGAAATCCATTTAGGAAAAGCTTCATCTATAGTTGTGTGAATATTTGTCCTCTGGAATTCAATCAACAAAACATTATAATATAGAAATTAAAATAATAAAGTTATTTCTTTCTACATGTAAAAAGAACAACATGAGCAATGAGTAAACAGAAACGTATGCAAATCATTATAATATATGAATATAATGATTTAAAACACGAAATTATTATGGTGTTTAGCCATAAACTAATTAAAACAACGAGATTATTGCATCTTCACAAGATCAAGCATCTAGATGATTGATTGAGTCAACATCTAGATGATTGATTGAGTCAACTAAAAACGAGTCATGTAATATATTTGAGTCATGCATGAATAATCGATTACTATGTATCAAAGTGTAAGTTATTCAAATAAATATATAACCATTACAAAAGATACATGTTGAATGTATATACTTCAGATAAAGCCATACCGATGAATCGAGTAAAACCATGTCGATGGAGTTGGCTGCTTCTTTCTTATTTCCCTTCCATGTTCTAACTATCTGCACTTTGATCTTCCATGGTTTGATCTCATCGAGAGAAGCAGAAGAGTTTTTGTGAATTAGGGCCATTATTGTAGCGCTCTGTAAATAGTTTTTTTTTTTTTTGTTTTTGTTATGAATTTGGCTAAATACGAAAGCTTGTGTAGCTTTTTATAAGCGTATAATATCACGATCTAAACTGTTACGGAAGTTTATCAGTTTAGTTAGGATTTCCTTTTTTTTTGTATATTATTTCCTTAATTTTCAAAAGGAAATTCTAATTAAATTGTTTAAACTTTTAAAGTAACGGAAATCTTTTTCTCTCATCCCCCGGTAACTGAGATTTTTTAAGTCCTAAATTTTAATTTTCCATTAAATAAAGGATTATATAGATTGTAAAAAATAATATACATGTACGTATTTCCTTTTCTTGATATATACTGGATAATTTTTTAGTTGCTCTAGAAGCTTCAGTTTTAGTATATGGCCTCAAAAGTCAAAATCAAAATGAGATATAAAGTACTAAACCAATCAACCCTAAAAACAATGGGTCGCATTGCCGTTTGTGGACAATTCAATCATTAACTGTCCCTGAATAATAATTTGTGTTTAAATAGAAAAATGCTCATTCACGTCATGGTAAGTAATGTTAACATGAATGTGCATAGCAACAAAAAAACAAGAGCTGATGTTTGGAAAAATCGGTAGAAAAACCCTCAACTTTTTTATGGGTTTTTAAACTCCCACTTTTCATAAATGGTAAAATAAACCCTAGTATTAATAAATTTAATTTAAATTCAAAAAAATAGTTATACTAAAACATAAATAAATATAAACAATTTGAGTTAGGGTGTTTCTTCTAAAATTCTAGTTTACATTATTTTTCTAAATTGAAAATATGTAAGTCATGATGTAAAAAAGTTAATTAGTGAAGTTTTATTCGGTGTCTTACAAAAATTCATCAACGTGAAACCAAACAGGTTATTTTACTAATTATATGTAAATTCTTATATCGAAACTGAATATGAGTTTATATTAATAAAGATTTATTAGGTTTGTTCACACAAATTTACCATCGTAAAACCAAACCAAATTTTATAATACTACGAAAAGTACATGAATTTTCACATCAAAATATTTTCATTGGACAAACTAAATAAGATTTACTAACAATTAATATTTCTATATATATATAATACGATATATTAAAATATAATATATATTATATTTAATTAATCATTATTTAATTATATTTTTATCCAAAACTTGAACACTCGAATAAAAAAAAAATCAAATGTGATATCCTATAAATTTTTTGTAGTTTATATAACATAACTTCTAATTGTTACAAAAATAATTTGCCTAATCTCAACCAAATGGTGAATAAATGTTCATAGCGCATAAATCCTAATTTTAGAAAAAAAATCGTAAACTCGATTTTGAAATAAAAAATCATAAATTAAATTGTTTTTGTTTCTTACGGTTTTAATATAATGATTTTTTAAAAAACTAAATTGAGTTTATTAATATTAGAGTTTATTTAACCATTTATAAAAAAGTGAGGGTTTAAAAACCCACAAAAAAAAGTAGAGGGTTTTTTCTATGTTTTTAAGAAAAGTGACGGTTTTTTTACCCATTTTTCCTTTTAAAACAGTGTTTGTGATATATAAAACGGCAGAGAATCATCTATTGTTATAGCCTTTTAGGTGTGGACTTCTGTTATAAATCTTTAACCAAAGTCTGATCCTGTTTTGGAAAAATAACAAGCCCAGACGAAAAAACAATATATAATAGAGCAGAATGTAAAACATTATAGTCTGAAACAGCCTATACCATTAGAAACACCATGAAAATCAAAATTATGTAAAACAGTAAAAGCAGTTTGCAGCCTGAAAAAAAGATTAAAAAAAAAAAACAGTCTAACACATGTTGACTAAATTGTTCTGATAAATGTTCTGAGACAACTCCTCTTGAACACAACAGTTTCCACTTCTTCCTGAGGTTTCCCATCATTATCTGTGATAAGAACTTTCAAACCAGCTCTGGACTTCACTTTGGATATCGCAACATACATCTGTCCATGAGAGAACACTCGTCTTGGTAGATATATACCAACTTTGGAAAGTGTTTGGCCTTGACTTTCATCTATAGTCATTGCAAATGCAAGCTTCAAAGGAAACTGCCTACGCCGCATTTTGATAGGAAAATTTGCTTCTGTAGGGTGTGAAGGAATTCTACGGATCAAGACTGGGTGTGAAGGAATCCTAGGGATCAAGACTTTCTCACCATGCTGATTACCTGTTATAATCATAGCCTCAAGCACAAAAGTCTCCACCCGAGTAATTTGAAGTCGTGTCCCCTTACATAACCCACCGTAAGGAGCAAGGTCCCTAAGTAATATGACAGGAGCACCAACCTTTAATCTTAACTTAAAATCAGGCAATCCGGGGACTTTGATGCTATTCAAAAATTCTAGAGTGTATAACATGTCGCCATTTGGGCTTGCATACGATGGATAAATAGTGTCAGCACTGTAACATTCTGTCTCTTCACCTGATATGATATACAGAAGTCTAAGTTAGTATGTGCAAAACATGGCTATAGGTGGAAAGAGAATCATTACCAGGTAATTGTGAAAGCATGTAATCATTAATCTGATCCATATCTCGATCACTGTGACACAAAATAGCCCTCTCTTGATAAAAATCAGGATTATAGGACTGTGCAAATGTTTCTCCATAAACTTCATTCACTATAGTTTTGATAGGATCTTTGCGTTCAGTAATCAACAAATCTTCAGCAATATCAATTTCAGTTTCTTCATCATTTGGCTTGCTGATATTATCACCACCAATATCCGAAATCCATTTAGAAAAAGCTTCACCTATAGTCGTGTGTATACTTGTCTCCTGCAATTCAATCAACAAAACGTTAAATTACTGAACTAATTAATGAGTACACAAAAACGTATGGAAATCATTATGTATAATATATGAATATAATGATTCATATGTATGGTGTTTAACCATAAACTCAAATTAAATCATTAATATAAGTAAGAAAACGAGATTGTTGCATCTAAATCAGATCAAGCATCTAGATGATTGAGTCAACTAAAACACGAGTCATGTGTGTAATCAAACAAACCTACTTACAGA